ATCATCACAAAAGAAACTGCTGTAAACAGGTGGTTTTGTTAGCAGATCTTTGAGGGGAGTCAAAAAGGATTTGGCAAGACAACAGCTAGTTCAAGGCTCATGTAAAGCTAAAACAAGCAGAGAAATACAACCGGTAAATGACCTTCACAAGGTGTCGAGATGACCTTCACATGTCCGGAGGCTCATAATGTTCTGTAGAAACCAGTTCTGTCTGATGGCCAGCCGGCACAGCACCCTGAAACTCAAGTAGCTTAGTTTGGCCATCATTCTTATTAGTTTCATCTTTCCTTCGTCCGACTCTCACCAAATAAAAGTAAATTAATAAAAAAATCTTTGGTTAAATTGTACCTTTCCAAAAAAAGTTACAGAGAGCTTAACAAAAGAGAAAAATAAATAACAAGGCAGGTGACAGTAAATAAATGGCAAGTACCAATAAACCAAGGTAAAGCAAATCAATAAATAGGAACTTTTTTTCACACTACAAGGTGAAAGATCCAAGTACAACAAAACCAAAGTTTAAGAAAAAGCACAAGACTATTGACGTGAGAAGTGCTGTTGTGTCTGTGACAGATGGTGAGGCAGAGACACACACCAAAAAGGAAGATGCATGACTTCAGCTACAAGTAAACACCTGCACACAGCATCTTCTCACACATTTATGTGGAGATGTGGATGTGGTTCTGAGTAATTTGTGTTAGGCTATCTAGAAGATAGTTCCAAGTGGACTCTATTACATTGGGGAAAAGAGGGTTGATTGAAGAAACTAAAAGCTGGAACTGGCAGGCTGGGTGGTGGGGCTGATGTACACAAGCTCAGAGGTGGAGGTCACACTGGTGGTGTGGACAATCTGGCAGTGTGGAGGAAAACTGCAGAGGTTTCATAGCAACCACAAACCAAGGGTATGTGAGCACCATTAGCTCCCACACCAGTAGACCACGCCAAGCTTTAGAAGGGCAGAAAACACATCAGAAGCACATGGAAAGAACGAAAAGAAAATCTAATATCATCAAATCACCACAATTTGGAGTGTAAACATTTTGAAACAACCAGGAAAAAGTCTCTCTTTTTTTTCCAAGTTTGCTGCTTTTTTTTTTTTTTTTTTTTTAAACTTTACCAGCCCTCTCTCTTTCTTTCTCCCTTTACTGTTACTTTATGTCTATCAACCAAAATTTGCGCACTCTCTTTTTCATTTGCTCGCAGCAGCTTTTGGTTTAATGAGTGCAGATCTGTTTCTTTCACAGGCTTTGGTACTTTTCAGTATTAATGAGTGTAAAAATGAATATTGAATTGCATCTGAAAAGTATTAAAGAATCAAAACATTGACCACCTTAAAGCAGAATACCTTACCTTGACGGGAGAATAGAGGACTCTGAGTTTCCCTAACTGACGACCTCAGGCGGAGTTCCTCAGCTGTGGAGCACAAACTGAAATTATGACCTCCAAGAGCAGAAACTTTTTGTTATAGAGTCAAGCATGTTTGGATATTGACCTACACCAAAAATATATACACATAAAAGTATATAAAACTTAAAGATATCTCTACCTTTTTCACTTTTATCATGATTACGTCTCCTGCAACTCCCCTAAACTTTATGAGAGTGCAACACTAAATCCCTAAAGTATCTCTTTAATGAGAGGATTTTCATAAACTGTAATGTCACTTTAATGGCCAGGCAGCTGTCCATGTTTTGCTCTCTGTCTCAGATTTATCTCAAGCACCTCTTCTGCTTAAAAGCCAATCTCAGGTGCAAAGACACCAGAACTTGTGGGTATTTAATTTAGGAGGAGTTCAAAAGAGGATGGTCAACAGAGGCAGAGCGAGGGCTTGGAAATGCTGACTCGGCTCCTGTCGCTTAATCTATTTGAGGTGCGATTAAAGTTTAATTCGCGCCCATCTCCTAATGCTAGCCAGCAGTGGGTCGGTGAGTAGTTTCAAGCTGAGCCCAGGTCTTTTCTCTCTGTCTGGGCCTTACTTTATTCATGCCTGAGGGACACCAGGAGCTGCAAACAACTGAATTTTTCATCAAGGTTACTTCCTGGAGAGATGTGCCGTGTAGTTGCTGCCTTCTCCCTCGCTGTACTCCTAGCTCATACATAACTTAGCCTGCTCTGACCTGCAGCTCTCTCTGGGAGGAGTTGTTTGACCCGGGTCCAGATAGGAGAGCGTGTGCTGTGGAGTCAGCATGAGTTTGTTTTGAGGCTTGAAATACTGAAATCCAGCATACGTGGTCTGATTATCAGATGTCTGTTTAGACTTTATTTATTATTATTTTTAATATAGCAAACATTAGAAACCTATTCAAAATTAAGAAAGTGTTAATAAGATAATATAATGTTGCTGTTAGAGATATTTGTATTTATTATTTGCCAAAATTGAATTTTAATTAGCTCTGTAGATCAATACATCAAATTAATCAATGGCTGATCAAGTAAGAGTCAACAAATGTGCAAAACAACAACAGAAAAAGTGTATTAAAATGTAACATAAATAGATTTTTGGATGTGGCTTAATAAAAGTTAATTATTGTATACATGTAACTAAATTTTTTCTACAATTTCTATTAGATCGAGATATTAGATATTAAAAATTAGATATTAAATCACGGAGAGGATTTCTACATCGTTTTTTTACTGTCTGCTGTCACATGTATATTAGACACCTGAGACCTCACACTACCCACGTTTGAGAGTTTCCCGGGATAAACAAAACAAAATCTCGAAACGTCTCTTTGCTAAATGTATTGTAATCTATGGCATATTCTAACTTGTTACATATTTATCAGAGCAGTCTCACTGGATGGCTGTAAACACAACACAACTCAACAAATTCAACTAGTTCATTTCACTTATGGGAATACCCCACAAGTTTGGCATCAACATTTTTTAGTCCCGGGAAAAACAACTCTGCAACTTCTGGTAGAAAAACAACAATTTATGAGAAGATTTTTTTACATCCAGATTCATTTGCAATTATAATCAAATCCCACTTATTCTTCATTTGCAGAAAAATTAATGCTGCAACAACACATTTGGTTTTAATGGAGGAAAAAATATGCAACATCAGATGATTTCTCCCCCCCTTTCATTAAGGCTGCTAATGCTGCTTTTTCTCCTGAAACACAGCAATCAAAGGCACGGAGAAGGTCTTAAGTATTCTGTTCAGAGTTTATAGTTTTCCAAAAGCATCAACAAGCAATAAGGTCATTTCTGTCTTCTGGCTTACAGCGGACTAAACCGGAATTTAAAGCAAAAAGGAAGAGTTATTCAGATAATATCTTACACTGAATCATCGTGTCGTTCAATTTTAAATCAGGTTTAATGTGTGGTTGTGATAGATCTAGGTTAGAGAATAAACCTGCAATCAGAGTGCGATTACATGTTCTCCATCTCCACTAGTTAAAAAAATAATATAAAGACAGGCTTTTATAACTGCAATGCTGGATAAACCTACTCTTTACACTAAAGAGTACTCATGTTCACAACTGAACCCCTGTCCCCAAGCTGTAAGGTCCACAACACAGAGATAATCCTCTGTCATTACGACCCTGTTAAAAAGGGAATAAAATAAAGCAGAATGGCTATTTGACTGCAGACTTCCATTTCAGGGCTGTGCTGTGCAGTCTTGCAGCTTCTGAGTGTCAGACATTATCACCACCACTACCCTCAACCTCACCCTGCCCCTTGTAACAATTACTGCCCTACCTCCCTATTCAGCACGTAATGAGAAAACTGACTGATCGATTTCTGTCCAGCCAGTAAAAGAAGGGAAGGAGGCATTTGGATAAAGCACAGAGCAGACTAAGAAGCTAAGAACTGCAGCATTTTCTTGTCATCTTCCATATATTTTAAGTGTTACAAGCAATTAAAGGTTATGAAAAATTCTATATTGTATTTTGTATGGAAATATTAATTAGATATTTTAAAAAAAGATCTGGTATGAGGGTAAGAGTTATTGTAATCACTGATAAATATTAATCATTGGCTCATTCTTCACATTTATGTCTGAAAGTTAAGAAAGTATTGATTAAAATGCCTCCAAAGGGCTTCAAAAGCCCAAGCTAGTGTACCAACATTATCTGCTTTGAATGGCCAAGAACTGAAAAAATAAACCTGCAATTCTTAGAGATGCTACACTCAAAATGAGTATACAGGATCTGAGAAAAAAAAGAGTATTTTTGGTATAGACTTAAGTTTCACTACCTGTCATAGCTTTGCACTTTCAAAATAAGAATCAAATCTAATACAATGTACTTTATCCTCTGATGAACCGCAAGAGCAGGATAGTTTTTCAAGCTTGTGTTTTCTCTACTCAGTCAGATACAAGACTGTTTTTTTTTTCCTTTTCAAAGAAACTAACGTCAGGCTCTTGCACACTACCATTACAAGGTGGGATATTTACGCTATTGTTACCCCTTGTTAGTACTGTGTAACCCACAGAGGGGTAATAGTGGGGCAAAGTCTTTTGGTGTCTAGTCCTTCCTCACAGATAGTAGCTTAAGCGGGGTACACACTTAAAGACAATCGGGCTGTTTTTGTCCCGACCAAGGACAATAATCAGAAAATTATCTTATGTCTTCTAAGATTATCCAATAAGATTATCCTGTGGTCTGAGGTGTATTAAGAATAAATTTGTTTCGATAATTGGGTCCTAAACAGGTTGGGGCCGACAATCGTAAATATTAAACTTATTCAATATTTACAAACAAAATTCTTCATGTTATGCACTCGTCACTTTAAAAAGCTGTACTGTAGCAAATGGTACTTTAAACACCCTAGTTAGCACTTTAGCACTTTACAATTCTCCTATTGGTCACTTAGTTTTTGGTCTGTGTACGTTGTTTATGTATATTATGTGTATGTTGTCAGTGCATTGTTCTACTGTCTTAGTCATGTTGTTTGTACTTTTAACATTTTTGCTTCTATGTTTACCATCAACCTGCCAATGGGACTGGGAATGGAAATTAGCCATCTAGCTATAATCCCACATACAGTACAGGCCAAAAGTTTGGAAACACCTTCTCATTCAATGCATTTTCTTTATTCTCATTACTATTTAAACTGTAGATTCTCAGTGAGGGCATCAAAACTATGAATGAACACAACTGGAGTTATGTGCTAAAAAAAAAGTGTGAAATAACTAAAAAACATGTTTCATATTTTAGATTCCTCAAAGTAGCCACCCTTTGGTTTTTTTGATAGTGCTGCAAACATTTGCTGTTCTCTCAATGAGCTGCATGAGGTAGTCACCTGAAATGGTTTTTGCTTCACAGGTGTGCGTTGTCAGGGTTACTTCATGACTAAGTACTTCTGTCATCAAGAGCAAAGGGTGGCTATTTTAAAGAAACTAGAATACAAAACATGGGTAACCCTTTCTTTTACAGTACACTTATTACCAGGTAATTAACAGGTAATTAACAGGTAATTACCTAGTAACAACATGAAATTATCTGGTAATTACATGATAACTACTAAGTCAATACTGTCTAGTTTTTCTTTTTTTCTTTTTTCTGTGCAGCTCCATTTTCAAAAGCTATTTGGGGTTCTTATTTTCTATGATTGACACTTGATACAGCCTATGGGCGTGCGAAGATTGCGTGGCGATACGTTGTTTGAGCCGAGCGTTATCACAGCGACTCACCTGCCGAATGCGTACAATGCTACTGCACAAGAGGTGGTTTCAGGAAGCTGAAAAATCCTGGAAATACCAGAGCAATTCGGCTTCAAATTTGTATGATGATGGAAGGTTACCTACCTGGTAGCTAGACAGTATTGACTTAGTAGTTATCATGTAATTACCAGATAATTTCATGTTGTTACTATGTAATTACCTGTTAATTACCTGGTAATTAGTGCATCGTAAAAGAAAGGTTTACCAAAGCATGTTTTCCGTTATTTTGCCCTTTTTTTTACAAGTACAGAATTCTAAGTGTGTTCATTCATAGTTTTGATGCCTTAAGTGATAATCTACAATGTAAATACTCATATAAAAAAATAAAGAAAAAGACACTGGATGAGAAGGTGTGTCCAAACTTTTGTCCTCTACTGTATTTACATGTAAATGTTAATCAAAATGTACTGTTCCCATTTTTAAACATAAATAAATAAAGACAAATTTATTGTGTGTGATTTGACTAACTTGTCAAAGGAATAGGCTAATGCTTTCACTCTCAAGCACTTATAAAAACTCCATCATTAATGCCGAGAGTGTCTGTTTATTGATTAAATCCAGGGCTTGTTAGTCTTGGCATTCTCCACGTTTGCTCCAACAACTGTTGTGGTCTCGTGTTACGACATAAGGCTTGTAAAGTGCTCCCCACAAACTGCTGCACGTTCTAATAAATTCATCTTGATTTATTATTCCTGTGACTGATTACACGGATGTAAATATTCAGCAGTAAAATATATAGTCTGGGTGACAGGGTGTCTTTTCTAAGCACTACCACGCTGCCCTGTTGGGTCAGAGCTCCACTGCCACTCACAATTATTTATTAGGCTACATATTCACTCTCTATCCATCACTGTGTGGCCACCCGGCCCGGTCACATCTCTTCATGTTTATTACAGTGTCCCACCTTCCCGAGGAGGATGATTGACGTTTTCAGAGAGGACCGAGGTGGGACTTGCGCGCTCCTTCTTCTCCAATCGTGGCTCAAGGGGGCGGAGGCTTTCCATCCATACTCTGATTATGAGTCAGTTACCAGACATAAGCGAAACAATAACAGTTGGTGGGCTACTTTCTATCCAAAAGCTTCACAGTCAAGTTGAGTTTTGTGGCGCGTTTTAGCGCATCAGGCTCATCGGAGGTTTCGTAAGAGGAGCGAGAAGACGCTCCACTTTTAATCAGATTAGGAGCCTTTAATGTTCAGTCCTTTTTTTTCCTCTTTTCCCCTACAGTAGCGGTGCAGGAGTGGCCAAAGCCAAAAGCAGCGATTCAGATCAGATTTCACCTAAACCAGCTGGGAGAGAGACCGAGAGAGAGAGAGAGAAAGAGAGAGAGAGCACAGAGGGTTTGTCAGTCTCCCTCCTCCCAAATCCAGAAAATCTTACCAAGGAAAAAGGAGGAGTGTCGGGGTGAGAGAGAGAGAGAGAGACGCAGACGAATCCAGAGGAATTTCCGAGGATATTTTCCCCGTCTCCCCCCCTCCTCCCATTTTCTATCTTTTTATCAAAATTTAAAAGTTGGAGGCGAGGCAACGGGGACCGTGGTCAAGGATGGACGAGCAGCCGCGGTTGATGCACTCCCACGGGGTAGGCATGGCCGGACACCCCGGCCTGGCGCAGCATATGCAGGATGGCACGGCGGGGACGGACGGAGAGGGAAGAAAGCAGGACATCGGAGACATATTACAGCAAATAATGACCATCACAGACCAAAGCTTGGACGAAGCACAGGCAAGGTGAGGCTTTACACACAGAGACACGCGAATAAACACTTGTAGTATTAACCGGAGAGCGGAAATATGAGAAAATGTTTGTGGAGACGGAAGGATAAGAGATGGTAACACTGTTTGTATCCAGACTGCCTGTAAATGAAAGCAATTACGCCCACTGAAGTGCCGTGACTGCGCGAAAGCGTCAGAAAGACATAAAAAACTTGTCACGATTCATATTAGAGGATGTCGAACAACTTTTTTGTCGATATTTCCATCTCAGCTATCAATTATTGCATGATTAATGTCGATCAGTGTGATCAGCTCAGAGGTCTCCAAGTGTGGAGCAGTTATCCTAACACTTCCACCTTGTTACAAAGGAGCTCATATTGCAGCCTTGTGTTATAATAACATGTTGCATTGCATTACAAGACAAATAGGACTCAAAAATTGTAAAATACATTTAAGGGTGCTGTGTAGAGTTGGCTTGATTTTGTTGCACATCAGAAAGAGAATTCAGGCTTCACAAAGGTTTGAGGTCCCTTATTGTGCAAGAGTGTGGCTTCAACGTTTTACATTTAGTGCTTGAGCATTTGCAAAAATATTATAAACATATTTCTTAGCTGTGTCTTCTGCAGGTTTAACAATTAACCTAATCCTCATGCAGCAAAAAAAGCAGATTATCTTTTGATTTCAGGTCATCCTGCTTTTTTTGAATTGCTTTATTACTGTTACTTCTTGTTTGGATGTCAATAAAACGGGTGTCATGTGTTTATTTTATTTTTTTGTTTTGTTTCTGCAGGAAACATGCACTGAACTGCCACAGAATGAAACCTGCTCTCTTCAATGTCTTGTGTGAAATTAAGGAGAAAACAGGTGAGATCTGTTTTATCCTTTTTGTTGTTTGGTGTGGTGTTCCTTAAAAGCTCACACTGACCTCTCTTGTTGTAGAAATGTGTCTATTTCTCGACCTATATTTAGTCTATTAATTCCAAAACTGATCTTTAAAACGCCATGTTTTTCCAAAGATACATTTAAATGACAAAAGCGTGGTTTAGTACGCACACTTTTTGCTGATTTGTGTGTTTTTTATGTGTGTGTGTGTGTGCGACTTGTGACAAGTTCTCCCTGACAAATGTCACCAAGCGTGCATGTGAGCAGCCTGGCCCCAGATGAGGTGCTGTCACAGCTCTGGAGTGTTTTCATGCCGATGTTTGGGCCTCTCTGTGGCTGGGCTTTCTCAACCCTCTCTGTCTGTTTTCCTTGGCCGAGTGTGATGGCGTTTCTGTAGTGTAGCTGTGTTTTTTCATTTTTATATAAATGCAAAGGCAGGTCAGACGGATTTTCTGTTTATATTCACGACCGGGATCAGACTCGTGAGAGAGGATGTGTAAAATATTAGTCCGTTAACCGCAGTTTAAAAGAAGAGCGGCTCACATGATGAAAGCCTGTTGATATTCTCTTGAGGGACATGGCTATTCAAGAGGACGCTTTTCAAGGCAGGAAATAAAACCAAGCATCCAATATAACCTTATCTGTGAGCTCTACTTTGAAGCTGTCTCTGAGGTTATTGAAGGAGCGATGTCACTTTGTCTGCTGGTGTTGCATTCACTGTCATTGCAGTTTAAAATAAACTCAGCGAGGGTTCGTAGGCTTGAGCATATACCCTAATTTTACATGAGCTGTTAATCCAAGACATTTCATTCTTATGACTCAGAGTTTGGCACACGTCTCTGCTTAAAAAAAAGAGTAAAATAACCAGCAGCAGACTCTTTGGGATTTTCACCAGATTTACAAAATGTTAAAATCTCTCTGCGAAGCTAAAGTAGTCAGGGGCTCTGGCTGTTCCTAAATTGCAGGGCTCAGAAAAGTGGGGGAGAGAGTAATGCCTGGCCCTTTGTAAACTGTCTGGCGTCTCCCTGAGTTCAACCAGAGTTCGTTTCCAAAAAGAAGAACAAAGTGACTTGGACCTTTTCCTGGCTTTACTCCCCCTGCTTCTCCTCCTCTCTTCCCACCGTTCTTGGCAACCAGGGATTTTCACAGAGCTTCTGACGAGTGAGGCTTCCCTTCTGCCTGCAAATTCTCCTTCCACTTTACTCACAACCAAGTTTGGACATAATCGTAATTCAACCTAGTTTCTGTTTTTGTGTATGGGTTCAGTTGTTTTATCCCAAAGTGCGGTTAAAAACAAGCCCAAAACCACGTATCAGCGAGCTCTAAACACTGAAAATGTCTTTACAAAGGCAGAGAAGCTTTTCAAAGTAAGAAAAACCTCAACACTTTCTGATAGAATCGACTCTTAATGGCTGCCTGGCTGTGTCCTCCCTGTCTGTTTTTGAAGAGCTGAGCTGCAGCTCATCTTCGCCCATAGGAGGCTTGTGCAGACGAAACTGAAAATCCTTTCACTGCAGTGACAGAGAAAATGACTCAAACCTTCAGCATGGCATTTACAGCCAAATGTGCTGAGTGCAGTGTATGCGAGCCGAGTACAGCCTGTAATTTGTCAAGTTCTTTTTTATATTCTTTACAAAGAGTCAGCTTCTCCTCGCCTTTTTTTCCTACATTGTTGCAGTCAGAGTGTCTCTTAAAGCTCTCCTCCTCGACCTTTTACTGAAACATTTATTTAGATCAGACATCATTTGTTGCATGTAAGTCGCTCACATGTGTGCCGCTCTGGTGTATCAGTGCTGTGCGAGTGTTGACAGCAGCGGGATGGGACATTGCAGCAGCGAGGTGTCCATTGGCGAGCAGCTGACAAACAAGGCGGGAGTGCATGCTGATAGGGGGGACGGTGCAGGCCTTAACTGATGACCCTACCCCACCCTAAACTCTGCTCCCTGTATATTTGTGCCAGGGTCAAGCTTGTGTCACAGTGGGAGAGTATTTAGCAAGCTTAAACAAGCTCAGGTTCACATGCTGGGTTATGGAAAACCAATGTTAGAGGCTTGTGTTACCACTTACAGACGTTCCTTTTGGCCGCCTGTGTTGTATTTCATGAAATGTTTGCCCTCACTACCGGCCCCCCCCCCTCCTTCTGTTCCTCCTCCTCCTCCTCCTCCTCTCTCTCTCTCTCTTGTCTTTATTTTTAAGAAACTGTCATGATTGTTTCTGCAGTTCCTGAGAGCACTTAGAATTTGTTTCCCCTGTTCCTGCTTCACATCCTGTGAAGAGAGTCGGAGAGTGTCTTTGTTTGTGTGGAACCATTACGGCGAGGGGAGCTGGCACGTACAGGTTGACTAAGTAAGAGGAGCCAGACACCAAGTCAGTGTTTGTGGGTGTCAGATTTCAGGCCCATGCTCTCTCTCTCTCTCTCTCTCTTTTTATCCGTGGGCCTGGGACTGTTTGGTCAGGCCTCCTCTCTTTCTGTCTCTGTGTCAGCAGCCTCACAGTGCCCCCCTCGCAGGCCCAGGTCAGATGGAGAGCTCCTGCATGACTAATGTGATCAGACGGATAATGCATTACACCGCTTGAACTTATCAAAGCTGGAGACCTGCTGAATCAGACGGTCCCGCTAACTGCTAACACCCCCCTCGAGCTCACACTGCTAATGAGACATGTATACACATTTTAGATACTAACAACGCAGTGGTTGTTGATCCGGTCCTCCTTTAAGCAGTTTTCTACATTTGCAAAAAAAAAGCAAGGACACTACTTCATCCCTGAATTTGCCTCAGCGGTTGCAGGGCTTGTAAGCTGCAACTTTTAATAATCGAAATCTTTGTTCTTTACTTTATTTATTGGATTAAATCTTCAGTCTTGTATCCTGAAAAACAGAAGAACAATTTATGTCTTAAAGTGCTTTTTTCGATGTGCCGTCCAGATCCCAAATTTGATACCAAACAAAGAGAAAACAGAAAACATCCACCTTGCAGAGGCTGGGAAAAGCTGACGTTTTCATCAAAGTGGTCTAAAATAATGAATCAATCATGATAAAAAGCTGCAGATTTACTTCCTGGCACTTAACTTTACCGTAAGTCAATTAATAATTAGGCCTTAGAATGAACGTAAAGGTGCACAGGGATAAAACGTCAAGTCTATTTATGGCGTTTTCTGACATTACCATCAAATGTGATGGAGGAACCAGTTGAGCTCCCATGAAGCGTTGGATAGACTGGTCACTATGGCTCCCAGTGCTGCTGTTTTTCAGTATTTAATTGACACGGCTGTCCATGATGAGTTCAGAGGTTAGTGTTGCCTCTCTTTGTTACTCTCCTCTCATCTCCAGTGACAGATGGAGGCATTAGTCTCCAATGTGGCGCTGTCCTGAAACTAATGGCTATGTCCTTGGTTTTCCCCGTGCTAGCCGGGAGACTGTATATCTGTCCCCTGCTTTGGAAGTGCCGAAGCAGCAGTTTATCCCCCCATGTTTTAGTTTCCACGGAAATAAGGCCGAACAGGACTCTGCCTGTTCTCTCATAAATGACTTCAAATAAATAACTTCTTAACGAGTGCAAAGTTTTTCCTGATTTGTGAGCCTTGAGGAAACTCTTCCTCCACTTAGCCGAAACGTTTCTCTTAGTGAATAATAACAAACATGTAATATATTTTTATAAGGAGTCTGAGTGGGGATGTAGCTTTGCTTTTAAAGTGATTTATCTTATACATAAATAGATTGGATTCCATTTTACCCACTGACATTTCCTCTTTATTCATATTTATATTCACCACCTTATCGGTGCTCTTCAGAAGCAACAGCTAGTGTTTTAGCTGTTCCCTGTCCTCTGATATAAACTCACTCCCAATTAGGACAGCTAATATATTATGCAAATGTTGACTGGCTTAATTGAGATGTGTTAATCATGTTTTAAGAGGCTAATTACAGCCCTGTATATCTGAGGTGGGAGTTGTAATTAGCCGTGATAACAGATCTGGCTGTAGGATGGTCATACTCTGTGTGTGTGGATGTATGGCGAGAGAGGAAGTTTGTGTTGAGTTAAATTACGTGTGTCGTGTGTTTATTCTTCTGTCTCATTCTAAGCTTTTAAAAATCTAGCTTTGCGTTTTTACTCAGTTTGTCGTCTTTCTATTTTTCCCCCCACACGCACTCTATAGACGTTTTACCCTCATGGAAAACAGAAGAAAACGAGAGAAAGCGAGATCTATCAGCTCACCTATTCATCAGTAATATGGATGCTTTGCTTCTCTATCTATAGTTTGCTTCCTGCACTCCTCGCTCTGCTTATCTGATGCAGCAGCTCTGTGCATCCAGGCTTTTACACAAGGAGGCTGTGTTCTTACTTTTCTGACACAGATCATATTCAGATCCATTACGCTAAGAATGCCCTCCCACTTATCGAATATAAAATTGCTTTAGAGAGGAAATTTGCTCCACAGCGGAGTGGAGTTTCTTTTTTATCAGATGTTTGTCTCTAGAGCAGCTTTTAGTGTCTACAAAAACAGCTCTGGTGACATTATTGCAGTTGCAATTGCCACTGCCATTGTTTTTCTTATTGGGGCTCTTTGGATTTGATTGGATTTTCCGCAGTCTCGTGGAATTGCCTCACACAGCAGGAGCGACGGACGTGTATATCCTCATATTGTTGGAGTTTGTACACCTGAAGATCTTATTACTGATATGTTCAAGGGGCTCCAACTGTGCTCTCTAACTACCTCTGAATCACACTGTTAAGTCTGTCATTTTTCACAGCGTTATATCCGCACATGTCACCTTCTTCCCTCTCTGTCTGAGGGAACCTAACCCTAACTTAAACAGATTTTTAAGGGCGCTTGATGGGAGTGCTTGTCTTGGCTGTTGATAACCTTTAATTCAAGGGGATCTAGTTTCCTTGGCACCCTGCCTCCACAATGTAAGTGTGTTGGCGACATGCTGGGGTGTACAAAGGAAACCCCCCCCCTACCTTCCCTGACTTCGATGAACAGTCAAACATAAAATGGCAAGCACTCTTCCCTGGCTGACTTAGTAAAAATGACATAAATTAATACATGCTGCTTAAACAGGACCAAGATTAATGGCTGCCTTTCGCTGCGGCTTAGATCCACTGTCAGTCGCTGCTTGCTGCCCAGATGGAATCAACACCAATCAATGAGGCTACCCGACTCTCCCTGGATATCTGCTTAGGATGGAGAGCAGGATGGGAGACACACACTCACACGCACATATTTGAATATACTCTGCACACAGAGACACATATATCATGCAAAAAAAAAAAAAGAAAAACATGAATTGCACCCTTCCTGATGCAGTATTTTTGCTCCTCTCCTCAGCATTCCTTCATATAAACTCGCAGCCATATCCTGTATTACTTCCCATATAGAGGGATGTTCAATCAGGTGCCACAAAGTCAGATGGGGAAGAGCAGTGAGGCTGATGGCTCAGTAGTGATTGGATGTTTCAATTACTGATAGTAATGCCATGGTGTAGTGAGTCATGCAGTGCAGATAGCACCATTTATTTTAATCAGGACGGGGGAGAGATGGGTGTGGATGTGTCTCCCTCCTTTCAGAGGAGTTTCACATTTAGATGCAGGGGAGTGTGCTCTCTCTCTCTCTCTCCCTCTCTCTCTTTCACTCTCTGTCTCTCTTTCTTTTTTTATTCCACATACCAAACACACACGCACACGCGTACGCACACACGCTCAGGTGGATTGAGAGTGGAGGAGAGGTTGCCGTGGGTAACGCATAGCGACAAGGTACTCTCTTGGTGAGCTATTCTAATTTATGTTAATAAACCTTGCCGTTGCCGTGAGAGACAAAAGGGGCCACAGATGAGCCTTGGTAACCTCGGCACCTTCACTGGAAGGAAAGGCGCAGACAAAGAACAATACACACACACGCACGCACACACACACACACACACACACACACACACACACACACACACTGGGAGAGGAAAAAGAGAGAAGAGATATTGAACTGTAGAGAAAGACACAAATACTGTGGCGGAGAGCGATGATAAATTTAGCCACACAAAGAGTTGTTTTTGTGGCTGCAAAAATCAAACAGCCTCATGCTGGCAATCTTCTGTGTTGTGTGTGTGTGTGTGTGTGTGTGTGTGTGTGTATATGTGTGTGTGTGTGTGTGTGGTATCTGCTGCTTCTGCATGTGTGCCAGAGTGTGTGTTGGAGGGGCAGAAATAGTGTAGTGCAGGCAGCCAGTCTCTCTGGGTTGTTGCTGCTAATTCCGTGGGGCCTACAGAGACACGGGGTGCAGCAGCTTTGGATCACTTCCCGGGGCAGATGTGACACTGCAGGTAGCATTTAGCACAGTGGGCCCAGAGCATGAGTGTTGCCACAGGTCAGCTTTGGGCCAAGCTGCTTGGCATGGAGTGGAAAGACGGTCTCAGAGTTGCAGAAATGGACCATTTATATTTGCTGCTAATGTGATGTCTTCTCTTTAGTGTAAGAATCAGAAAATATCATAGTTTTATGGCTTGTTAAAACTACTTTAGAGTGACTTATTTTAACTGTCAAATGCAAATCTCAAAACTTTGAAAACATCTTTTGACTACTTGCGTTTTACGACGATTCTTCTTCAACTGCATCAGAAACAGTCTTTAGGTTTTTTGACTTATTTTCCAACTTCTCTGATGGAAAAACTTCATTATGATTTCATACTACACTGTTACTTGAGGCATTGCCATTGTCGTCTCAAATCTGAAGTCTCACAAGGTAAAAAAAATAAATAAATAAATGTAAACTATTTTTCATACTAACATGAATGAGGATTGATAGTGCCCTGTTGCCTCCTCGCTGCTTCCCTGTGCTGTAGATATGGTAACCCAAAGAGTGAAAGCTGTGGGTTTCCTCTGCGCCGTCTGTCTGCCAGCTTGCCTTTGGCGGTGTTAGTTCTGGACAGTTAACTCCAACTGAAATTATGTTAATTGCTGTCATTTTCTTTTTTCTACTTGAGCATAATCAGCAAATTATATACTTCTGTTCATTTATTACCCAGCCACTTTTAACAGAGTTTTTACCCTTCAAATATAAAAAGTTACAAGATAGTTTGCCCTTGTGATTAGTGCATATTTATATTAATTTAAGCATATATATGTGCGTGTTGTCAACCGTTTTTAATTCGGTGTTGAAAGTTTTCTTTTTTTCACAGAACCGTCCATGATACTGCTGAGCGTGTATGTGTATCTTCTTTGTAAGTTTGACACATGTTGTGTTCAGGCTGTAGTTCTGGTAACTAGCATGATGCTGTAATACTTTACCACCAGGATATAAACAAGCACAGATGACTGGAAGCTTCTCACAGCAATGTTTGATAGGGGTGGGAATCACCAGTAACCCCACGATATGATATTATCACGATACTTGGGCTATGATATGATATTATTGCAATTTTCAACATTTTGCAATACAGTGAGTATTGCAATACCATATATTGTGATTTATACACTTTTTTTTTACTGTTTAGCTAATTTAGCATTTGTCTTTCCTTTATGTTTGTCTTATTTACGCTGTATTTTATTTTCATGTAGCACATCTTGCAAACCTTTTATATACATTTGCTGTACTAACTTTCTCCTGCTCTACGATGTCACCTCTGCCAACCTCACTGGACAAACAGTTGATTTTATTTTTCAATTATCATTGATTTGACTTCATATTAGCAATTAATTTGAAAAAATCAACACTTTATAAATGAGATGGTATGATATATCATCAGACAAAATATCACAATACTATGCTGTATCAGTTTTTTCTCCCACCTCTAATGTTTGACAATATTTTGATCCAGAAACTGGAGATAAAGTTGTACGGAGGTTATGTCTGGCTAAAATGTCATGCAACCTCCCAGTATACAGACATTAACCTGCAAGGAACACTAAAGGCTCTGCTAATGTTAGTCACACTCAGTGAACCAATTTGAGAAAGTTACTTGCAAACTATTGTTAACTTTATGTTCAGTTTTAACTGTTTTTCTGGGCATTTTCTCACCTTTAGCCTGGTCACTGAGTCAAACAACAGGAAATAAGTAACTTCAGAACATGTGTTTGCTTGTCTGCAGAGCAAAGGAGAGGTAAAGGAAGGAGTAATTTGATGTTAAGAGCTTGTAAAGGGCAATTTGTATGTTGTGTAATCTTGAATTGTGAGGAAACACGGCACACATGTAGTGTTGTGGTTTTCTGTTTACAGAAACTCTGCTTTCAAGTTTAGTTTTTTATGAATGTGCATGTAACTTTACTCATGACAGAAAGTCTTACTATAGAAAGTAGGATGTGTCCCGTTGGATAATTTCCTGTTGAGTTGTAGGAGCGCACACATCCAGCAGCGTAATAATGCTTTTTTTCACCGGTGTAGTTTTATGTTTTTTATAAAAGGCACCTTCACATGAGAAGAGTGTGTTCAAGTTCACTTCCAGCCTTGTGTTTAATACGAGGCGTTCAGTCTCGTCTTTATGCTTTCACCAGTCATTCACAGGATTTGAACCGGCGACCCCGTGACTCCACGCCTGCCTCTCACGCCTCCAGGCGAGCGGCTCCTCTTCTTCTTCTATTATATTTTATTTGTCTTGCTGGCACCACCTTGTAGCTTGTTTTTATTGGACATGTCCTTCAGCACCGTGTTTAGCAGTCTCCTCCCCTAAACACATAAAATTCCTTTATGTTCCTATTACTTGAGTTTATGAAGAGCATCTTCAGCCCCCTTCCCGCTGATACGATCATATTGATAGATTGATATTGGGAGAGCTGGAGTGTGATAAAGGCGCGGGGGTTAAGAGCTTCTTGGATAGTTTAACCTTGATAAAACAGTTGTTTCAGTGAGGCTGATTTCGCCCCATCCGTCTTCATCCGTCAAGGCCCCGCTGAAGTATGCAAATGAAGGCAGTAGAGGGAAGCGCCGTGTGCGGTTAAATGGGGCGTTGCGAATGTGCGGTGTACCGCGCCGACGGGGTGATACTACTTACTGTCCAAATTTAGTGTGTCTCTTCTGAAACATCCTTCCCCCCTCTCTCTCTCTCTCTCTCTCTTCCTTTTTGTCCGTGTTTCAAGAATATATACAGCCTGAGAGGAACTGTGGCCTCTCGTAAAATGATTACAGCTGTGGCGGCAGCAAAGCTCTCTCTCTGCTGGTACATGTGTTTGTGCAGATTTTAATGTTTGTGAGTGGGAATTTAGCGACTGCAGATCCCTGTGTTATCCCTTTAAGTGTGTCTCAGTGCGTGCGGTATCTGTATTTACATGTTGCAGCGGGTTTTATTGCATGCTCCAGCCATACATTTAAAAAATATGGCTGTTTATTGCGCTAATTAGCGAGTCTGGAGGTGTAAGGGTAATAATCTTTATGATAATAACTGTTTATGCCTTAACACAGCTCTCCATTCACAGTTTATTTTGCTCGGGCAGCTTCATTTGCCTGATTAGTTTTGTACCTACTCAGCAGCATTAAGGATGTTTTTCAGCGTGTGTGTGTGTGTTTGATTCTCTCATTTATCTCATGTGTCGGCATATTGATTGATTCCCCCGCTCACTCATTATTTTGTTCTGTTCCTTACAACTCATTTTCAGAAAAGTAGGGCCAGCTCTGAGGCCAGAAACAGATACCACGTCTCTTCTTTCTGCTGTCTGACTAGCCACCACACACATAAAGCTGTCAATCAGCAGCTTCCCTGCCTGCCCTTTGTTATGGAACGCCAGCTCTGTGGGTGGGTCCTCTGGGTGATAGATGGCCCAGAGAGCCTATCGGACTGCAGGAAGCATCCATCTCTGTCTGGAGCCTGTTAAACAAGCTTGGGAAAGCAGCCATGTAGTCCTAACCACCACTGGCCTCCACTAAAAAACCCCATTAACATTAATGAAGGATAGCTTTAAAAGTTCTTCAGTAATAGGCTTGAATTGGATTTATGAGTCGGATAGTTTGCCAGAGAGTACGTCATGAAAAGTGTCAGGGGTAGATAAATGGAAATGAGCATTTGAAAGGTCTCAGGACTCTGTTTCTGTGAGAATCTCAGCTTAGCTTTGAAACATTTTCTCAAAAATCTTACCCTCAAGGTCTAAAATCAAGCGTCAAGCTCAGGAGTGTGTGAGAGAGGGAAAGCAAGGTGTTTGATGTTTTAAGTGACTGCAAAGATAAAGCTGCTCATCTTACACACACTCTGCTTCTTCTTCTTTTTCCCAAGAAAAAAAAAAAAAAACAAGTTCTTAATACTTTTTTTAAAAGCTCTTTCATCCTAGGTGGCACTGGCTATTTCAATACCTTGCAACTACCACTTTACCTGTCTGCGAGGTCCCTATAGATGGCTGATGTGAAACGGCCATTAGCCAGCCAATTCCTCAGCCGCAGATTACTGTGCCAGTACGTGGTAATCACAATGTTGAAAAAGGTCTGATTGCACTCCATCCAACCTACAAAGTGTGGCATAAATGGGTTTTTCGAAGGTCTGCAGTCGGTTGTTGGTATGTCATCATAGTGCATTAGGACTGTCAGCGGCAAGATGGCAGCTTTTGAAGCCTCTTTCATTTTGTGTGAATGTTAAAAGGATGCAGAAATACACTCAGACCGAAGCGAGAAAACAAGGCCCGCATGAGATATCTTAGTGCAAATAAGCCCATGTATGAGCTGCCGCATGGAAATAATACAGTTCTTTGTAAATATGACTAATTCATGCACCTCTCCTCCCCCCTCTCTCTTGGTTTCTCCCCCCGCTGCTCTTTCCCTCCCATCTCTCGCCTGGTCTGCTCCTTGCTAACCTCTGATGTCATTAGCGTTGGAGGGAGGTTGAAGGAAGAGAGGGGTGTCTTTTCTTAATGAATTCCACTGTGTCTTAGCAGTTCCCCACCTAGTTAACCTAGCCCCCCCCACCCCCCAATGCTCAAGGTGTCAAATTAGAGCAGCTGGGAAAGGGGAGAACAAGGAGATGGACAAGGTACATCTCACCCCACCTCATTTCCTCACTCTCCTTCAAATCACCTCATACAACATGAGATTCATGGATAGTATCCATGTAACAGCTATGCAAAAATGGTTGGATGCACTCCACTTATGCACTTTATTGATTAAGAAGCTGTTACTGCAGTTAATGCATCATGCACTGAATATATGGTCAGTGAGGAAATCACCCTCAGGTGCCTGAATTTTGTTATGTGTAATATTATGAACAGTAAGGATGCTGCATTATTGATATTTTGAGACTATAACATCGTATTAGTGTAGTACGGATTACTTAAAAATAAATTGGCAAAACATCTACAGTTGCTTTTTTTATGGCTGTTTAGTGTCACATGACTGTGGAGACCTATCATACATGAGGAATGAGTGCTTAGACTCACAATCACCCCTGAACAACTCTTCCTTCTCAGCTCTCTCGTGGACTAATCATCTCTTCCTCTGCCTTAATTTTCAAAATGTCAGACTTTTACTCACCGGACTTTTCGTTTCATCACAGTTTGAATATTTTTAAGAAAACACCCAAACACCTCTCCTGATTTTAAACACTCCTGGAAGTGTTTGTCCCTGATGTTATACTCACCACCTCACTTCACACCTCCTGCATGCGTCTGTCTGTACATTGTAGTTTCTATTTGAATTTTCATTTCTCTCCATCTTCCCTGTTTGAAAATGTCATTTCCTGAGGTGGCTGTTTCATAATAAAGGTATTCCAATAACACAATGAGGGACTTTTATTGTGAAGAGTTTATCAGAAATGACACGTGTTCATCATCCCATTAAATGAACTTTAGTGAAGCTGTATATTAACAGTGATTGTTGGGGGTTAGAGTTGCCACTTTGACTATGATTGACAGCCACAGCCATATGTGATATACTGAAACTCAGTTTTCAGCAGTTCGACCGTTTTTATTAAAGATTTAAATCCCAGCAGCTGAGTTTCCTGCCGACATGAAACTTAAAGGAGCATGTGTGATCTGTGAAGAGAGTGTAGCTCTGCTCAGACCAGGATGCAGTCCAGTCGTTATCATCACTCTATTACTCTAATTTTCTTTACTCCCTGCTGCGGCTGCATCCACATTGGGGGAAGTATATCTCTGTCATGTTAGGACTTAATTAATAATGTGTATACACAAAAACAGGTCGGCATGCATGTTTAAAAGCTTCCATCATCAATACTCCCAATGAGCATTTTTTGGTCTAAAAGAGGTCTAATAGACGTCTAAATGTAGCCTAGACGACTGGTCTAAAATCAGGCTACCACAGGTCTAAAACTTTTCTAGACATCTAAATTTAGACCAAGTCTAAATCTGGGCTGTAAATATACTACACTGTATATTGCTCAACTGCAGTCATAATTATTTTGGTTAAGTACTTGGAGATCAGTTATGCAAATAAATTATTTGCATAATTATTATTATTTAAATAAATAGTTATCGAATAGCGGGTTAAAGTGCAACGTCTAAATTCTGTCTAAAAATATACAGAATCTAGACGGTTAACATTTGGTCTAAAAAAAAACAAAACTAGATGTCTAACAGCCGTCTATCGCTCAGTGGGCTAGTATATTGCAACTGTCCTGATTTGAATCGAAACCAAATCTTTGCAAAAAACAAAGATAAATAAGTGTAACCCAACATTAAATGCATGATAACATAAAGGATCTACACACTGAGGCAATAGCATTACTTTACTGACCCTTCAAGACAACTCTGGTAATAAGACCCTGTATCAAACTATCTTTAGAAAATGACCCTTTGAGAACAAATCTTGTTTGTATAAAGAAAAACATGAGCTGAAAATTACATAAAGTGCATTGTTCTCTAATTTTCTTATCTCTTTGAGACTTTATTTGGATTTGGATTAATCAGCCAGAGCTCCAGTCTTGTTTCAAACCCTCCCCAACTTCATTGACCACAAACAGATTTACGTTTCTTAAATCAGTGCAGCTGTAAAAAGAATAATTCCTTCACTGTAATACTTCAAACATCATGTTGCATCATTTAGGAGCGGTATCTCATTACCAGAATATGTGGAACTGCAGAGGGGATGGAGAGGAGACTCTGTCTGCCGTTAAGGTGGACTAATGTCTAACTGTGGATGTAAATTAGAAGAAGGACTTGTTTGCTTCACGTTGGAAGAAATGGATAGACTTTATAACACCACACAGACCAGACTTTGACTTGGTTAACTTAAATTAGTATACTGTGTAGCACTGAGCATACCGTACTCCCTACAGGTTCATGTCTTTATGTTCCTATTTATTTTTACTCCTTTACTACCAGAAAAAGGACATTCATGCTGACACTCTATGATTGATACATTTCACATTTATTGCAGAATGTCAATAAAAAGGTAAATTAAAAAAAAAAGGTGGACTAATGTTTGTAAGCTAAACCCGGACTTACTTTCTCTACCTTTGGTTCAGTTCGAGGCTCTTTTCCACCCTCGTACGTCCCTTCAACAGCCTCCAGAAATGAGGACATGATCTAGTTGTGTTCACTGTATAGTCATAGTGGCAGTGATATTATTTCCGACTACTCTGTTGCTTTGCAGGAAACATCTTTGTGTTATGTCACATCCTCTTTAGGCATTCTCAGGAGTGAGAAAAGGCGCCACCTAAAGATGCGATCCGGGCCGCCGATGGCAGTTTTTCAGCACGTTTAAGTGTTTCAGGGTGGATATTTCAAAGAGCCTAGAAGAGTTGTTGTTGTCTTCTTCACCCAGGCTTTTAATGGCTGGTAGTCCTGACTCAACAGAGAGCCGGCATCCCCCCGTGGCTGTGCTTACTCACTCCTGAGCCCGGCGTTTAGTTTTCCTTGGCAGACCCAGGCCACAGCTCATTAGACTAAGAGAATGTGCCTGCCTTAATTAATGATATGTAAATATCCTTGAATTGGCCACATTTGCATATTAAGAGAGATTTGTGGAATCTGTGGAGTAATATATTTTAATTAGGGATTAATTAAAAATAATGGGAATTTCATTTCGCCTGGCAGGTTGTGTTTGGTGTGAAGCGTGCGCCGGGGCCTGGATCTTTGAACGCTAAGGCAACGAAAGACATGTGAAGGAAGCTCTGCTTTTCCACCTGCTATCTGTGCTGCATACAAACACGTGTGTGTGTGCCTTCAGACACACACACGCACGCTCTGGCATCACATTCCTTGAGATGCCAGAGCCTTCCCAGGGGGTCTCCACAAAGCGCTGCAGCTTTGAAATGCGGGTGGGTAGAGGAGGGGGATCCAGCTTGAACACCCACAATATGTTTTTGGGGACGGTCCCAGTTTGGCTCGATTTCATCTCCTCTCATCTTTCAGTTTTTTTCCCCTTGTAGTTTGGGAACGGCTCTCAGACACGGAACACTAGTTATGTTGGCAATTATGTTAATGGAATGCCATTAGGCCATGATTGTGTATGAGCGAACGGGGAGAGAGGGCACGTTTTCAGAGACCCGAGTCAATGTCTGCTTTGATCTACTTCTAGGAGACTCTTTGCCAAAAATATTTTCCAGCATTTTCTCTGTTTTTTCACTCGAACATCTTTAGCACAGCAAACAGTTTGACCGTCATGTCAGGGGTTGCTTCATTTCGAGCTGTTTGTACTGTGTAATGATGTACTCAGAGTGTTTTTTTCCTCTGACAGCTGTGAAAATAAATCTAAATAGAGACAAAGAAACCATCTGTCATCAGCATCACTAATAGCACTGATAGCACAGCCACTATCACGGCATCTCCAAGGTGGAAATCATCCCCATTACCGAGCATCAAGGCTGCTTCCTGCTTCCTGATGCTCCTTGCAGCAGCAGCAGCAGCGTCGCACACAGACACGCTCTTCTCTGTTTTACTCAATCCGCAAAGATGGTTTTTTGATGCATTTTTCAGTCATTTTCGTGGAGCAGCAGTGGGCTCTAAATGTCTGTTTTTCTTTAGGCTCAAAGAGGAGAGCTCCTTTGGCATTTGTGATGTGTCGTCAGCGCGCTGATGTTATTGATCCAGGACCTTCCGAATTCATTAGGAGATCCAGCACAACTGTGCTGCATCTTTATTTATGTTGCTGCCCCCTCCCTGGCCTGCCTCTCTCTCTTTCTCTGCTTCACTCCCTGTCTGCCTTCCTCTTTCATCCTCCATGCATTATTCTTTTATTATTCTTTTACAGCCGCCTTATCGCCCGCATTTTGGTGAGGATAAGACCTGTCATCTTTGGGTCTTGTCTGGGGAGATGATGGGAGACTTCAAGGGGGAGGAGGAGGGAGGAGGGTGGGTGTAAAGAATGCCTGCTGTCCCCCTTTTTTCCCCGCCTGAAATGGACCTTTCTCTCTCTCTCTCTCCCTCTCTCTCTCTCTTTCTCTTTTTTTCTCCCTCCCTCCTCCTCCACCTTGCTCTCCCTCACTCTCTCACTCTCGCTGTCTCTCTTTGTAATGAGAATCTCTCCCTAATTGAGGGAGCTGCAGCGCGCTGGCCGAGGGCGGCGGGGTTAGATTGTGATACTGGCTACGTGACCGTTATGCTGATAGAGGTGGCAGATCAATAATTTAGGCCCTGACCTTAATGGTGGTGTTAAAACGCTCATTCCTCTGGAGTCTGGAGGCCTTAAAGGTGCAGAGTTGGATAAAGCCGCTGCCGAGCTGTGGAGGTGGGAGTGGGGGATGGTGGGAGAAGCAGATAAGAAGAGAGAGGTGGAGGAAGCTGGAGAGGGAGAGAGTGTATTTTGCAGTCAGTGTGTGAAAGGAGGGATCATGAGTGATGTTTTTCCTGCTTCTACATTCAGGCGCTCACATTGTCACCAACATTCATCCTCTTAGTATCTATACTGTATGAATGCCATAAGCTTTTTTTTCCCTCGCCTGTATTTGGTTGTAATCCGTTTTCATAAGCAATCCTCCACCCATTCTCACTGCTGCACTGAATGCATCACCAGACACCAGAAGTGAACAAAGAGCGCGGTAACGAGTGGGTTTAATCTGGTTCTGGGCTCGTCTTGTGCTGCCTTGCTTCAGGCCATGCAAGCTGAGAATTTGGACAGCCATCGATTTGATTCTGAGGGACATTAACGTCACGGCCTCATGCGTCTCTCTGAATCTTTAAGACCCCGACTCATTCCCTGCTGGCAGGATGCGACCATCTCAGCCCCCCCACCCACACCCACCCACCCTCCGCCAACCCCCCACCTCCTCCACACCCACCCACCCACCCTGCCACCACCCTTAGGGGATGATATATTAGATATAACCAATTCAATTTTATGCAGCCAGGACAGACGCCCTGGGGACATAAACACACACATTTTTAATACACTCCTCACCAGGAAGCCCAACGCGCCGGAGCCTGCGGCTGCCCTGGGTCTCCTCTCACACTCAATTATTAATGTAACGGCCATAGCAGCTTAATTAAATAATAAAGACAGGCTCACTGCAAAGGAATGGGCCAAGGACAAGTCAGAAAGGAGATGTGGCTTCTGTAAATGTCTGATTTTGACAAATAAAGACTCAGGGCTGTAAATACATGGAATTGCAATAACGGGCAAAATGTCAAGTAATACATGAAATATACATTAAAGGTCTTTTTTTTCCCAGAATGAGAAATCATTTAAAGGAAACAGAAGAGTAAATTCGGTCTAAATTGCTCTTTGAGTGTTTTTGTCTCATGATGTTTTTTCCAGAAACCCTCCTGTTGGAAAAAAAAAAAAATCATGGAGGAGCGTTGTAGACTTTTGGCTTGAAGTCTCCGATCGCCTCATAAATCAATTGTCTTGAGAGTTGGGTCAAACAGGCTGGTGATACCTCAACTACATAAAAAGAATGATTTCCTCATATTATGGATTCCTGCCACCTCAAGGGCGATGCCAGAGGAAGCACTCTGTCTGCGATGTGATGAAATGTGGCGTTATCTTTTACTTTGTTTCATTAGATTCACTGGAGATTACACCCTCTACCCTCAAAGACTTGATTTTTCCAGCTTTTCCAAAGATGAGAGATCTTCTGGCCTCGGGGCAAAAAAATATATTTCCAGCTCCCTTCCCCTGCTCGTTTCTTGCATGGGGTTCATGTCTGTTTTAACTCGCAATTAATTATTTAAATTCATTTTGAAATGCAGGGTTACATTTTGAGTGGCTTGTTCAAAGGCAAAAGCACTTTTTCCCTACTAATGGCGAGTAAGCCCCACCATTAGATTGAAAAATAGGCCCATTGTGTGTGTTGACTTGGTGGTGTACCGCGATGAAGGATTGCGACAAACTGGAGTGTTTAAATCGGCGAATTGAAATTAATGCCCTCTCAGAGCCGGGCTTGCTGACGATACATTAAACCTAATACTCCTGCGAGGTCGAGCAAATGTTTGTTTATTTACATGAAATACGCCGGGAGAGAATGAAATGATTGGATTTTCGCCCAAGTAAACACTTATATTAAAGGCAGAGACAAAAGGAACAATTGTGATGCAATGATGTGTGGGCGCTCTTTCCCTGTATTGTTTCTTCTTCTACTTACACATCCTGACATGCTTCCTTTACTTTTTACTTATCTTCTACCACTCTTCCTCTTTTTCGGCTTACTTTTTCCCGCTTCGATTTTGATCATTCGGCTTCTTATTTCTTCTCCGGTTGCCGCGCTCTTTAAGTACTACTGTATGTCCCTTTCCTTTTCTCCTCTGACACATTGAGACACTTTCAAAGGTCATGCCTTCAAGTCTTTCTTGTCACATCACTTATTCAGGCTGGTTTTTATTTATTCATGCCACTTTTTGATTTTAATAATTTAATGCAGTGAAATGTTTCTTTCATACAGCTATAAAGTGCTCACGAGGGGTTGTTGACGTCTCTGAAAATATGGTTTTACGGCTTCTTTATGTGGACAATCCGGCATGTAAAGTGTGAGCTGCTGCTGTCAGTTAAAGATGTATTGATTGAAATGATCCCTCGCTCCCCGTGCAGCCAGAGGGCCGCTCAGGTGCTGGGGCAGTGTATAAGAGGCTCTTTTTGTACTTTTTCTTTTTCCTTTAGAATTTAACGCCAGCGGCTGAGAGTGGTATTTATTTTCCTCACACTCTGCTCTGCTATCCTGGACTTGGCAGAGTGATTCTGTAGAATAGAAACATTATAGACTGTTAGTGTCAAAGTGTTAAATGTGATGTATAGAGCTGGGGCTTTCAGAAGGGGGAGGAAGAGGAGGGGAGGGGTAGGGGGGGTCGAAGAAGAAGAGGCGGTTAGGAGGTGAGCACCGGCAGCCATAACTGGAGCAAGGTGCTCATGGGAGAGAGAGGAGCCATCCACCATGTGAGGGATGGAGGGGTAATGTGGCGGGAGGTAATGGTTTTTTCTCAGTCTGCTGAAACAGAGGGGAGATCATTAGGGGGCCGAGGCTGCCGCACCGAGCCGTCCGTTTACCCCGACTCTGCTGGCGTCTCCTGTCAGAGTGGGGACATGGAGACACTCATTGTGTTTGTCTGTGTGTTTTCACTGATGCTCCAAAGAGGCACCAGTGTTTGATTATTATTTCTTGCCTTATTTTTTTCTTGCAGGAATGATAGACCCTGACACTTTGGCTTACAGTTGCACTCAGATATTTTCTTACCGAGCGCTTCTCCAGCTGTGAAATCGAATCAAAGGCCGAGGCTAGACCTGATGACAAAAACAAAACTCCTTGACTTCCCTTTTGCTATTCAGGTCTACATACACCTCAGTTGTTGCGCGAAAAAACAAAGATAAAAACGTGTTTAGATCTGAGGCTAAAAAGTGATTACTCCTTTATTTCATCTGGCTTTGATTAATAAAAAAAGATCACACACTATAGTCATAGATTTTACGTTACAAGCTGCAACGTAGCTCATCTTTATAGTTCAAAACTCAAGTCCTGATCAAAAGAGGGACTGACTTCAGACAGAGATAGTTTGAAAAGCATGCAGAGGAAAAAAAAAAACCCTCAGATTTCAAAAACAAAGAATGACTATGGCAAAATACAGATACCTCCTGTTTTTTCCTGGAGGTTATCATCCGCTCTGGTCTGTTTTTGTTTTCTTGACAAATCATTTAACTGTTTGACATTTATGTCTTACTGCAGTTTGCGCAAAAAAAAAGAGAAAAAAAAAACCACATTATAGCTGCAAATTTTCAGACTAGACATCTTGTTTTGGAGCGCTGCGCATGCAAACACCTGTCCCTGAATGTTTTGGGAGGTATGTGGTTTTCTATATTCAGCACCAGTGTCTGAACTTTAATTGCGTGTAAAGACAGTCATGGTGTGCTTTTTGCCACCTATGTTCAAGATAAAGGTGTGCTTTGTGCGTCAGCAAGGACTCCTCAAACCCCAGTTAACAGCACTTTGAGCTGTCGGTCGATTTTTGCCCTGGTGAGCCTCCAGCCCGGCGTGACAGAGAAGATTGGACGTCATTAATGTCTACACTATCTCTGCTGTCTGAAGAGGGGAAGGGGTGTGAAATGGGCTCTGTTGCTGCCAAAAGCATGGATGGTTATTGTGTATCTCCATCCTGCATGAAGGACCTCAAAGAAGACCTGCATATTCATCCTGTAGAGTCACATCCAGATGCTTCTTTTCTCTTAGTTTTATATGCCCTTGTGTTACAGTTGAGGGTCGCTGGTGAAGTCGTGTCTCCTAAAAAAAAAAAAAAAAAAAGATCCTCCTTGTATCACTGTCAAGACTCATTCATGCTCCGTGAAGGAAAAAAAAAAGCTCCTGAGAAATATGATGGGCCCCCCTGTAAAATGGACCAATTACTCCCCATTGACAAGCTTCAAAATCCGTTTTTATTGGCCGATCCAGCCAAATAAAACTTTATTACACGAGAGGAAAGGGACGCCGTCATTTTTGCATAGCTTTTCCAAGCCCGGCGTTTATATGATCCTGGTTATTACACCTCTGTGACATTTAAACTTTATTGAACAAGACTTTAAAATCTGTAGGCAGTATATAAAAGATTGAGGAATTTATTTCTTTCAGATGGGACAAGAGGAATAGTTTTGACAGGACAGCAGCAGGTTTAAATGTTTTTGTTGGCTCTTTAAAAGAAAAGCGTTTTAAAATAGATGCCTGTTTCACTTTTAAATTTGTATTTTAGACGGACACCAACAAGGGATGTTATTATAGAGTCATTCATCATTTTCTTTTTCTACTTAATGAAAAAATAGCTAAAGTTCACATTCACTTTCCTTAATGATATCATTAAGTATCACAGACAAACTGTCAGCATGGTGGACAATCTAGCAAAAATAACATCACTGGATTATACTTGACAAGCTGTGAAAGAACAACTCTTCTTAACTATAATAAACATTGGTTCATTTCCCCCAAAATCAATGTATTATTTTGTTTTTAATAAGATAAACGCACGCCGCAATTTTGCAAAGCGTATGGGGGAAATCTATTTTTGGCTCCTGTTTACAATACCACAAAAGGAGATACAAGCCGCTCAAGTTTTAATTCTACATGTCTTTAAATTACAAATGTGTTTCCTGGACAGCCACACACAGAGAGAAACTCCAGCAGAAACAGGAACAGCATGGGGAGGAAGGTCCTGCCCCCCTCCTCTGTGTAATTAAAAGGGGGTGTCTGTCAGGGGCTGCTGCTGCTTTGTGTGGCCCCATATGTTTGGGCGCTGATACAGGGAGGATTATTCTGTTTGGAGGCCTGATAACAGCCTGTTTATAACCTTGGCACAGGCTGGAGCCTAATCTGGCAGCAGCACATCTCTCCACACCTCCACCCCTCTCCTACCCCCCCTTGAAATGTTCACAGAAAAAAAAAACATGGTGGCTATTTTTTCTGTCTCACTTGTGACCCAAAAAGACTTTTTTTTTTTTTTTACAGTACAGTAAATTCAGATACTGATGTGAACAGGGGGAAATTTAGTGCAACATGTTTATTTTTGGCAGTCTCCTTTACAAGAATAAATACGGTATTTTTTTTTTCTCTCTTTCCTGCACATATTCTTCTTTTAAGGTTTCAAAGTGTGGAGTTGTACAGAACCCCTCACACAATCTCTCTTTTGTTCCTTTTCTCATTTCACTTTTTAATCTACAGGCTGATTAGTCCTTTCTTTTGTTCTCTCTCTGTGTTGCTGCCGTACTGCTTTTCACATGACCGTGTGTGTCGTGGTTTAAATTCTGCTGCTGCAAACTGCTTTATGATTTTAAGTCCTTTGTGCCTTTTCAAATAGCAGCTCCAAATGGTTTCTCTTGAACACTTAAATGCTGCCTTTCCTGAGCTAATTGCTTCATGATTGATTTTATGAAATTAATTGAACACTTGTTGCCCGGTATGGAGGCTGAATTCTTAAGAAAATATGAAAGAACTCTAACTTGCGTGTGCTGGATCGGTGTTGTCATGTCTAACACATGAATTTCATTTCCCTTCTATACTTTTCTTTTTGCTTCAGATCGCCAGTGGTCAAATGGAGCTTTATACATTCACTGTGGTGCAGTTTTGAAGGGAACATTTCCATTTATGGTCGTACATACTTCAACACTTCAGTGCAGCAACATTTTGGACAGAAATGTGATTTATTTAAACTGAATTACGTCATCATTTCAGCTCCATTTAATTCTGGTATTTAGTGTATTGATAATTCAATTCCCATAATGTAGTTGTGGCAGGATAATATGATTAATATGTCATTAAATCAATAAACCTGTAACTGGCAATGTAACACAATTTGGCTCAATGATTTCTTTTGCATTTCATGGACTTTCCAGCTTGACTTTGGTGCTTTTTCTTTTCACTGAGTATTTTGACACTTTTTTTTTTCATTACTTCTAAAATCTGGCTGCCTGAATTGAAATCTTCCTCCACCACAGGAGATAGCTAGGTAAGAAACAATAACAGTTTTTTTTTTCTTCTTTTTCAAAAATGTAAGGAGGAAAAAAAAAATCGAAATTGCAGCTCCTTGTCCTCAACCTGACTCATGTAATCGTCTGCAAGTGTGGCGTTAAATGTTCACGTTAATAAGAGGGTTCCAGCCCTGCTGATGAGTTTCCAGCGTGCTGAATAAAAGTCACTCTCGGTAATGCACTGTTCCACAGCGAGGACCCTTAACCGGCACGCTGTGGGGAGAGGGAGCGCTCGGAGTGGCAGGCAAAGAGAACTGTCAACCTGTCACATTTCTCCCTCCTCTTCCCCCTGATAAATTAAAGTTACACAGTGTGCGTGTTGTAGCAGCGGAAGGCTGTGCAGAAAGCCTGGCTCCTCAGGTCTCAGGAGATAGCTGGCAACTAGGTCAGACTGATAATGTAATCCGCTGACTGGATCCTCAGCCCACTACGCCCAGGGAGAAAAGCATGACAGGAAAAAAAACGGGAATGCAGGATGGAAATATGAACTTTTATGTGCTGTTGCACTAACTCTGCATTACCTTAGCTAGCACCAACTAATTAACTTTATATTGGAGGTAACGTCCATGCGGTCTTTTGTGAGGACATGATAACAAATCCAGCTGGAACATCTTTGTGCGTCTGCGACTGCAAACACCTGATTATTCGAAAAGTGTAATCCATGTCAATATACCTCGTACGCTTCATGGGAGAATCTTATTTACACCGATTCCTTTAGGGCTGAAACGATTACTCGAGTAACTCGAGTAACTCGATTAATAAAATTCCTCGAGGCAAATTATATGCCTCGAGGAATCGTTTAAATCCGGAACCATGTGCAGCGCACGGTGTTTGACACGGACGAGCGTTTACACACATACATACTAAATACCCCAGAATGCATTTCGTGCCGGCCGGACGCAGCGCCGGGAAAATTTAAATAGTCCTACCACAAGCTACATAGAACGACTGCATACCGGACAAATTATATAAATTCATTCAATAATAATATTTTTTCTAGCGAGAAAGTAAGTGTTTACATCACGATTATGAGCCCAGTTGTTTGAAATAGTGGCTGTTTGTAAATTTGTCTCGGCGTTTTCGGAGACCGAAGCGTCCACTTGGTCGGTGTTTGCGTCTATTTACCGTAAACACCGGGCAGCAGCAGCTCCCCCTTCACGTTTCCAAATTATTGCGAAGTGTTTTCATAATCAACACATACACGACACAAACCGGGCGGCAGTGGATGAAAAAAATCACACAAACATCCGTGTATCCATGGTGATAATGCTATACACCACCTGCTAGGCGTGTGATGAGCAGCAGAGGGCTGCAAAATGACCAACACACAACAACATGTAAATAAAAATGTAACACTTTTATATATTGAATAAATGTACATTTGCTTGTCAAATTATGTTAGTATCCAAGAATTATATTATTTCAGCCTATTAATTAAACAAGTAAAATTAGATCCAAAGCCTGGAAATAGTTGTGACTGGTTTAGTGAAAACTGCGAAGATCATTACCATAGCAATTAAAAGACCATCTGCAGACCTTGCCTTCAGTAGTTTCATGTGAACTACATGGTAAAATGTAAAACTTTTGGTTCCTGATTTATGCAGTAAAAATATTCATTTGAAAGACCTGGCCTATTTCAGTTTTGTGTGTTACTGATGGTTTTTAATGAGGCAAACGTGATTCAATGCAAAGTATTACAGTGAGAGCAAAACATTTCTTATCCGATTACTCGATTAATCGACAGATTAATCGATAGAGTACTCGATTACTAAAATAATCGATAGCTGCAGCCCTAGATTCCTTTTTACTTGTTATCTTTGCACTGCATACTGCACCGCACTTCCAACAAAACAGTATCATGGGAGAGAGTGACAAGAATAAGTTCCTGCATCAGCAAGGTGCATTTTCATTCCCATGCAGAATTCCAGAGAGGCTTCGTGGGCCCACTGTGACAACTCTGCCTCCCTGCAGGTGTGGAAATGAAACAGGGCCTATAAATAGCCTGGGCAGCTGGGAGAAGAGCACTGTAGAGCAGTGGGGGAGGGAGCGGGGAGGAGGGGGGGGGAGTGGAGGTCCAGCTGGGGATGCAGGTGTGTAGAGGCTGACCGACAGAATATGACTGCTGTCTCACCCAGGGGGCCGCGAGAGGGGAGAGGCTGTGGAGCTGCAGCTCGATTGAGTTTAGAAAGTGGAGAACTTTTGCATTAAAATTCATATCTGTATTAGATATGACAGGAATACAGAGAAGAACCAGAGAGGAGGGAAGGACCTAAAAAAGACCTTAAAAATGTTCTTCCTTTGTCCAACATTACTGTTTTTTGAAGAGATAATGAGTTTTTCTCCCAATAATAAAGCGAAAGATGGAAAACAAAGATGCCTAATAAAACAGTGTCGAGGAATATAAACACATTGTTGGATGGAGGGACATTGTCGTAACATGCAGTTACAAAGCAAAAATTATTATAGTGAAAATGTAAATGTTAGTGGTGTCATGGTTCAACTAAATGCAACCAGATCTCTTTAAAACTAGGTTCTAGCAGACTTTCAGGATATTAGGACTGAGCTTTAACATGTGATCTTTGTCCTTAAGTTCTTCAACAAGGCGGATGATCATCTAAAATTTAAAGTGTTAATTTTGCCTGAAATAAACAGCTGATAAACAAGAGAAGGATTGGATTATAGTTATTACAACTAAATATAGAGACTTTGTGATGTGATACATATACTGTAGTCTGTCCGTGGCCGTATCGATGCTACATTTCAATTTCAAATGCTGCCGATATCATCATTATTCCAGTTAAATATCTAAACAGCCCCTAGAGAACATAGTCCTTTCATACTAACCGAAAGGACGGCACTTTTCAGTCTCTTTTTCGAGCTCAAACTCTGAACGTAACCACATCATGACCATGCTAGCTCAGCTGGAGAAGTTCACATGTTTACCTCACTTTATAGCGCAGTCCTCAGCTCTTAAGCTAGTCGTCTTTATTATGTTTTGTAGCATTTAAGCGGCGTGCTGATGTTGCCTGTGGTGTTTTCTATTGCTCAGCAGATGTGATGTGATGTCATGTCTGCTCTATATTGACAGAGCTGACCGCAGAATCAAAGCCGGATGTCTTCTGACTGGAAAAGATAGATCACCAAAATGTCGTCTCAGGACTTGTAAGAGGTGCTTCATTTCTGTTTGTCTTCAAGTAGAGTTTTTGGTTCTGAGTTTCACCCTTTTCCAGCAAGTCTTTGAGGTTTACCTCAGACACACCTTTGGGACCTGGATGTAAAAAATGATGGCCTGAGTTGTGCTTCGATCTATCAAGCTACAGCTCAAACTATAAGCCCGGTGGTACAGCAATGACAGTGTGTTAATCTGTGACAAAAGCATGGATTAAATGGGTCGAACATTCGCTGAATATGTCTTCACTGGTCCTCTTGTCATCCACACGTCCCTCGTCTAAATGGGATATTAGTGTGTCTGCTGTTGCCACAGGACTGTCTGCGTCGCATAGTAGTGTGCTGCAGTAGACAATGTGGTGTTTTCTTTCTTTTACAAATCAAGCTTCAGCATTTAAGGCCAAAAATGTTGCTTTGATTCCCGACGGATGACTCGATATGCTTTATCATGTAAATGACGTCTAGCACTTGCACGCCGGTGCTTGCATTAATGCATTAATTCAGTACTATATGCTTTTTTTAGCTGGAGGCAGGATGACACACTGTCATCAAAAACACACTCCTACAGCCTGCTAACAGACCCACTCAGACACTCAGACACACATTTCAGTGGTGATTGACAGCAGGAGCTGCAGCTGACCCAGTATTCTGCTTCAGTGGGACTATCCCACAGGCCTGTGATTAATGACTAAGCTTTATCCATGAGTGGGGTGGTAGGACTACCAGCCAGGCCACTGACCGCCTGGACTACTACCTCTCCTTTGAACACACACACACACACACACTCACTTTCTGTCTCTGCCTACAGGCTCTGCATTGTCATATTCATTACACAGCTCTACGTCTTTGTCCCAGGATGACCCCTCAGACAAACAGACACACACTTGTATTAATACAGCACCACCAGTCTTTTTTTGTACGATGAAATATTGCCACAGCTCTTAATATAAAAACAGTGGTCACATATTATTCCCTTCTTTCTGTAAGAGGACACTTAAAAAGAGTGAAAAGAGGCGTTCAGTTTTGAAGGTGAACTTGTGTTTTGGACAATTACAAGAACAAACACTGAAACCGATCATATGTTGCTTGAATAGACATCCCGCTGTTAGTGCCTACATTTTTTTAATGCAAAATTTCTTGTGCTGATTTTTTTTTTTCTCCATAACAAACTGTCACCTCTTTGTAAAACAAAGCAGAACTTGTGGAAAAGCAGACGTTAACAAAGAATTTCTGGTAGTGTAAGAGCTGGAGCCGCTCTCTTTTAATGGACAGTGATTCCTCACAGTGTTTTTTTCTCCTGACAGCGAGGGCCAGTCTAAGCAGCATCACCAGTCTTTCCAAGCACCGGGCCTCAGCAAAAACAGTAAAACCTCGCAGGGATTTCTGCAGTTGTGACAGTGTCCAAACAAACTGCACACGCTGCAAAACAAAGCCGATTCGACTCGGCCCGCCTTGATGGGAAGCTCCCTGATAAATGCGAGGAGAGACTGTATTTCCTGCTGGAGCAAATCTCTCAAGTGTTACAATATTAATGGGTCCTCTCAGCCTATCAAACATGTGGATGGCAACGGTCCACCTGCCAGATTGTGCAATGCAACAGAAAAAGGGTATGTTTAGCGATGTACTCCCATGACCAGTACATGAGCACTGAGTCACTTGTGTTCCTGTAGTTTGTTCATAAAGTTCTGCTTTGTCTCGATAAAATCATAACATTCTTAAGTTTCGTTCTTTGGCTTGATTGAACAAAGAATAAGATATTGGGGTGGCTGTTTCTTTCAATTTCCTTTCCATCTGAAACTCAAGTACAGCTGACAGATTTGGTTCAGTAGTTACTGCACTTGTTTTTTAAAGCTACTGTGAGGAATTTTAACTGGTTATGAAACAGGCAGAAATCAAAAATGATGCCTCAAGATTGACAATCACTGTAATGTCATTTTATTACAGTAATGAGGAGGAGTTGGATGATTAAAAGCATGCTAAAAAATTCCCTTTTTTACCTTTTTTGTTGCGAGTTTTACAGAGTGAAACATTTGGCTGTACAGTAAAAGATAAGCAAAGAGATGAGAAGTTCTTGTTTGTCCACTAGGGGCACCAGAAGCAACACAGATGAAAGATTCCTCTAAGGAGCTGAAAATAAATTATTTATCAAAAATAGGTCAGATATTTGCTAATTTAGCCTTAAAAGTAATGCTGTGTTCGAGTTACCTCGGATGTCAGATGTCCAAGCTGGGAATGACGTCACACCCGAGCTATCAGCGTTTCAGTTATCAAGTCGGAAAAAAGCAAAATCGAACGCGGAAACAAGATGGCTACATGTACGTTAAGTTATTTTAGCCTTTTAGATAAATGTAGCCATCTTGTTTCCGCCTTTGATTTTGCTTTTTTTTTTCAGACATCTGACTTTCGAGGTAACTCGAACGCAGCATAAGACTGCACTAAGGTTCCATGTATACAGATTAACTTATTAAGTGTCCTTCATGAAGCATAAAGAGAATGAATTCATGTGTAAACTGTTTGAAGAATTAAATTTGAAGGAAAATAATTATTCATCAGTATTTTAGTAGACACCCAATAAGGGCTGAGACTGTTTGAGGACATCAACACTTCTCTGAAGGCGAGTGTCACTCCATCACTCACAGGAGGAAATTAAATATGTCTTCTTAATTCAACCAAAATAGCTTTTAACTTCTGAAACATTTATTTCTCTCGTCTTATTTTTCCGTGCCAGCAGACTCATGCAGACAGCTGACCGGTCCACAGGAAGCACATATCCACATCTCCTTATCTGTTAGTCATTGTCCATTCATTGAGATTTGTCCAGATTAGTGGCTCTGTCTGTTTATGATTGATTTCCATTCATGAACTCAAACACGTGCAAAGATTTACTGCTGTAACTTAAACCTGTGGTATGTTTAGAGCCACTTTATTGGCAGCACACTGATATTTTTAGCTTGTCCATGATTTGTCATGGGACAACAAAAGCATCCTTTGTAATTCAAAGTGAGATGAACTTGTAGAAAGCTTCCGGGCTTCTGCGCTGGGAGGGAAAAACTTCAGAGTCTGCCATAAAAAACCTGCGAGTTAGTCTCCCAAACTGTGAAAGAGATACAAGTACATGAAAATCACTGCATTTATTCCAGCAGACATTACTGGAGTGCTCTGATTGTTTCTGAGTGCTCTGTAACACTTAGCGGCCCAGAGAAGCACAGATACTGTACATACAGATGCTCAGTTTGGATCTTTGTGCCTAGAATAGCAAAGACAATAGGATCATATCTATTTATAGAAGAGGCATTGGCATATGGCTAACATTATTATCATGCCATTTAAAGCACTCAGTGACCACTTGTGCTTTACGGAGAGGAGCATTGTCATCATGGAAGATAATGCTCCCAGCGGGGGATGAAATGCATCATGGGATAATCTAAGTAACCTCTGTGAATCTTCTCTAATAGTGGAGTATTGTTCAGAGTGAAGCGTGTGACTTTAATCAACAAGCAGCATTCCTGTGTGTGTTTTTATCTCATCTTTGTTTTCTCCCGGACATGGTGGGGATGATGAAGTTCTTTCACGGTGAAAATCTGCAAGCTAGGTTTACGATCACGTGTTAAATGTGTGTTTCGTATGTTGTTGGGTGAAGCCGAGCACAGCCAAGCAGAACCAGCAGCGCTATTGTCTATGAGCGGCCATATGGTGGGTGTCCTTGCGTAGTAGCTTAAGGGAGCCTTTCTCCCTGAGATGAACCAATTTCGTTCAGAAATGAGCCTCCCTTCCCTGCCCTCCTTGTTCATCAGACCCTGCCCCGTCACCCACCTCAGGGATCGCACAGTGCATCAGACGGCTCAGAGCAGCAGCGGCAGCCTGGACATCCCAGGTAGACCTAAACAATCTCTGTTATGTGGCCTCTCTGTCTCCCCCTCGTCAAAAAGCCCACCCTTACTTGTCTCGCCCTGCTCCGTGCCTCCAGATGTGGCTTAATTTACTGCGACTCTGCTAATTGCTGTAATTAAGGATTAATTACTGTTAATTACCTTCGCATAAACTCATCACCAGTCAAAGAGCGGAGCCTTATGAAATGTGCCATGCACAGGAACACACACCGCGGGGGGACCGGAGGAGGACTGTGTTGCTGGACCTCTTGTTTCATGACTTGTCCTAGTGTGTAGGGAGGGCTTGTAGGGCAACGGTTCGGGCAGGATGCTAACTGTCATGGACCATCTCCTCCTGGCTCCAAACATTTCACACGTCACCTCCTTAACAACTGTTGGCCGGGACAGCATCACTCTGCTGCCTGTCATTTTACGAGATTATTAGTGAAGGGCGTTCATTACCCAGAAAAGAAGGTGACAAATTTTGATACATGAGGAAAATCTAAGCAAGATTTGTCTGAGGAAATTGGGGAATGTTTTAAGGTTTTATATGCTATACATAAATGTGACAATACTGGTACTAAAATTGTCACATTTCTTTATTTTTAATTGTAGTTTTTCTAAAGTTTGTGTTTTTGGGCACAAGTTTGTAAGTCTATGAGTCTGTGGTTTAAGTAAGTATGGGTTTCTATTGAGCAACTTTAGTGCCCCCCATATTCAGAGGCGATGGTCCCCTCTCGACTCTTGGCCACAACCCATCCCTACATGTCTATCTCCACTTTCTACTCCTGACATTATCTGTTTGTCCTCAGCTGCCCCGTCTAATAAGAGCAAAAACGACCAGCAACTAACATTAAAAAAATGATGTCATTAATCATCAGTCATACAATAATGCAGAAGCTTGAGTTCTGGTATCACTCAGATCGTGATTTAGTTCCTTTTGTTGTTTGACCTCATGCTGATATCTGATCTAAATGATACCTCAATTGCTTTATTTTCTGCCGTTGTGATCACCATGGCCTCAAGAAAAGTTCAGAATTTTGACACATTTTGGACAAAAACGGCTGTTGTTGGAGGGACAGTATCAAGAACTAGACCTGGGTTTGAATTCGGGGACCTCGCATATCTTAAAAATACCTAAAAGTAACTAGAAATGTGATTCCACGCCGACCTCCAGCAGTGCTTTATCAACGTTTGTGTGACCCATCTTCTGTGTATATTTATCCTCTTTTAGAAAGACAGAGATGCCTTTGTCCCTCTGCTCCACAAGCTTGTGACTTCTCCTCAGACAGTCAGCCATGCTTGTCTCCATTGGGCCTGGAGCGGTGAAAACTGCATGAGCTGGGCATGAGTTTGATTCAATCAAAGGAGATATGTAGTTTAAGACACCTTAAGAAAGACTGACGGCCAGGGGGCTAATGTATTGCCTATTTTGAATAATGAATTATTTTAATGAAGGCTTTTAAATGGGAGTGCTGTATGTTGGTGGCGGGGCGGTGCTCTGAATGGTCTTCTCCTCTGGCGCTGGCTGCCTCATTATCAGGCCAGCCCCTCAGGCCTCAAACTGGCCTGCTTAAGCCTCCGATGATGACGATAATTACCGTTATTAGGAGTAGCTGCAGGGGGAACTTGTTCTGAAAAACACCAAGCTGAGTTCTTGCCTCGCTTTATCGCCGCCACAACTGCTGCATGAGAAACTACCGATCGCCAGTGGAGAGAGAGAGAGAGAGAGAGAGAGAGAGAAAGAGAGACAGAGGGAGAGGAGCAGGGAAAAAAAGGAGGGGATGAGGGGAGCGGCCACCAAATCCGCCTAATGTGACGCCTGTCAGCTCGTCTCCCACCAGCTGTCACCTCCCAAATGCACTGGGGTTCATTTTTTTAATTGACACCTCGCTTTCCTATTCCATTTCTATTTTTCGCCTTTCATTTTCCCTCCATCACTCTCCTCCCTCCTTGCCCGCACCGTCCACATCTCCTCGTCTCAGCCTGTCCCTCCAGTACTTCTTTGGTGTTTTTCCTTGTCCTTGGTGTCCCCCCCCACACCCTCCTCACCATCCCCCACCACCCCTTCACAGTGTCATATACAGCACCCTGGCTCTGCCCCCTTTCTGCACATGATACAGGAGATAGCTGATAAAACATAAAGCTGTTTTAGTGGTACTTTATGACTATGCCCTTGTGTACTGAGGCTGCACAGCTCCCTATTATGTGGTGATGGAGGGAACAGTTTGGGCCTAAGGAAGTTTCCCATGAGTTCATAAATGCACGAAAAACTATTTTTAGGCTTATTTAAGACAATTTAAACAACATGGTATTCAAACGACAGCGATACCTTTCATGCCATAAACTTAAGCTCTGCTTAGTTCTTTTATAATGTCTTTTCTTCATTACAACTCAAGTTTAATTTAATAGAAATGACCACATATGCAGGAAATGGTAAATAATGCAACAAAATACTTATATACTGTTCTGCGTAATGATAATAGCATTGCTTAGCCTAGATGTTTTCCAGTAAATGAAAATGACCCTAGATTTCCATGTTGGTAGTGCTGAGCTTTGTGAATGTTTTCTGTTTTTTGTTTCAGCTGAAGTGTTTTAGCAACAGTCTGTTTTTAAACCATCAGAGAAGAGTTTCCAGCTAGTTAGAAATCGACCGGAATTGATGCTGATTTCTCCTGATAACCCACTAAAGCAAACAAGACCAGCATTGATGAGCGCCATGATTTCTGTTTTATAATTTCTAAGTCAGCAAACGGTTCTTCGAGGGTTGGTGTCGGATGATGACGTGATAAACGGCACAAAACAGCCTTTGTTTACATTTTCAACAGCAAAGATTCCTGATCAGTGATACTTCGGACAAAAGTGGAGGAGACTTTCTGTAGCAGCTTTTTCTACAGGGATGTCAAATTGACATGAGCCCACTAACGAAATATTTCTATTGTTGCGTTTATTATGAAATCGTTCCCAACTTTCCTTCACCTTTATATCTCATTTTTTTTCTGCTTTTCAGTGACTTAATTGACAGCAAACTAAATCTCAAAATTTAGGACTGTGGACTAATATAAAAATTGCGAACACTGTCCTCTGTTTTCTGATGTTTTAGTACAGTCCTGTTTATACAAATTTATTTATTGAAGAGTAAGGATAATAATCACACAGATATACTAACCTTGATTTTAGTTTGATTTCAACCATTCTTAATAATTGCCTAAGTGTACTTTTTAATTTGTTTATTACATAATTTAAGCTTTAGACTTTAAACTATTCGAATACATACTTTTACTTTTTCTTGTGCCCATTATCTGATTATTTTGCTGTGTTTAACTTTCATGTCAAAATTTATCCCATTTTTTATTTTAATCGTCTTAAATCAGTCTCTCATTTTTATGAATGCTTTGTTGTTCATTTGCTTCTATTATTCTATTCAGTATTATTGTAGATAAAGGTCGGCCTTCTATGATCTCTGGAGTCTACATTTAGGTTCATTAATTAGTTTTATTTCAAGACTTGCTCTTCAATCTGACATCTGATCATTTAGATTTAATTTTGGTTCTTTTAAGTTCAGATTCTGTCATTTTAAATTACTAAAAGTATGTGTTTGATAGAGCAGAGTTGAGTAAAGTCTGTTGTTAGTGTGTCATATTTTGGATTGGAAACTGATTTGCATTTAATTCATAAAAAGCATTGTGTATTTATGCAGTATTTTGATGGTGAGGAGAAACTTTTTGGACATCAGGCCCTGGTTAGTACCACAGCTAAAATACAGCGTTTTTCGTAGCCTTAGATGTGGCATACATCGATGTAGTAATTTGCTAACTTACATCATGGGGTGTCAGTTTTGTGTTTGGGCTGAAAGTTTCCAAATGGATCAGATCTGAAGGTGTGAAGTTGGAATAAAAACCTCTGCAGTCTGTTTATCTCAGCGAAGTGTTGCCAGTAGCATGACATGCTACTGACTTGTTGCATTGTGGTTAATGTAGGGGCCACATTTGTCAAACTGGGGAGAAAGCAGAGTTATAGAAAAGGTAGTTTTAAGTCTGCTTTACTGTTTTTGATGTTTTTGTTTTAACTCAATGCAAAATTAGTTGGACACTTTTTAAACAGTTGTCATTATTTAGTCTTTGAGAATTTGAATACAGTCATTTTTTTGTCAACATTCACTTTATTTGGAGACAGGATTCATTATTTACTTGAAAGAAAAGTCCAGATTTAATTTAGTAGAAATGACCGTATATACACAGTAAATTGGATGTAATGTAGTAAAATTCTCATTCGGTGTCCTCAGGTTATAGTAATAATCCTACTTATCGTTGTAGTCTCCCTCCGGTGTGTGGGTCAGCATGAAATATACAACAGTGCTACGTTTTATGAAGACTTCCTCATCGCGCTTGTGACACATGCAGATGAGAGCAGGATGCTGAACTCCCTCACAGAGCGGGGAGGGAGGGAGGGGAGGAAGAGAGGGAGGGGAGGAGGGGAGGGTTTGTATTAGTGATACTTGTCATGTCTGCTGTAGATCACGCTGCTTTTTTTCAGGTTCCTAGGTTGTTGTTGTTTTGTCTCAGAATGCTGTGTGGCAGGGATGAATGGTGGTGATGTTACATTATCATGTGGCTGTCGCTTTCACTCCTGCTGACTGGTCTGTGACAGGCCCACACACACACACACACACGCGCACACGCACACACACGTTAGGTTGTGTCAGGAGCAGGCCTGATTTATTAACTGCTGAAACCCTAGATGACGTGTGCCCACACAATCAATAGAGAGCACGGCAGCCACTCTCTGCCCCTCTCTGGGGTCATGTGATGTGGACAAGAGCTAGGAAAAGGAAGGACGAACACACACATATACACACAAATATATATACACTCCAGTGCTGCCAAGTGTATTGCATTACTGTATTGATGGGAAATGGATCCAGTCCAGCGCTGGCTGCAAGCTGCCAGTCACAGGCAAGAAGGGTAAACTTTCATCATGGCTGTCAGGGACATCACTGCTGTCTTGTTTGACCGTAAATCTTCCTAATTGTGACAGAATACTTCAACATCATTAATTAAACATGTTTTCATTTAAAAGCACTCGCAGGGGCGCCAGGCTTGGTGCTCAGGGTCGTCTGCCTATGTGCATAGCTGTGTATTTTTCCTACGTGTGTGTGAAGTGCTTACGTTCATGCACACAGTAGATGTTTGCGTGTGTGTGTGTGAGTGTGTGTTTGCACTTAGATTCTCCCCTGTATGAGTGGGTGGCTTAATCGTCATGTTTATTTACACTCTTGTTGTCTGCAAACAGCAGGCAGTGCAGCGATGGGTGTGAGCCAGCTCTTAACTGAGGTAAAACAGCAGAAATTAATTTTGTCAATAAGCAAAACAAAGACTTATTCTTAGAATTCCATTCATTATTCAGGGGGAGGCCGGCTGGAGAATCGTTTATGATATGTATACATTTTTTATGCGTGGCCTTTTTTTGGGGGGTTTAGTGCCCCACATCTTAGGGAAGGAATTAAACAAGAGCATGCACAAAGGGAAAGGAGAGAAGGAGAGGAGGGAGGGAGGGAGGGAGGGAGGGAGGAAGCGACAGAGTGGGGAATTGTGTCCTCTCATTGTTCAATTAAGTCTGTCGGTAATGATCAAGATTAGATGATGGCCATCTTCCTTTTATAGATACTCATCTGTGACTGTCTATGGAAAAAGAGAATTGCAGAGCAGCCATGCTTTTGTGGCTACTTAAGACAAGACACTGTTTCTTCTTTTTTTTCGGTTATTCAAAGTCTTTAGAGTCTGTGTGGTGTTCTACTAGAGGTCCTTTTTCTCTGTCAGGTGATTATGTTAATGTATAGTCCACAGTTTCAGAGTTCACAACCAGCGCTGTGATATGCATTGAGGCCTAATCGATTTCATTGCTATTACTGAACAGAAATAAATAAAGCTGATGGCTGTGGTTAGGGGTAATTATGCCACAGCACAGTGAATTGTTTGATTTTCCTTATTAATTGTATTTATTTAATCCATTTCATGCTTTTAGTTGTGCACTCGGGGACTTGGAGGGAATGAATAAATCACTCTTAGGCTCATTAGATTCCCCCTCTGGTCGGGATGTGCCACTATTTTGTCAGAATGAAATTGGCGACTGTTATAATTTCCCGCTGGTGTGCTTCACATGAAAAATATCCACATATTTATCTACCAGCACTTGTGCACATGCCCCTGCACCCCCCTCGCACACACAGACACACACTTGCACACACGCATGTGTCTGCTCCCCCATCTGAACTCCTGACCTTTTCCAGCCGTCTGATAGCCATTGACATTTGCCTCTTGAGCTGAGCTTGCTCACGTGTTGGAGCTGATGGGAATGGATGATGTTATTGCTGGAGGAGAAAAAGAGAGGGAAAGGAAACAGGAGGAAGAGGAGGAGAAAGGGAGGGGGGTAGATGGAAAAGAAGAGGAGGACCGAGGTAGACAAACTCCCCACGCGGCTGCAGGAATCCATCTGGAGAAGAAAGGTCACAGGGCGACTCAACCCTACATCCTCATTACAAAAAAGAGCCGCCGCTGTGACCGGTGACTGTGGGCTTCAATATGGCTTCACTGCTCTGCCACACAACCTGTCATCTACCCTCACTGTCTGCAGTTATCATCGAGGAGATGCAGGATGTACTGCTATGTTGACCCACTGGATCAGTTTGATAGATTATTAGGGTAAAATGTGTGTGAAAAATGTTGTGAAGGCAGCGTGAGCTTTGTCTTTGTCCTTGAAGACAGTGGAGGGAATGGAGGGCTGCACCTGGTCTTCTGTTTTCAGCACCTCTGAGAAAAGGAGCAGGACGCTCCGCTGCTTTACCAAGGGAGCCTTCTGGTGGCAGGAAGAGGCAGGGCAGTCCGAATGACGCTTTAAGAAGAAAAAAATCCCACTCTCTCTAAACTCGATCTAAAATCATCAGTGAGGTAGTTTCTGTGCAGGTTTTGTAAATATCCACCTGTGTGCACACCTGCATTCCTTTGTGTGTACATGAGGCTGATTTTGCGGCGGTTGTTTGTTCATGTCCACCTCAACAGGCCTGTCTTTGTTGTGTTTACACTTCACTCCCAACACCGTGGGAGCTGAGTGTCAGTTGAGAGCTGAGTGCCTGTAGGTGTGTGAAAACATGCAGGTTCAAACCCCCAAACAAGTGTAAACAGAACCTCGGTGTCAGCTGCAAAAGCATCTTTTTGTCTCAGTAAATGAAGATGACAGCACTATGAATACTTCACCGGTGTCAGAGCTGTGATGTAAGCTAACTTAAGTCATAGGTATTTGTGTAATAAGACTGTTATTAAACCATTGATCCGCAGTATATTTAGATTTTGTGTGTCTACTTTTGATGTTGAAAGCATTTGTTCCAGATTAAATTCTGTAATTTCTCTAACTGACTTGCTGGAGCCAGGTGCTTTTGCTTTTATATTCAGCGTCTAACTGTGTTATTATTTTGTTTTTCTGCTATGATAGCATCTGACAAGATAATGAAGCCATCAGCCACAAACTAAACACAGTCTGAGCATAAGGAGAGCAATGAAAGATGAACTCTGGTGGAGGCTGTGTTAATTCTTTTTTACATGAAATGATGGCCAGAATCGATAAAATGATAGTTTTATGGTCCCGCCTAGCTGCCAGCCTCTGTGAGGCTGCACATTTTTATTACGCAGACTTGAACTATTAAAATGACGGCAATATTTCAGAGAGTTCACGTAGTAAAGACTCTTTCTAGTCATAGTGATAGTCTTACTTCGCTGTTGGAGCATTGTTTTAAAATGCCCTCTCCCCTTTCTTCCGTAGTGCTCAGTATCCGTGGCGCCCAGGAGGAGGAGCCTCCAGATCCGCAGCTGATGCGACTGGACAACATGCTGCTGGCGGAGGGCGTGGCCGGGCCAGAGAAAGGCGGTGGGTCGGCGGCTGCGGCGGCCGCAGCTGCAGCCACGGGCGGTGTTGGTGCGGACAACTCTGCAGAACACTCCGACTACCGGGCCAAACTGACTCAGATCCGACAGATTTACCACACAGAGCTGGAGAAGTATGAGCAGGTGGGGAGGACACACAGACTTGTTTTGTTTTGTCATTCAGTCTTTAATCATTTTCTTGTACTTAGTCTTGGTTGTCATTTAAGTAGACACAAGCAAGTCCTGGTTTAATTTTATTTCATGGGCAGTGTATAAAATCTGAATATTGATAAGATAGTCTAATCTGATCAGTAGCTAAAATCTTTAACAGAGCTGTTTAATGGAGAGTTTCAAAATGTCCTGTACATTCACAAACTTACCAAAAAGACTTCGCCTTTTTATAAATCTGGGTTATTACAAACAGCAAAGAGCCATGAATGGTCGTCAAACCAGCAGCCGCTGCAACAAGAATTGTTGGAAAAGCCTCATGAGAGCTTAAATCAGACTAATTTGGTATAAATAATGAACGCCATCGAAGTATATTGTTCTTGGATTCAGTTTCTCTCAGGGTGAGAGCTGAGCTTGTAGAGAAGAGCGGCCATTTTCATCAGTCACACACCAGTTCTTTTCTTTGTCAATCCCTCGAAAGTCAAAGTGTTCTTGGTTTGTCATCTTCTCCGAGGAAGGCTAGTCATCGCTAACTGTCACGCTCAATTCATACCTGAGAGCCTTTTTTTTTTTAACAGTGTCACCACGCTACGTACACCGCACGCGTGTATATGAGTGAGTAGTGTCTGGCGTGTGTGTGCAAGCAGAACGGCTGCTCGGTGCATCACTTTGACTGACGTAACCCTGGTGTTGACAAGCAACAGACACCTTGACTCTGAACGCAGTCATATCCAGTGACTGATTCAGACAGAGGGAGAACGAGGTAGACTGAGAGACAGAGTGAAAAGAGAGGGAGACAGTTTAAACCTCTTGAACATTAACGGGACTGAAAGCCTGCTGTCATTTTAGATTTCTCTTCACTTGTCACATTTTCTCTGTCATTGAAGAGAAGTCTTTTTAATATTTAGAGCCTTGCAAGTGTCGCTGCCTCCGCTGTGCGACTCCGCCGCTGCCGCCACCACCACGTTTGTTTGGCGTGAAACATCGCACTGTCTGCTGTTTTAATTTAGACTATTCTTATTACCTCGAACGCCGCTGCTACACAGTCAGTGCTGGCAGAGGCCTGGAAGCAAAGGTGCAGCCTCTCCAGAATCCAATTTCGTCTTTTTCTTCAGTCTGAAGCTGTCGAGGCTCCGTGGTAGTTATTCTTTCTCTGAATTCTGTCTGTCTGTGCATCCAGGCGTGCAATGAGTTCACCACCCATGTGATGAACCTGCTGAGGGAGCAGTCTCGAACACGACCCATCTCGCCCAAAGAGATTGAGCGCATGGTCAGCATCATCCACCGCAAGTTCAGCTCCATCCAGATGCAGCTGAAGCAGAGCACCTGCGAGGCCGTCATGATCCTGCGCTCACGCTTCCTTGACGCCAGGTCTGTGTGTGTCCACATGATTGACAAAATCTATATTTTAGATTTTAGATTCTGGTGTGTATCTAACTGTATCTAACTCAGCTATCATGTGGAGCTGTAAGAAGGAAGTGAGTATTTTATTCTGGTATTAAAAAGTATATATTCTTTCTTTTCTTTTCTCTGTCCAGACGAAAGCGGAGGAACTTCAACAAACAGGCGACAGAGATCCTAAACGAGTACTTTTACTCCCACCTCAGTAACCCTTACCCCAGCGAGGAGGCCAAAGAAGAGCTGGCCAAGAAGTGCAGCATCACAGTCTCACAGGTACCTACAAGAATATCTACACTGAATGTGCCATTTATTGTTCGAATAAGAGGAAGTCTGAGGTCTTTGAATGAGAATTAAATGTTGGTGATAATGCTGTGATTATTGTTGCCATCTGTCCTTCATATGAAAGTCGTTTGAAAAAGTCAGAAAATGAACATTAGGTCTGAATGAAAATTTCTTTATAGTAAAAATATTTATTTTTTACTCACAAGCATTTACTGTATTTGACACAGTAGTATAAAGTGTAAACAATAGGTATTTGGAATACTTTTCTGCTTCTTGATGGATCAGCTTCGAGTTCAGTTTTAATTTTACTTTATGTTTTTTTTCATGATATTCTTCCCAACAACAAAAGCGTAGTTACTCATGTATTAAATTGTTAGTGTTAGGGTGAACCAGAAAAAAAGGCCACACATCTAGCCCGTCAAGCTTTTTATTTTTTAATTGCTGAATTTCAATAGCTGATCTAAATTTTAATTGCATGTTTAATATTTAATTTTTTTTGCCTTTCAAAGCAGTTTTCAAGCTCATATTATCAATGTAAAATAATACATGCCGGGCCTGCAGTCAGTTTCCGCTCCTTTAGAATTCACACATGCAGCTCAGCTTGAAGATTAACAGTGTATGTGTGAGTTTAGCAATAAGGGGATGACTGCCAAAACAACAACACCTTTCAAATCGTCGTCATTTGAAGTCTAAATCTTTGGTTACTGTAAAGCTGGTCTATGACTAACTGATGGTGTTGAAAGGTTACTGTTATACGTCCATGATGCTGGTGGAAGACATTATTTTAAGATCAGTACAATTAAAAAAAGAAAAAAAAGAGATACGTCAATACAAAAATCAAGAGTTATCATCCTAATGGTTGCCTTCTATCTCAAATTTTGTAAGCTCAAATGAAAACAAACTACGTCAAAGCAGCCAAAAGTAGCTAGTGCCAAAGAGTGGTTTGTTAGGGAGGCATCGTCCAAGATTGAGAGCAGGCACTCAGTTTTGGTTTTAAACTTTGCCAGTAAAATGTTGGCAAAGATAGTTGAATGTGCCATAATTCGGCTATTTCATCTTGTCCTTTAAAATCAGGTATCAAACTGGTTCGGGAACAAGAGAATCCGGTACAAGAAAAACATCGGCAAGTTCCAAGAAGAGGCCAACATGTATGCAGCGAGGACTGCAGTCAACGCCACCAGTGTGTCTGCTCACGGCAGCCAGGCCAACTCGCCGTCAACTCCCAATTCAGCAGGTGAGCCATGCCTTTAAGTCATCACAGGGACGTCTTTAAAAAAAAGGCTCCAGACATGCAGAAATCAGAAAAAAGTCTTTGACCAAAAGAGCAGATTTAATACCTGCAGATTATTCCTCTCATTCCTGACCCCGAACTCAAGAATCCAGTCTCTGGTGCTGTTTGATTCAGACTAACAGGAAGCCCGTCTTCTCCTCAGCTAACCCGGAAATATGATGTGGCTTCTTGCTCATTTTTCTCCTTCTTCTTCTCCTTTTCCATCGGACTCTCTCACTCATTTTCTCTCTCTCTGTCTCTGTTATTGACCTCTTGGTCTCGTGGACGTTAATTTTTTCCTGCCTCTTGTCCGGTTGACCTTGTGCATGCCATTAAGCTGCTGAGAGGGCACGCCGAGTCTTCTGTCATATAGAGACGTCGCCACTGTATTGGATTAGGACCGGGTGTTGAAATCAAGTTACGCCATGCTTCTCTTTACATCTGGGGAGCTGGGGTCCATTAAAGACCGAAGACGATTCTTTGGGTCTTCCTGCGGATCAATTATTACTTCCTTAATGAAACACTAGCAGCACGGACATTTAACAGCAACATAATCCATAAAGCTTGTTTAAACTGGACTTAAACAGTTTTATGATGATTATCTGTCTCATGGTTCTCCATGGAGGATTTTTCCCTTTGAATTATGCTCCAGTGACATTTTAATGTGCATCTGTAGAGTGCAGGTTTATAGAAAAAGCCTCCTTTTGCCCTCCAAAACTAACCCTTTTAATGCACTTTTTGCTTATGCATGATCATTTTAACTCCTTTTTCTCTTCCTCTCCTCCCCCTTGACTTTGCTCTCTCTCCTCTCCTCTCTTATCTTTCTCTCGCTCTCTCGCTGTCTTTCTTCTCCTCCTCTGCCTCTGTGTATTCTCAGGTTCTGCTGGCTCTTTTAACATGTCAAACTCCGGAGACTTGTTCATGAGTGTGCAGTCCCTCAATGGGGACTCGTACCAAGGGGGGCAGGTTGGGGCCAACATACAATCCCAGGTGCGTGTCCTACAAGAGCAGTATTTCAAGATCACATTTGAAATTGTTCAACCACTGTCCGGTCTGGGTGTGTCGCACCAAATTGACCTACACCGCGCAGCAGAGGTTACGTTTAGCCTGCAGCTCTTCCTCAGTGTGGAAGCTATTGTCAAGCCGCAGCTGAATAGACGACTGCAGACAGTTTTGGAAATGGTGCAACGCTCATCAGCGCTCCTGACAAGAGTTCACATAGCCACTGGTGCACTGTGGCTCCCTGACCTTGCCCCAGTGGACAGTGATGACCAGCTCAGTGTGTTTCTGAGTGTTACAACTCTCACTATAGATTAAGGAACCACCACCCGCGGTGATGCTCTCCTCACTCTGGCAACATTACTCCGTACACCCCCTCAACAGCAGCCCCCTTTTCTGTTCACATCAGCTCTCTAACCGCTTTAGGTCGTTCATGAATATGCATAAGGAGGAAAAAAAAACCCTTATAGGAGGTAAAGAGGTCTACAAGGTCGGCCTTTAATTAGTGAAACTCGTGTTCCTTTGAAAGGTTTGTTTTTTCTGAACATGTCAGACGAGTCCTCGCTCTCAGGGCTGCGCAATTAAAAAAAAGCGAAAGAGAGAAGTTGGAGTAAATTGGCCTCCTGAGTAGACAGGTCTTATTTGTTGTGGAATCCATATGGCAGGTGTGTTTTCATGCATATCCAGGCGATCTGCTCTGCCAAAAACTGCAATGAGTCTGTGAAAAACATTCAAAACGAGGTAGGATGCGATCACTGTTAGTACGTATTTAATTTGGCACTTATTTGGTTACTTTGATCAAAATTCATGGGCATATTTTCCCTAAAAAAAATGTAAAAAACAAAATTTAGCAGCAATATTTTAAAAAGTAAGTCGTTTAGTATTGTTTTAGTGTCTGAATTTGATTGTTTTGCCAAAAGTACATAATTATTCATGAGTGGTTTGTTTATTCGCTCATATTTGGTCCTATTGCAACCTCTGTTATCAATCCTGTAATTGCGCCAAATCATCTTGATTCGCTGTTTGTAACCTTTTCCAGTTTGTGCTACCCTTTCACTATCAGAACGACCTTTCCTTGTGCCTGGCTGTCTTTGTTATCCCGAGCTTTTGTCTGACCGGGGCCTCCTTTTGTCTTTGTGTCCCTGCTGTTCCAGGTGGATACTCTTCGCCATGTTATCAGCCAGACCGGAGGATACAGTGACAGCCTCGCAGCCAGCCAGATGTACAGTCCACAGGGCATCAACGTAAGACCTGTAAACACTCCTCTTCTGTCCTTCTCTATGTTGTCCGTCCTGTTTGATTTTGAAATGATCCCCCAGTTGCAAGACGTGTGTAACGTTGTGTAATTCTGTGTGAAAACACTGGGATGCCACTTAGCAGAGTTTGCTGGGCTTGGGCTATTGTCCAGCCAGTTGTCCCCCCTGCCCGCTCCAGTCGTGCCCTAGGTGGCAGGCAATGAGGCAGCTACCGGGCTGAGGAGCTGGACACGCTCCTAGTCTGTCGGAGGGTATTAGCGTTAGCGAGACACCTGCAGTCGACAGCAACAAGGACACAGGTGTCATCTTTCCCCCAAACGCTGCTCTCACATTGGCACCAAAGGACAAATCATACCTCCTGCCCCTTTCAAGAAAAAAAAAAAGTTCCAAGTTGCTAATTCTTGAAATAACTCTTTAACTAGGCTGTCAGAGGCGGGGCCAGTTTTCTGTCTCCGCGCCAAGCTGTGCCGGGCAGGGCGGGACAGGCAAACACTGGAGGCAGTGCGTTAACATGTAGATCTATAGCGACAGGCTGTGTGGGGCTGAACAGAATCAATACGACAGTCACAGGAACAGAGAGAGTGCGGCTCTGGGCTAACAGTCCAAGCACATTGGTCAGATCATTCATCCACAGGAACAGCAGCACTGACAGCCCGGCCTGCAACACCCTCGTGCTAAAATAAGTACAGGGATGCATCAAGTCACTCACAACAGACAGCCGGCTCAGCTGGAGATGGATGATATTCTCACTACGAAACATTTGGTCAAAAATGAAAGTTTTATTTGAAATAAACCAAATTGTTGAAGTTACATGGATCTTAAACCAAGTTTGTAGTTCGCATGTTTAGCGAGTTCTGAGTTGCATAAAAACAACCCAGTGATATGAAGATGCGTAGATACTTTAACAAAGGTTCAAAAGGTTCAAAGGTTTCTTTATTTATACCTTGCGGTAAATTTTGTTTGCAGGCAGGAACCCAGCCGTTCAGATAAGACTCACATAAAAACAACAATACAACAATCAAGTACAAAAAATGCCAGTCGTTCAGACAAGCTAAATGTTTTACAAAACTTACTTTTCAACTTTTCAAACGTAATAGTCAAAAAAAAACAATCACGTTAAAAAGAAAGTTTTTAATAATTTTCACCAATATGAACAAACATGAAAGTCAAAAATACAAATCTGTTCACATTTTACAACATAAGAAGTGTGACTTGTTTTTTATGTATTGGTTAAACATTACAAAGTTTGGTTTTATACTTCGGTTTTTATACTAAAGACTTGTAAGGGCTTAAAAAATTGCTAAATCTTTCTTCTCGGCTTGATGGTCATGAGACTAATGATCCCAGAAAGACCTCTAGAACAGTTGAGGACTTTATCTCTTCAAGAATGCGGCTGGGAAAGAAGATGTTTACGTCTGCTACAAAACTAAAACAGTGATACCGGAGTGAGCAGCACCTACAACAAGCTCCGGTTTACAGTAGATCCACAATTTCTATGTTAGACACTGACTCAAGCCTGACCAGTTCAGCCAGTAAGCTGACATATATACTACTGAAATCAAACCAAACTGTCATACCTTGAAATAGCTTACTGTGAGAATTGTTAGTAAATTATATTTCAGGCTTCATCGCTCAGTCCAGTGAAGCTCAGACAGCTGTGCGTTCACAAGTGATAAAAACAACTCCAGTACTTTATTGATAGATATGACGGAAAAGCAGAAGTTGTAGCATTTCAAGTAAAGATTGTGAATGAGTGTTGTTGCCTGCATTTATGATTATTATTGTTGTTGTTACTTAGTCCAGATATTTTTCTCTCTAAGATCTACTGACTGAACTCTTATGGTTCACCTCTTTATCCTTGAACAGCAATTATGATCCTCAAATTGCTGGTGGGTGTTGCCTCCCTCAAAGACTGGAAATGTTTTTCTCTCTCCCTCTCTCCTCTGAATAAGATGACAGACAGTCTTTACACTAAATAACAGGGTTTGGAAATAAGAGGCTGCCAAAGCACGTTCCCAGCTCTCACTAACAGCACAGAAAAGGCAATTAATGTCTTTAATGGTCTTTAGTCAAGCTTTTATCATGATTTTAGGAAGGCCTCCATTTTAAAGAGTGTTCTTTATTGTGGTAATTTGTTCTTTTTTTAAACTATTTCAGGGAGATATATGGAAAGGTTTGCGTGGTCTGTGCATCATCTATTCTGTTTATATCAGGATATGGATGAGTTCATGATTCAGCTGCAAAAAAAGCAGTTAGACATCAGTGCTTTTGAAAAACCTTGGTTTATTCGAGGCTACCCTCTGAATATAGGTTTTATAAGGTAATTATCGAGTTAAAGACCAAATAAACCACTTGAGTCTGGCTTCATATTTTTTAAAGCAAATCATGCTGCAAGTTATGACTATACAATACAATATCCTATTATATCCTGTTTTATTCTTTTAATTAAATGATAAGAATGATGATGTTGTATAACTGTCATCTAATCCTGGTTACAGTCAACAGTGTGTTTGATCACAGGTTTTATTAACTGTGTGGAACGACTCAAAAATATCTGAGCTGACTGTAGATAAAGATTGTTTGACTGTCTCTACTTTCTCTTGTTGCGCAAAAGTGGAGCCAAACCGGGCATGACATCTTGGCACCTAATTTGGAGGCAGAGTTGGTGAAGTTTAGTGACTGTTCTTTGAGTGTTTGTTAGGTTTTCTCCACGCTGAGCTGCATTAGTCAACAGAGCTGTCAGTCACCCCGTTTTTATCATCAGATAACTACTTAAAACCAGTTTATAAAGGATTATAACACTTGGATTTAACTTAACAAACAGACCATTTCTATAAGAAAACCTAATGTATTTATTTATTTCAAATTCTGACCCATGTCCCACATGAAGAGTGCAGACTTTATGATTTATACTGCAGCCAATCAATAGGGGGAGCTCTAAAGATATTGGCTAACTCTTGGCAAGCCGTCGTGTTGCCATCATCAGTCTGTGGTCTCAAGTAAGTGACGGCTTTGAAAAGCGCTGGTCTGTTTCTGTCAATGTAAATAAAAATGCACTAGACCATGTTTCATTGATAGAAAAGTGACACATCTTCACAAAATCAAATATAGCACATTTGTTGAATATTACACTTTAAACGTTTAATTTCATACAGTCAAATGATTGAGACAGATAACATAATTATAATTGTGTAATCCAAGAGCTGGAGTGATGTTTTTCTCTGAGTTTATGTAGTCTGGTTCTTCCTCTTGTGTAAAACTGCACTATGCAAAGATACTGTATATCAGTGGTTCCCAAGTGCAGTAACACACCTGATTCGAATGATCAGCTCGTTATCAAGCCATTCCAGAGCTTGATAACGAGCTGATCATTTGAATCAGGTGTGTTGGAGCAGGGAAACATGCAAAACATGCAGGACGGGGGGGCTCAAGGACTGGACTTGACAACCACTGCTGTATATGATACGTTTTTTTAGTCCTACCTTGTCCTACTTTGTAACTTCCTCAAACTCTTCTGAATACTCCTATTATACGTACACCTTACCCTTAAAGCTCCTGTTAGGGGTTTTTAATCGGCTCGTGAATTATCTCTTTATGAGCAAACAAGACCATCATTGGCAAAACTAATAACCTCCATGAAGTAACTTTTAATGCCTGAAACTGTTGGTGCAGTCAGACAAGTAAAAAACTTCAAGCTATGATTTACACAGCAAATTCTCTTAATAATTGATATATCACAAAATTGTAGCAAGATAGGAGTTTTGCTGAAAAACACTTCCTGCTCATGGACACAATATCAGAGAAAATCAGCAAAGAGATAAGTGGTATTGCTTTGTCCAAAGGAGGCACTAAATCAGCTCAAACCTAAAGTACCCCACGGAAGCTTTAGAGACAAAGCTGCATCAACTTTGTGTTGTATTTCAACTTCCATAAATTCAGAGGTGTTTCCATGGCACTAATTACTTCCTGTCTTCTTTATACAGACAAATGGTGGCTGGCAAGATGCTCCGACTCCCTCGTCAGTGACATCGCCTACAGAAGGACCCGGGAGCGTGCATTCGGATACTTCCAACTGAATATATCCATCTCCAATCCTCATCTACACATAAAAAACATGAACTGACCTTCTTATTCACAGTATTAAACAAAGGAATTTACTGTCCCACAGTTTGGAGAGGTACTGTGAAATCCTGATCAGAAAAAAAAAGTAAATCACATTTCCCTGTGAATAACTTTGGACATTTGGGATACAAACAAAAAGTTTCATGATAACAGTCAAACACCACAGCAATCGATGAAGACGTTTGTACAGATTTCACATTATATTCAGAGGGCTGGGGTTACTTCTTCGCTCATAATGTTTTCACTCATAATGTTGAAATGTTATGATAAAGTGAATAAATCCAATCATTGGTTTTAACTGAAAATACTTCATTCTACCTCTCAGCCACTAAAAAAGTAGAAAAAATATGTCAGTGACCATTATTTGTTTTGTAAAAATGAAACTTTTGTCTTTGCAAGCAGGAGGCACATCTTCTTACTTACATTTTGTTGTCTCTCACCTATTCTATGGTACGCCATTTAGACTTAAATATTGCTCAGTTGTTTACAATGTGTGCTTGATAAAAGTATGTTCATCTTCCCCGCTGTCTCCGACGAGTCAAAACAGAGGAGATTTTACCTCTAAGGTAACCCTGTGAAGTATGTTATCTGTAAAACAATAAAGAAATACTTGTCATGAAATCGGCAAGCTGCACATTTTTATTTAGACTTGGGTTGTATTATTTTAAACAAGTAATTGGGTTTGGTTCTGCAGCATGTTGGTAGACTTACATTCACAATTCACAAAAGTCTCATTCTGTTCACTTTTTTCAGACTCCACTTTAAAACCCTTGTGATACTATTTTCCAGCGACACTGCTACATATTTTTCTGACAATGCCAAAATGCTGATGTAACCAAAACAAAACTATCAAAAAGGTTTGTCACTGTAAAGTCAGTTTCAACATTTTCTTTCGACAGATATTTACCCCCTTTATCTCATTTTCTACTTGCCATCCTCTGCTGTTCAGCTATGTCACTTGAAGAAACATGACTTTCCACAGAGAAGAAAGTTTGTCAAGAATGTCTGTAACTGGGTTTGTTTAACAATACATGAGCCGCAATCCACTTAAACATGGAAGTCATTATGTTAATGAAGTTTTCTGAGCTTACACAGTGGATGGACCGTCGCGCCCGAGTCTTCAGCACAGGTCCAGAACTGCTTCAGCATGAATTGATTGTCAGCATGGGAAAACATCTGGATGTGTGCGACCTGCTATTGATAATGTACCATTTCACCTTTTTTTCCCCACCTCTCTGTAACTATAAATCCTAATGTTATTATTCTGGTATTACAGTGTTGATACCCAAAAAGTCGAATTCCTGCTTTTCATACAACATGCCAAACCAGTTTCAGAAATATTTTTGAATATTTGGATTATTATTCTACGAGCACTAAGAAGGAGAACAGTCATTGTGTCTTATATGTTTTCTGAGCACCCTAACATTGTTTATATTTTTATGTTGTTTGGCCTATTTTTTTTTGTATTTTGTTACTCTTTATTTGTATTCTTAATGTAGGCTTTCACTTTCTCTTCCTTCTATTGTGAGTTAGCTCAGAGTTAACTTTCTCCATTTGTTAATGTGCACCATTGTGCTTGACTTGCTCTGTTTGAAGGGGTTTTCATCACATTAAAAAATATATGTATTACAGCAAGATCAAACATCAGTATGCTTTATGTGGAGTTCACGATTCATCACATGAAGGCATCCGTGGAACGACGGTGATTGCAGTCACTGAAAGTCAACCAAGGTTAGTGACTGCCAGCAGACATCAAGCCTTTTATGGTTGTGTGTGTATGAGTGTGTGGGTTATGAGTGTGTGTGTGCGTGTGTGTGTGTGTGTCCCAGCGCTCCATTATGGCTCCTGTCCAACATATTAGTGCACATGCACTCAGACAAACACTCAGAAAAACCGACACTCCATTAAAACAGCAGAAAGACATCGACTTTTAAAAGAAACAAGGAAAAGGAAAGTGTAAGAGAGTCAGTGTTTGTCAGGTTTTAAATGTTTTGACTGTTTAGAAAGTAGAAGGACAGATCAGACTGCAGCTCCTAATGCTGCAGTTTACTTTTCCGTGCAAGTAAAACATTCAAAGTTACATCAGTGCAGTGAAGTGTTTTTTCTTTATTCTGATTTAATTCCAAAATAAGTCTTATAATGCATACATAGAGTTCCTCGCAGGCACATTGCAGAAGCATGTATATTTGACGGAAAATTCCTGTTTAATTTTACTTAAAGTCAGAGACAGATACCCTGCTCTATTTAGGTCAGTTTGCATCATTAAATCTATCAAAATGTGATAGGAAAGTAGAGGATTTTCATGTCCTTGCGAGTTACAACAAGCAACTCGTCTGACACTATTTGGCTGGACAGTTACATGTCCAACAGAATTACTTTCACCACAGCTGAATATTCATAATCGGCCAAACAACAGGGGCCAGGGGACGAGGGAGCAGTTGGCCGTAGAGTGTGCAGATGACAGCGGTCACAGGCCTTGACTGCTGAGCGAGTGTGAAACGCCAGAGCCAGACTGTTCCTCAGCGCCTGCAGGGCAGTGAGGGAGCCGTGGTCTGCTCTCACCATCAAAAACAATCTGACAAGACTTCATCTGAGACAAAAAACAATATCTCCTGGCTCTTGTGCGTGTAATTCTCACAACATTTGAAAACAAAGGCATCGACTGAGATAAGTTGTCCTCAGAATTATGGCTGTTTCTGACATTTTTAGAGGAGTTTTGTCATGCAGTGTACTTTTTACACCTTTAGAGTTGTGACACTGTGCAGGCTGACTGAAATCTAGTGCCGCTGTTGACATCTGCCTCCCCAGCTGTCTTTACACCACTGTTTATAATTACAGCTGCTGAGAAAGAAAACGGGTGGGGGCTCCAGACACCTTGTCTCCCCCTCTTTACCAACTCAGCACACTGCTCTAATATGCAGTAACACAACAGCACAGACCCGGCTGCTGCTGCTAGATGAATTGACCATGGGCCCTATATATACCAGCGGATTTACATACTGTCACAACATAGAGTTCATTGTGTGCAAAAGGGACCAGAGGAGGATGACATGTCTTACTTTTCTATTGTTTTGCAGGGAAAATACGAAAACAGTTTGTGTAACTCCAAAAAATGAGACATGATTTGGTTAGAACAAAGGCACAATAGCTGGAAGTAATTATATATCACCACAAGGTGGAGATGTTGATACAGTAAAATAAAAAGCCATTCATACAGCAGCAACTAAATTTCCCTTGAATGAAAACTTTCTACTTTTTTATTCATTTTTAAGGCTAATGATCTGTGTTATCTTCAGGGTGATATTTATTTGGTTTTCACACTTGTTTTCTTTGTGCATTTAGTATACAAAAATTTAAAAGGCTTTTTCAGGTTTGACTGAGGTAGTTATTTTTCTGTAAATCAAATTATTTAAAATAGATTTAACACTGTAATACAAATAATTAACAATAATACTCTCTCATGCAGCTACAACATAATCTCTTAGCAGGAAATTACATTTTTCATCTTAAACAGCTGTCTCTAAAATACAGTTCATCTGAATTTCTTGCCTAATAGTAATTTTTGTTGTTAACTATGCTGAACTTTACCCTTTATTAAGAGTTCTTCCTGTACATTGTACAATAAAACATTAAGTAGGCCTGGTATAACTAGGAAATCATAGTTAGCAGCTCTGAGGAGAGTGATGTCCCTGTCCCACTTGATGTGTCTGACGAAGAGAGCTCTGAGGATGAGAGAAATGATCCAGGAAACAACACAGATCTGTCCATGGGTGACTTTGCAACCAAACACAGGAGCGTCTGTTACATTGGCATGGTTGAGAAAGTTGAGGATGACGAAGTAAAAGAATCCAGAAAACACCAAAGTGTGGGAGAGCCCCACATTTACTATAAAGGAAAATGATGTGGTACATGTTCCCAAAAGTGATGTGGTGAAGAAGCTGCCTCCACCTAAAAGGCTTGGAGGAACCACACGGAGAGAACAACTCGTCATCCTCCCCTCTAACCTTCAGGGCTGGAATGTAGATTAGGCCAAGTTTTATAGTATGACAGTATGCTGATGTTCTTATCCAGGTTGGTTTAGTCCTGTGTTCTGAGTCCCAGGATGTTCTAGCTGGTTCTGATTCCTTTCTCTGCTCTGACGCCCAGACACTAGCTGTCTCTTTGGGTCCTGTGTTCTGACCCCCAGGCCGTCTCTGTCTGTCATTTGTTCATTAAAACATTTTGAATTATATTACATTGTGTTTGATTTTATCGTTGTTAGGGTAGTTTCAGAGTGGAAAAAGTAAGTGGATCAGTTTACCCCCAGCTAGTTCTCTTTACCTCCTTGATTTCTCAGGTCTGTAAGACTTGTCAGACACAAGACCACTTTTTTAAAAATAATCATATTTTCTCTGCCCTTCGTCCTGAATACATTCTGATAATTTCCATCGCTATGAAACACCCTGAATTAATGGGAAATGTGTGAATTTTACTCATTGATCGTTTTAGCTCACTAAGAGGGGAGCAAATGTAAAAAATGTCTCACTTTACCCCACTCTCCCCTACATAGTGAATATATCTACATTAAATCCCTAAATTGACGCATTTCACATCTTATTCTTTGATGTAAATGCATTTTAAAGCGAATACAGGACCTCACTTGTGCAACTTTAAACACTGAGGTGGGTTTTGTGGATGGTGAGTTTCTCTGCGCTTTGGTGCCTCTAGTGGTGAAAGGGTGAAGGGTGCGCTCTATTCACATTTCTCCACTCAGACGCTCCTCCTCTCTCCATGCCGTGCCAAAGTTTCCTCACAGCTCGACCCACAACTTTTCCGACACAAGGCTCTCTTTTGTGGCCGCTGGAAAACAACATGGCAGACCCTGCTGTCCAATCCGAGGGAGGAAGCGGCGGGATTGTGGTAATTTAATAAGAAAACACGATGTGGATTGCAGAACAAGTGCTCCTATTGCATGGTGCTCTCATTGCATGGTGGAAAAACTTGACTCATTCATGGATGCAAACAGGCTCTGCTGCTGCTGCGCGTTCACAGCTCTTATCGCATTAAGGGCCACATGTGTCATCTCGGGATGATGTAGTGATGTTTTACTACACAGGTGATCTGTAACAGTGGTGTTTTTGCTCACATGATATGTTCGTTGTTTTCCCATCTAGATTACCGATGAGTGGCCAGGGTACAGTTTAGACCTTTTCAGCTATCCGACTCACTACTCCGGAGATCTGGACTGTGTTATCATCCCGCATGGCGTCATTATGGACAGGTACATCCAGTAACATCACTTTGTACTCACCTGCAAGTGTGACAACATCTGCAAGTATCTAGACTGACTACATCATTTTCTATTGAACACAAGACTTTAACATTTCTCAGGAGTTAAACTATAGAAGATCACCTCTCACAGTAGGGGAGAGTGGGGAAAGTTGAGCCACCCCTTGTTGCTTAGAAATAGTAAAAGAAATTGATCATGTGACCAAATATTTAGGAGATGGGCATCAATTCATGGAGTCTGTGAAGGTTAGTAGCACATGGGTGAAGGGGTTAGACATTTATTTAAAAAATAAAAAATAAAAATGTTCACTCTTGAAAGTGAATTTAGTCTATCATAAGTTTTATTAGAATTGTGTTCAGAACAAAAAAGATCATTTTAAATTAGTTTTAAACATAGCAACAGGTCAAAAAAGGTCAAAAACCTAACATAAAAGTCCACCATTTTAGCTTAGAGGACTAATAAAGTCATATTAGTAGTTCTGGGGTAAGTTGAGCCAGTGGCTCAACTGAGAAAGTAAAGAAGTCTGATGAGAGGATCAGAGTTTCAGTTCAGATTGTTGAAATGTGTTACTTTTTCTTTTCAAAAATACAGCTGTGAATGTTCTGAATCACTTAAAGGCATTCTCATGTTAAAATGGTTTCTTTACAAAACAGCCTTTTAACAGTTATATGCAATAATAATAAAAAGAATTATTGTACCAGTTGAATAGCGTATAATAGATAAAAAATACACATGAACGTGAAGAGGTGACTGTTATTTAGGGAGAGAGAAGGTGAGGGAGGGCTGAGGTGGAGAGCGGGGAGTAGTAGGGATACGGCTCAACTTACCCTGCTCCTATGGTCAATTCACGGCATACACGGGGTAAGTTGACCATAGGAGACCACTTTTTTTTGGCATGCTATATTATCAAGACAGTTATGTTTACAATCATTCTGTTGGTTTGCAGGGATGCACAACATCTTGAAATATATACAGATACACTAATTAGAGACAAAACTATGATTGCCTTGATGTAGTGATCCGAAATATAAAGAATGGCTCATCTTACCCCACTCTCCCCTATTTTCCAGGACAGAGCGTCTGGCCCGAAACATCATGGATGACCTCGGGGACCATGACATTGTGGTGCTGTGTGTGCTGAAAGGAGGATACCAGTTCTGTGCTGATCTGGTGGACAGGATCAAAGCTCTGAGCCGCAACTCCAGTCGCACAATCCCCATGAGGGTCCACTTCATCCGCCTGAAGAGCTACCTGGTGAGTCCATACCTGCCTCAGAGATGGAGCATAGCTGTGCACAGTGAATACATAACAAAAGAGTGCAAGGATCAAAGGCCATCTTCATATTTAAGATCATCAGCTGTGATGTATCTAGATGAGCCCCGTGACACAGTCAGAGGATGTGATATGTTTGACCCCGCTTTAAGACAGTGATATCTTTGTGTAACTGCCCTTTCATCTAACCACCTTGAAGGTCATGCTGAGGAACAAAATGCCACAGAAATGAGAATACAGATCACAAGCGATCCAACTGAACTTTAACCTAAAATACATAATTAATTCCAGATTAAAAGAAATAATACTGTATAATAGTAGTAATTAAATATTACTACCATTTTGCAGTCTTCCAAGAGAATGTCATTTACTTTTCAAACCAAGATTGTATCCAACTGATTTTGCATCTATTAGGAATATATGTGCCTTCATACCTGCCACATATCAACCTTTTTTTCTCTCTTTTTCTTGATCCATTTCCCCCCTAGAACGACCAGTCAACTGAGGATCTTCACATACTAGGAGCAGAGGATTTGTCTTTTTTAGCAGGAAAGGTAATTTTGTAAATGCATACTCAACTCAACCTTTTTTTTAGAGTGGATCTTTATGCAAACATACACCCCAAAGTGTTTCACAAAGATAAAAAAACTGAAAATAAGTTCTTAAAAAAGGATGATTGATCCAATTTTACAATGAATAAAGAAAGTGTAACATGCAAAAGCCAAAAACAAGACTAAACCCAGGAATAAAAAAAAATTTCTAAAGTATGTCAAAATAGAGTCAGGTTAAAACTTAACTGCAAAACTCTTAAGTCTTAAAAATTTCCTGTTATTTCTTATCAAAAATACTTTCAGAATCATGTGAAATTATTATAAACTATTAAAAAAAATAAAAAATCACTGCTAAATGGCCTGCAGATGGTGGGTGATTATAGGCATGAGCCTCAGGAGGGCACTGTTGCATCTAATCTGCTGTTTCTCTGTTTTTATTCTGAGGGGAAGCCTCAGCTTTAATAAGTGAGATCAAATATGTCAGTTTCTGACAAACTCAGCAATGATCAGATACCAGCTGCTGTAACATGATTGTTTAAAGGCCTCTGTCACTTTACCTCAGGTGACAGAGGGTGAAGATTTACCTGCCGTCATAATAAATCATAGTAGATCTGGAGGGTTACAGTGGGGTTGTGAGAGGCTCACTTTTCATCTGCTTATATCGTGTCATCAACACCATACCATACCACAGGTGTAGAAAATGTGTGCCTGCATGCACACAGACGCCAAATACACTGAGGTTGTCAAATGGAAAACACACAAGGGCAGGAAGTAAAAGAAGACACAAGACACAAAGAAGAAGGACTACAAAATAAAACAGGAAATGCTAATCACTAATGTTAAGTATGTGAAAATGAAAATAGAAATACAGAAGACCAGGAACACAAGGGCAATGACAAAATAATAAGCAGTGAGACAATAAAACAATATAATAAAAAGACTAAGTGAAGAACAACTCAGGATGAAGTATATTGACTTCAAAGACATTTTAGTCAGGCGTTATCTTTTTAAAACGACCGAAAGTAAAAGCAGCTGTAAATAAGTTCAACAAATATAAGAGTGTGTGAGTGTGAGTGTCTGCGGGCACACTTCTCTGGCATATCTTTGAGCGTTTGTGTGTTCGTGTGTGCAAAGGGATGAATTACTCCTCCACTACAGCAGGAGTCGGTGAGAGTGTTTCTTGGTAATATAAATCAGCTGATGCGAACACAAAGTCACACACACACACCCTTAAGCTGATCGCACTCACGCATGCACACACTAATGTTCCCTGTAGCGAGGCGTGGCATAAATGCCTTGAACATGAATAGGATATGAGGTAGTAAGCTTGAGTCACTGCCGGCTGCTTTGCTCACAGCATTTAAAGCTTGAGTGTGAAATCCCAGAGCTCCCTGTGATGTACAACTAAATTTAGTCGCCAGTTTGTGACACAACACTGCAATGGTTTGTGGAAAAAATGACAAGAAGCACATTATTCATAGTTCTTATTTCCTGTGTGACTTGACTTGGATATATAGCATATTCTTTTTATATTTCTCCTGAGTGTACCGCAGTCTAAATAAATCTGTGTGAATAATGAGGCTTAAACAAAGCATGAGCACATGCTTGGCTGAATCCTTTGTTTGAGAATTAGAGCACTAACAGTGCCTACAGTTACTCAGAAGTTTGAGATTTTCTTATCTCTGAGTTAAACAGGGCTTTACTCTTAAATAGTGCCCAGTTGTCTCCAGCTGATTAGACAAACATTTGCAGAATTTGAGTTATTTCATTGACATTTAAAGTCTGACTGTAAGAGCATAGATTTCTAATCTAGGCCGAGATTTCATCTGCTTTTCATCAGATGATAATCGACTGTGACATGTCAATGTAACTTTTTATTTAGTTCGGTTACTTTACAACAAAAACTGGAGGTTTTACTTTGTATACTTTTTAATCATAATGAGTAGCTGTGTTTTTCTACATCCATCTGTGTTTGTTATCTTGGAATGTGGTTGATCTGAAGTAACAGTAGTTTGTTTGCTTCCCCCCTTTTCTCTTCCGACATGCTCTCATCAGAACGTACTGATTGTGGAGGTAAGTCAAACATCTTTTCTTATTCCCTCCTTCAGCAGGAAAGCAGCATTTGATTCTTGCCATATATGGCTATTGAGGCCAAAGTTTGAAAAGAGGAACTTTTCTTAATTGACATATCGTTAGTGAAACAAGAAAGCAGTTTTTGAAAAACATGGACATAGATAACTATCTTGGTAGCCTGAGCAGTGATTTTTAGTAATAAGTACACAAGGGCAGAAGTCACAGTCCGAGGAAGGAAATCTACTTTTAAAGCAGTCATTAGTCAGTGCCCTTTCGTTTACAAATGTGCCCCTGAATCACTTTTGACGTCAGCTCTTGTTGCAATAATGAATCAAAACTTTGACACTGTAGAATTTTAAAAGTGATGTTATGAAATTTGTTTTTTTATTTCATTCAGCATCACAAGTGTTCTTAACTTCTGTAGTTTTTACTGTGTGCAACAATAATGTCAAATATCTAGCATATAAAATTCTCATGTATAATGTGAAAGTAATTTGTCCGTTTGCTAACATTTAGCCTAAAAACAAACAAACCCTGTTATACACTGGTTTGTGTGTGTTTTGTTAAGCTTGTTGTGTTCTTTCAAACTTGCTAAAAACTTGAATATGCAGGTTTTTATGCCCAGTGGTTCTACTAATAAAAGAGTCTTGGTGTCTTTTAACTTCATTGGAGTTTATATGATGTGCACAAAAAGTCTTCTCTCAAACTATGAATTGAAAGTCTGCTTTTCAGAACTAAAAAAAAAGGATAATGTTTTTATCATAAACGGTTCCAATCATTGTGACCAACTCTTCCTTGACTGGTGACCATATGTGAGTAAAGGAAGTATAGCTGGGTGACAGCCCTTAAATGGGCTGCTTAAAGGGATTTACACTTGGCAAAAAACACATTAGATAAGCATTTTAAAACTGAAAGCTCAACTCTCAAAAATCTAAATCATTTTTATATGTGTGTTTGGAAATAGCACAAAAACAAGTCAATATCTTTCATATGTCTCTTTTTCTGTATTTCCTCTCTGTCACAAAGGATAAATGTTAAGTCTGAGTGTAACAGTGCAATCCATTTTATACTATAACCATGCTGACCCCCAAAGGTGACTAACACATTCATGTTGTTGCCTTATACCACATCTTTTACCTCTTCCTAACTTAAGAGGTCAGAGCTATTTGAGTAAAAATCACGCTTTGATTTATAATTTCCCCTTTCTGGCCACATATCTTTAGAGAATGGTTGGAAACGGTTATGTAACACAAGTCCAGTGTGACCAACTTCTTCCTTCTTACGTTAGACACACATGCGTTTTTTGTCCTTTTTTTCATATTTCCGTTAAGACATTCTTTGGCTTTCTCAATCCAGTTTTTTCTATCTTGCCTTCTCTCTGCAGGCCATTGTGGGTACTGGGAAAACAATGAAGGCCCTCCTGAAGCATGTTGAAGCCTTCAGGCCCAAAATGATCAAAGTAGCAGGGTAAGGTATGGCTGTAAAGACCTCAAAACCAAACCAGCCCACTGGTCCTGCTTTGTGAATCATTCAATTTCCGCCTTCCAGTCTAGACAGAGACAAAGAATATGCGACACATAGTTAGAGTTCTTACTGTGTTAGAATCCACACTGCCTCTTGACACCATTTATAACAGGTAAGTTGATATGTCTAGCATTAATGTCTGCTTTTTGTTGTCTCCAGATTGTTGGTGAAGCGGGTGCCACAGAATTCAGCATGTCTTCCTGACTGTATGTACCTGACCAACCCTTTTTCTGAGTTAATGAGTCAGGAGTTTGTTCACATTTCAAATAACTGTTGCAGCTTGTAAGTCTGTGAGTCAGTGAACCGGGGAAATACAATTAATGTTCCTCTTTGTCTTTAATTGCAGATGTCGGCTTTGAGATACCAAATCGCTTTGTGGTTGGATATGCCTTAGACTACAATGAGTACTTTAGAGATCTAAATGTAAGTTTGGCCCTTTTTCTATTTTAGGGAAAGAGATTTTAAGGACAGACTTTGTTTCCCTGACTGTTGTACATGTTCTCAAAGGGTACATCTTTCTAGTAACTGTCATTTTCAGCCATTTTGGTGTTGTTTTTCTTCTTCTTTTTCAGCATATCTGTGTGATCAGTGAAAGCGGGAAGAAGAAATACAAGATTTAGAAAAAAGAAAAAAGGGATTTCAAAGAGACGACTGTCACACAGATGTCATTTCGCAGCAGGCCTTAACATTTTCCCGGAAATCCCGATCACTTACAGCTGCCATTGTGACATCTGATCTCAAGCATCCGTGTTTTATTATAACATTCCTCTTCTTTATCTGTTTTAAACAATAGGGACTGCCATTTAAACTACTCCTTTTCTTGTTTTCATGTGCAACCTTATTCTCCATGTTTACAGAGCTGTTTCATATAGACAGTGTTGCATCTTAAGGTAATGCTACTGTTTACTTTTTGTTAGTTAAACACATATGTATGCTTAAAGAACTTGATAATCATGACCTGTATAAATGTGTGTATTTTTAATTCACTGTTTAATAAGCTAACCTAGCAGACATATTTTTTATATAACTTTGGGGATAGTATTTAACATTTTCTTCACTTTTTCATCTCTAATTATGCAAGTCTCCTGCTGTCATATTGAAAGCCTAGGGGCAAACATAATTTTGTAAACACTGAGAGCACTAACAAACCTACCTCTTTTCAGTATTTTAGGTGAAGTAGAATTCTTGTATTCTTAATGTGTTTTCTATACTTTCTCATGTCTATACCTTAATATATCAGTAAACCATTTGTAACATGCCTTTGGTTTGTTTCCTTGCATTATTCACACATTCTGAAATGATATAAGATCAATTTTCAGCGGCTCATTAATTTAGATTAAAATGCTTTCTTAGTCAGCTCACCAGACAGAAAAATAACTTGTGTAGCTCATATTTTTCTTGATGTTCAGTACAAAGGAGAACACTTAAGCTGACTTGTATTGATCATTATTTTCAGTCTTTTCCTTGGTTTATTCAATCAGCTGAAAAAGGTTTGTATTGGTGAAAGTAATATCACAGATGAGTGACTCTTTTCCAATTCTCCCAAACTTTTAGGGAAACTTAAACAAAGCTGTATTTCTTTTTTCTTTTAGATAGGACAAAGCTGCTTGTTCAAACATCATGATAGTTTCTTGGTTAACTCTAAGTAAAAAAACAAAAGGTTGTCAGTTTAGCGCAGCTGCTGTGCCTTTGTATACACCTGACATATGACTCCAACTCGTGAGGTCGGGAACACCAAGTGCCACAAAGACAGAACTGTTTTGGTTTTGTTTGTACTGAGGTCTTCTGGGGATTAAAGGGAACTGAGTCGCTGACTTTTTTCACAGTATTTAACTGTAAAAAATCAGGACTTCACCAACTGTGCTCCAATAGAATAATACTTTTTGATGTGGGTGATTATTGCTCTGATATCATTATCCCTTCATATGTAAATAGCAGCCTATCTACACTTGACAGCTGTACATAGAGGGAACCACAAATACCTCAGAACCATGCTGAGGTACAGTTTTTGGCAAATTGTAAGATATTTTCCAGGGCATGTAACATCAGTTAAGTTAATTGAAGTAGAACTGGCTGGGCAGGACAGTTTAGTGAAAGTCTCCTCCCTTTGCTGACCCCTGCAACAAAGGCCACCAAACCAAGAGAACAGGTGGTCCCTCAGTTTGAGAGCAATGAAGGGGACACTTGGAAAAAGTCCTGAAAACCCAGGCGTTTACAATCTTTCAAATATAGTATGTTAAGGAAGGACAGACAGTGTTGTGTAATTTGATCATCTTGTGGGTGCTTTGGCTCCCTAATATGAGCTAAGTTTGTATACCATTTGGTATGTGTGAATTCACATTCCACATGCACTGCCATCCACATGCCAGCTCGGCTCGACCTCCCTTTGAACCGGGACATGTGACTCTGTTCAGACTTGTAGATGAAACGAAAGCGTGTGCAGCTCTTGAAAACTTTGTACTGCTCCGTGTCTGACTTTATTCTCTTCCTATGAGAAGAGCGGTAGTCCTCCGTCGACGGATTAGACAAACAGTCGATATATACCACTTGTTAACAGTGCAGCAGTGGGGACTTTTTGTAAAGGCAAACTTCATTGGTCCGATCGAATAGAACGCCGCTTTTGATTGGCTGAGAGTGTCCTGTTGACCGAAGGTGGACTCCCAGAGAGTGGGGAACGCTGGAAGCAAAAAATTCCAGCTACGAAACTGCACCATGCGCCTCCCCTGAGTGGGTTTGGAATTATCACCGGGAATCCCTCTGTACTCAAGTTTAATAACAACCCCTGAACATCTTGGAGCTCCTCCGCTATGGTTTTACGGCGTCTTCAATCTTTTATGGACAACCGCCGCCGCCGTTGCCCGTCCGTAATGACGCTTCACAACTACACAGGTAACTTTGTTTAAACTCCAGCCGTTAGCATGGATGCTAACCGCAGCGCAAACTGCCTGTTATCTCAGGAGTTTGGTGCTTTGACCGACTTAACAAGCTTCAGAATACTCGCTCAGGGGGTATGTTATGTGGAAAGTTCATATTGCGTATCGTAACACCACTTTGGGGCTTTTGTGGTAGTTTTTTTTCAGCAGTAACAAAGAAAAAGCTACTTTTGTCATTCGCTTGAGAACAACAGCCCCACACGCTCTGCTCGTGCCTGAGTTGACCATCGAGCTAAAACAAGGCGAGTTCAGATCACCATCTCTGAATTACGCTTAAAAGCCAAAATACGTTCATTAAATCGATCCAACTAAATCACAATCTTTACCTAGATTGTCGTTTTTGTCATGGCTTTTGATTATGATGGACTTTTTTCATATTAAACAAAACATTTTCGTTTGTCTGTGGTCCACTTGTTGCTGGTCATTCATTACGCAGTGTTGGCTATCCACGTTGTTGTGCTTCAAAGTGATGACAACAAGCTTACATAGTTGTTGCGTGAATAATACGTTGTTGGTGTAGTTGTCTTCCAACATGTCCACCAAACGGAAGGTGAAACTCAATTAAGTGTAGCCACATTTTACGCGGAGTTACGCGGTTAACTGTGCTAGTATTGACACACGATTTTGTGTATTATTACCGCAAGTCAGCCTTTCTCATTACAACGACTTTTACAGTTTGTACATCAGGTAGAAAACAGCATGATGGTAGGACCTGTTGCATAATGTTGATAGAAGAAAATGAGGCACACATGGTCTACAATTATGTCTTGTAGACAACTGAGGTATTGATTCTTGTTTTACAGACCCCTCAACAGCATGCAAAGCCATACCTCAGCAGTTGTTTTTATAATCTTAACTGTATTTTAACAATAACATTGTCCATTTTTAAAACTCGTCTTAAGACCCATTCTTTATTCATTGGCTTTCAACCCTGCATGAGACTTGACTCTTTTATGGTTTGTTTTTAGTTATTTGTTTCTATGTTTTTAAATTAGTTTTTAAAAACATTGAAACTATATTTTACTTTTTAATATCTGCTTTTATTTTATTAATTGTTTTAATTGTTCTTTGATTGTTTTTTATGATTGTGTAGTTTTGTCTATTTATGTACAGCACTTTGTTCAGCTGTGGTTGTTTTAAAGTGCTTTACAAATAAAGTTGAGTTGAGAATAAAAACATTCATAACAAGCTCATTTTTTCCTCTCCTTTGTTTATAGAAAATGGACCAAAATACGCTGCAAGAATGGAGGCATAACATTTGACAAGAGCGGAGCATACTTTCTTGCATCCTGCAGGAGATACCTTTTCGATGTGGGCGTTCACAAATGACAGGATTTTAAGTCAAATCGAATGATGGCATCACGTTGGGTTCATTCTTGTGAAGATGAAGACAGACAACAAGCAAGATCTTCTTTCTGCGAGGTAAACAGAGCGCAACAAAAGTGCTTTATTATTACTCATTTTCTCTGTGAATTAGCAAGGTTTGATCTTGAGCACGAGTCTGAACCCCCCTCTTTTTGTCATTTCCTTGCTGCGGTTGATCATTGTAGATATGAGATCAGCATCGAATGAAATTATACATTTAAATCAAACTCAACGCTAGTTGAAGTGGGAGGGGACAATGACGCTGAAGTAGTTTTAGATCGTCTTTCAGATTTTTAAGCTGTGACCCATGTAATACCAGACAGGACACCATCTGCTCCTCTGAAAGCTCATCATCTGAATGAGGACCTTTATGGTAAACTAGGTAGCATCCCTGTCCTCTTTGAAATGGAAGGGCTTCTATTTATAGAATCTAGAGGGGTTTTTTTCATTCTCCCATTGCCTTTAATCTATTATTCAACCCTCCACTTGAGCCTCACTGATTCTATGTGAATAGCCTGTAAATGAAGGATGTATTGCCATAAACTGTCACTTCCCACAGACTAAATACACTAAATGTAATTTTTAATCATTAGACAGGGCACAAGGAAACTGAGAATATTAAAGCATATAGACAATCAGCAAATAGTGAGCCAGATCCCATCCGGTTTGTTTTAGATTCTAATGTATTCAAATGTTATTTTTTTCTGGAGCCCCAAACATGTTTTCATATAAAGTTTAAACAGCTTGTGTAGAAGACATGCTATGATTATTTTTGTCATTAATGGCATCTGGTTAACTACTAGAAGAATTAGATAAATGTATCCTAATGTTTCTAAAACCTTTTTCAAAGAAATAGTACTTAGTGACACAAAATTGTGAGTATCTTCAAAATAAATGTTGTCCAACATGGAGCAAAACATCTTTAATTTTTCCTCATAATTTTCAGACCTTTTTCGTGATGTTAAGTTCCCTTTAATTATTTATTTTTTTCACATGTTCTGACAGTGTAGCCTGTTAAAATTCTCTTTTGAACAGTCCTCCTAATAAGACCACCCCCCTAAACCAATTCATGTGTTAATTTTTGAGGCAGAACCCCCCTGGAGTCTCTGATCCTGGGACTTTCTGGGAATGATGACACATGGATTTAAGGAGTTCAATTCTCCCAAATGTGTCTTTCTCATCAGTTTTAAAAATAGTCTTTTGAGATAATAAAGTTGTTCTGATTATGGATGGTGAAAAGATCTGTCTGATTGATGGGAGTGCTTTTGTTTTATTGAGAGAAAGCATGGCCTAGTTACTTTTGTACAGAGGCTGCTGCAGCAGGAAAGAGTTGGTTTACTGCCTCCATCATGCACAAGAAAACTTGTCTAGTTTAAAACTTTCAAATTAAGAGTAACTTTTATTTTCCTGTTTTAGTGCAGATACACGTGTCTACTTTTTTTGATGAATATGTTTGACTAATAGAGCTGTCTGTTTGTCTTTCCCCATTGTTGTTTACCAGTGTTATCTACTTTCATGCGAGACAACACTTTGCCCTCATGCTTCAGTGATACTGTAAAAATGCAATCTTTTCTCTTCACTGAACCATTTTCATTTTACCACCATTTTGGCCAGTATATACCATGCCTGTTGCTTCTTTCTCTTTTTGGGTTTGATGGTGGTTGGTTGTTATTTTCCTTTACAGAGGAGTGTTTGTCCACTTTATCAGCTGAAAAGTGCTTGGTATGCCAACATTTCAGCTGAGTCCAAACAGCAGACTGAGTTGACCTAAAGTCTCCCTCCTTCTTCTTGATTCCTCTTGTCAGATATTATAAGACTTCAGATTGTGATCAGTTGGCTGGTTTGGAAAGCAAAGGCAATAAAAGCCAAATTCATTTATGTTGCACTTTTGCAGACTGAGACGTCACAAAGTGCTTTACACAGTTTGGGAATTGCTTGTGATTATTTTCACATGAGCCTTTGATTTCATCGAACACTATCATGCCGCAAACTTGTCTTCTTTTCTTGCCAATGCCTACACAGCAGCTGGTTGTGCTTGAATAAAACGACAGACATGATGAAGATGAAGTGAAATTAAAAACTCATTTGGATGATTAAACGTGATCCATTTTTAGCACTGGAGTGGGCTTTTGACAAACAGACCCCTTTGTCCCCATAATCTACTCCTCAGTGTTTATCAAATTTAGGCGGGCTGCCTTTTACAGAGCCCATGTGCAGACATCGTATGGCTAACTGATGGCTATCGGAAGAGTAAATTGAACTTCAATTAGATAGACAAAGTCTGTTACTTCCTGTTGCTTTGTGGTTGTGTCTGCAGTGTCTCAGAGGAAAACATGGAGGATGGTTCATGTTATCCAGTCTTATTTTACAGCAGCACTCCTTTGATTTCATCTTTACTCTCTTTCCTTTTAGAGAATAAGACGGTCATTCTGTGCTGACATGAACACTGGTCTAAATGTATTCTCTAAGAACTGCAAGCAAGACATATAAGTCTGTTTTCTTTTTTAAAGATACAACAAACTAAGTTAGTGTTCAGTTTACAACTTTGAAAGAGACTATTTGTGTATGTATGACATTTGTTGATATGAAAGGCCTCAGTGATTTTATTCTAAGCATGAAAGAAGTACATCGTTTAAGCAGTTCAGTGGCTGAGCTAGCGGCTGCTATTGACAGTTCACAGCATCTGCTCTGGCTTGTTTGTATAAGAAATAGTGTTATTATTTTTAGTCTGTAATAAAACTTCATAAGGGTGATCTATAGATAAACAATGCCGGTCATTTCTATTTCTGGATTGATTTTCCCTGGGTTTGTCTGTTAGGTCGTGTTCACACCGAAAGGTCCGTTTCCTGATTGGAATCCAAGGCAAGACGATACATTTGTTGTGATTGTTTAACTGGTCCAGTTTGCGTTCACAGAGGACAAACTCAATCACTCCAGAAAACGGAACCAGAAGTCACATGACCGCGAATATCGTTCGGTTATTGGTCATTAGTTTATGCGGGAATACAAACCCCGTTCTGCTGTCTTCGCCTGTCATGGAGCATCGTAGGCAGATTTTGCTTTTGCTACTCATCTGGAGCACATATCAAAAGACGCTAGTCTGTGGCAGAACTGTGGCATTAATTATACATTCTGGAGTAGACGTGCTGCAAACAACAGACGAATAAAGACGAGACTGCGACAGGCATTAATGACATGTGTGGCGCGTTTCCTGTGGTTGGTGTGGATGACGTTCACACCAGAAATGAACCGTTTCAGAGTTCACTTGATAGCGGTCCGAGACCACCTCTTCAGGCGGACCAGAGTTTGTTTATTCGATCCGCACCAGAGTTCGAGGTCAGTGTTCACACCAACCCAAACGAGCCGCACCAAGGGGGTAAACACTCCAGGGTTCGGTTCAACTGGATTAAACGAGGGTGGTGTGAACGCGCCTTTAGTGTACATTTTGCTTTGTTTATTTAACACTATAAAGTACGATGGATTTAGTCTCAGTGATGATGTCACCTGTTGGTTTCTGAAGCAGATTTCTGAAGCCCGATGATGGCGGTTGCCATATTGGAAGTGCTGACTCAGCTTCACCTTCAGCTGATTTAGAAAGAGACAAAGAGAGAGTTGAGACCCCAACAACACAAGTTCGCCTATATAAAAAAAGAGGAGGTCTTATCACCCCCGCTGTGTTTACAGGAGGCACATCTCCTTTCTCTCCTTCGCTGTTGAGCGTTTATTACTGTTAGTAAACCCTCTTTGTGACAGCAGAATGAAGAAGTACACAACAAGGTAGAGTTTGTAGATAGCTTTATACTCTTGGATGGTTGTATAAGACCTGACTTAATCGCCAAGTGTACTTTTATGGCTCTTTATACTCAGCTCATCCGAGTAGATTCTTTGTCATTGAGAAAAATTTCAAGGATACTCTGATAAAACACACTTTTAAAGTTGTAGAAACCATTCTGTCTGCCTTCTAAACATGTCTAAAATATGAAATAAAAGCATTTATTGAAACTAGTTATATCCCGCCTGCGTTTGGTAAAACACGTGAAGGAACTATCTGGTTACTTTGATCAATATAAGACGGCGTTGATGTTTCATTGGCATGTTACAACTAGAAGTGTAGCATGCACCAAACTCACCATGTGCCTGCATATTCTGACTAATGATGCCTCTAACCTTGTCATGCACTACAGGGCTGGAACGCCCAGGCCTCACCAGCAGCTCCCTGTATCATTATCTCAGGCTTTTCACAGTTAAGTGCTTGGTTTGGATGGGATGTGGTGTAGAATGTAGCAGCCCACAGAGAAGTAGGTTTCCTCACATATTAAGGCAGTGTCCTTCCTTGTCAGATGTTTCTGAGCTGATGTCATGTGGTGCTCGTAATGTGTTATTTGGTGATGTCAGCAAAGGGTTTTAAACATACGGGGCCATGCAGTGTGGTTTCACAATATTTGGTAGAAGCACACAAAGTGGAAATTCCAGTTTCTTTTTTCGTATGCTCTGAACCCTCCAGATATCAACACTTGTGGTGTGTAAACAGCTGTACATGTGGAGTCTTTTCCCCTGAAAAGTGCTGGTTTGTCTGCACCTTAATCTCTGTGCTAGGGTAACCGCTGCTGGTGTAATCACCTTGCTGTTACTTGGAGAATGACCAGATGTACTCTGGACTTAGCATGTCACTTTAATTGCTGGTACCTTTTGACAAATAAGAATCGGTTTAAGCAGGATTTTCACAGTTAAGAGGAGGGCTTAGAGAAAAGCTGTAAGAAATATGGGTCATGTTTGTTGCCACAGCTCAATCAGCATTGTTGGACTGTGAAACATGCAGACGAAAACGTCTCTCAGACTTGGCTGTCGTCACTCTCCATAGCTATGATTTAAGTCCAGTCCTAGCCATAGCTATGCATGAAGAGAGTGGCTACATAATCAAAACATAATCCTGAGTAAGCTTTGCACTGGTTCATCAAATATGTACTTCTTGTATTCATCATTTGGCAGATGTGTTTACAGAGTAAGATTCTTGCAAAAGATCAAAACTAACAATCTGTTTTCCGAAACTTCCCAGCTTTGCTGAGGCTCTAACCCAGTGGTTCTCAACTGGTCTTACTCTGGGACCCACATTTTTCCATGGTCCTTAAGTCTTGACCCACTTTTATAAAATTCAAGCGCACATGAATTGAGGATGACAACTACTAAAGTTGCATATACAGAAAATATCAAAAGACCAGCAAAATGAAAAATTTGACTTATATGTATCTCTGTATTCAGATCATGCAACCCCATGTATTTTTACAGCATTCAGGCCACATTAATAAGATAACGCATGCCTTTCAAAATAATGTATTTTTCAAAATAAAAGACATGTCAAACATCAGGTGCGCATTAAATATTTACTTTTTTGACCAGCTGTTCGGGGCCCATCCATAACATGTCTGCGACCCACTTTTAGGTCGGGACCCACCAGTTGGGAACCAATGCTCTAACCCAAATCTGTTCTGTCATACTGAAAGTAGAAACACTTCAATATGTATGTCTTTAAAAAAACAATCATGTCCTGAGGAACTTCCACTTTAACAACGTTAAATTGTACATTTGTGAGAGTTTTCTGATGCACATAAATGCACATTTTTACACAAAGTAAAACCTTAAGGCAGCAGAAAGTTTGAAGAAAAAAAGCAAAAAGAAGAAAAGGCAGTAACAAAACAAACAAACCTGTGTGTACTGTACATAAAGATGAGTGAACCTGTCAAGCACTGCAGTGGGGTATATTAAAAATACATGTTTTCTAATAGTTTTATTAGTGTGGAATTGTGTGTCTATCAGGCCTTTGCAGCACTCTCAGAACATTGCTTCATTGTTGTTCTCCTGATTTGTTGGCCGGAGGATAAAAAATAGAATATCCACAGTAACTGAGTATTTATGGTTAGAATTAGCATTCCTGAGACACAAGCCTGGTCACTGGCTAAACCCATGAGCTGAAAAAAGTTCTTAATGAAAACTCTCACAGCTGCCTCACCCAGTGCAAATATCAGTCTAGTATTTTGGTGATTCATAAATGGGTGAGAGGTATTTATTTGTGGGCAGGAGAGGATCAAGGTTTTATTTTTGATGCAGGTGTGCTTTCGTCTTCGCTCCCTTTTTCTAAAGCAATCTCTTTAATTTGTCCTTTATGTTACCTTTTGACCTTTTGTCACAGGTATATGAAAGCATTATTAATCTGGTCTATCAGGTTTACACCGGAGCCGGTCTTTCTGTGGATATATTTGTCTGAGTTTTTATTAAATAAGAGGAAAGGAATACCAGGGGGGGATGTAAGTCCAGAATTTATTGACCTGGAATGTCACAACAGTATTAACTATGTGAGTAGCAATGATAACACTGCTTGGCATGTGTCTGTCAGGAGGCCCACGCCCCCGTCTGCCATCCACATCTAAAGATCAGAGAGTTGGAAATCTCCCCTGTGCACTGGCTGCTAAATCAGTTCCAGTGGACTGAGATTGGCTCGACTTGGAGACATGAAGGGGGCAAAGCAGGCATTTCAAACATCCAGTCGGTCTATTGTTAAATCACCAGAAGTGCTTCTCTGGTTATGGATCAAAATGTTTTCTCGCAGAGCTACTACAGAGTCTAACATAGAAGTGCTGGTATCACAGAACAGCCAAAGCTTGGTCATACACAGCAAAACCTGTTTTGCTAGTTTCATCAAAATACATGGGTGTCAGCTGCACCTGCAGCTCTGTTTCTCAGACACACACAGTAGTATACCGGGTCCTTATTTTTCACTCTTTGCGCTTCTGAACTCCTTTGATAGATTTAAGAACTCAGGCTGTCACTTGAAACACTCTTGGGTCGGTGTATTTTGTTTGTCTTCAGGATTGTGAAACAGTAGAAATGCAGTGGCTGACGCGCTGTAAAACATTCTGCAAAGAGTGAAAACATGCTTTAACTTGGTAAAAACCTCTAGGCACACAACGTACTTCGAATGTACCTCTGAGAGTGAGACTCAGTGCACTCTGTGACACAATTTTGGAGAATAACTGGATCGAATGTTTGGTACTCAAAGTTGTGCTTTTGTGAACAAACTGCAGCTCATGTTTGTTTGATAAAACATAGTTTGGTTTATCTCACTTTTTGCAACCGCTAAATCAAGTAGGAAAACGGTTCAGGTTAATTTTTTTCATTCTTATAAAAACACATGAGGCCAAATTTACAATTTTAAATGTTTTTTTTTTTTTTAACTTTATGAACCACGATTAGAAAACCTGTTGCAGATTCTTCATCATTGCAGTTTGTTTCTGGTTATATAAACACGCAGGTAATTCACTCTGGTTTTCTGACATTTTACTCAACATATCTGCCCAGGCAGGGATGACATGAGTGCAAGCTCATCAAATTCCTCACACTGCGGGGGAAAGTCTGCGCTTCACATGGGGAGGGGGAGGGTTTGTTTGAGACAGGGTGAGGGAAAAATACTATATCAGTGTGGAAACACAAGACTGTTTGTTCAGAGGTGTTCCTCAAAGTTGCGCTGGAACAGGGAATATGATATGGGGAGATCTGAGTAAAGGGGGGTGTTGCTGCACACATGACACCACAAAGGTGTGAGGCTATAAATAGTCAGTAAACACAGGGGGTAGGTGTCCAAAGCCCTGAAGCCTGACATGCTCTACTCCCCAGCTGTAAAAATGGGACACCCTGACCTGGCTGGAAACACTGTTCAGCTTCAAATGTACTTTAAGAAATGTCTTTTGTAATCCACATTTGAGACTGATAAATGAAATTAACCACATTATTCAGGATTACTATTGGTAAAGGGAATTCCTTGTAATTCGCAGAATTTAAGATGTTTTTTAACACTGGGATTTCCCAGTATTTCACACTTGTGCCTTACAGATTTCGTTTTCTTTTTCTTTTTAAGTGAAAGTAAGACAACTTCATTGAAACTTCTTTCTTCTCCTTCCTCTTTCTGCAGAATGAATCTCCGGAGTGGAGAAACATGGCTGATTCTCCTCCAGGGCAATACCCAGAGGAGGAGTTCTCGTGGCCCCGACCTAAAACTGTGCGATTGCGTCGAACTTCCCAAGGGTTCGGCTTCACGCTGCGTCACTTCATCGTGTACCCACCTGAGTCGTCCATGCACTGCTTTCCGGTAAATTTCCAGAGTGTATTTTTCACATAAGACTTCCAGCTTATTTCACTATTTTCATAAACCGAAGTGCTGTTTTCATGTCAACAGAAAGCCTGATACCTTAATTCTTTGATAATGACGACAAAATTCTCATGAGGGTTTCTGTTTCTTTGCAGGAGGAAGATCATGGCCGCAGAGGTAAGTGGAAAAAACGTGGCTTTTCCCCCTCATGCCTGCTCTTCTGCACTGCTGAGTCAGAGCAGTGCCTCTAACTTGTAATGACTCTTAATCCATCCACTCTTCAGCTCTTTTGCTTTCTTATGCAATGAGAACAATGTCGCTCCTGTGTGTCACTGACCTTTGTGGAGGCATGAAAGGTTTGGTCAGCACCACCTGTTTCTGTCCTGTAGTGACCCCCACTCCCCATATTGTTTCACTTTGTTGTTCTTGCTGCTTTTCTCCCTCATCATGAAAAGGCTGTCAGAAAGGGATGGCCTCAGTTTTTACTGGGTAGTGTGTGTGTGTTTTAGACCCTTTCCCCATGTTACTCTCGTTTTGTGTATTTTTCTCTCTTCACAGAAACAAGAACTCTGGTATAAGTAAAAGTGAATAAATCAATTTAGAAATCAAATACACTGTATGCAGTATCCAAACTCCTAATTTATATTTTTTACACAAGATAAAATGAGAAAAAAATGTCCCTAACCTACAAGACCCCTCCCAGCAAAACAGATATTGTTTTCAGCGATGTTGCCCCTTCAGAAAATATTACTTTGCAAGTTTAGAATTTCCCCCTGTGAGACTAATAAAGGAATATCTTATCTAATCTTAAATTATCTTATCTTATTGTGACAATGTCTGCAAGTCATCCTGCCCACACCCAGGAAGTTTTTCTCTGACTTGCACACATAATCACTTCTTTTTTTTTTTTTTCACATTAGGAAACAGCATAACTGAGCTTTCTTAGAGCTCAGCACAAACAGCTGTGAAAGGGAATGAGAGAAACTGGCTGAAAACGTTTTTCATCAAGTCATAGTGTTATAATGTTTTCATCCCAGAGCTGTAAATGTACATTAAACGTTATAATGAAACAGATCATGTGTGCTATTATGGCGACAACAAAGCAGACAGCATAGAGTCACACGCTCATTTGCTCATACTCACAACAAGTGCTCTAATCTGTCCAAGAGTGGCTCTAATGGTTCTAATGTAGCTTTCATTTCATTAAAATGTACCAAATGTACATGGTAGATTGTGTAGATGTGCACAGACACACATTACAACTTGCTTTTTAATGTAGAGAGAGACTGCTTATAATGGTAACACGTTTTGTTCAGCCTCTGCTCATAACTCTATGACACAATGGTTGAGGTGTCACTGCTCCATTTTTTTAAACATTTTCTGTGATTACCCCTCGTGATGAAGGAAATTAAGAACCAGTATGTGGTCCAGATTCAGACTTAAAGAGACCTATTATTGTCCCTTTTCATTAGACCAGTCTGGGACACCTATAAAATAGCTTTGCATGATTCACAGGCCAAAAAAAACCCTCCTGATTTTATCTGATATCAGCGCCCTTAAAAACCCCTCATTTCAGCACCATTCAGCCTCTGCCTCAAACACTTCATTTCAGCTGCTTTTCGAGTGAAATTAAGCTTTCCGCAACGACTGGGTGTATTTTTTTTACACACTTTGGTCATCATAATACTACCTGAAAGCTATGCCTTTGTACACTAGTATAAGGCTAGCCATTTGTCACTATTTAGAACCATGAAGCTTGTGTTCGCTATCATGATATTAGCTGCTGTTATAATGATACCTACGATTCTGATCCTTCGTGGAAGGTCTTCGAACAGAAACAGCTGAGATGCAAACCCAGCTCATACTGGCCTTTATTTACAAAGGAGTCATCGTTGAAGTGGTGTGCACCAACAGCATTGCTGTGACTGTTTTGTGTTGAAAACATAAAAAACTTCCCAGTTTTCTGCTTTCTTTATCTTTGGGAAGAGAAAATAGCTGTAACCGTCCTTTGTGACCAAAAAACACTTAAAAGTAACTTTCTGAGACAAACTGGAGCGAAGCTGTGGGTGTGCCTTTGCCAAGGCTGCATCCCCCTAATAGTACAGCACAACCTGACATTAGATTGGGGTCATGTCTGGAAATGTGTTGTTCAGAGAGGCCAGAAAACCCACTGAGGGATTGTGCCGCCATCTGTATATCTCATGATATCAAACTTTGCAGCAGTTTAGCATCACTGTCCAACAAAGTGTGAAAGTACACATCAGCACAAAAGGTCTCCTTTAATATAACAGTACAGTCAAACCTGCATCTATTGAACAACATATTTCACATAAAGCTTAAATAAATACATAGAAATCATGAACATGGACTGAGCCAAACAGGGAATATGAAATATTGAATAATCCAGGTAGTTACATAATGCTGGACACATGGGCTCATAGGCAACAAGCCAGAAATGAAGGAGAAAAGACTAACCTGGGCTGTCTTAGTCACAGTACAAAACAAGGAGATCTTTATGCCATAGGAGGGAGGAGAGAGCTGCGCACTGCATCATTATATTTGAGGGTATCTGAAAATAAAAAATAGACATATACTTTTATGTTTGATTGATTTATCCCATTTGACTGCAACCTAACTTCTTCTCAAACACATTGCTAGTCACTGTGTATATACAGTATAGACTTTGTTTTTTTTAGCAAATGGGGCCTTTGCACAAAGATAATTAAAATGTACCAAAAAATCAAACATAAAGACTGTGGAGAAACAGTTTCAGTGACCGAAAATACCAGCAATCAGTTTGATCACTTTGAGCATAATCACATAATAGATACGAACAATTCATGGCTCAAAAAAATGAGAACGACAAGCACCCAACAACAAATGCTGTAACAAAGCAGCTGTCAGTAACACAAGCAGTTACATATGCCAAAAAATACAAGGATTCAACTCAATCATTTCAAATTCACAAGGATAAGACATTTATTTCTCAAAAGGAAATATATCCTAGTTTAAAACAGCCGAGCATATTCACTGTATAAATCTTGTTTATGTCCCACGAGGGCAAAAAAAGAGCGAGACAAAGCTCCTCTGTCAAAACTCCAGGGTCAAGTTCAGGGCTTTTCATGTTTTCCAGCCGTATCTTCACTACTCTCTCAAACTACCTCAGTCACAGCAGTCATTAAGTCAGCCTTTTGTTACAAAATCTCCCACTTTAGAGGCAAGTGTGGATTAAAACTAGGCAATGCAATCTAAAGGAGGCTTGTTTAGTAATTGCCCATTCAGGGTCTTTTTTATTTTTACTCATAGACCATCCTGCAATGTTTTCTTTTTATAGACAGTCTTCATTAACTTCATATTCAATAAGCATTAACACAGCAGATGAACAGGGTTTCTCTTCGTCAAAGAAATTACATTTATTTGGTGTTGCTTTAATATCTAACGGTTTGGGTATGACACAAGTAAAAATTCTGTCAATACAAAAGATACGAATAAAATTGGAATCCCATCAATTATCTCTGGTTCTTGCAGGTAGGAAAGGAAAAAAAATAACGCTCTCAAATACATCCAGATGCATAAATTTATGAATAGCTCCATTGTGGAAAATGTAACCTAGTCATTTGTGGACCACCAGAGGGGGCATGTCTTACTGCTGTAAATTTATGGGACTTCTGTTGAATTGTTACATAATCCGAGTCCCCGGGTTGTGATTCTGCATGAGTAATCTTGTGTGTGAAAGAGAGAAAAATGGAGGAACACGTGCTTCTGTGTTTGTGACATTTTTAACACTGCCAATAATACTGAACAGTCAACCACTGGGTAACATTAAGCTTCTTGTTTAATTGTCTCTTAAAAAAATAACAACAAACATTCATAGTAATGGGGATGATCATATGTCTTTTACTGGGCCAAAAGTAATGTTTGTTTTGGTTTACATTCATCCCTTTTTACCGATCCCTGATCTTCCAGATCATTTTCTCAAAGCCGTCAAGCTCGGTCTTGTGCTGGTCTTGTGTAGTTTGTGGGCTTTCTAGCACTGACTCACTACCAGAATGTTAAGTACTGGGGAAGGATTTTAGCCACTCTTTGGCTGTGCCCAGAGCTATTTCTCAGTTTATAAGGAAAGAGTGGGAGTTGAGCAGCTGAACACACTGTCACTCTACCTTCTCTCACCCCCTCCATCCTCCTTTCTTCTTCTTCTTTTCTGCAGCCTTGCAGCTGCTAGGAGACAGAAGCAGCATGAGCAAACAGGTTTCCTCTCTTTAGTTTCTTTTTTCACACTTCTCTGAAACAACAACATTTCCCACTATTTGGATTTTTTTTCCCTCCAAAGCAGTTAATGATCATGACTATTCAGCATGTGGTAATGTGGGCATTTATTGGTCAAAACATGCTCTGTTGTGCTGTCACAATGTTGATTCACATGCCTCCAAATCTTGTGATAAACCTCCCAGATTGTCTTTCATTCTCATACAGAGCCATTCTTTCTTCTCACCTTAATGTCATGGAGCAATTTACTGCTTAGTCTGATACTCTAGAGCAGGTTTTTGTTATTTTTCAAACAAGTTGAGCCTTGATGAAAGTCAGAGGTTTCAGTTTTCAAATCAGTAAATAATGCAAACCTGAGGTTTTAACATCCATTAGTTATTGACTTCTTTTTTGTTGAGAACAGTTTAATGAATTGATGTTCTGTATTTGTTTGTACAGATATTCAGTATGCAATGTTCTGCTTCTTTTTATTAGGGAGACCCCGGAACAGGCTAGAACCAATGGACACTATTTTTGTGAAGCAAGTCAAAGAAGGCGGCCCTGCTCACGGCGCTGGTCTTTGTACAGGTAATCATCGTGGAAACATCAGCCTTGTTCATCAGCACAACAAAAGAAACAGTTTGGGATTTTTAAGCAGTGCAAATGAAATGTACAAATCTGTAAATGATGTGACATGGAACAGTAGAACTTCCCCCCCAAGCTATTGCACTGAGTTTGAGTGTTAAGTAATGCAAGCTGTGCAGTGTTTAGAAGTGTGCCGGCATTATTCTTTCAGTGAAGCAAAACATGAGCAGGGCCTCGCAGTCGCTGCAAAGTGCACTTATTTGTGGCTGTTTCTTCGCTACACACCCCATTTGTTTTTATTTATTTGCATTTCTGCGGTCTCTTTGGCACCTTGTAGGTGATCGGCTAGTGAAAGTAAATGGAGCGAGCATAATTGGGAAAGCCTATTGTGAGGTCATATGCCTGATTCAAGACAGGTAAGATTTAAACCCATTGCACAGATGGCTGCAGTCATATGGTGTATGTCTCATTATGTATTTATATGTATTTCTTTCTAACAGTGGTGACTTTCTGGAACTTTGTGTGATGCCAAAAGATGAGGATATACTGCAACTGGTAGGTCTTCCAATTCCCCTATTCTGAATAGATTTTGAGTTTTTATGCTTCTAATTTGCCTTGTCCTCCAGTTCCTTAATATTTACATAATATCATAGCTCACTGGTCTGCTCTAGTTTTATGTGTTCGTGTTAGGACAGATGCAGGGGGCCTGGCTGTCCCATCAGAGCTCTCTATCTAGGCCTCCTAATCAGGCCAGAGCAGGCTTTCTGTCCTCAAACCTCTGCTGTCACGACCGCCAAAAAGGCCTCATTAGAATGGTAACATGTTGTCATACTCATGCACAGAGCTGTAAATTTATAGACTGAGTTTGACACGAAGCAGTCACTCATGTAAGCCGGCATGCTGCTCATAGAAATGTTTGAAACTCCTTGGCTCATGTTGACCCGTCAAGCGAAACTTTGTTGTTTTTGTAACTCTGGCTTCATTTCCTCGACATTCTTTTGCCGATCACAGAGACATGCTTAGCCTCAGTTGACCGATTCACTACGACCTAAAGAACCAGTGTAACCTGATGTGACTTTGTTTTCTGGATTATGTTATCATGCATACCATTCATATGGATTGATTTGGAGAAAGTCTTCAGTCAGTCTGGTTGATGCAGCTCATGATGCAGCTGATGCTCCTCCCAGTATAGCTGCTGGGATGCCAGAATAGACCGTTTTGAGCTGTGGTGATGACACTTACCTTCAGCAGCTGTTTAAAAATAGCTTAAAATGTGCTCTTAAAATGCAGAATGTTGAATTATTAACCTAAAGGCTGTAGATAATTCATCAGGAAAAAGTAATTTCCATAAAAAAGAAATAGTAGGCAAGTGTGTGTAAAACTGTGGAATCAGATCTTTAGGAATATCAAAAATTCAACATTTTAGGTAATTACCCATTTCTTTTCATATATTAGTTTTGATTTAAAGCTATTAATCATTGTGTTAAGATAATCATACATGTAAGCGGCATAATTCAACTGTCAAAACCTGGCAAGATTTTTTAAGATGCTCATACAACTCAGGTTTTAGGCAGTGAAGTTTTAGTACCTGGGTCTGTATCCCTTTAAAAATATATAAATAAGAATGAAACAGCTCAACACAAATACCAAAGTGAGAATACAATTCTATTACAGATTGTTGTGTTTATCCATGTTTTGCGTATCTTATCCAACCTCTGTTTTTCTTCCTCCTTACTTCTCTCGAGCTGTGTTTTTAAAATTTTGATGTGAATGCAACTTGCATATCCTCGAATACCATTGCCAGAGCAGCGATGGGCCTCTTTACCTGTGAGAACTGTAGTTGTCCTCATTAACCTTTTATGCACGCTGCAGGCAGCCACCGGCAGCTGCTGCTGTGCGTTCTGCACATTCAGTGCACAGCAGAGGTGCATTCGTCTGTTCTATATCAATAGCAGATCATGTAAGTGCTTCGTCAGGATGCTTTGGAATCTTTTACCCAAGGGCCTTTTGTCATCTAACAGTCTATTTATGAATGATTAAATGGATGAGCTTGGCCGTTTCCTTAACCTGAAAATTCTTCCCTTGTGGACCTTTAGTGTCTGGGTTGAACCTTATTACCACATGATGGGGGAATCAATTAATCATTTCGGAGCAAACATCCAGAATTGCAACATTGCTTTGTTTCACTAAAACAACCCCGCCTCTTCAAATATATGCAATCAGTGATTTGTTAAATATATTTAATGTGAAACGTTAATGCTCTTTGATAAATTTGTTCCAGATGTTAACTTCTGCTTAACCCTGGACTCACATTTATTATCAGTTTTCTCTCTCATAACCAATCGACTGTTCCTCCACCCCCTCTGTGTTAGCTGCACCCTCTCTCGTTCCTTTTTTCACTAGAGCCCAATTACACTGTATGTTTCACATGTGCTGTAACTGGCCTCTCTGTGGAACTGTGAATGCTGGCCAGCAACATGAAAAAATATTCTATTAATACAGGCAAGCAAACTGATGAGGGCAAGAGTCTGACTAGTTAGATGACTTTACACTGTAGGAGGCAGCACAAGCACTGCTAGGAGACAAGCAGCAGTTGCTTAGCAAAGAGACGGAGTGAGTGTATATCCAGGGAGCAGAAAGGGAGGGAACTGTACACCAGGAAAGCAGAGGGAATAGAGAGCAGTGGAGAGAAAAAAAAAGGAGCATCTCGTATGTTGAGCTAAAACCGGTGGATCAAATCAGCTGACTGCTCTGTGTTTTGAACAGGTTGATGTTAAGGGAAAAGGAGAGAGGATAGAGCAGTGGGAGGGGGGCTGTACCATCACAGCTGAATGTGTAATCAGCAGCTGCTGCTTCTGTCATGTGAGCAATAGCAAAGGGAGGGAGAGAGAGAGAGGGAGGGAGAGGGAGAGAGAGAGAGAAATAGACTGGAGGCACCTTGTTCAGTTAGCGTAATATTCTGGCTGAAGATGGATACAATCATGGAGACCTAACAGCAGCTGAAGAGGCAGGCTCCTGCTCCTGCTACCTCACCAGGACAGACTGGCACGGGCAGGTTGTAACGTGGCAACCCTGCTTCATCACTGCTCCTTCATCCCTGTAATGCTGCTGCAGCTCTAGTATATTTTTAGCATGTCAAGCCCAGGCATTACCGTGGCTGTTTTTGACAATGTGTGCATTTTTCTCTGCTGGCATCCTTTTCTCTCCCACCCTCTCCCTCTTGATTTCTTAACACCTTGATTTTCCCATGCTGTAACGGCAGCCTTTTTCTCTGGGAACTACTAATCTGGTAAGCAAACAGCTGGCTGTGTTGCCATTTGACGTTGACATGTTGTGCTCGTCATCTCTTTTTGGCATGTGTCATGCATGTAAGCGGCGTCACCACAGGATGTCTTCAAATATAATTGACATAATTGTTATTAATTGTTTGAACGCTACACGGTCAGCTCTGTGTAGGTAATTCAGATGTGTAGACTGTAGAAATGGCCGATGGACTGTTCCTGCAGTACCTGTTAGAATGAGCGCTAGGATCTGGCATCCAGCTGGCATTTAGTAAAGCCTCGCCCCTTCTTCATCCTCTGTGCCAGATGTCATTAGCTTGATAAAGGCCAGTGACCTCTGAACTCTCCTGCACACTCATGCTTACAAAGGGTGGAGCTGCGCCTGGCACTGATTTATGTAAGTTTGTATTTTGACACCAGGTAGCAGGATCAAAGTCCTTGTGTCTTTACTACATGTGTAGTGTGTGAACACAGTATGAGCAGTATACTATAAGGGAAACAGATATATATATATATTTTTTTTTTTTTGAGGAGTGAAAGCCTGAGATGAACTCTTAATTTTGATTTGTGATTACAAAAAGTATATTTTGAGATATACAGCAAAACCTTGGACAGTAATCAGGTTGGCTAAACACAGTTCTTCTCTATTAAGGATGGGCAGCCAGCCATTTGCCTGAGATTACAGCCTTGCTTGTCTTAGGTGGAACATTCATTAAGACACTGGCTACCTGTTGAGGTCTATGTAAATTCACTGTGCATGTCATCTTGTTTTCTTTTAATATCTAGTTTTGGCTTCAGGGAATGCATGTATTGATTATTTCCCAATCTGTTCTTAAATGTCAAGAGAGAGAGGCTAGCTGTTGAGTCCTTTAAAATCAGTGCTCTTTGGTTGCCACAAACCATTGTTGTCAAGACAACAGTGTTGGGATTAATGTTAAGACGCTGAACTATATGAATTTATTAGATAAATAATGACGTTTCTGTCAAAGTCAAATGTATCTACACTTGGCTTGTGTAGTGTAGTAGGATCATCCGTCATGAAACAGTGAACATTACCATGGGAACTCTAAATAAGGAGCAGATGAAGACCACTGACACCCCTGAACTGCCAACGCCTCCACTCACTCGTACTGCAACATGCACTGCCCACACACATGCATCCCGCAGCATTTGTAATACCACGCTTGACTTCTCTGGAAGTATTTAGTAGCACTCCGTTGAATATTACACACACTCGCCAATGCAGCTTGTACTACATCCATTGTAACACTGCTTTGTCGCTCTGTTTCCAGGCCTACTCCCAGGATGCCTACCTCCGGGGCAAGAGCAGCTACAGCGGAAATGCGTGTCACATTCCTGAGCCTCCCCCAGTATGCTACCCCAGAGTAGACTGTAAGCCTCCGGGCATGGCCCAGGCGACAGACTCAGCCGAGCAGGTCTGCCGAGGGCCAGCAGCACCTCCTGACCATGGGTACCGCAAAGAGATCACCGTGCCTCCATCTCCTCCTCCCCCTCAGCCATATCCAAAAAGCCAGATGGCAGTGTGCATGCGCAACGACGGCGTGAGGACTGTGGTGGTTCCTCCTGACGCCACCCATATGGGACGCATAGGTCCGGCACATAGGATGGATTACGTGGATCCCGTCTTTCTTAGGGGGAGGCCAGGGTCATTGGCTCAGTATCCTCATCCTCGGAAGGCTGACGTCTACCCAAGTGGACCAGGAATGCTTCCATATGGCGGCCAGGCCCCTCATTACCCGGCCAATCATCAAAACATTGATTGGCGCACTTACCAGACGTACAGAGAGTACATTGACAATAAAGGAATTCATTCCCACGGCAGTCGGACTATCCAGGAAAGGCTGGACAATTTGCGAACTAGCCAGCCCGCATTCGGCCCACCCCATCACATACCCCGGGGAGACTGGATCCCTAAGGGGATGCGACGCAGGAGTACCTCCCACGAACGATCATACCAAGGACCCCCACCCCACTTTCAGGTTGCCCCACGCAGTGCTTCACAGGATCGCCTGAGCAGCGCGGAGAGAATCAGCCAAGCCCGGAACTGGCCTCCACGGAGCATGTCCCAAGATGGCCTCATGCACAAAGCCCGGACACCTTCCACAGACTACGTTGACCCGGCAGAGCTGGCTCGGCCCATTGATAGAAGAGCTGGATACGGTCGGGGAGACCAAGGTACGAGGCCCAGCAGGCAGTCCATGCCGAGGCACGCCATGCTCTACAGACCTACTATTGGATACAGTGGCGGTATGAGGGGGCCACCCAACCCTCCTCTTTACTCTAAAGGACCAGATTCTCTTCAGACTCGCTCCTCGCCCATGCTTTCAGAGAGACTCGCACATTTTGGAAAGAGTGCAAGCACCGAACATTCTCTTGTTGACCAAAGAGTTGCAGCGAAAGGAAACTATGTAGCCCGCGCTACCCAACAAGGCCAGAACAGGATGCGGGCCGAATCCATGCAGCCTGTTGAAGCAAGCAGAGACCCAGCTTTGGTAGGACAAAGGTCCTCTTCATGCTCCACCCCGAAACAGATGCTTCAGAGGCCTAGCATCCTCAAGCCACCTCACCCAGACTCTCAGAGTCAGGTCAACGGGCGAAGTCCCACAGAGACTGGTGTTGTTCTGAGGGAGAAGCCTCCCTCTGGAAAGAACCCTAGCCCCCTTCGGCAACCCTCATACATTCTGGCTGTAAATGATGATGGAGCAGATTCCTCCACAGATGTAGTGGCGTGCTGGCTCCCCAATGATGCACGTCGAGAGATTCACATTCGCCGCCTTGGGGAACAACGTCACACCTCCTGCTCCAGCAACCTGGACGAGTCTCTGGACTTAATTCCATTCATCGGTAAGAGAATTATCAGTTGTAAGCCTTGCCCTCTTAGGTTGTCATGGCAATGACAGCAGGCAGTAGTAAAATGAGGCAGTGCTGTAAGTGAATCTAAATAAGGCGTCTCTGTCAGAGATGCTGATAGAAGTAAGTGCAGAATTGAAAAATAGTCGAGCCTGTTGACCTCTAGTTAAATTTGTATCTGATTCAACATTTGTGTGTTTGTGAGTGTGTGCGTGAGTTTGTGTGCCCGCACTAGACGAAAAATAAATTAATCTCCCAGTGGAGATGTTAATAATCAGGTTTTGTGGCATTCAGAGAGGTTTTGTGGAATATTCAGCTTAACTGGGGCAGTGTGAGGGAGCGCTTAAGCCTCTTGGAATATATTGATTTTCTCCCTTTAATACTCTGTTTTCCTTCAGTGGTTTCTCTACAGGATGGATTGTGTTATGCTTCAGTCGTCCCATAATATATTTCACGGTGACTGAAGAGCTTCATCTTAAAAGCAGCTGTCTCATAGTCACTGCTTGTTGTTACAGGTGTTATCAGCGCTTCAAAAGACTTTTAAACTCTGTCAACAGTTTGTGTTTTTTTTTATAGCTGCTGCTCTGCTTTGTGTCATGTCCTCCACAGTTGTAGAGCTGGTCTAAAATTTAAGAGTTCTGTCCGTTGAGTCTTGTCAGAGTGGAATTCTTGTAGGATGCTCAGCAGCTAAAAGATACTCATAATTAACGGGAGCTCTCATGTAGAAGTGTGTTGATGAAATCACGCCTACTGTGTTAAAGCGCCGCAGGCAAGATGGGTTATGCAGATGGAGGAACTTCTAGGTTTCTTAAATATTTTTCAAAAAGCAACTGAGATGGAAAAAAGTGTTGAATATTTTATGCTCAGTTATCTTACTGTATTTGCTGCTGTCTCTTTTCCTCCTCTCTTTTTCCACCCGTCTCGACACGTATGTATTATGTATGTTTGGTGTGTTCGTCCCTTCTGTCTATCTACCAGCCTGTCTGTGTTACAACGTAAGTAGTAAACAGAGAAGTAAAGCCCATGAGAGAAGATTTTCAGTTCTTAACAGTTTAATTTTTTTGCAGTATTTATAAAGGTCTTGGCTCAGCTTTTACGATAGACGAAGCAGCTTCCTCAAAGAAAAGTTCCATCTCTTATTCCTGATATGAATTCGGGCTGGTTTGCTTACAAATTCAAAGACCCAGTTATGTTATTGTTTTACTTAACTTTAATGTCTCAGGGGGTTGCTTGTCTGTGGTTTTCGAGGACCTAAAGGAAACATTTTGTACTTTGCAGGTAGACTCTATGAAAAAAAAAAAAAAAACTAGGTCATAGGCGACAACAACACTAGAAGTTTAACTTTGGCCCCTGGGAGCGAAGTTAGTTCCTGAAAGAAAATGATGACTTTTCAAGTAGTCTAAGGAGGTTAAAGTGAGTGAAATGAACCAGTTAATTTTATGGTCAGACTTTAAGGTATACAAGATAAAAGTAGAGAATAAAAAGTTAATGACGTTGAATCTCTTGAAAAAGACAGTTGTGAGCTGGGTGTACATGGTGCTGGTGGTCTTGTGTCTTAGCAGTGTTTTGGCCATTCTTTTGGTGGTCCACATAATATTGGTTGTTAAGGCTGCCCGGCAGGCCAGGTGCAAACAAAGCAGGCAGTGACAGTGATGATGCCGCAATACCACCATTCTGGGCCTGGTGCCCTGACCCAGGAAAACAGTGCCCTGATTGTGTTAGCTGTTGGACCTCCATCAATAGCCCGTTTGAAAGCCCAATGGTCCAGTTGTTGGTGTTGCCCAGTCCATCTTTTAATTCAGCCAATCTACAGGCGGATCATATATCCTTTATCTGCTTTAGATGTCAATGGCCTAACCTTTAGATCTAGTTTGTAGTGTGTCCAGAATTTAACTCTTGTTATTCTGAGTGAAGCTTTTCAATCTCTCTGGTCTGTGATCAAAATGTGAGTCTCTTATTTATGGTCAGAGTGATCATAAAGGATGTTTTTTCTTTTTTTGCAAAAGACTGAAGAGCGAACATGTCCTGACAGCTCTGTGGTGTTAATAATGAACAGTTTAGACCTAAGGCAGAATCCCTCTGGTGTTTTTTTTGAAGAAAGCTGGTATATCAGCTGTTAGGAGTGTTAAATCAGCAGCAAAGGAAAACAGGGTTGTCCTGTTTCTTTTGACTTGGATTTCTCTGTGTGCCTCCCAATGCAAATTTTTTCGAGTGGAGTTTCCCTTTGGTTCGTTATGGGCCTAGTTTGGAGAATTGTTAAAAGTTCTTTGTCATCTTCTACTAGGAGCGTAGATAAAGACCTGATGGCTGTTTCAATAAAATGTAGTTTCTCAATGACGGGCAGAAGTCTGACGAGGTCACCTATCAGGTCTAGTTGTAGAGGTGGTGATATATTTTCCCTTTGCCCAGTTTCAAAGTTGGGTACAGGCTGGAACTAGGACAGTTTCTTTTAAATTTAGCTCCAAAAGCCCCTCGGCTGCAGAGAGCAGCTTTGTACTGTGAGCTGTTTCAGGCTTCAAGTGCCAGGAGTGGGAGGTACACGAGAGTCAAGAACTTCCTTCTTGCTTAAAAAATGTGTTAGCGAAAAAAAAAGATCTCTGCCAACTTTCATCTGTTGCCAGAGATCTGTTAACCAAAAATTCCATCATCATAATAATCTTTTGCGCATATAAAATAAGATTAATTTAACATAAACTGTTGCTAATTAATGTTTAATTATAATTACAGATGAGCCAACCAGCCCCAGCGTGGACCGGGATGCTGCCCCCATACCTCCTTCCGCTGTCATATCTGTTGCACCATCAATAACCACAGGTCCCTCCAGCCCAGGCTCCCCTTGCCCCCCTATTCGACGTCAGCTGTCACATGACCAAGGTAAATCATTTGAGTGTACTTTTTTTTTATACAGGTGAATCAACTAAACCACTTAACACTTGATAACATTATTCCATCTTTTTTTTCTGCCCTACTCAGAGTCTCTGAGAAGTGCTTTGCTAGAGTCAGAAACCGGCAGCAAAACAGAGCGCTCCAAATCCTACGATGAAGGCCTGGATAACTACCAGGAAGAGAGCAGAGGGTGAGTGCAGAACAGGATCATATCATTGCTGAAATCTCATGATTTTGTGTCCGACTTTAAATGTCTTTTTTTTTTTTTTTACTCCCTGTCTTTAGACGATCTTCCAGTAAGCACATGCCCAGTCTCAGAGGCCTTAGAAAGGTGAGCAAATACACAATTAACCACCACAAAGTAGACTTTCTGACGTCTGAACAGAGTTATTTTGACATTTATCCAACTCAAACTGGTGTCAAAATCTATCCACAGTGATTAGATAAACTAAAAACACTGTGAGAAAAGCCACATGTAAGCCCAATTGAATTTAAGCACAATATGAGGGCTGAAACACCCTGAGCAGATGACACATACGAATCATACATTCTCTCCCTGACTCCTGTTATCTCTATAATGTCAGTAAACTACACCTGTTAGAAATCTCTTGTATTCACACTTGCAGGCTCTGGACGGTCACAAATCTTCAGCAGATTCTGGATCTAGAAGAGATTCATCGTCGGATATCTTTGCCAGTTCTTCCAAAGAAGGGTTGCTGAATTTTAGGCAGCTGAGTACAGATAAAAACAAGGTATGCCTGTACACTTGTGCTTTTTTTTAACACCTATAAACTCTATTTCATGAATGCTCTGATTTCTAATACTGTATATCTCTCTCTGTGTCTGTAGCGTGTTGGTGGAGGAATGAGGTCATGGAAGCAGATGTACGCAGTGTTACAAGGTCACATCCTCACCCTCTACAAAGACAGGAAGGACGCGGCGTATCACGCATCCACGCCGTCTGATGAGGACCCTCCGCAGATCAGCATCAAGGCCTGCCTGATTGACATCTCCTACAGCGACACGAGACGCAAGAATGTACTCCGACTCACCACCTCAGACTGCGAGTATTTGTTCCAGGCGGACGGGAGGGATGAAATGCTGTCATGGATCCGAGTGATTCAGGAAAACAGTAACCCAGATGAAGAGGTAAGCTCCAGCAGGGCTTGTGCTGCCAAGTCAAAGAGTATAACCTTGTTATAGCCGCAGTGATGGAGGTCTGGAGATATTCAAACACATCTTTTAGAAGCATGGGGGCATGATCGTGTATAATGAGAATAAGGGCAGAGCAGATTCTAGATTGTTCATCCGACAACATTTACAACGTACAAATTCAAGATGACTCAGGAGTATTTTTGCAGTTTTTAATAACCAACAGACCTGAAACACATGTTCAATAATTCAACGACCATTAATGTTGACATTTTCCAACAGGATGCGGCTGTAATAAGTCAGGACCTGATCAGTCGAAAGATCAAGGAATACAACATGATGAGGTACGCGGGACTCCACAATGCCCTTAACCATGTCCTCTACTCGGATGGATTTTGTGCCAGGATATTTTCGTTAATGAGAATGTGAACTTTTTTTTTGTTCTTGTCTAAATTAGTGCACCCAGCAGCAGGTCAGAACCCTCTCCCAAAACCTCCCGCCAATCCCTCAGCATCAAACAAGCTTTCCTGGGAGGTAAAACAGACAGCAAGAGCCACAGCCCTCATTCGCCCAAAACAGGAGAGGAGCGGCGGGCGCTGAGAGGTACTAAGACAGCAGCTTCTTTGAGTCGTGCTCAGCTCGCAAGGTGTTCCTGTGTCCAGATTGCTTATTTATGTTTTTGTATTTTGGTCTTTTCTCCTGCAGATGACTCCAGTCCACCTCGAGACAGAGCCGCTTGGAAAATTGGCATCGCAGGGATCATGAGGAAGCCCTTTGAGAAGAAGACTCCAGCTGGGGTTACTTTTGGGGTGCGGCTGGACGACTGTCCACCTGCCCAAACCAACAGGGTGAGACAAATATATTGATATCTATTTAAGGGTATAGAAAAGGCTGGGTTATTGAGCATTCAGATCATGTGAGTAGCAAATTTCTCCCATGTTTACAAAATAATGACTGTCTATACACAACACCCAACCACCTCCATGTGTAGTATTTCTCAAAACAGTCTTTAGATTTACGTCAAATGCGTGACAAATAAGTGATTTGTTGTGTCAAATTTCTTCCTTCTGTGCAGTTCGTTCCTCTGATCGTGGAGGTGTGCTGCAAGGTAGTGGAGGAGAGAGGCTTGGAGTACACAGGAATCTACAGGGTCCCTGGCAACAACGCTGCCATCTCCAGCATGCAGGAGGAGCTCAACAGCAAAGGCATGACTGACATCGACATCCAGGAGGATGTGAGTGACTGACAGCCGGGCTACACCGGCAACACTTTACCGCTTCCTGACAGCATCTCCTCGCTGTGGTGATAGAGTTGTACTGAAGGGAACTGCTTCTTGATAATCCTCTTGTTTCCACTTCCCTCTGCAGAAATGGCGGGACCTCAACGTCATCAGTAGTTTACTGAAGTCCTTTTTCCGAAAACTTCCAGAACCTCTGTTTACAAACGGTACGATCTAATGAATGCAGCAGACTGTCATGATGAAGAAAAACCGGACTCTCTGTCGGGTTCTTTCATTTGCAGCGCGCAGTAAAAGTCTCTGTGCTCTATTCACAGAAAAGTATGCTGAGTTTATTGAAGCCAACAGAACAGAAGACTCAGTGGGGAGATTAAAGGAGCTCAAAAGGCTGGTGAGTACAAATCTAAGTGGGACAGAATTTAATTAAACCGTATTACACGATTCCAATCTAATAAACCTGAAACTTTTTTTTCCCTCTTCTGTAAATTCTCGCAGATCCACGAATTACCCGATCATCATTTCGAAACTCTGAAATTCCTTTGCGCCCACCTGAAGCGGGTGTCCGAGAACTGTGAAAAGAACAAGGTACGACAGCTGACAGGATGCGTTAGTCTAATTGTCAGAAGTCTTTGTCAGCCCCCGTCCGCTCCTTCTTAAAATCACGTGGTGTACTTACCTCATCTGTGCAGATGGAGCCCCGTAATCTGGCGATAGTGTTCGGTCCCACGCTGGTCAGAACCTCCGAGGACAACATGGCTAACATGGTCAATCACATGCCAGACCAGTGCAAGATCGTGGAGAACCTCATCCAGCAGTATGACTGGTTCTTCACTGATGAGTGTGACGAGGATCCTGTTGTATGTTTGAATTCCTCTTTTTTCATTTTAATTGTATTCAGTTTGGTTTCTAAATGTGAGTTTAAAGCTGCTCTAAAGTGTATTCTCATATGTGCATTGGCTCTAAAGACTGGACTCAGCAGAGATGGTGAAACCTTTTAAATTACTCAGTCTTTCAGTCATTTTGGTTTCACTGCTTGCTTAAGTATTATTTAACGTTTACCTTTTTCGTCCTTTTCTTGTGTTGTGTCGAGTAATTTATCCTCTCTGTTCTTTTCTATTCTCGTCCACATTGTGTTATTCCCCGCAGACCACAGCCGAGCAGGAGAGCACAGTGCAGTCTCAGCCTGTGCCCAATATCGACCACCTGCTCTGCAACATCGGACGAACTGCAGCCTCACCGGGAGAAGTCTCAGGTAAATCTGGGAATGTTTCCCTTTAGGATCAGCACCCATGCATCCCCACATCAACTATGATAACGTGGCAGAAATAGTATTTTTTATATTTCTTCAAATGAATGAATATGTTGCACTGTGTCAATTTGAAATGCTGAAACAAAGATGCCTTTCCCCATGATTTGAAATGCTTTTGGCAAAACGAACCAAATTTTTCTTTGTCTTTCTGTCAGGCAAGCCTTTTTCAGTCGTTTTTCCAACGAGCCTTTTTCACTCGAAATGGGAAAACTCTTGAAAAACTTTTGCACTTTGTCAACTTTTTATTATCAGTTTGTTTTTTGATCAAAGTCTGTTTTGTTTCTATGTCGGAGTTTTTTGCCCAAACATAAAATTGTCCACAAGTTTTTTTTATTTTATTTTATTTTTCGTTCATTTGTTTGCTTTACTCTTGATTTCCTCTTGCTCAAGTCATTTTTTCTCCCTGTGCTTTACCTGTGTTGAGACGACGACTCCTTTTCTTTCAGTTCTTTTCTTCCCCTCCTCCTCGTCTCTCACATAATCCCGGCATGTTCTTTCCCAAAGAAAATCAAGCGAAACAAAAAAACGAAACAATGGAAGTTTTAACCCTTCTGACCTCTGCCCTTCTGTGTGTAGTGTGTTGTTTTTCTCCCTTATCCCTGTCCAGCACTCACACATTACCCAATCTTGACACAGGCCAAGTGGGCGGCGTCTATCACTCGATGATGTCACTGATGGACTCTGTTTTGTCAGTGATGGACAGCTGGGACTGTAGGAAGAAGGACGAGTGTTGTGCCCAGTGTAGCTGCCTAGTCTGCAGAAACCCGCAGCTCTTTTAAATTTGGGCGAAAAGGAGGAAAAAAGATAAAAAAGAAAGAAAGAGAAGTCGATGTTTGTCATTTTTCCTGTGGTGTGCACGTCTCATATTTAAATTAATACCCTAAAATTGAGGGGATACAGAGCGATGCTGCTGTACTTTGTCTGAAAGCCCTTCTGCTGTCTCTTGTTGTCTCTAAAGCTGATCGCAAGGACAAGTAGCATGGTACGGTCAACCTCAGGTTCTCTCCCGGTCATGTGGCATACTCTGTCATGATGTCTGAGGGTGGGCTCGTAGTGGCGGGACTGAGCTGGATGTTCCCCAGCGCACAAACTCAAATCAAAAAAAAACCCCACACATACAACCACGTGCCAGACCCCGATAAATCCCCCAGTGAGTTGTTGACGCAGAGGCACACAAATAGCAGTTGGAAGCACGGAGATGTAGTGGTATTCGCAGAGACACGAAGCTTCCTTTTTTCAGATTCAGGTGCCTCCTCTTGTGTCTTTCTGTTTGAGTTCCTGTCCTCGATGTCTTTTTATGAGAATCTTTGTCCACATTTAACGTGAAAAACATCACATTCTCAACAACAGACAAAGACCGCTACGGACATCCTCATCTCCTACTGTTACATAACACATCAGTCACTTACATGTCCCTCTCAGTGTCCCTCTACTACACACACACACACAATTTGGGCCTAATTTAGACTGTTAAATAGCCTGTTTGAACCACAAGATCCATATCAGAGGACTGGGAACTATTTCAGGAACTCTGGACTTTGACTTGACCAGATATTTATGCCGATAAAACAACTATCTGAATATAAGCAGTGTAAAGATGAGGACTAATTCTAATTTTATCTAACGGCACGTCGTCCTCTTTCTGGCAAGTCTGAGTGCGTCACCATGTTGGCGTTTTAAAGAAGAAAATGAAATGATGTAACTCAACAGCAGGTGGTCTACCTCAAAAACAGGTTCTCTGTAGTTTTCAGGGGTCTGTTATTCATTCGCAGAGGAAACCAAAAAAATCAAAATATGATTGGATTGAATTGAATTGAAACAACTCTGTTAACGTGCCAATCATTGAAAGATACCTGAAGTTCCTGGATTTAGTTCTTCTGACTCCATGGTTCCTGTACTGATGTGGTCGGGCTATTTCTCCGCCAGTTACCGTCTTCTTCTTTTTTTGCAAATCGAGACCAGCAAGTTTTGTGAACTCCTTGTTTTGCCTTTTTTGTTGTTGAGAATGACAGGGCACAAGATAAAGGAGTTAATCTAGCTTTGAGTAAGAGAGCAATCTTCCCTCATGCTAAGTCTCGCCTGCGCCAGCTCTACTGACCACCACAAAAAAACACTCACTGATCCTGTTCAGCTCAGACCCCCTTTTAAGTCACTTTTAGTCAGCGCAGAATCGTCACTCCCTCTCCTCTGTCATGTCTTTGAGTTGGGAAAGAATGCCTACGGCTGGTTGGTGGCTACATGTGATGCTCTGTGACTGACGTGTTTGTCCGTGATGTGCCGTCGTTCCATCGAAACATCGAGCATGAGCTGCTTTCTGTGTCTTGGTTTACTGCCGGGTTTCACTTCCTTTTTCTTCCCATCTTCCATCTCAGGCCTCCTCTGACGCTTTCCACACTTTCCATCCACGGCTCCGTGTGGTTCCTCGTCCTGCTGTCTGTCTGTCTGTCGGTCTCTCCGAGCAGAAAAATGTCGTCTGCTTTCATTCAGCTGCTCTCATTATATCCATCATGTCTACCAGTTTCACTCTGGACATTAAAACCTGTTTATTTTTTTTCTTTCCTTATCTTGTTGACTGTTTTTGACGTGTCCGAGCTGTAAGACTTTACCTGATAACACTCCTCTCTTTCTTTCAGATTCAGCATGTAGTGACTCCTCCAAATCAAAGGTAATGCCTTCATCTGATGTCTTCTTCTCTCGTCCTTTTGTCTCTGCTGGTTTCGTATTCTCAAGTTTCGTTTCTTGTTTTTCAGCAGAGCTTGTGGGGGTCAGGGAAGGATCAGTGTAGCAAAGAGATGCTGCGCTCCTCCTTCTTCGCCAGCCGCAAGCGCAAGAAGCCCAAGGACAAAGCGCAGCTCAGCAGTTCAGACGACGACCTGGACTCTGTGTTCCTCAAAAAGGAGCTCCCAGAGGAGAGCCAGCAGCAGCCTCTGTGGTCCCCGGACAGCCGGACCGAGGAGGAGGAGGAGGAGGAGGGAGAGACAGATGAAGCGAGCGAGAAAGAGAAGCACAGGAACAGCTCTGAAGAACAGCTGGACGCACCCAGCAGGATGGAGTCTCTCTCCAGCAGCCTGATGTCACAGCCCTCCCCCTCCCTGCCTCCAGAGCGCATGTCCTCCGCCCTTCAGCCCGGCTCCCCCTACGCCTCGCCCCCTCACTCCCCAAACCTCGGCTACCGTATGCCAATGGCTCACCAGTCCTCCCTGTCAGACCCGCCTTCAAACTACGACGACACCGTGTCCGACCTCGGTACGATGAACAGCACCAGCTCTCAGGCCTCTGTTCCCAGGATGAGGAGAGGCAGGGCGGCGGCTGTCGGCCCAGAAGCAGGTCCCAGCGGGCTGGGAGCCGAGGTTTGCTCCATCACCTCCGACTACTCCACCACCTCCTCCATGACGTTCCTCACCGGAGCGGAGCTCAGCACCCTCAGCCCTGAAGTGCAGTCTGTGGCGGAGAGCAGAGGAGGAGACGACGCCGACGACGAGAGGAGCGAGCTGATCAGCGAGGGGAGGCCCATGGAGACAGACAGCGAGAGTGATCTGTCTGTGTTTGCAGTCGGGAAAAACGAGCCGAGAGATCTGCAGGAAGCCCCCCGGCCCCTCCCCTCTCACAGGCTCATCGAGTGTGACACGCTCTCCAGAAAAAAAGCAGCTCAGCAGAAAACCAACAGCGAGTCTTCGCTGGAAGGAGCTTGGAGCGACAAAGATTCCAACAGACTGTCACGAGTGTTCGGCTCGGTGAAAGGTCGGTCCACAGGCAGCCTCAGCTCCTCATCGCGCGGCGACTTGGACAAAGCAGAACCTGCGTGGAAGCTGAAGATCACCGACCGGCTGAAGGTACGTCTCCGTACGTCTGTGGATGACATGTTTGGAGTGGGCAGCCAGAGGAGCCGGTCCCCAGACGGCCGCAGCAAGAAGAAGAACATCCGACGCAGACACACCATGGGCGGTCAGAGGGACTTCGCCGAGCTGTCCGTCCTGGGAGACTGGCCGCAGCACGTCGGCATCGGCTCGCGCTCTGAGCTCTCGGCTGTGGACCAGCTGAAGCCGAAGTGCAGCTCTCAAGACTTCTCCATCGGGGACTGGATCGCCCGCGAGCGCCACCGCACCAGCAACCCGGAGGTCAGCCAGGACCTCTCCGAGCAGCAGGGGGCGCTGTGCAGAGCAAACTCCCAGAGTCTCGGCGCCTCGTCCTCCTCTGAACTCTCGCACCGACAGGCCGACGTGCTGAACGGGGACGTCCCGCAGAGCAAGAATCTGAGCCTCTCTGCCACCGCACACCCACACAAACTCTCCAGTTCCCAGGTGGTCCATTCGCGCTTCTATCAGTACCTGTGAGGGGTGTTGGACGTGTGTGTGTGTGTGACTGTGTGTTCTCCATCTGTGAGATGTGTACGTACTTGGGAGTCTGTCAGTATATGTCTGTCGTGTGACAAGTGTCAGTGAATGAGCATGTTGTACAAATATCGTCTCGAGTGTGTGTCTGTAACCGGTGCGCGTGAGTGTGTGTGCTTGTTAAAAGAGAATTACCGCACACAGGGATCGCTGATCCTGCTCATGTAGAAGCATGGAACAAAACGTTGTTTATACATTTTTATTTTTATGATTTTATTGACAAAATGACTCTGGGGTGGTTCAGCAGGAGGAGTCCCTCCCTCCTGATCGTAATCCCCCGTCGTGCTGAAGACTGAGAGGACCTGCCGCTCACGAAAAGAACGAGCCTGTGAAAGTTTGTACAAGGAGGTGCAAACAAGCGATACCCGAGTTAAGATTGTTTCGAGGTTTAGTCAAGTGGCTTTAAGGATGAACTGACTTGTAGAAAGAACAGGAGATATATAAAAAAGTTGTGATTTCTAGCATTGCAGAGGAGCTATTTTTGTGTCGAGAAAGTTAAGATGTTCAGAGTCAGCGAGTCTCTCAGTAACCAAATGAAGAATGTACAGACATGCTTGCTGTAATACTGACTAAAAGCTTTAGATGCTTGTGTTTCATTCTAAAGTGTACATATCCCTATTTTTCTGTGTACTACTTGAAAAGTGTTTTTGGTACAGCCTGTGTGTGGACTGCCTATGAGCTCTCTGCTGTCAAAGGGGCCTTTCCAAAGGTACAGATGTGAAGAGGTGACACTGGACTTATGCAAAATGGAAAGAGTTCTTATTCATCCCGGTCATGTGGTTTTTAAGAGCAGTGAACAACATCCCTCTGTTGCAAATGTGATGCTGTTTTAAGTGTTTGTGGTTCAAACATTGTACTAATGCAGCGAGGAAGAAAAGCTGGAAGATTAAAAAAAAAAATATGGGTATTCAATCAGAAAAATCATGTTTCTTGAAATAGGAAGTGCCTCACAATGAAATGTTATGGGTGCCATACTGTCTTTGTCTTTGAGACACACCAAGATGTTACTGTGAATGACATTTTTATTGTTGACTCTCAGTCATTCTACAGGTTAATGTAACAAAATGCCGAGCTTCCAATCCTTAGGCATTCCACTCTGGTCTTAACATGTTTTTTACATTTTTTCTCTTTTTTTTTTTTTATTTTAACAGAACTTGAATTTTAAATATTCCTTGTAAAATACATAACTTAAGTGTACATATTAATGCCATGTTTTAGCTGCTTTACTTTTCATTTCCATCAGATTACAGGATTGCGTACAGTATTGTGTGATGATGACGATGATGATGTTGATGCTCATGAGGCCTGTGTGGGTTTTGTGGGCTGTTAGGTACTTCTCAGTGAAAGGGGGGGATCCCTGCAAAAGGAAACACTTGGTTGAGCTGGATTGTTTGTACCAATGCTGTGTTCCTCTGATTGTTAGAGGGGTGTGAACCGACTCCTGAAACACTGGAAATAAAAATTGTCAATGGCAGACTCATGCTTGCTCTTTTTCATTTTTACCATAGACTGTATATACCATGGACAACTTAGTTCCGCCTTCCACTGGTATACAGATTTGAAGCCGAGAGTCACTTTGATGACGATTTGCTCAAACAGCGTATGCCCCAGGTGAGCCACGCAATCTCCGTACGCCCATAGGCTGTATCAAGTGTCAATCATAGAAAACATGAACCCCCTAATAACTTTTAAAAATGGAGCTGTAGAGAAAAAAGAGGACTTAAGCACAAACCAGTCTTACTGTAACTCAGTGGTTCTCAAGTCCAGTCCTCGAGCACCCCCGTCCTGCATGTTTTGGATGTTTCTCTGCTCCAACACACCTGATTCAAATGACTAGCTCGTTAGCCATTACAGAGCTTGATAACGAGCTGATCATTTGAATCAGGTGTGTTGGAGCAGGGAAACATCCAAAACATGCATGTAACTACATGTCAGCATTGCAAGCAGGGGTAGAGAAAATTATATTTTGTGGAATAAATTTCTAGTTTGTCCACAGCTCCATAGGGATTGCTGGAGGAGGTGGGATTTATGACCTATACTGCAGCCCGTCACCAGAGGGTGCTGTTCTCAGGGTGCTTCACCCAGCAAGGAGGCAGACGGCGTCCATTGTATATACAGTCTATAATTTTTACTCAGAAGGCGATCAAAGGACCTGTATCATGTATCTCCTCAAGGGTGATACCTGGAAATCCCCTTTAACTTTTGATGTCTTTCTTTAAAAGAAAGAAAATACAGAATTTTTAACACAATTTGTCCTTTTCAGCTCTGAATATAACTGCTTAAACCTCATTTGACCACAAGAGGGCGCACTGACTAAAGAAGAAAACAAAGCTGCCACACTAGTCAGAACTCACATACTGCACATTGTTGATTTAAACAAAAATATCAGCAAGAAACTTAAAATACATTTGAAAATGCTTTATATACAAGTTACACGTACAACATAAAGACTTAAACAATTTAAGGTTTATACACTTTGTACACCCGCTGACTAGAAATCACAGACAAAACTAACAGAAGAGACAAAGGGAGAGAGAGGCAAGCCATTGAACACACACACACACAAATCAAATCAGAAATCAGCACAAACTCACCGGTGTGTTAGCGTGAAAGGTAATAACTGCAAACCAAATACTTAACACTTTCAGCAGTATTATACTGTCTTTCAAAGAGGCATACAATTACACAATAGGTTTGTGATCACTTTTCCTCACATGTTGAGAAAAAATGTGCCATACATCTGGGATACAAAGTTTCCCTCTCTGAAAACGAAAACCCTCATCTGTATTCTGGTTTTGAGTCATCAAGGCTTTTCCATATCTGTGAACTTTCAGCGTCATATAGACATGAACGTTTCGTCTGCAGTAAGGCACAGTGACTAAAAACACAACTTGGATTCAGAAACGTGAGGAGGGGAGTATGATTCTTAGCGTTTTTAGATTGACGCCTTGTTTTGAGTATAACACATTGTGCCCATGTTTTTTGTGAGCAGGACAGGACTTATGCATCCGGACGTCACCCACTCATAGACACTACACTAAACAAAGAAGTTCTGAGAAACAAGTAGCAGTAATCATACTAATGAACACAATAATCTGTAAATCGGCCAGCTGGTTTATCAGAAACTGGGAGCCTATCAAGAGTAAACTCTCAACATAATGATCCGATCTTTAAAGAGGGACATTTTGTGCTCGATTAATGCGCCTGGCTTGGAATGGAGACACATTTCTCAATGGACATCATGTAGGTCCCCTATTTGTCCACCAGAGAGAGCACTAGTCCATATATTCCAATAGCAGAGAGAGAAATATGACTGTTCACGTCTGATGTTTATTTTGTCCTCCTGACCAGCAGCCAGCACGAGGACAGGAGAGGGGATGGAGACCTCTGAGGCTCCTTTGCACATGCAGGTGCTGCGCCACAGAGTGGAGCTCAAATCTGATTGGACAGCAGGTGTTGTTGTTGTTGTTTGATTGGGTAGCGAAGTTCTTGTTGCATATTGTGCTGTAGTATCTGGCTGATCAGAGGAGCGTGTTTAACTATCTTCCTCCTCTTCCTCGTCCTGGTTCGACTTCTTCTCTGGTACTCGGAAACACTCCTCGAAGAAGTTGACCAGGGACTGACTGAGGTGCTGCTGTGTGCCCTCACTGTGTAGAAAATGTCCCTCATCAGGGTAGATCTGGGAAGAAATACACAAACAGATCATTACCAGGGTTTTGTGTTCATTTCTTATTCATAAACCATAAAATCCAGTTTTATTGTGCTGTGTATTTTAGAACAACCAAATGTCATTCACAATGATTTAAAGCAAATAGATTCAGCGTATACCCCTGTAACTTTGTTTAGATGGAAACAGCGACTTCAAAGTTACTTAAAGGGATATTCCGGCTTAAAATTAATTCTGGGTCAAACACACACTGATTTCTTTAGCAAAGAGACTAAACACAACTCACCTACTTTCTTCCAGCAGCCGCTTGTTTGTACCGAGACCTCAGGCGAGTCCATTACGGACTACAGCGGGGTGACACAGCTCAAGGAAGAACATTTGTGATCATTTCTTCATCGTTTCATTGAAGTAATAATCACCATATTAATCATTTTGCACTGCAGATGTGGTAGTTCTTCTGCCTTAGAAGAAATGATCACAAATGTTTTTCTTTGAGCTGCGTCACCCCGCAGCAGTCCGTAATTGACTGGCTTGAGGTCTCACTACTAATAAGCGGCTGCTGGAAGACAGTAGGTGAGTTGTGTCTCTTTGCTAAAGAAATTAGGTAAAGCTAAAAAGATGTTTGGTGGCTAGTGCTTTGGCTGGGACCCTAAATGTACTGTTGATGAAGTTAGGTTCTGTTCTGAGCATTATTTGTGGCTATAGAGTGGCGTTTTGGTCCAGGTTTGTTTATGGCTCCTCAGACCACTGTGTATTGCTATCGTGCGGTCATTACTGAAGTTGGTATAACGAGACAAGCAAGCCGTCTGCAACATTCATCTCTCGAGGGGGTGTCTAACTCTGTGTTACAGTGTGTTTGACCCTAAATTCATTTTACACCGGAATATCCCTTTAAACATGCAGTTTGGGGCAAAAGTGACTCAAAAAATCAGGGATATATATTTGCTTTTAAGTTGGGCTACTCAGCTTTGCTCTACCTTAAACCACCGTGTTAAATCTAGGAGTGTTTGTCAAAAAGAAGCAGGGATTAAAACAACTATGAAGACATTTTTACATTAAGGACAACGACTGAAATTCACAATGATGCCTCTACCTGAGCAAACAAGACCATCATGGGGAGGATTAAGAATTTGCATTATGTAATGTATAATACCTGAAATCAGTGCAAGGGGGTTGGTGTGAGCTGAGCAGCTGTAGAAACAGCCCTGCACCACTAAATACCACTGCAGTACACACAAATATAAACGTCCCATTAAAACCCTGGCTCACCTGTAGAGTATAATTGGCCTTCTCACTGATTAAATGGTTGATGAATTTGGCTGTGTGCTGAAAATGAACCTTTTCTGTGGTAGAGGAGATAAAACACAGAATAATTAGAGTGCGTATAGTAACATACAGTATAATGTTTTTTAATGAAGTGAATCTCTGTTACCATCAGCTGTTGGATGAATTATTAAGTACTGCTTCTGTGAAAGCTGCCCCGCTCTGTGCGCTAAGTTTGCCAACTGAAGGGAAAAGAAACATCCACATCCTTTATATAGCAATCATCTCTGTCCATTACAGCTCTTCACATCATTGAAAGATTTGGATAACCATTATAAGACATTCAAGCTTTACCGTATATACTCTGGAATCTGTCCTCGACCCGAGGTACCGCTCTGAAAATGCTGACGCTGCAATTTTAAAAATGGAAAAGCAGAATTAGAGAGATCATCCCCACTCCGGATAATGGTCCCCTGAGCATTTTTGAAGCATGGAGGGGAGGAAATATCTTTTGAATCTATACCGTAAAGCTCAAAATCTGTGATGGGTGAGACTGCTGTGCCACATTTAAGTTCAGGGAAGTCTGCAGAGCTGAGGAGCATCGTGGCCAAATATCCTCCATATGCCTAGACAAAAGAGATAAAACACAAACACATGAAAGAGAGATGAGCCGTGTTGGAGAAATATAGAAAATCTCAGGAGGTTTTGGTGCTTTCCTTACCTTTCCGTAAACTCCCATTCGAGTTTTATCAACATAGGGCTCTTTGGATATCAATCTGAAAAAGAGAGAAAACTGTAAAAACTTATGTTCAGGCACAAGTCGCTGTCATTTCAGTGGGTTTGAGTGATTTACCTGAGAGCCTCCAGCTGGTCTCGCTCCTCCAGTTTTCCCAGTTTTCTCCTGACTTTGTGGAGGAAGTTGGTGCCTTGGAAGCCACTGCCGTGACCGTCAAAACGGATGACGATGGTGCTGAAGCTGCTGACCAGAACTGTAGCCCAGTCCACCCTGAATTGCTCGGACACCATCTGTCCACCTGGTGTGCCATCACTGTGAAAAAAACACGAGGAAAGACACCCATATTGATCCTAAAATGACCAACATTAGATGAAGACACTTTCTTTTCAGTATTTGAAAGACACTTTTTAATCTTTGAGCTTGTATTTTGGTTTTCTTTGACGTTATTGAGAGATAGGAGAGTGAAAAGAGCAGGAAAATAGAAAAAGGGAGCAAAGTGTCACACAAAGGCCTTGAAGCTCTGATGACAGTAAGTGAAAGGATGAACACAGCTTGGCAAAAGTCGAGTTTTCAGTAATGAAAAGGACAATTGCACTGATTCGAAGAGATGGAGAGAAAATTCTCCAAACTACACGACTACAGACAGCCATGAAACACCAAAATATACTTGAAGTTCTGTTGTGTGAAATGTAGAAACCTCTATTTTTTAAATCAAATCAACATTTTTCCTTTACAGAGGTAAGTCTATTACTTCTCTTTTTTTAATGGATCAAGTGAAAATTTAACAAGCCGTCAGAAAAAGCTGAGCGTTTAAATTTGGGTGTCAAAGAGAAGCAAAACGTTCGCACTAAACAGAAATGTGACAGACAGGTGAAAAGCATACTGAGACACATAAAAGCTGTGATTAAACATCAGGTTTACTCCAGCAGATATTCATTCTGAACCCTTCCTGTGTGTAAACATGAATACTTTGATGTTTTGAAATGAAAATGAACTAATATTATTTTCTTTGCATCTTTTTGTTATTTTGATCAGCCATTTTCTGCCTTGGCCTAAATCAGGGTACTTTACTTGATAGTTGGGAGAAATGTTGTATACTGTAAAAATTTTAAGTTCACTTAAATACAAATCTTTAAAGCTCCTGTGAGGAACTTTGGGTCTGTGTCAACTTTGGCGCCCCCTGTGGACACGGCTGTCATAGCTTATCTCGTCGTCTGCATGCCTATCAATAACCATCCGACCCTTAAACAACCAAACCTCATTTATTGTGAACATATATGATGAAAATGGAAAAAAAAAACAGGCTGTTTAACCTTGTACTGGTTTCAGGCATTGAAATTACAGAATAAAAACATCCATTCATGTCACTAAAGGCTTTCTTTACTTTTGTTTACCATAAAAAAGCATCGATATGAAATTCAGTCTATTTCATTAACATAAAAAAACAATCTTTATGATTTATTTAACTGATAAAAAGAGCAATTGTAGTTGCTGTATTCAAATATATTACATTCTGAGCTGTTTTATTAGAATAAAACAGATGTATTCATACTCACACCAGCAGCAGTAAGGGGTAATGTGCTGTATCTATGAACCCAGCTGGCTTCAGGATCTCCATGGTCAGAGCTGCGGCAGATAAAACACTGTTATGATGCATGAACACTGATTTTAAATACGCCTGTTATAATAAAGACGGACACTTACTGTAGTCATCAATAGTGATGGTCTTGTTCTCCACTTTGGGCATCTGCATGTTGTTGTAGGTGGCGTTCACTCCTTCATTTGTCTCCACGTCAAACACCTCTGCAGAAAGACGGATAAGACACATGCACTATTTTATCGATGCCGTCTATTATCTGAGAAAACTACAGAGAATTCGGCTTCAGTTTGTTGAATGATGTGATATAAAGGAGAGCGTAAACAGACTACACTCACTCTCTTTGTCCTTGGTCCTATAGACGGCAACACTCGGTACATTTGGACCTGAGAAGAGCAAATCAGTGAACAGAAAAGCAGTAATAAATGTGAATTTGATAAGCATGATTTGGTTACATGATTTCATGGAACAAGGCACTGACAGACGGCTCAAATGTCTCCATTTTATGGTAATCAAGCAGCTGAAATAAGATCCTTTTCCTCACAATGTCCCATCTCATCTTAAACAGCCTTTAGAAACAGTCCTCTTTGCCAGTTCTGCAGTTAATAATCTACTTCCATCCCACGAGGAAGGAGCTTATTATTTCACAATGGAGCTACTCTCCAAAGATCCAATTAATGAAGAAAGCCACCGGCACTTATCCTCTCTCGAGGTAGCCCCCTAAACAAATCAGCTTCCATAGAAACCACAGCGTCACGGCCACACAAACAATACCAGAGGGGAAAAAAAATTACCTTGTGAACGACGACACCGTGCTAACCGCTGAGCTAAATTTGGCCGTCAGAGGAGACATTGATTCTGTGGTTGTTTCTTTGTGGTAATCTGCTAATGCCCGGTTCAATATAAGCCTTCAACCTGACATGGAGCAGTAATTCAGTTACACTTTCTACTAAACACGACCCTCTGCCTCCTCCAGAGCACTCTCATTCACAGGAGTGCTGTGATGTTTAACACTCTCTAAAAGAGCCCTGACTGGAGAGAATCAAGGTCGAGGATGCTCACCTTTGCAGTCAAGTAGGAAGTAGTGCATGTTGTGGCTGAATGAGACATCCACATAGCCGCAAACAAACTCACAGGACAGGCAGCAGCGGTTGAATGGAGGGATTGTGTCGGCACTGCGGGATGGGGGTGAGTTAGAATCTTTGCAGAGGGAGAAAACAACAGAGGTGCGCATGAAGAGTCGGGTTCCTACCTGTACAAGTGCCGCCTTTTGGGGTCATCCTCTGTGCTCAGGAAGTATCTAGAAAACAAACAAAAAAATTAAACTTTAAATCACTGAAATCTGTGATAATATTCGTTTGCTAAAGAATCAAAATGTCTCACATGAGGTTTCTCTCATGGTTGTAGGCCAAGATTTTGGTGACGTCCCAGTCTCCTGAGGTCAGGGACTGAAGGATGTCTGTGCTCGTGTTAGGCTGGAAAACAAACGAAGCTTTCAACGCTCTGTGACAAAACTCCAACATATAGAATCAAAACTCTGCAATGACTCACCAAAGATGTGGACATGGAGATGTGGAAAAACTTTCCTCTTCCCCCCTGAGGGATGGCTCTGGTGAAGAAAAACTTGTGTCCATCCTGGGAGAAGAGAGGTGCTTCATTCTGCGGAGGGATGAGACAAACATCTGCTCATGTGTGTGAGGTTTGTGCCACGAAAAATGCCTGCAGCAGCTTTCCTACCTCCTGTTTTTTACTTGTTTGGGTGCAGACACAAGAGAAATCAACATCTTGATTCTCTTCTGACTATTACCGCTTTATAAAGGAAAGTAGTGTTATAATCATGTACCTGTCTGTGCAGCCAGCTCTCACTTTCATCTTCATGTTTCTAGAAGAGAGAAGAAAGAGACGGTTCAGTTTTTTTCTTTAACAATGTATGCCAAGTGATGAAAAGGGACATACAGAGATTTTCTATTAGTCTCATATCCGTCTGTTGAATTTAGCTTAGCTTAGCATAATAAATGGAGAGGGAACACGAGTCGGCTTACATCTACAGGAGGTAAAATCTGTGAGACAGCAGCTCTTAAAGGGATTATTCTGTCTTTCTGGTAAGTGGAGTTGTATGAGGTGCTTGTCAGTGTTAAGTGTTTCGACCATTGGAGTTGTCTGTCAGTAAAAAAGCAGTGATTTTTAGCAGCAGTGAGGTATTTATTCCTGATAAACATCACCAACATTCAGGGTCGAAAAAAGGAGCATGACACTAACTGATGTGGAAATGCTCATGGATGTGTTTTTAATACTTTAAGACCACAACAGAGTCTAAAACACACAGGAACTATTGGCTCAAGCCCCTAAAAGCAGCACTTATCAAGACATTGACGTTGATGTGTTCTACCTTAACACAGACTCCAGTTGTTGCCTCACACAGAGTCAGGATGGAGTTGTTCTGAGCTCTGTTCAACCAGTTGACAGCCAGTTTGGTGCTGGTGGCCCATTTCACCATGGTGATATAATATTCCCTCCTGGAATACAAGAAAGTGAGAATACATCATCTCCACTGACAGCCTCAGTCTCCACCGCCTCAGGGCGACACTTAGGACCTGTAACTTCAATCATTAAGAGACACGGTGTGGCTGTCACTCACCCTATCCGGGGGTCATCAGGTTTCTTCATCACCACGGTGTGCAGGGGACCGTTGAGGCTCACCACTGACAGGTGCACTACAGGGTTTTCCTCCCCGGCCTATCAGGGTCAACAGGAAATACGATAGGTCGGACTGGATTTCAGTTTAAGACAGTCGTGAATCGTCTTACCGTTGTCAATCAATCAAAGTGTTCAATGAGCAGCCTAGAACATTTAGTCCTGCATTAAGGTGGTTTATTTTGGTCATTTCTGAGCAGCAGTTCAAGAGCAGACACAGCGCTGAAGTTGTGCACTGAGCGATTGTGAAGCCTCTTTAATACAATGTTTAATACAGCAGACCACTTCAACTGAATGACAGCTACTTATTCGAAAACTCTTGCCATTGTTTTGCAAGTATTTCAAAAACCGGCAACATTATTTTTTCCAGAGAGATCTAGATTAAAACACTCAACAAAATAAATGACAAAAATAAGCTTTTACCTGTTTCTCATAATGTGAAAAGACTTCAGACTGTTTATTTGTTTATTTAGACAGTATTGGCCATAGCTAAATCCTCCTAAACCCTCTGTACAATAAGCAGGTTGTAAACAGTGCTGCCTTTCCACAGCTGCCTAATGCAGCCAAGAAGGACACTACATGAATGATAAGCTGTACACTGAACCACTGCGTCCGCATTATAATCTCAAACATAAAAAAGGTTCGACTGCTTTCAGTTTTCAGGCAAACAGATCTGCAGACTTACCTTCGGGTAAGAATACTCCAAGCTGGCAGGGTACGGTGTTCCTGTGAAAAAGGGGACTTCCATCTTTGGCACCAGCGTGTCATTGATGGTCATATAGGCCAGACGCAGCCCGTCTGGAGACCACCAGTGGGCTTTGTGAGTCTGCAGGATCTCCTCTGAAAAACAAGACAACCAGATATCAGTTATTCTGAAGAGGAGTGATTTTTGACTCCCTTTATTTGCATTAAAGCTTCTGGGAAACATTATTTGTCACTTTGTGTAGAGTGACAAAAAAATCGAACTTGACCTTCTGATAATCTAAAATGATCTCTTAACATATTCTGTATAAGATAAAATCAATGGATTGAGTCATTTGTAGATCTAATGCTTTGCAGTATTGGCCTGCAGCATTATCAAATCCAGAAGACTTGTTCATTAACAAAGAAATAGTGCATAGAGCTCTGTCTGCATTTTTCCCATTGGATTGTCCTAATTTATAGAATATGTTGATGAAAACATGTCTAATATTTCACAGTTTGAATAGACACGAGTCATGATATATGAGGCTCATTTCCCGAACTGGCACAGTAGGAAGTGACTAATTATGAATATTTAATTTAGACAGTTTGAAACATTAAACTGTGATGAAAATTAAAAAATAAAAACTGAAATTTTAAAAATTATGCTTGAAAAGATTCAAAGATATTTGATGTTGAATTTATTACAAAAGGTTTTATTCTTTTTTTTCAGTAGAGGAGGATGGAGCACACTACTTTTTTTTTTTAATCTTTTTTTCTTCCTTTTTGATGTGCAGGCAATTAAACTCTTCCTGTGTTTGATAACTCTTTCAAAAGTCACCTTCCTTTCTCTTGCCAGGTTTCACCGCATACTGCTGCGAACTGCGACAAGGCTTTCATTCAGCCACCGATGCACTGAAAACTCAAAAGCCTGACATTTTAGAGGAAAATAGGGCACAAGGTGCTCAAATACCTTCTCTAAAGAAAAAAATTGTTTTTTTAAAGGCTCTGCTTACTCTCCCTTTTGTTATTTTCCCCCCAGCAATTTCCTAATGACTGGATTTCCTCCAGCAGGGGGCAGAGGAGTCCCACAAAAGCACGTATAGTGAACATATTGAATGATCCTAACAACACTCTCATACTATGGAAAAAAAAAAAAGATCAACTTAACCTTGATGAAGACTTTGTGGTCTTGTTTTCAAACCTGAGCACAGTGAATGTACTGGCATGCTCTATTGTTGCAGGGTTATGGTTTGTGTGCAACTACCAGGGTGAAATGTTCAGCTCTTGATTGAGTTCTCACTCTAAGGCCAAATACTTTTATCGTCACTCAGTTGGAGTTTCAAGGCCTGTGCCAACAGACTAACAAACAAAACAATTTTTCCACTTCGAGTGCAACCTAGCTTTTTTTTTTCCTCATTATTTTATGAAGGTTGGAGCTCGTTGATACTCCTGACTATTTATTTGAAAAGGCTGCCTTTGTTGATGTCTGTTTCTTTCTACGGTTGTAATACGCAAAGATGAGGAAAGTCTGGGTGCTCGTCTTCTCTCTTTGTCAGTGATTTGTGCATACATACAGCATACAGTCTAAGCTCCAATAGCAAGGACAGAGGACACATTCTCAGAAAACACCTAAAACACAGCCGCATGTGCCGACGAGCCCACATGCTCTTAAAGATAATGTCATTTAAATACCAATCTCTTCATTCTCACACTTTATTTAATCTGCTTGACCAGCGTTAGAGTACTCTGATGTATTATTTTGATGGCTGTAGACTCATAATTAAATCCAATGAACCTCAAAGACATTAAAACTGGTTTTCCTTGAAAACTCCAAAAACAGGCAACTGGACTGTGTAGAGTTGAGAAGACGTTTCGCCTCTTATCCAAGAAGCTTCTTCAGTTCTAAATATTGCTAGTGTGAGGAGCAGATATTTATCTGACTGGAGAGGGGGACAAACAATGACTGGGAGGAGTTGGAAACAATGGGTCGCAGAAACCCATCTCCTGGTGTTGCCCCCCGAGGGTCGTTAACCTGAAAGGTCGGAGTTTTCAAGAAAACCATGACCTGGATGAATGAGAATCTACATGGACATTAAAACTGGTTAGTTAATTTTTTACCAGAAGACTGTGTTTTCAGGTTTTAGATAAGATCCAATAGTCTAGAAACATTTCAGTCATTTAATCCGCAAGTTGTGTCTCAGGTGTCTCAGTGTTTTAACAAAATCAGGATGCCAACTACAATGAACAGTGCATCCTCAAGCAGGTTCTTCATTTTCAAATGGAGCTGACACAAAATTTAAGGCTACTGAAAGCAACTCATTATTTTAGACAAAAGTTTGAACCCTGTGTATGATGACAATAGAAAAAGATTGAGATAATTTGCACAATATTGTAACCCTGTATTTGACTTAATACAGTAAAATAAAAAGATCACAAGACAGAGATGAGAACCTTCCCTGTTTCTTTAACATTGTGAATTTGAAGCCTCTCAAAAGACTGTGGAAGTCGTCAGGTAACATGACTAGTCCTTTAATGCCTGAAACCACAAATTATGGCCAGAAAATTAAAAAAAATTTTTGGAGCTAAAATGTTTATTTCACTTACTACTGAAAACCCCAAAGATCAAAATGTCCTTAAAATTTCACAAATATATATTTTTCTCGTTTGATACATTAGATGTTTTTGGAAACTGATAAACCACAAGTGGACAATTTTATCATTTATTGTAGTGTATTTAGTTTTTTTTTTTAGTAACTTGTTGAGCATATTGAATTGATAGAAGTATCATAAAAGTATGTATCAAATATGATACAAAAGCCATTAAAGGGTTAAGTATAAAACAGCATCCATGAGAGGCTGAAACCCTCTGAAGTAAAGCTGGAAAGTGCTCTGGTGTCTTCTGTTACACTTGGTTGTACTTTTTCAACATAAAAATCAGCGCGTCATTGGATTTCAACATCTTTATCACATCATGTGATTTAATGATTTAGAAAGTCTAAACAAAATGCACATATGCACACATGTGACTCTCAGACAGCTCTTCAATAAAAACAGACATGACTCTAAGTGGAAATCACTACATGGGCCAAATATTAAGTCCAAAACCACTGCTTATTAACATAGTTTTTTACTGCACCCAGAAATGGAAGCACAAAATGTAGAAAAACTATTAATCAGGTCTAGAAATGCTACCTCCCTCTGTGCTCTCCAGTTTGTTTAAGATGGACGAAGTGAAGAAAAAAATGCCCTGTGATCTGAAGATTCAAGACTGGACTTGGACTGGTTTTGGACATCATGGACGCTGCGTCCTCCACGCAAAAGAGAGGAGAGGCCATCTAGCTTGTTATCAGAGCAAAGTTCCAAAGCTTGGCATCCATGATGTAGGGATGCATTAGTCCACTCAGCGTGGGTGATCTGCTCCCTGTGAAGGCACCAGTCGTGCTGAACAAGGTTTTAGACCAACATTAACTGCCAAAATAAAGTGTTTCAATGTTACGCCAATCATATATGCAATCAAATTCTTTTTTCCGTTTTCGTCGAACAGTGTCCAAATCTTTTTGACAACAGAATTGATGGAGATCATTTAAAGATAATGTTAAAATTTTATTTGTCTCAGATGGGGATTTATAAGAACTCTGTTGAACATTTCCAGGAGAGTTAATGATTTCAGCAGAAGAAATGAAACATGGAGTAAATAATTGAATGCGTGGATCCAGCGGTCATCTGAAATCACTGTTTTCTACTTTTTAAAACACATCTCGGCTTGTTGTACACTTATTTATTCATTCAAGGCTAAGCTGTGTTTGAATGCAGAGTGCTAAATACCAGAGAGAGATGAGGCACCTTCACCTTGAACCTTGTCTAAACAAGTGTAGCCGTACCAGTCTCACCTGAGCAATCTAGTACACAGTGTAAGCTACACAGCTACATGCTCTGTTTTTGTGAGACAGCCTGTTTTCCACTGATAAATCCATGGAACATAGAGGGAACACATTGCAGGCAAATCTGTCTTTAGCTCTCAAACTGGATTATTTCTCTCATGTCATGTTCTGTGTCTTCAACAAAGAAATAATCCAATTAATGGAAAACCGATTACAGCTGAGCCTGATGCAGTTTATACACTGAAACTGAATTTCTCTCATCATAACTGGCATTTTGTAATTACATTATTCAATTATACTGCAGTGATTATTCAAATCAACCCTCTGCATGACTCAAAAATGATAATTATAACAATTCCTGTAGCAGAGGTCCTCCCTTACCAAACAAGAAACCTCTAAACCTCATTATATATGAATGCAGGGTGGAAAAAAGATGCTCTCAATCATGGCAGCGCATCTGTAAACAAAGCCATATCCAAGTGGAATATAATTGGAGTGTCTGTCTCACATATGCATTAATCAGAAAACGTCTCATATTAAATTACAAGTGCGCTGGCTTTTGAACATCTGCCGAGAGAGATTGCTGCACAGAAGACATGAATTAATTAAATTTCCTGAACACAAAGACAAGCCATGGGAAGTCTGGAGAAGGAGGAGCACTGAGATACAGCCAGCTGTGCTTTTCCAGACCATGCACATACAAATGACACCTGGACACCTCAAGCTGGGGTTGAGGGGAGGCAGGTGTCATGGCACAGGTTACAAGAGGTCTTAATGTTTGGTTGGATGAACGTAAGACATTTCATTTAATTTGTGGGCACAGAAAGTACAAATATTCTAAAAATGTTTTGGGAGTCTTCTCATAAGTTCAGTCCAGTCATCTTAGATACATTTAAAGGCAGAGTGTGTAATATCAGGGAGCATTAGCAGAATAGATCTGGTATAAATAGGATACAATTTGTATAAGTATTTTTTAGTTAGTATAGAATAACCAAAACAGACAAAATGGTTACACTTTATTTGATGCCTATCTCTATAACACATTATAAATATATGTATAATGTGTTATAATCACGTTATAGCACTGTATAACTATAGTTATAAACACTCATAAATGATCATAATGCTCTATAGCAATAATTATAACACATTATAAAGTATTTTATCATGACTTACAAGGTAAAGTATTATATTGTGTTATAAGCTGCATTGCATTATCTATGTGGGCATTATCAGTGAGTTGTTAACAGTTATAACACATTATAAAAACTTACCTTGTAAGTCATGGTCATAACGCTTTATAATGTGTTATTATTATTGCTATAAAGCATTATGATCATTTATGAATGTTTATTACTATAGTTATAAAGTGCTATAACATGATTATTACGCATTATACATATATTTATAATGTGTTATAGAGATAGGCGTCAAATGAAGTGTTGCCAAAAAGTATTTTATATTAATGTTATAATTTCACATGACTTTGTGTGAATGGGTTATTCTTAATAACAAACACACTCCAAATCATCACTGTATCTTCCTTTTTTAACCCTTTCTTACACTGATTCTTTCAGGAGAACAGAGTCTCTCACATTATTGTTTTGGTTTACTATCTTGCCACTAAAAACTTTGACTGGGCTTTTTTTCCAGTCAATCTTAAAACTACCTGCCCAGCTCCAACTGTAAACAAACAAAATATATCCTCCTAAAAACAGAGCTACAGATCAACACATCAAGTTTCACTGTACATCCTTTAGTCCACTGATGTGTTGCATGTGTAGTGTGACTGATAATGGGAAACTGATGTAACCAAGGAGACACACTTATTCTCTACTCAGATCATTGGAAGCTTTGTACCTTCAAATCTTGAATAGGGTTTTTTTTTCCTAACCCATATAAAGAATGCAGATGAGGTTGTCTGAAGAACTACATAAAGTCAGACTCCCTCAGCCTGCATCTAGTCTGTGTTGTTGTTACACATCAAAACCCTCTAACAAGTGGTCACAAGAAGGACTATAAATGGATGATGTAATAAAAATAATCCAGCACATTAAGGATTAACCTGAACTCTGACTGTAACCCCCACATCAGTGTCCCACCTCACTAATGCTCCAGTAGCTGACTGGTAGTAAATCCCTCAAAGAGAAATTCCCCAAAAGGCATGAGTTTTTAAAACAAGAACACGAATCTAAATTATGATATTAAAGTGTTGTATTGAGGTTTTTTGACTATACATCTTAAGACCGAAGAACTTACGGCAACACCTTACAATAACCATAACTTATAAATGGTAAATAGACCATTTATAAATGGTAAGCAGATAGTTTATTAATGTTTAATCATCATTTATAAATAGCATATAGACCATTAATAAATTGTAAATTTTACAATTTTAAAAACCTAACCCTAACCCTAACTTTACAATAACCATCTAAGTAATGTTTATAGGTGGTTTATAAACCACTTATTAATCATTTACAAAGTATTACAAACATCAGTTGCAACTTTACAATAACCATCTAAGTAATGTTTATAGGTGGTTTATAAACCACTTATTTATCATTTACAAAGTGCTACTGACACACATTTTAATCTAGATGTTTTACAACCAATATTTAAACCCTATATAAACCTTTAATAAACAGTCCATTAATAATTAATAAAAATTATCACTCATTATTTCATTGCTTGGTAAAGTAACTATTAACTTACATTAATAAACTGTCTATTAACCATTTATAATTGGTGTATATGCCGTTTTTAAGTGATGATAAAATATTAATAAACTATCTATTCACCATTTAGAAATTACAGTTATTGTAAAGTGTTTAACTCAGTTTAACTCAGATTATCCAATTCAGTCAAAGAGATTTCTACATCTGTCTTTCAGCGCTCATCTGTGTTTCCGACACATTTTGTGATTGTGTGTGACTGATTACCTTCATAAAGCCAGTCAGCAAGTCCGTTGAAGATGACTCCTTCTTTACCAGTGGCCACCAAACGGATGGCCGGGCTCACTACTGTTGCTCTGTAGTAGATGTTGTTTTCAAAGATGAAGATCTGGAGAAAAAAGCAAAAAGGAAGAAAAACAGACATTACTCTCTGTATGATTGTGCTTAATATTTTAAGATAAGACAAGATATTCCTTTTCCTTTATTAGTCCTACAGGGAGATAATCCAAATTTACAGCAGCAATAAATACAAAGAGAAATTAAAGGATGAAAAACTGAGGAGTTACTATCTATAATAAATGTTATTTACAGCTGTTATGTACAGTACATGTTTGATACAGTACAGTTGGAAAATTGGAGATATTTATATGTAAACCTATATACACAGAACATGCATATGTTTGTACAGAATATATGTGTTGCGTTTTAATGCCTCTCCCACCTCTGTTTCTTATATATATGTTGTTTCCATTCAAACTTTGTAAGTACATTGTTGTACTCCCCTGTCCTTGGTTTTTTTGAGCTGCTGTACCAAGAGAATTTTTCCCAGTGGAGGATCAATAAAGTCTAGGTTATTTCTATCTACAGTGCAAACAGTTACACAAAAACACTTGTGGCTTATTTTTCATCACAATATGACTCTATCTTAATCCAGATGGAGACACAGCCGCACGCTTATTGACAGTAAATGCTAATATAGGCTCAGCGCGCACTAGCCTGAAGCACTACATTTCTAGGTTCTGCTTAACTACAGTTTAAGCAGGATCCTCTGTAAAACAGTAGGACACCTCTGGAGCGCTGCCGGCTCACACTTCACTCTTGTCTTTATTGGGGTGTTTTGCTGTTTTAAAGAGCTGAGTAACGGCTGGTGTGCAGGTTTGATTCTTATATCCAAAGGCTCACATGAAGGAATTAAGACACACTGCTGACAGACAACTGTGTGACACTCTAAACCCCCGTGTCAGTCCACTACAGCGTTTTTCACACTAAGCCTGGTGCCAGCACAAGGGCGATCAATGCCAAATCGATTGGTATCCGAGGCTAAATCCGTGTTGTTGTAGCTGTACCGTCAATTGAAAACCCCTTCAGTTAAGGCTAAGCCAAAAATCTCCAGTACAAGAATCAAAAAAAAAAAAAAAAAGAGAGGGAGAGATGGCTCCTTTCGCTCTGATCTATGGTTGCTGTTGAGAAAATCAAAGTTTTACATTGTGGGATCAACATCTGAGAAAAACAGATCAATGCCAGTCTGAGTAAAAGCAAAGGGAAGCTGCTGGTTGGAGGATGTTGCAAAACTGCCACGGGACATAAAAAAAAAATCACAGGCATCTTTCAAAGTGTTGCATAAAAATTGAACTCTTAGGACTTAGACTTTTATGAATTACACTTAAGTCACTTTTTCCTCAGAACTCGACTGCAAAACACGGACTCACAATTTTAATGCCAAGGGCATAAAAACAGCAACATAAAGTCTCTCCATTAAAAGCGCTCCTCCGTACAGAAACTCATTATAGCATTTAAAACGTGGAATTACCGTAAATCTTCAATTAACGACCGGCATTTAATCTACACCCAGGATCCTATTAATAATCGAGATCATGAGCTTGATGAATGATTAATAAATAACTGCGACAGATTCATATCTCTGATGTGGAATATGAAAATATAGGAAACGACTTCAAAATGATCACCCACAACCTTCCATACACGCCTTAAACAATTAGGCCACTAGGATGAGAAGTGAGCTACACCACAGATGTGCAGTTTGTTACTTCTTCTATTAGTTATGCAGTGACTGAGTTTACTGTTTCAGAATCTCCACATCTCCTCCTTGAGCATGCATCCAAACAGCACAAAAATCAATCCATTTAGGGTATGTGACAAGCTGAGTGAAGATGAAGAGTCTTCATCATTTTAATGTGGAGTTCATTCAAGACAGATGTGTCATATTTCACAGTTTAGAACCAGCTTTCTTCCCGGAGCGAGCAAGCAAAATATTATTTGAAAAATGAATAAATAATCTGTTGTAATAGTAGCGTAAACAGGCAGCGTGGTTTCACCTGACTGAATAAACTGAAATAGACGATAATAGACACAACACTATTGTGGAGTTCCAACAAAGGCTTTAGCTTTTTTTTTGCCTAAACACACAAATGCACCGTCAGCCAGGTTAAAGTAGCAACAACTGTGTGGACACAAAACAAACACAGGAGAGTCTGTTCCAGTTTGGTCTGTATGTTGGTAGGATGAGCTGTAAACGGTGTCAACATCATTTTAATAAACTCATGTAACAGAGGAGAAATTGTCTTATCACCAAAAATTCAGAGTGAAGATGCTTATTAATATTCAACAGCTGGTAAAAATGTCACTCTGATGATTTGTGGTTTTGTTTTTTTACTCGCAATGGGGCTGATTTACAAAGATGGAGATGTAATTTGTTCTAAATGAGACATAATCAACCATTTAAATTAATGAGAACATCACTGGCACACAGCAGCATTAAACTCTTTGTACTTTGTGTAAAACATAATGTCTTTTTGGCTAGAGTTGGTGAATAACACCCTCACTTTGTGTAAAATATAACAACAAAGAACCTAATATAAAGGCCTGCCTCCAATTAAAGCCTGTCTCATGAAGGCCTGGTACTCTGGGCAGTTAAAACAAACAAAAGACTTTGAGGAGTTACAGTGTTTTTAAGGAGCAGGTGGAAAACTTCTGATTTAACAAATATAAGCAAAAAGTTTTCTTTTTAATTACTGACCTGTTTGCTTGACTCCAAAAACAGTCAATTCATGCAAAAATGGACTCCATGTGTCTGTTTCACAAACTCCACTGTGGTTTCTGCATTGCATCCATTTTGCTAAACTAGGGAGGGAGAGACTTATAGCTTGTACCATTGTTTTTTTTTTTATCTGTAAGTTTTGTTACTATTGTTCCCAGTAGTTTTGCAGAACAATGTAGTGCTGAACTGTTTGCTATTGCTGTTTGTGAAAAAGAGGAAAAATCAATAACCATGTTCTGAAAAGTAAAGAGTTAGAAAAAGGCTAGAAAAGTCATTTTAAAGGGCGGAGAGATCAAAGTTGCAACTTCAAAGAGGCTCGAATAGCAGGGTTTCTTTTCCGTGTGAGGGTTTGTGCATATGTCCGAGTGTGTTTCCACCTTTGAAATACTTTTTAAAGTTTTTATTTAGTCAGTTAATTTTTCCCTGTTCCTCCTCCCTCATCTTTTGTGACATTATAATCTCTTTTTCTGTGTCTGCTTGTGTGTCTCTAGCTCCAGTCTCAGTGATTGCTATGTCACGGTGGAGTAATTGCATGTGGTTTGATGAGAGAAGGATTCATCCTCCAACATAGCCAGGTCAGACGGAGACAAAAGACCAGAGTGCACCTTCTATTTCTTACATAACCTCTGCTGTTCACGGAGCACTGAGCCGCAGTAACAGAATAGCATAAGGAACAATCAGGTACACTATTACCATATGCAAATTAAAGTGCTTTCTTCCCTTGGCAGCGTAAGTCTCATCACACACTTGAAATGTTAATATTTTCTCACAGCGATGAATCTGTAATTTAAGTGAATGAAGCAACATGAGCAATTATGGAGGAAGAAAAACCGTGAAGTCTAGCTGATGAAACACAACGCTGTCTGTTGTCTGGGCGATGCAATTCATACGAAACCAATCTAAAAGAGTTTCATGGGATAAAAAGAATTAAATAGAGTAAAAAAATAATGCCAGGGTCAACCGCACAGTTAAGCTCATTAAAAGGATAAGGCTGCTACTGTTGTGTAATATTCTACCTCTTTTCCACCCTGATCACAGAACTCAGCTAAAACTCACAGACTGCTCTAATGAAGTGGAAATTCTTGGGACCTTGACGGATGTGAAAACATAATGCTTGTCTTGATCCAGCATTATTACGCCAGCAGGGGGCGACCCAAGTGGCTATGTATGTGGTCTACAAGGCAATGGCCCTCATCTATCTTTCAAGACTCATATTCAGAAATTAACCCAGAATTAAAAAATCAAATTAGGCTTTTCATACAGAATCAAAGGCTATCTATCTGAATTTCATTGTACAATCCACCTTCATGTCTCTCCTTTATTATGGTGACACCTTGTATTGCCATGCAGCCCTGTCGACTCTTCAGCAGTTAAATCCTGTGTATCATAGTGCACTACGTCTCATCACTAACGACACATTTCGCACTCATCACTGTTCCCTCTATCAAAAGGTTGGCTTGACTTCTTTACAGTCGAGAAGAAATATCCATCTCATGTTATTCATCTATAAAGCTCTTCTGCTGAAGCCTCCCAGCTTCCTCACATCTCTTCTTTCATTTAAACCTAGTAGCAACAGAACACGATCCAGTAACTGTCTAACCTTGGATGTTCTATATATCTGTACTAGTACTGGCAGAACTGGTTTCAACTACTTTGCTCCCTTAACTGATCCCTTTTTTTTTCACCTTTTATTTGTTGTGTTGTGTTGATTGTGAATGTTCCTTGTTCTCAGGCCTTTCTTGTAAAAAAAAAGGTCTTGATCTTAATGAGACTGCCTGATAAAATAAAGATTAAATAAAAATATAAATAAAAAACTGTAGCACGACTCACTGTCTTTGTTGGTCTCACAGGAAAATAAGCGGTTAAGCAGAACATTGTTTGAGGAATGGACTACTACTCTACTTATTCATTGTAGAAATATTTCTATTCTTATTTTTTTTGTACAACTTAATTAATTTGAAGCTTGTTTCTAGAGCCAAAATAAGCTTCCTAAACAAAATATTATTACCTTCACCATGAAAAGCATAATGCGTCTTTTGGGTAAAAAGATAACCCTCTGATGAATTGTTTTAAAGCACTTTTCATATTTTAAGTTTGTTGAAGCAATTTCCTGTACAGATTTGAAGAATAAAAACCCAGAGGTCATCTTTTCGTATATCAAAAAATGTCTCTTATGACAGAATTAATTCAGTGAATTTCAAAAAGTATTTTGTTTCGTAACTAGGGCACTCTGAAAATGCACAACACCACCGAGGCCAACAGTCTGGTATGTTAGTCTGATCTGAACCTGCTCCAAAATTCAGTGGGTTCTTCATTAACAGATGCTACATCCATCCATCAAATAGCATCAAAACTGTTGCCTCTGTGATAAACAAGCTCGAAAAATAAGCTTGTCTATGTAGGTGAAAATGCAGTCCCTACTTCATGTAATAAACCATGCACCGTCTTGAATGAAAATGGATAATTAAGGCGCCAAAACTGAAGGCTTGTACTGTGTTTGCCTAACTGGATAAAACTACTGGCATGTTTTACAAAATCCAACCTCAAATATGGCTCGCATTACACACATACATTTCAGCCAGTATCATGTATTTCCACATCCTCAAAAACCCCAGAGAGTCCAAGACACGGGGTTGTGTCACAGAGATGCCATCTGTCATTGTGGCTTCCATCAGCTCATGTGTCGTCACAAAGTTGTGAAAGTAGGAATGACTTGGCTTCATGTTGACAGTGAAGGAGGTCAAATCAAGGAGAGTTCAGACTGGACGCTTCAGAGTGGTCATTAAAGCGTACAAAAAACCTGAGACTGCCACATAGTTTGTCTATTCTGCTGTGACAAACCATAAATCACTGCTGTGCCTCCTCTGCAATGCCAGGTTGACGCTGACAGACCTCCACCTGCGTGCCAGCATTCATGGAGTGTAATCTCAAGAGTACAGGCTCCTTACCAGCTGCTGGCCTCGGGGTCCCCATCCAGCGAACTGCAGGGCAGCTTCATGCACTTCAGGGGGATTCAGAGGCCAAGTTTCCCTGATGTGAAAGCACATGAAAGAATCAGCACAGTTTTTTTTATCAGCGTTTCTGCTTTCTATGTAACCCAACTTAAACGCAGAGTCAGAGAAAAGAGAAATATGTTTGGTTTTTTGGGCATGTTCCCCCACTTTAAGCTTCATCAATCATCCGTGTCCTATTTTTGGCACAAGCTGACTTTGCTAGGCTCACTACAAATACAGGACAGAAGGGAGATAAGCAGACAAAGATGGATGAAAGGCTAAAAACAGGACTGACTACATGCACTACAAAGCAAAAAAGCAAAGTTGGTCTGAACGCAGGAAAACAGGGCTGAGGTCATGCTGGGGGAAGATTATTGATCATTGTAAAATGCTTAAAAAGATGGTGGATAAAGAAAAAGAAAAGACAACAAATGTGTGTCTTACTGAGTCACAAGGCTGTAAATAATGTACTTGGCCACATAGGAGTGTTGGTAGATCTGCAGAAAACAAACAGCATCACAGTTAAAGACTTTTGGGAGGAGTTATGGTGTAATGTTGCACTGTGTGAGTGTTTCTCACCGGTTTGACTTCAAACGCGAACAGAACATGCCGCATGTCTGGGGACACTTGGTACTTGGCAGCTCTGGAGCTGTCCTGGATGGGATCAAAAACAAACTCGCAGTTGTAACACACCTAGTTCAGTTCAGCGTGAGGGTTTACTCACTGCTCTCGGAGTAAGTTCAAGAAGAAAACAATGCCGGAGTAACATGATACTCACAAACAACTGGTGCGGCACAACGACGATTCTCTCCTTTGCGTCGAGGTTGAACTTGACAACATCCCCCTCCCTTGTACGATACAGCAACTCATTGTCTGTGGATGACAAATTGAGAAATAACCATTAGAAAATTAGAGGGTTGAAACTCTACTAGGATACTGCCCTATTGTACTGGTATCTTTATAGTCTTCTGTTCTCCTCTTTTACCTTAATCAAGCAGCCAGTTTAGGGGAGAGACATTTAAGGACTTAAGGATGTGTGCGTTTATGTGACCTTGCTGGCGGCCACCAGAGTTACCAGTTAGTTCAAATAAATATTCATATTTTCATTATTGTAGACCTGCAAGAAGCTCTGAAGCCTGGTGGTGCTTTGTTTACGTGTTGAGTCTTATTAGTATAATGCTAATTTTGACTGTTTTCTGAGGATTTACTTAAATGTAGAGTAGTAGGCTGGTCAGACTTCAGTCACTCAAGAGCCTCTTTTTTCTCTTTTAAGAAATATCGGGCTGTTGATGCGTCATTACAGCAAACAGCAGATTTTTAGTTAGCACTTTTTGTGATATTTGGCAATAACTACTCTATTAAAAAACAGTCATTAGGCAGACATTTATTCATTGTTCTTTGTTGAATTCATTTTAACTTGTTAATTATTTACTTCAGAGCAGGAATTATCAAAAAAGAAAATGTCTTCAAATGAGACTCAACCTCTAAAAAAGGATGTAAGAGTGTGAGGTTAGCACTTGGTACATCATGTCTGTCCTGTTTACTGTTATAATGCTTTGTCCTAACGGTCCTATCTTTTTAAAGTCACAATTAATTCAAGATTGCTCTGTGTTTACATTTCAACAAATTCCAAACTACTCAGATTTTCTGCACATTTTGCTTTCATTGTTTTAATCATCATCTGAAACTCTCACAACAACTCCTCTGAAAATAGGATTGCATTTTGGATTGTACAGATTCACTTTTGTTGTGTTGAGCTCGATATTCTTAAAATAAAACAAATTATTGTCTGTTAACTTGCTTTGCCAACCTCACCGATGAGGATTCTTGCACCAACATGTTTAGTTGATCATCCTGTATGGCTGCTCAAGTTCTTTTAGCTTTATGGCAGATTTTATAAAGGAAGGACCTAAGCACCATCGGCCTCACATTCAAAGGCTTAAGTCCTCATCGTGTCGGTCAAAGTACCAATTTTCGATCCCCGCATGATTTGGTGCTTGTCATTCCACCCTCTCTCTCTCTCCTCATGTTCCCTCTCTCGCTCAAGCTGTCTTGTCAAAAAAGGCAAAAGCCCCAAAAAATCCTTAAAAAGAAAGAAAGGCCAGAAATTATAGTTGAGAGCACTGGTGAAAAGTGAGTGCAGGATGGGAGATGTGATTGAAATACATGATTTCAATGAAAACTCCTGAACAGGGAGCCTTAAAAAAAGAGTGATGACTACGGAGTCCCAGAAATGAAGTTTCTGCTTCTTTTGTTGGCAGAGTAAATTTCCATGAGTGGATTCAACCACAGATGTTTCCTGTTGCTACCGTGTTTTCATTATCAGGGTATGTTATATTCTGTTTTATCTCAGAAATCTGAATGTGTCAGACAGACAGCAGCAGCTGTTCATTTGAGGGCTCGGTCTGAAATTCCGCATCCTTTGTCTTTGGCTGCGAGTCTGTGCAAGAAACTCAGAGATGAGTCCAAAGACTGCTGAGGCAAGTGTTGATCAAAGAGCAGCGGGGATCAATTACCCACTCCTGTGAATGAAACCCACAAAATATTGATGAGGAGTACTGGAGTGTGAGCATGTCCCACTGGGTTTCTTATCAGAAGGTCATTAGCATTAAATGGGAGTTGATAGCATTAACTTAACTGACAAGACGCAATGTCACACAATTGATTGCCAAGCTTTCATCAGGTGCTAAGGACGTTTTAGTCATGGAGGAAGGGCGCCAAAGCGCAGGAACTCAACTAATTACACGTTAATAAGCAGATAATGTAAGTCATCAGGGGAGCAGCTCACACAGGAGAACAAGAAGGCAAGTGTGGGGTTGTACTGTGTGTGCCACATATCTGAGAAGTGATTGTGGAAGTGTGTAGGTGATGATGGGAGTTTATCTATAGACACAGCTGCACTCAAATGTATGTAGATGTGTCCATACCATAGACTGTATATACTATGGACAACTTGGTTCAAGTATAGTATGGTGTTGTGTTGGTATTTCCGGGTTTTTTTCTCCACTTCCTGAAACCAACATTGCGCAGTAGTGTTGTAGACATTCGGTGGGAGAGTTGCAGAGAGTCACTGTGATGACGCTCGGCTCAAACAGCATATCCCAGAGTAAGCTACGCAATCTTCCTACGCCCATAGGCTGTATCAAGTGTCAATCATAGAAAACATGAACCTCCTAATAACTTTTAAAAACAGAGCTTTACAGAAAAAAAGAGGACTTGATCACAAACCAGTCTTACTATTTGTCATGTAACTACATGTCAAAATCGCAACCAGGGGGGAGAAAAACTAATATTCAATGTAATTAATTTCTAAAGTTTGTCCACAGCTCCATAGGGATGGCTGAAGAAGGCGGGATTTATGACCTATACAGCAGCCCGTCACGGCTTTACCTAGCGAGGAGGCAGATGGTGTCCATTCTACATACAGTCTATGGTGTTGGATTTAAACCAATTTAAACCTTTTCTTTACTGTACTATCTGCAAATACAAGCACAAAAAACTGAATGTAATGCTGTCGCTGGCACTTAAGATCATGATAAAGTGTTACCAGTAAGTGGTTCTACAATGTCGAGTGCTTGATATATTAGATTAAAAAGAGGCAATAAATAACTAACAGCTGCATTAAGACAGAGCTTTGCAGTCGAGGAGCCTCTTAGATTTGTGTGGTTCAGATTATAGTAATATTTGATCTTGAACTCAGCTGTTTGAATGCACTCCAAACTAAAATGAAACTCTACTTTGTGGTATGCTTTTCAGCTCATGTTGTTTCCTAATGGACCACATTACATCTCACATAAATTCACATTATTTCTCTCTGAGTTAAAGCACTCGGAGTTAATAACACAAGAAGCTATTCAGATCCTGTTAGAAGCTGTTATTCATAGCAGTAGAAGTTATTGTACTTCACATCTGTTCAGACTCTTGACTAGAGATTGTAACAAAAACCCAACTTCGCATCTCAAAGAAAGCCTTTTTTTATTCAGTCTGTAGCACAGAACCTGGAATTATTTCTATTCTCGTTGAACACCAGAGGGCAGCGATTCAGCTGATCCAACATTTATGAGCTCAGGTGGCAGCTCCCCGACTCTCTTTCTTATCAAGGTTAGAGAGGCCACAGAAATCCTGTTCAACAGTACATCTGTTCAGCTTACACCTCCTTACTGCAGACATAGCCAACAACATGCTGAAATTGTTTTGCAGAGCCTTTTGATAGTCACTGAGATGGAAAAAAATCACATCTACAGTGAGCTTATGTTCATCTACATAATGCTGCACAATGTCTGTGTCCTTTGGGATAGAGGAGAATTATTTGCATAGAGAAAATAAATCACAGCAGAGCTTCAATTTTTACCACCTTATTTTTTTTTACAAGGTAGACTTGAGAATTTTCCAATACATTACAGCAAGTCTAGTAGCGGAGGGAGTTTTGAGTTTTATTGCTTATTTAAATCTATTCAGCTCCAGAAGTACAGCTCTCAAACAACCTTATAACTCTTGCCTCATTTAGAACTAGATTACACAATGTGAGAACTCTTGCTAAGATATCCCATATGTATTTATAAACCTTCGCAGATAGCTTCAAGTTTATTCACTTTAGTGTATGAACTACAAACTGCCCTCGAGCTAGATCCATTTGTTCCCCACTGAGACATTTAAGCTTCGGTGTTTGATGGTATTAGGAGTACTTTCAGCTTAGTTGATAGTTTTTTGACTTGACTGTTTCTGTAGCTTGGTGGGTCGTTCTTTGACAGCGAATGTCTTCTGTCCTCTACCTTGTCGAAAGAAGATGCTGTGTTACCTTAAAGACCCACTCCGATGACAATCATGTTTTTCTTGTTTTTTACACGTTCATATGATATTTTTTCTGATGCTACAGGACATATCATGAGAAAATATGAGTATTTCTACATTCAAATTGCTGTGAATCTCTGGCAGACCCAAACAGCAGGTTTAGAAACAGTGAGATTTCCTATGTAGCAAATCCAAGCTCCGCCCCCTGAGCCCTGCTATGCAGGCTGCACTCGGATACATACAGAGGACGACCACAGAACAAGAGTGTGCGTTTGAGGATTGCAATGCTAGTAAGAAAGCTAATTATGATATTAGCTTTCATCATGTCCCTGAAGACATTATTGTCTGCGAGCCGAATAGCACCTGTGTTACCTACCACTTCTGCTGCACCAGCAATGTTAGGCTACAAGCTAAGCTAGCCAATTGCTAATGAGCTACCAGAACTCAGCAGAAGAAAAGCGCTTGAAATGACACAGGTAATGCGATTCTGGCTAAAAACTTAATAATCACAATTTGAAGACCACTGAGAACACTTATAGTAGTAAAATAAAAAAAATAAAAAAACAATCGGAGTGGGACTTTAAGATAAACAGGACATTCAAACAGGTATGTTCTGGGAAATTGTATTCTATTTCATGCTACGGTGAGTTTGTTTTGTTTTTTTCTTGTTTGGGCCTGGCACATAAAACATCTGCCCTGGCTGTTCTGTCACATTTACTTACTGATGGTATATTCTGACCTGAAGTATGAAAAACAGCAATTACTGATGGATATGATGTGCATTTTGATGTGAGAGCAGAAAGCAAATGCCAAACCATTCACTCACCGCTTAGCCATTTGGCATCTGGGTCGTGGATTCGAAGGTCGGGACCAAAGACATCCTCAATAGTTACTTTCCTCTTAGAGGCGAGGCTGTCATCTTCACCTGACGGGTACAACAGACAAACAATTGATTAATAGATAAATCATACAGCGTACACAGAGGCTCATCAGTGTACTAATATGGTACTTTTTGAAAATAGTTAAAGATTTAAGAGGTTGTCCTTTCGCCTGGTGAGATTAATTTTTAAAATTTGTAGTTTCAGAGTAAAAAATAAAGAAAATCATTTGTCTTTTCACGTTTTCATCGTCTGGAAGGTTCAGCCACACACAATACTCCCTTATCACCTCACAGCATGATATATTTCTCCTCTCTCTGGAGACAGCACCTCCAACAACTCCCAACTGTAGACAGAGCAATTTAGAAGAAGGTACAAACAAGAAAGAGGCTCCATATATTGCACTATTGATCTAAGAGCATCAGTTCACATCTGCCAGCATTGTATTTTTTTTTCCTCTCAGCAGTGTGGGGGGTTGACGTATTCCATCTTCAAAACTTAAAATGAGATCTGGAGCTGACAGCTGAACCCCGACCTGGGAGTGACTGAGTGTGGATGTGAGAAAATGGATAAAGCAAGAGTGTTCAGAACTGTCTTCTGCTGTACTTTTACTCAGGAACAAAACTGTCTGACAGGAATTGTCAAGATGGCTGAGAGACCGGGGGTTTCAGAGCGAAACAGCGCGCTGGCAGGTTCTTCAGCAGGCTTCCCATTGTGCCCGAGCATCAAGATCTGAGTGTATAAAACCACACGAGACAATGTAGAGTGTTTATCTACTAAAAAATTCAGACTAATTCCGAGTGAGTGTGGAAAGCTAATTTCCAACATGAGGCAAATGGTATCTCTGATGCGATGCCAATCTGACAAATGGCTGCAGCTATTACTGCATAATCATCCCCATTAAACAGCTCTGGATGGCATTAAACATAAAAGGCCCATTACCTCGTGAGACGCTGACCCCGTCTCGGTGTAAAGCCGTTATACAATCGCCAGCAGGAGAAACCCTGTCATCAGTGAAACCTTAACCCCCCGAAAAAAAGGTTATCAAACTGAAATAACTGCCTGCGGCGCAAAGAAGAAAAAATGTGTTTGAAATACTGAATTAATTTGCTACCACCTGAGTTTACAACGTGCAAAATGAAGCAGGAGTATGTGTGTGTCTGAGTGAATCCTCATACGGTCTTTGGTTTTCCTTAATGTTTATGCAGGAAATCTCATAACCTTCAAAAACATTACAGGACTTTTGTATGACAATCACTGGAGTGGATTTTTGTTCCCCCTCTAATCTCGTTCTCTGTGAGATTATATAATGGAGCATTTTCTGCTACATTTACACCACGAACATTCAACTTATGAAACACCTCGCATACTTTACCCACTCTGTCTCGAGCACCAGGGAAGTTTTTATACACAGTCAAATCTGAGCACATATTTCCAAACATTTCCCACTTTTTTGCTGTAAGCCTACTGAGACTACAGGTGGTGCATAATGATGCTTTGAGAATATTATTGAGGGGACCCAGCTGGTGTTGTGCAAGAGGAATGTTTTTGACTGCGTGAGTCAGTACTCTCCTGGCTGTCTGAGAGATCTTATGTGTAAATTTATTTTGCTGACTAGATACCTCAGAATAAGAAATCATCCAGGTGCAGTACTGTATCCGCTTTGGGGGTTTTGATGAAACTTTGTGGAAGAGAGGTCCAGAGAAAGGATTTTGAAGTTTTTGTTTTGTCATTTCTTAAAACTTAGAATTGCAGCTTTATGTATTTTTTAAGCTATGTTGTTTTGCAATACTGATCATTCTGTATTTCAAGACTGTCTAAGTCAGCGTATTTATTGTGGAAGATTCAAGTCTTCAGGGGAAACCATAGTATAACAGTGTCAACAACACCCCGTAGCTAGGTGAGGAGGAAGTGACCGGGGCCGGCTGGATGGTTAACCTTTTAGTCCTGCTCGGAAAAATGAGGAAGCCTTGAGCAGAGATGATTAATGGCCCTGGGTGGAGGTCTGTACTGATAGGGTCAGCTGACACAGCTGCATACATTAACCAACAAACTGACCACCACTTGATAACTAAATGAAAGTGGTTAGTGCAAGCTAAGAGATCTACATTAGAAATAATAACCCCTAACATCAGCAATGTAAGTGATGTGTTATGGTTTGATGAGTGACCCTGTTAGAGGGATAGTCCTGCGTAAAATTAATTTAGGGTCAAACACACCGTAACCCTGAGTTAGACACCTCCTTGAGAGATGAATGTTGCCGACCGCTTGCTTTTCTAGTTATACCAACTTTAGTAATGACCTTTTGGCGTTTTGGTTGATGTTTGTTTATGGCTCCTCAGACCACTGTGTATTGCTATCGTGCGGTCGTTACTAAAGTTGGTAATTATCAATTGTCAACTAAATGTATATGTGGTGGTTGTATTTACAAACAAATGTTTAACACACCTTTACTAATGCCTCCATGTTTGATTGTTTTTATGTAAAGCCCCTGTGAGGAACTTTTGGCTTGTGTCAATTTTGGCAAAGCAGTCTTCCCTCATATTGTCCTCTACATGTTTTAACAGTAATTTTAATCATCCTGCTCACGCTTGACCGTCAAATTTCTCATTTTTTGTGAATATTTTATGTTGGAAATGTTCTTCCTTGAGCTGCGTCACCCTGCAGCAGTCCATAATGGACTGGCCTGAGGTCTTGAACAAACAAGCGTCTGCCGGACGAGAGTAGGTGAGTTGTGTTTAGTCTCTTTGCTAAAGAAATCAGGCAAAGTTAAAAAGATGTTTGGTAGCTAGTGCTGTGGCTGGGACCCTATATGTACTGATGATGAAGTTAGGTGCTGTTCTGAGCATTATTTGTGGCTATAGAGTGGCGTTTTGATTGAGGTCTGTTTATGGCTCCTCAGACCGCTGTGTATTGCTATCCTGCAGTCGTTACTAAAGTTGGTATAACTAGAGAAGCAAGTGGCTGGCAACATCCAAGGCTTCAAGATGAATTACAGTCTATTACATAAATATAAAAAAACTCCTCACAGGAGCTTTAAGACGTATCTGAGGGATGTAGCTGGACACTGCAAATTGGCAAAAAGTCATCAGCTGGGATAGTCATTACACAGAAATATCAGTCAGGGAACTGGAGACATCAGGGCAGCAGCATTTAGGCCACATGATGTTAACCTGCTTAAGGCTAGGGCTGAAGAAAGATGGCAGCAGGGAAGGTACAGTAACCATTTGGCTGACAGTTGTTCATAAATGTGCTATTAAAAAAAAAAGGTTGACTTGACTTGACATGGAAAAAACAGTGTCTAAAGTTAACTAAGCCAGAAAGGCACTTTCAGTCTTGGCAGAGGACCTCGGAGTTACAACTCAGCTGTACATAATGTTTTGCCAGTTCCTCACTGAAAGCTAGTGCTTTGTGCAGACCTTGTTTAAAAGCAGGCAAACAGATGTGAAAAAAGCTGTGTTTGTTGCTTCCCACACCAAGTACATCATGAGAAGTATCTCAGCATTTGAAACATCTGGCTCACTGCATTTCATGATCCTATTACGGTCAGTATTTGGTGTGAGTAAGGGCTTATTAAGATCATAAATAAAGAAAAGAACACAACAGAATGTGAACTGTGAGTGTTTTCTGTACATACGAGGGGTCAGCAGGATGACAGAGGTGACGATCAGGGAACAGATGATGAGGATGACCAGCAGGGCGATAGCTATTCCTTTCCAGTTCCTCTGTGGGGGAGCACTGCCCACCAGGTCCTGAAAGAAAGCAGGGTACGTTACGTTAACTCAAAACACAAACAGGCAGAAAAACAGTGACCTTAAGGTGATATGTTTCACTTTCAAATGAAAGCACAGCACTTTAGAGATGATCCTATCATTCATTGAACAGACGTATATTGTACTGTCACAGTCGGAGCCAAAGATTGGCTAGAGGACATCTCATTCTCTGTCAGACAGATACCCACAACTCCACCACTCATGTGCAGTAACCCTGCATCCATCAGCCGCTCCCTGCTGTTCGCACACTACGAGCCCCTGCAGCTCCGCCTTGTAGCCAGAGAGCTGCTGTGACCACAAAACAGACACCGCAGGCACGATGATGAGCCACTCACCAACACAGCCCAGCAGATGGTAAATGGCTAATCAGCACTCTTTGAAACACACACACTGCAAAAATCCACTGGACATACAAAACATGGTACTGGTAGAAGAGCAGGAGACAGTAATCAGGTGATATATAAAGACCGCTTTGTACTTCAACACACAGATTTAGAGGCTCATTTCTGAGAGTCTAATGTACGATGTAGCTGCTCAAACCTCCATTGAGCTCAATGACATGTTACAGAAAGAGGCATTTTAATGGGGGAAAAACTACAACAAGAAACCTCCACAGTCGAGAAATATAGTCAAAGCCAGGCTGCAGTTCCTCAAATGGCCACTTGAAGGTGATTCCTAAAGACAGTCAATTCCCTTTAGACCCTGTATAAAAAAAGCCTAACTTTGTTGGAGAGGAGAATATTTTAAAAAATCTGATTGAATAATCTGAAGGCTTAAATTTGTGCATAATTTGACAGGTGGGAGTTACTTTCTACCTCCTCCATATCATCCTAGCTAATTGAATCACTCAAATGTTCTTGTTGTGTTCGTGTCCTTTGGAGACTTTCAAGCATCATTAGACAAATAATTTGGCTTGTTGTGCAATTTATCATACCAAAGATGTGTGCTCTGGTTTTATTAGTGTGTACTATTCTTATATTCTACTCTCTTTATGCAGTTCATTGACTTCTGGTGACCAGAACCAGAAATTGTGTAAAACCATACACAGAAAAACAGCTATCCTAAATTAAGCGAAAGCCGTTAGACCTCCCCCTGGTGGCTGCCTGCAGAATAGATCCTAAAGTCCACGCTTCCATTATAACTGAACATAGGTCTAGCAGATGTTAGCTTTCATCATACATCTCATTTTTTTCTTAGAAATCCATCATTACCCATCTTTTTGATGTTACGATCATTTGTCGACAGCTTCCCACTGAGCAATAGACGGCTATTAGACATCTAGGTTTTTTTTTTAGACTTAATTTCAACCGTCTAGATTCCGTATATTTTTAGACAGAATTTGGACATCGCACTTTAACCCATTATTTGATAATTATTTATTTAAATAAGCAACTGTGAGTTGCATAACTGATCTCCAAGTACCTAACCAAAATAATCATGATAGCCATTGAGCAATATACAGTGTGGTATAGATATAACCCAGATTTAGATTTAGTTTAAACTTTGTCCAAATAATTCTAGACCTGTGGTAGCCTGATTTTAGACCGGTTGTCTAGGTTACATTTAGACATCTATTAGACCTCTTTTAGACCAAAAAATGTTCTGTGGGTTTGTTGGAAAATCCAGGATGCCACAGTGGACTGTACTGACCTCAAGGATTCTTGATGTTAAATGTGTGTTTGGCTTGGTGAAATGAGTCTGACATCAGTACTGCAGCTCCACCTGCTTATTAGTGCGTCTTGGCTCCAGCAGTGCATTATATCAGCACCCATCAAGGCCGCAATTTGGCTTCACGTCTCACAGTTGGAGTTCATGGTCAGAACTGTTGATTGCTTCTCCCACCGAGATAATGGTGCGTTGAAGTGAAGATAAGACCTACTGTTAAGGTTACCTTGTTTGTCCTTGTTTGTTCACCCTTCACTTACCTTCAAATCAGAGATTTATATTGGCAAACCAAAATAAGTCCACTATGTTTTTGCAAGCTATCCCAGTCTCTAAAGTCTGATAAATAAAAACTCTGGTTTCTAACATCTCAAAGAAGAGCCCTATTCTGCAGGAAACCAACGACCTTGTAACGCCAGCATATGAATAAGTGATGATGACTGTGTGGAGCTTTGCGAGCTTGGTGTTTGCCAAGCCTTTGCCCCTCATCAGCACCACCCTCTTGTCCAAACAGTCACTTAAAGCTCCAGAAAACTATCACAGGCTGGTGAATATATAGCTTTGCCCATTGTTTTTAAAGTTTTGGTGAACCTAGTTGACACTTTTATTCGGCCACTATAATCATTTTGAGTTATATTCAAGGAAACTTCAGCCTTTTCCTAAATACAATCATTTGGCATTAAGTACCACAAAACTATGTACTTATTTCATGAACAAAAGAAATCCCGACTGATAGGGTTGACTATCAATGTCATTATTCCGGGATTATGTCCATTTTCATTCAGTTTTGCACGCTGAACACGCACACACACATACACATTAGTCTCTCTGCTAGGGAGGGGAGTGAGCAGCTTCAGCCACCCGTATCCGTCCAGCTGCTGATATCCTTGTTACCAATTAGACCTGGTGTCTGTCTGCCTACAGTGAGAGGTTGTATAGTGTGCTGCAGCTCAGTGAACCATCCACAGGGTAATGAGGTGTGTGTGTATGAGAAAGGATGGGAGAATGACTCAACTCTTGAGCAAAGAATATGAGATTTTTTATCTTTAGGGATTTTAAATTACAACATTATGAGTTACTTTCCATTTAAATGTTGTAAGTTAGCATACCTGTTTCTGGCTGTGTGTGTGAGAGAGAGAGTTTGTGTGCATTTCCGCTGCTTGTGTATCAACTGTCTCCACACAGTTTGTCTTACAGCAGAGCAGATCAATACTCAAGACAGTGAGTACACATAGAAAAACAGCAGGCACATCAATAAGCTGATTTATTGCAGCAGAAGTAGGGAGTCTCACGATAAGGTGCAAAGGCGTGCATGCTGGATTCATAACACATTAATGTCCTCGAGTTATCATACTCCAAAAGAGAAGACCTCTAGCTGAAGACTTCTGTGATATCCTCAATCGTGAGCGACCTCTGACCGAGTTGTAAACAAAACAAGATGCTTCGACAGGCATGAAGATAACTGTCCTGTCTCTGCATCTGCTGAGTTGTTTTTCCACAAATCTGCACTGAAAATGACTCAACAGTAGGTGCAGGTGTAGGTGATTGCAATGCAGACAGTCCTACAGTTTAGTTCAGCCACTACCTGGCAGACAGGCACGGATCTATAAATGTGGCAGCTGGCTCCACGCCATCAAACACAGGAAAAGTGTTTCTCAGCGGATTATTTCCAGACACTTTGATTCAAGCCCCGTAGGCTTGTGAGTAAATACTTAGTTCCATTTTTCCCCTGTCTTTTCTGCTTGTTGTGCTCGACCAAAAGATGCACACAGAAACTATGATTTCAGACAGCCTGTCTTCCTCATCTCAAATTCATCTCCCACATGCCCTGTGGACTAATTCAGGCAGAGAAAATATAGGCTGCAGTCGCCCTGATGATGAGGAGTAGCTTCCCTACAGTGCCTGGCATTTCTGTAAACAGACACTCTGCTTATTCAATCAGAGGTCAGGGAGCTTTTCCACGATTCAGATCAATATGATTTTGGACGTTTTCCTTCCTCACTGTGAAATCCTCAATAAAACAGATTCAAGCTGACCTGGATACAACCCCCGACCTTCACTGTCAGTACTCCTGGATATATAACACCATCTAGAGAGCAGCGTGATCGATGTTTATTGTACTTCCTGTGACAAGATAAGCAGTGGTCAACAGAGTTGTCAGGAAAGCTGTCTTTGTTATTTTAACTATCCGCTTGTTTAACACCACTTCTACTGTATTTCACAACACCAAGACCAAGCAGCATGACTTTGAGTTTTTGGTACCTTTAAAACGTTGAAGTGAAATTAAGTTGCACTGATGTATTATATTCAGTTCTTAGTTGTCACTAAGACACTTTACCGCCCTTAAGTAGTCACATTTCACAAAGAAAACTGTCTTGCAGGTATCACTGCTTGATCTGTGTGAGAGTTTGGAAGAGCTTCTGTACAGACAAAAGGCTGCAGATTACATTACTCATCCTTTTCAGCACTGAGTCAGTGTGTTTGGAGTTAGTGGCAGATAAGAGAGATGCTTGTCGGTGGATGTGTTCAATAACGACACTAGAGGATGGGTGAAAATCCGATTACAGGAGAGGGGCCACTGGGCTTTGGATAACTGCCAAAAGAAGTACACCAATATCAAGCAAGCCGCACTAAAAAAAAAGCTGTTGTTTTTATCACTTGTGCTTGCAAATATTGCCTCTGCTTATAACGTATAAACTCCAAACAGAAGAGTCGATGATTACTGAAGTGGCTTAACGCAAAGGGTGGATGTATTGATAGTTGTGTGTCTGTGTGTGGGTGTGAAAATGTGTGTCTTAACAAACAGCAACCGTCAATGAAAATGAAGCCAATAAGAAAGAGCAAGAAATTGCAGTTTCTCAAGTGACCACTTAAGTTCCACACACTCGTGTTAAGATGCCAATATTTGTTGCAAAACGGCCATAAACAACGGCTTGGAAATAGATTGTTTTGGTCTAAATAGCTCCGGTCTGTTATCGCACGAACTGTCCAAGGATGAAATTGTTCACAACTGATTCTTTTCTGGAGACGTCAAGACTAAGAGTAACACATAGATTTGCTCAATTGGGGACATTTGGCTGAGTTGACTAGCAGGCAAAGTGAGTGTAATAGGCTGCAGACGTCCACTGACAGGACCCACCTCCACTGAATAGACCGAAGTTACTTTTGAAACCTTTCAAAATAAAACAAATATACCGGGAGTAAGTTTCTTTTTTACATCAGAGGTTGATTGGAAGCCTTTCAAATGAAAAGCGTTTACACTGGGAAGTACGTATTCTTTGTCTCATGTGAATATCTTTTTTTTGGGGGGGGGACTTTATTCTGTGTACATAATGTTAATATGATTTTTTATTTATTCATGTGCTCAACAAAGACAAAATACAAAACTGGATGACCGCTTCAAACAAACTGAAGCATGTGAAAAAAAAAAAAACGCCACCTCTCGGTGGAGGTCTGCAGCTAGACTGTCTTGGTAAATGTCTGCGACTGTCTTCTCTCAGTGTCTGCTCACAGATTGACCAGAAATAATGCTGACTCAGCATTTTCAATGTGTCAATCACAATAGTTGGCTTTGAACGTCCTATTTGGAATGGGTGACGCCACAGTGGTGACCTCCAGTGTATAGTTTTACATGCAACCGAAACAACAGTGTGGAGAGTATTCAGTCTATTGTTATTGTGCATGTAATACCCAAATAAATGAAACTTCCAAGAAAGGCTAAAAACAAATATGGTGAAACAAATGCAGGATAAATATCCCAAAATATTTAAAATACAGAGTTGATAAAATTACACTAAAACCAGTGGTTCTCAAGTCCAGTCCTCGAGCCCCCCGTCCTGCATGTTTTGGATGTTTTCCTGCTCCAACACACCTGATTCAAATGATCAGCTCGTTATTAAGCCATTCCAGAGCTTGATAACGAGCTGATCATTTGAATCAGGTGTATTGGACGGGGGGGCTCGAGGACTGGACTTGAGAACCACTGCACTAAAACGGAATATGGTAGCTTTCAGAGAAGTACAAAAATGTTTAAAAGAGGGGGGATATACCAGTTTGAATGACATAATATTTAGTTTAAGTGTCAAAATATTGAAATACTGTCTATTTTGCACGTATCTAATCTCAATAAAAATGTCTTCTAATTACAACAAGCATTGCAGCTAACCTGGTAAATGTGCCCTTGAAAAAACAAGCATGATTAGTCACCATATCAAAAGAATCATTAGCAAATATGTTGACAAAGTTGATTTCAGTCCCACCTTTCTTGAATTTGATCGGTCTGTCATGGATATTTGGTTTTGACAAATTGTAATGATATTCTTAAAAATGAAATATGAACTGAGAGAGTGCCGCAACAAAAGCGGCTGTAGCCCAAAGCAGTTTTTTTGCTTTGGATGCTGAACCCCATAAATGCTGACCTGCACTGGATTTGTATGGCTTTGTATAAACAGGTGCAAAAATGCCTTTAGTGAACACAAGCCCAAAGTTCTTCACAGTTGTATACCAATGTGCTATATTTAAAACATGTATCTTTAGCCTCCTATAAAGCCATATATATCATTCAATAAAGTTCCTCGTATTATACTGTGGTAAAAAAGAGAAGGGGAGGCCAAAGAAGTGGTTAGCTAATCTTGACAGCAGTTTTAAGCCATTTAATTCACTCTTTGAGGTACTGAGCAAGTAAATTAATCTCTTATATCAATGTTTATGGTGAGACATCAGTTTCTATGTAAGCTCCATTACTCTCAGCCACACCAAACCATAAATCAAAATTTAGGTACAGACTTTTTTCATCTTTGGTGTTGAAAAAACAACCCGCCTTCACACTAAAGCTTTGTATTTCAATCTTTGACTGAAAATGTCTCAGTATATTTCAAAATAGAACCGTTGTCTCTTAAAATCCACAGTTATTAAAGTGCCTTCTCTGTGATTGCTTTATCCCTGCAGACTGCATTATCCCTGTGTGAAAAGTGGAGCATTCCCCACCTACTCAAACACAAAACAACAGAGAGCTCCGAACACAGACTGAGTCAGTACCTCACTGCATTGTTTTTCAGCACATTGAGATTTTAAAAAATGGACTTGAGATGCATGGTTGGATTTCCCTGATGTACAGCATGGTAAAGAATATATAACAAACTGTGAAGTTGTAAACTTGAGCGCTCCCTTGTTGCCGACTTTTCTGGAGAGCTTTTAATGAGGAAGAAGTGCGGCTGAAAGCAATTCTTGACCTTTTGGCATTGTTTTTTAGACACGGTGAGACGTCTGCATTAAGCTTTCTCTTTCTGTGAGTGTGTGTGTTTGAGAGAGAGAAGGAGAAAGAGAGAGGCATGCATGCTTTACAGCTGATAACAATGAGAGCTGCATCAATAAATGAGAGCCGGAGCCTTTTTCACCCTCTCCCTCACATACACCGCATCCGAACAAACACTTTGCATTTGGGTACCATCCACTCTAAAGGGGAAAAAACCCACTGAAGGAAGCATTCATTTGAATCCATTTGTTACTATTTTCATCCTACTCTGAGATAAAGGGACCATAAGATCGGCACATCTGCTAAGGTCAAGCTTTCTTTCTCTCCACTCTCTCCTTCTAATCCGCCCTCCCTCCCACTTTCCCTTTGTCTAACCAGCTTTGTCTCCGCTCGCTGCTGAAGTGTGAAATGGATCTTTCCTGATCTCTGAGCACCTGGTTTCCAAGGGAACCAAGAGAGTCATTTGAGTCAGATTTGTAGTGAAGAAGCTCCTGGCTGCTGTACAGTACTGTGGGGACTAATATTACAACCAAGCGTCACAGAGGGAAAACGCATCGAACAGCTCATAACATTAACTCGGAAACTAGATGGTTTCAAATACCGACACGTGGGGGGATACGGACATTTGTAACAAAAGCAAACTTCAGCTGTTTAAAGACACCAGACACTTGACACATGATATACTGTATGTCTCGGCTGTAACGTAGTCGCAGTCTGAGAACAGTCAAAGTCCGGAGTGAAGCCTGTAGCCCCTGGACAGGAGGGGTAAACTTTTCCTCTGGAACGGCATCAATAAATCATGGGCATTCATGAGTGAGATTAAGAATTCATGCCAGCTTGCTTTTGGTTCATGGAGAGATAATAGAGATCAGCTGTACTCTGTATGCACAGTCTGTGTTTGTTACTTTTGAAGACATGAAGTGAGAGGGTTAGGCTCAACAAAGGCAAAGAAAACTTGACTCTTTTCACACTAAGACTCATTAACCTTTGGATGATTTTGCCTCTAGAGATCACTACTACTAATTAAGTTCTCTCGACATACCTGTGGAGTCTCCTGTAAACCCAATCACAATCAAAAAAATCTTGATGTTCAACTTCAAACACAAAAAAGCGAGTCATTTTGAACGCAGGGGTCTTGAAAAAAGGAGAGAGAAAAAACGTGCAGTAGAAGGAAGAGAAAACGGAGTTAGATTTCTGGTGATCACGTAACACGTACTGTAAGTTGAGAGTAACATTACATAAAATTGTACCTCATCCTTCTACCTAATAGCTTTCTGTTTCCAGAGAAAGACTCAAATGCTATGTTCACACTGCAGGCCAGTTCCGATTTTTTAACCATATGTGACACATATCGGATTTTTTCATGTAAGTGTGAACAGTGCGATTCTGATTTTTTCAAATCCGACCCAGGCCTCTTTTGTATGTAGATATAAATCGGATATGTATCCAATGTGATTGCAGAGTGGATGCTCAGGCGCGTTCATCCGACCTATACGACATCAATAGGCGACAAACGTCACCATTGTTCAACAACACAAACAGATGCAGAAGGAAATTTGTGCTTTGTGCACATGCGGGTCACTTCACGGACGCATTCTGGTCACATTAGATGCCGCATTCGTTGTTGTAATGTGAACGACCAAAGAAAAAGATCGGATTTAACAAAAAATCCGAATTGTGCATCACAACCTGCAGTGTGAAAGTAGCCAAAGATTAGGGATGCACCAATTTGATATTTGGATTGGATATTGGCTCCAATATTGACAGATTAACTGGATTGGATATTTGATCAATGATGCCGATCCAGTCATTTTTTTCTCTTAATTAATATCATACACAGCAACACAGTGATTCTGTTCCCTCTATATTCTATGTCTGTCTTTCCTTTTGCACTTTATGTTCATTTACTTCTTTTTGCTGTGTGCTAATCTGCATTTTGTTATTTGTTTATAAATAAAAGTATAAATTATTTATAATAATAAATTTATATCTGTGTTAATTTGTTACCTTTTTTTAACAAGGCTTATGTCAAGCCTCATGCCTTCACTCACAGGGCAAGGTATACAGTTCATTCATTCAACAGTAGTATTAGATTAGTATTGGATATCGGCTGATACGCTCAACACAGGTATTGGTATCGGATTGGATCGGAAAAAATGGATTGGTGTTAATCATAATTACATCTAAAAAATGGTTCAAATCTGGTTTTTCTTATGTTGTCTCATTAAAATATATAGCCAACAAGTCAGCTGGTGCTGATTAATTTGTTTATGCGTAATTTTAAAGGGAAAATACTGTATTAAAGCAAAATAAAAAAAGCACAGAGGAGGAGTGTAAATAATGAGGTTTATTTGCAACATCAACCCACAGGGGGGGGGCTTTTGTGAACATGCTTCAGCAGCAGGGAGTAACAAAAGGTAAATAGGTCACAGAGGAACATTTTTCTCTATACAGAACATTTATCTACAAACGGAATCAGAAGGAGGTTTGTTTCTGAGTTTTTTTCTTGTTGAGTTCTTGTTTTTTCAAGAGGACAGGAAACTAGGAAGAGAGAGCGAGAACAAAGGGTCCTGGGTTTGGATTTGAACCCAGGCCAACCACTTTAAGGACTTGGGTACTTCTAAACTCTTAAATTATTTTTCCGAAGTCCTTGGTTTAAAGTAGCTACAGACCTGCTGTGCCAAAGAGTTTTATGCACAAAATATTGAGAAGTACCTTCATAAAACTTATTAAACAGTGCATCACTTCTGAATTGTGAATCTCTTTTTCTCGGAATTACTGTCTAACAAAAATTGTTATCCATGCTTTAGTGGAAAAAACGTCTCATGTTTCTGAATGTTTCTTGCATCTCTTATATTGATAGTAAAACAAAGACTGAATTTACATTATATAGACATCATGCTTCACTCCCCTCCCATTGTGAAATATGAAGCCAAAGTACCGCCTAAATGGACGCTTACATACGGACGCTACAGGAGCCAAAGCATGAGCAAAGGCAATCACAAGACTGACATCACATCCTTTACATTCAACGACAAATAACACATTTCACTTTCTAATCAAACTTCGAGGTTGCCAAGGGGTTGCATTATACATATATTGATAATATTATGTGCAAATGGTCATGGGACCCACTCATATGACATATAGGACAATTACTCATTTTCTGATTGTATTGATACTGAGACATTGCATCATAAATTCAGCACAATGAATTCCACCATGAATAATAACAGGAATGGATCGATTTGTAGTCATTGAATTGTATTGTGTCATATTGAAAAATAAACCAGTATTGTCCTTGTGCCTTGTTGTAATGTCCTAATGAGTGCTTGTTTGTGGTTACTGGGTATTACATCCTTATTTGCACTGATATCAGAAGGACAAAACTTTCTTCTACGATTGATAGTACAACTAAGAAGGGCTTTGGCTATTGTTTTACCCATGATCTTTTCAGCCATTAGATCTAATATATTTTTTGCAATGTGCACAAACTTCTCAGATAAATGCCTTTGTTATTTTCTTCTTTCAACTAGTATCTACAATTTGATTTGTCTGCCCTTGCACACTGAGTGGGCAGTGTATTTTTCCTTAATGGTGCTCATTTTTTCTTTAAGGGGCTGCCGATTGAAAAAATATAAAAATGTTGCTCGGACAAAAAATCGGTAATATCACATCGCAGGCTCTACAACTGAAACATTAAGCTGAAAAACTATAAAATCCTTCACAAAACACAGCAACTGATATTTCCTGTATAGTTCCCCTTCAATACAAGTCCACCAGGCTTAAAGATAACCTGTACTTACAGCAAATGTATGTAATTTTTTGAATGAATAGTACCAGCATCAGTAGCCGTAGTAGGAATGGTGGGTGGTGGTGGTGGTAGTATCTGTGGCACCATTGACTCAAGGTAAGTGTGAAGACCACGAGTGCATTGCGTTGTTCTTTCACAACTAGTCAAAATAATATTAAATGATTTAAGCTTCTGCTTTTTATGCCATTATCTGATTTCACCTGCAAATTAATTATTCAGCACCTGCAGAGAAGCTTTTTCACTTCCATGGCTCGCACACTTAAATTCTCCCTGACAGGTACAGTCTATTGAGATTCAGAATTGACTTTCACCAGGATAATAGTGTATAAAGTGAGCAGATTGTCATAGCAGCATAGAAGTCTAACAGGGTGAGTAGTTTTGATTTTTTACTGAACATAACTACAGATGGAGAAGTGGGACAAGTTAATCAGCCATGTGGATCATCACAGAAGCTGCTTCAGTTTTACTGCCTTTTCTCTGCCACTCAATTAGCATCAGCAGTTTCTCATCTCATGTGTTTACTACTTATACCATCTTCAAATTTGAAGATATCATCTTTGAAACCCAGTTTTTGCCACTTTCCTCTTTTTAAATGATAAACAAATTAACAATAACCATACCAGACTTCTTTCTGTGGGCTGATATTATTACATTTACTCAACTCCAGTTTCTGCTAACTGGGCTGTTTCCTTTGCAATGGTCTGCTAAAGAGCGATAGCAGACCTCTAACCAATCATAATCAAGTATCTGCTTGATCTGTATCGACACCATTATAGTCAAAATTGATAACTGGACACTGCTCTATTCAAACAGGCTCATTTTCCCATCAGCTACCTTGTGTCAGTTCTCCAGCACTGATACTAAACCTGGAACAATACAGAGAAGATTAGCATGGCCTCATTAAAAAGGAAGGGCGAAAGGACAAGGTGTAATATTTACTACCTGATACATGCATCTAGTCATGGGTTTGTAATTTTCCTCTCTGAGTTAAACTGAAACAAATTAAGAGTGTTTTCCACTGCAATGATTGAAAATGTATCAGTTTTCTTGGTGACCCCTCTAGTGCAATATGTTTAAAAGATTCCACAAACAGATGGGAGAAAAATCCACCCCAGTCCATGAAAAATCGACAAATATTTGAGCATATGCTTCTGCGATTAGAAGAGAGAATCAGAGAGAGATCCATGAAAGTGGGCAACATGTGCCACCACTGTGCAGAAGAAGACAAAACAGAAAGTCATGAGTGGATATCTAATCGGCTCTAGGTAGCTGTTCATCAGTCCTTGTCGGTATGAGTAACATGCTGTTGTAAGTGTAACTGCTGCAGAGTAAAAATGGGGAAACGTTAACTCCACTTGGCTCTATCAACTGATAGAAAGCAAAATTTAGAAAGAGAGAGAGATTTTTTACTGAATATGAAATTGGGCCTGCTTTTTGGACAAAACTGGCGCAGTATCTTTGAATCGTCAGAGCAACCGTGGTGCTCAGAAACATGACTGAAGGTGAATCACTCAAGGGTAGATAAGCTGGAAATAACCCTCACTATTTTTTGTCGTCTTTTAATCAAATATTTCCCTCAAGATGTCAATGAAAATAAGATCCTTTTGGAGGGGAAGGACAGCTAAAAGACAGATGATTTTTTTTAGGATAACTATGTGGCAAATCTTCGGTGTGACATGTTAAGTCAATGCAAAGATGCATTCAGATGCGGGTTATACTCGGGCGATGCCAGTGAGGCGGCTGTGATAAACAATCAGAACAGAGATTCCCGGGTGACGTATGTCAACAACAGACTGAGAGAGATTCATTCTTGAGGAAAATGAAGGATAAGCTTATCACGACAGTTAGAAACCACCTGAGCTGAAGGATACAACTTGTCTTTGACACTGAGAAAAAGAAAGAGCTCATCTGGAGTAAAGTGAGCGATGAGGTCAGATTACCTGCTAAACGCTTTTAATGCAGCAGATCCTCACAATGTAAACAGACCTGACATCTGACATGTAAGAACCCCTTCTCTCTTTCTCTTTCTCTCATGCAGTCACACGTGTGTTTGGGCGCTTCGCAGACATGATATAAACACGTGAATGGAGCGAGCACAGACTGTATATAGAATGGACGCCGTCTGCCTCCATGCCGGGTGAAGCCACCCCGAGAACAGCACCCTTTGGTGATGAGCTGCAGTATGGATCATAAATCCCGCCTCCTCCAGCAATCGCTATGGAGCTGTGGACAAATTTTAAAAATTTATAACACAGAATATAAATTTTTCTCCCCCCTGCTTGTGATGTTGACATGTAGTTACTGTCAGACTGGTTTGTGTTCAAGTCCTCTTATTCTATACAGCTCAGTTTTTAAAAGTTATTAGGGGGTTCAGGTTTTCTATGATTGACACTTGATACAGCCTATGGATGTACGAAGATTGCATAGCTCACCCGGGGGGACACGCTGTTTGAGCCGAGCGTCATCACAGCGACTCTCAGTGACTCTCCTGCCGAATGCTACTGTGAAATGTTATTTTCAGGAAATGAAGAAAAATCGCAGAAATACTGAATTAAGCAAGTAGATGATCTTATTTGCGCTTGGTGTGAACACAACATTACACTTAACTAACTATTCAGAGAAGTTGTGTGTAGAGTAGGAGCATTACACTGTCGCTGACGAAATTTAGCTACATGCAGTCTGTCAGACATGTTCTGGAAACATTTTTACTGTCAGTACATCACAACTTTTTCCTCTCTTCTATATGTGATGGTGGATCACATCGCCATTGGCTGTGTTGGAATAGAAATGTTTTTAAGTTAATCAGTCTTTTTCACTGGATAAAATGGTATTATCCGAATAATACACAAAACATTGTTTTTATGAGACTAACCCAACAGGTAAACATATATGAAGCATCTTTTGATATAATACAATAAAAGAAACATTTTGGATTATACTAATTGCTCAGTTAGAGGCCTGTCAACTGAATTATATGTGAATTTTATTGGTGGTAACCATAAATATAAATACAGCTTTAAAAATGTGTGAGACATGTTTTGTGGATGTGAATAATCTCTGTTCTGAGTTTTCTTTCAGGGTATTTTTCAAAGTGCCATTATCGCTGGTTAAACATCAATATCAATCAATATAAAAAGAGATCAAAGACCAGCCCTATCACTCTGCTGTGTGCTTTCAAACATCACCATCAGATACTATGTGTGAGGCCATTTGTTGTGGTGCTCCACCAGACACCGATAGGTAGTGCATCAGTTTAAGAACGTGGAAATGCATTTCCGGAGCCTGTAACGACTGGACTGATGAAAGAAGCAGCATTTTTAAATGATGAAGTGGAAAAGATATATCCTATTTATTCACTTATGACTTCCGTTGAATGCTGCATAGGGAGTCAAGTGCAACTCATTGCCAAACTGCATTAAAACCTCCCCCATTGACAGCAGCCGCAGAGATTTTCAGTTCAGAGAGCTGGAGTTCATATCTCAGAAGAGCGCCTGAGCTACTTCCTGTGTTGTGATATCTTCATCCGTCTGCCTCATCATTAAAGAGTAGACTAACAGGCTGGGATTTGAATTTGAAACTGATATAACCAATGAGCAAGGTCACTGCTAGAGCTGCTGCAGAGTGATGGGGGAGGATATTTTCTAAGCGCCTTGTCCAGAGGAAAATGTTTTTGTTTGAGCGAACAGTAAACGCTGACAAAAACAAGTTTAGAGGCCAAGTCACCCAGAGCAAATAAAGATTTATTCTTCTTTTTGGTCCACAGCAACATTTGCAGACGAGCATATCTGTATTTCACTCTCTGTGAGTGTCTCTCTTAAGTCTGACATCCTATTTTCTCTCAGCCATCAAAGAGCTAATGCTTCTTTTTTTCCCTGATCTGAATGTGGTTAAGAACCCACTGCATAGCTGTTGACTCAACACTCCTGCTATAATAGATGTATGAAAAGGAAACGAGAAAAATAAAATGCTTTATGCACAATTTTTTTTGAAAAATGCCAGCTATATTCAAGACACAAGAGATAATGATAACTTGGTAGAGAAAAGTGCTCAAGAACAAAATATGCCTGTAAAATTTCCTCAAATTTTGCAGGAAAACATTCTTCGCTTTGACAAATATCAAACTTAATTACACCCTGTTCATGCAACAATTATGCAAAGTGGGAGGCTTTCACCCCCGACTAATGAAACAGACCTTTTTTTGTTTTTCATTTCATATTCTGAGAGCTACCTTTGAACAAGCACGGTATGAGCCAAGTACTCAACAATCAACCGTTACGCAACCAAACTGATTGTCAAGATGTTCTCCCTGAATTCATGCAAACAGGAGTTTATTTCTGTGGAGCACCTTTCAACCCAAATTATGATATCACTGCCAGAAGCTCAGTTATGTAAAAACCCAAAGTGGATCATGTGTCTACAAAGTCATTACATCACTTCACTGTGTTTCCTACATGGCCCCACACAGAGATCTATTTAAACTCAATGAGATGGCAACACAATGCAGAGTAATTAACACCCACTCTTCCTTCTCTGCGGCTTTTTATTCCCTTTCTGTGCAAAAGTTTGAATCATGATTCAAAACCAAATAGGAGGATTTTGTCCCTTAAAAAGGAAGAAAGGAGTCATGAGGACCAGCAGGTGTTGGCTCCAAGCTCAACAACACGTGCAAACAGGACACCACAGAGGAAGCATACTACAGGTGCTACACCCGCAGGCATGAGGTTACAAGAGTGGAGCATTAAATATTTAGGTACATGATCAGAAGTTGGTGTTTACACTCAGTCAGCCGTAACAATTTGTGGTCAAAAGTACAGAGAAAAACAACAAATATAGTGACCAAACAGCTCAAATCTGTTTGGTCATCTTGTAAAAAACAACTCTTTCGATTGTAGGAGACACCAAAAAACAAGGGGAACCCCGCGGACTTCAGAGAATTCAGTCTATCGTCTATCGAGAATTCAGTTCGCGGTCCTTTGGTTCCTACCTGATCCGGCTGAGGAGCTGCTTTGGCCGGCCCGTTCACGTCTTTGGCGGAAGTCATGACCGTCTGATACAGATGAGAGGAGAGAGAGGAGGAGGAAGAGAGGAGCGCGAACAGCAGCCGGCGTCCGCTGCCGACAGGTGCAGAGTAATGAGGCGCGAAAGGAAGGAGGAGAGAGAGAGAGAGAGAGAGAGAGAGAGAGAGAGAGAGAGAGTTCTACGCTCGTTCAGGAATATCCAGTGATTTGCTGAAACAATGAGGAGACCGTGGGTGCAGACAGCGCAGAGTTCAGCTCTCAGGAAACTGTGGACCGCAGCGATGTGGGAGGTTCAGTTTTTTCCCTCCAGACAGGCAGCCATAGCCTACCTCTTTTCTATCTTTCTTTCCCTTTTTTTTCGGGGGGTGGTGATTTAATTTATTCGGCAAACGACAAAAATTCAAAACGTGCAACTTTCCATCGGTTATAGCCTGATAACTACAGGCTCATTTCTGACTACTGAAGATCAGATATGAGAATTTTTATCTGGAGCATTTTCCTTTTGATGAAAATATGCATCATAGTCGTGCACTTGATACTGTTTCTTTTTATAGTTGGGTAGCCCTCTCTACTTTTCTGTGTGCCACCCACTGCTTATAGGACAAAATCAGCAAAGAGATGGCCACCAAAATCAATACAAACCCTGAAGTTCACGAGAGCTTGATAGTGAAAAGGCATAGGGGAGAGTGGGGTAAGTTGAGCCACTCCCTGTTGCTTGGAAATGGTCAAAGAAATTGATCATGTGACCAAATATTTAGGAGATGGGCATCAATTCATGAAGTCTGTGAAGGTTAGAAGCACATGGATGAAGGGGTTAGACATTTATTTACAAAAAAATTAGAATTGTGTTCAGACCAAAAAAGATCATTTAAAATTTGTTTTATACATCAATTGTGGTATCTATGAGTTACAACACGAGGTCAAAAACCTAGAATAAAAGTCCACCATTTTAGCTTAGAGGACTAACAAAGTCATGAAATGAGTTACTTTTAATTTTCAAAAATACAGCTGTGAAAGTTCTGCACTTTCATATTAAAATGACTTTTTACAAAACAGCTTTTTAACAGCAATCCAATATACTATATTCAATATATCCAATAATAAAAAAAGAGAATTATTGTACCAGTTGTGAAGAACCATGAATGTGAAGAAGTGACTGTTATTCAGGGAGAGAGAAGGTGAGGGAGAGCTGGGGTGGAGAGTAGGGGGGTAGTAGGGATACGGCTCAACTTATCCCGCTCCTATGGTCAACTTACCCCATACACAGGGTAAATTGACCATAGGAGACCACTTTTTTTGGCATGCTATATTATCAAGACAGTTATGTTTACACTTATTCTGTTGGTTTGTGGGGATGCACAACACCTTGAAATATATGCAGATACACTAGTTAGAGACAAAACTATGATTGTGTCGATGTAGTGATCCGAAATATGAAAAATGGCTCATCTTACCTCACTCTCTCCTACTGTATACTGCTGTACAGTTTTCTTAAATTCTTCCCAGATGTGTTTTCTTCATAATTATTAATATTTTATTTCTTATGAAAATTGTATCTAAAATAATTAACTGAGATTAAAAAAAAACACCAAACTGCAGTTTCCACTCAAAGAATATAGCAGCAGGGAAAGGATGTTTCAATCAGCTTCCCTGAAATTGAGTCTGACACATCAAATCTTTACTACTAAATTCTTTATTACTTTCTATCTCTGCTATAAAATAAAAGAGAACTCAGAGGTTTTTTGTCCGTCCTCCTGGACCTATATTTAGTAGTACTAGTGCTCAGCTCCTGAGCTCACAGCAGCTGATAATATGGAGGCCTGTCAGTTTGGATCAGATCACTGTGGGCACTCATTACTGGCAAGTCCATTACACAGGAAATGGAAACTGGAATCAATGCAAGAAGAGTGAAATACTTGAAGATATTAGCATTAGCTCTTGTCAGTGGCGATTTTGGAGTCTTTTTCGACCTAAATTAGAGACTATATTCATGACTGACAGAACTCTGTGCATTGCAGTTTAGGGAGCCAGTAAAAAAAGAATTGGATAGAGTGTCTATAACCATAAAAATCATATTCACTCCACTGTGCTGTATGCCAATGCTGCTGTATTGTCTGCCAATAAAACAAAGCGGGGTTGCTGCTGGCCTGGCTCTTGAGAAGCAGAGCTGCCGTCCTCCCACACAGAGCAGAAATAGTTCCCAACAAAACAGTGTTTGTGCTGTAACTCTCTCACCGCGTGTCACCTCTCTGTGCACACACACCATCAACACTCTTGTTAGCACAGCTCCTCTGCCTATTTGTGCTACTCTGACACACACGCACACACGCACATATACACACACACGTAGGGAGCAGGTTTCTTCAGATGTCACGCACAGTCTCTGCAGAGCTCCTGGCCTTTTGAACCAGTCATCTGTCAGAGGGAAAAGGAACTGAACAATCTCCGATAAGGAAGGAGGGAAGAAAGAAGGAAGGAAGCAAATCTGCGATGTGACTCACCAGCAGAAATGGAGATACTTTCTGCAGTGAGGGAAAGATTTCCTTTGTTCCAATCATTTCTTCTTTTTTTGTGTGACTACCAGCCATGCATTTATAATCTTAAACAAATGAAAAATCAATTTTCTCTTAAATAGAAATAATTGTCAGAACGAGCTCTCTCTCTCTCTCTCTCTCTCTGAGGAATTTTGGCTCTATAGATTAACAGGCACAAACAGAACAAACTCCAAGCTTTGGCATATTATTGCGTTTTCACTGAAAAATCAAAGAGTGCATAGAAGTTTAAAGAAACCGTACAGTATAAAGAAAAAAAAAAGTGTTTTGATAGCTGCAGCAAATTTCACACACCTGTGGGTGTAGCCAGACGGGGTCAATCTGGGGTCAAGTGGATCCCAGTCTGCATGTGGACAGTGGACCTGGGATCAACCCCCCACCACCATTCTTCAAATGACAGATGACCAACTCTGCTAAGCTAGAGTTGCTCTTTACAACATCTGTATGGTATGACCGATCTTAAACTGGATAAATGGAGAAAAATAGTTAAATAAATACAATTATATCATACGTGTGTCAAAACAGTCTGCTTCAGATGCATCAATCTATTTTGGCTGGTTGGTGATTTAAATATGGGTTCTAACAAGAGAGACAAAATCAGATGTGTATGTGTTATTACATGTAAGCAGCACAAATATATATAAGAGTGCAAGCAAATGGATTTGCATCGTTACACTCATGGGAAATTAATAATGATGCAGATAGGGTAAAAGTGGGAAACCTCACCATAAGAATTAATGACTCCAACATCAAGGCATCAGGATTAGGATTAAAGGAGGAAAGATTAATGATAGAAATTAATAGAAGCTGAGAAATAGGACAGAAGCATGTGGGAAAAAATGAGGAAATAAACAGAGAGAAAAAGTAATGTAAAAAGATGGAGTTTTCTCATGTTGATGATAAAAAAAAAAAGACAATTTTTCTGGCATAATGAGTGGACCTTAAAGTGAAAAAAAAAACTGCATTTGGCTCTGCAATCTTTGAGCACATGGAGCCTGAGGGAGCTGCATGACCAGCTCACTGCCAAGACAGATTTCAGCACCACTGCTGCGGACAGCTCCTCTGACACATGAGCACCGAGAGCGTTTATCTCTCACCGAAACACATCGAAGGCATTGAAATTCATAAAACAAAGCATCTGGTAGTCAGGTAATTGGGTCTGTTTTTCATAGATAACATAACAAATAGGAAGAATAAACATTTAGTGCAAAAAAAAAACTTTACAATTTAGAATTTTCAGTTAAATCATCCATGTTGTGTCTCTCTCCATAATCCATTTTCAGCCCAAATGATCAGTGCGCATCAGTAGCAGGTTCATCTCACCTTTCAAGCTGACAATTAGCGGCACAAAAATATGAACACGATCACAGGAGGAAACAGGACAGCATTAAAGGTGAACGCTGCATTAAACAGACAAAAACACAATGGGGGGTGCTTCAGAGACCAGCCAAGCTCTAATAAACTACAGAACCGGTCTGACCACAGCGAGGGGTACAAAGACTGATCAACACTACATGAAGTATTTATGTCCCTGGCTGTAAAATGAAACAACAGACAATCAGGCTTAACTGGAAAAGCAAAAGACAGTGTACCGATGTGGGGTCTTTAGGTGCCAGCAGAACTTTTGTTTTTACAGCACAGGCTCTCCTTTATTGCGCGGTTTTATCACCTAATTGATATCTTTTAATTTATATTCTGTTTCATCATTCAGAGGTTTATGTGCTGTCTGGGACAACATCTCCAGGCAGCACCTGTCAAATAAATCCTGCCTGCCAACGTCCTTAAAGAAGCACTTTGCTCCAAGTAATGAATGTGCAAAGTTGAAGTTTGTTTCTCTTTGCTTCTAGGGGACCAACAAACAGTCATTTATATAACTGCCAATAAACAGCTTTGAGAGAGCCTGAAACTGCATGCTGGCTCCCCCCAGTGATCACTACTTGCCTGACATCCTTTAGTCTGTCAAATTTAAATGAACGTGCGAGAAAAAAATCCCCTGCAGGCTTATTGCTCTTTAATTGTTTTCACTCTGAAGCTTATGTTTGTCAAGATTACCCAAAATGTTCACAAATTAGGTTTTTTTTTGAATATAGGCTTTCTTTTTAAGGTTGTCTGCACATGTTGTTTTAAGGCATGCATTTTTTTTTCTCAAGTTATAGTAGGAAATGATGTCTTACAGCAGAAATTATGGTTATAGAGACAATAAAAGTCTTAATTCCACATCAGGTCTGTCTGCAGCTGTGGCCTTCAGCCTGTCAGTCAAGACTGAGGGCAAACAGAACAAGGGAGAGCGAGATGAGGACAGCTAACAAAGGCCCTGACAGTTTTGTTTGAAAACCGATCATTATCAGTGCTCTCTCCTTTTCTCCCTCCCCTCTCTCTTTCTCTGTCTTTGCAGAACAAACAGCAAAGCAGGAAACCTCACACAGCCAAAGACGGTCAACAATACCTGACAGCACATCATTACCCACCATGTGTTTTTTTTTCTTCTTTACAAATGCATCCCTAAGAGGTTTTTCCATCAAACATCCATTCCCATTTTCACCGCAATTAAAAAGGGCACACATGATATCAACAACACGGCTTTTGAGAAATGCTAAATAGCAAGGACAGAGGTTATTGAGGGTTAAAACAACAGACTTAATAAAACATCAACTTGGCGTCTAATGATACCATTAATTAGTTTCTGAAGTGGGCCCATGATGCCAAAACAGGGCAGTTGCCAGATTCCTAATACTAACTTCGAGCTTAGATCAAAACACAAGTAAATAAATAAAATAAAAATGTATGACCTTTTAAAAAAATGGTCATCAAAACTAAAGAAATGAAGAGTAAATAAATTCTTCTTCCAGGTTGTGAACATGTTAAATTCTCATGTTGAGTCATGCATTTGGATAACCTTTTGGGTTAAAATCATATGGACACTAAAGATAATGCAGTTTTTTTTATTGCATTGGCTATATTTTTTCAAAAGTAGAGGTTGCTGCTTGATTTGGAAATATAAATTGCTACAACATGAATGATAAAAACATTTAGAGTTTTCCTAAGGGGTTTGCTGGAATCAGGTGATAAGCACTAATAGCCCAAATACTTGGATGACTTTGATTATAACCCTGCTTTCAGTGATTATACCCCCTGAAAATGCGAATAAAATTATTAAGCATGACTACAGCTTTACTGCATATTTTTGTGCAATTCCATAGTAAAGTCCTATCAATTCATAAGGAAAAAAGCTGTTACTTTTCAGTCAGCATGGCCAGCTTAATCATCAGTCAGATCCCTTTCACCCTCTGGTCCAGTGTGACTCCTTCAGGTGCCAACTGGCAGCACACCTGCCTCTTACAGTGTATAATATATACCGCTGTTTGCATCTCCGCCTCACTGAGCTGCAGCTGTAAACCAGGATACATAAAGCACAGAACATCGTGTGGGCTGCACTGAACAGTCTACCAGATATCATTACTGTACTTGAGGGTCAGAGATGAGGCCCTGAGAAAACATGCCAGCACATGTCAGTAAGTGATGAAAGGCAGTGAATTTTCCAGACTGAAGGCAGATGCAGTTTTTCTCTGTCTGGGCTTTATAGAGGGTAATTAAAAAGTCTACAAGTCTTTAATCAGACTCATTATAGGTCTGCGAGGACTTTCAGGGGGAAACAATTAATCTACTATTGTTTTGTCTGGTGTAGTTTAGACACACACGTACACATTCAAACACACTTTATAAAAAAATACATATTTTACTTGGATCATTCCCTTGCCTCAGAACCTTGCTCCTTGACCCCCATCAATAATGTGAAATGTTTTTCCAGGGGGCAGCTGCTGTTAAACTTTCTGGTTATAGCAAGAGGACCAGTGGGTTCACATAACTCTGACACCAAGACTGTAGGGATTTACTTTCATAGCATATTATGAATTCAAGTTCAAGTCAGTGCTGTCTTCGAGTTTTATTTTCTTTGCTGCTGGAGGTAGATTCAGGCTTCTCTCCAAAATTGATTTTGTATTTAAAATAGATGGGATTATCTAAATTCAATTCAATTTCTAGATTGAAAACACTCCTTTGCTCCTATTAGTAAACCTCTAGAAGCTACGCTGGCCTTCCAGCACGGGAAGCTCCTGTAATACACACGAAGCACAATCCTCTATTTGTCAGTTTTTACCATCAAAAACATCTAACAGTGCAAATAAATGTTCATCTTCCAAGTGGTGCATTTTTCACAGCTGCTCACGGAGTACAAAAACACATACATATGTTGTTTGTTTGTCCAGTCTTAACCATGGTAGGAACATGGTGGTGCAAGATGGCAGCCTCTGCAGAAGGAGACCTCATTATAGTAAATTAACGAATAGAAAATGATTTATTTTGTTTTTGTTTATGTCCGCACAAAACAGGAAAAAAAATAGTTTGTTGATTTGCTTCATACTAAGTAATCTGTCTGTTTCGCCACAGTTAAACCCTCCCCCTCTCTGCCTCAGGGTCATGCTGTAAAGTGTACTCCATACCTGGTTTCCCAAAAGGGCTGATTCCCTTTGTGGTACTCAAAATATTCCCTCCCGCAGACCCTCAACATCAACCTCCCAGCAGTCGCTCTGCTGTAACTGTGCTCACTATATCTTTTGACACAATGTTATCTGAAATGCACAACACAGAAAGCACCCTGCAGCACCCAACAGGCGCCTCGCTGACAGATTTCATACTCGACCAGAAATAAAAGATCCATACAGATTATTGCCCACAAAAGTGGCAGCCTCAAAAATGGACCAGAATAAAACTCTGCCATGAGGAATCTGGGGAAAAAAAACATAACAAACTTATGGCTGACTAAAGGAGCTCAGACTGTGGTCCCGATTTGGTCGCCGGTGTAAATCTCAGCAGTCCATATATAGTACATTTTATCTCTAGTCTGCTGGGACCGAAATTCCCTTCAGTTCAATCCTCATAAACAACACATAAAATCAGACTCTGCCACATTCCAGACCCCAATATTCCTAAAATAATGCAGATGCAAAGTTATAAGTAGGACCCAAAAGCAGACTTGGCATCTCTGGACAAAAGCTGTGCAAGTTATTTACTGACGTTTTTGAAAAGTTAAACAAAAGAATCAGATAAGTTTCGCTGCTTAAACAGAGGTTTCTGAAAACTTTAACAACTGAGAGGCTAAAAAGTGTTCAATAGTGAAATGTAGGTCAACAGAGGCGCAACTGCATACTGTAACTAGGATGAAAGCTGTGATGCTGGTAGCTTGCCCTGAACTTATATAAAGCTCTGAGGAGGCTCCTCCACAGGTGTGCTCTCAGCAGGAGGCCACTGATGGCATACATCGCCTGCAGGTGAGCTACACCTCCCAAGGGTGGCAATCAAGAGTGAAATAGAGAGCGAGGGAGAGGGAACATATATAAGCTCACTGTTTTCAAACATAAGGGAGACGGGAAAACTGGCAAAAGGCAAACACACAAATATAGGGAGAGGAATTAAAAAACGGTACGGGAAGAGAACAAAGGAGTGTCAACACAGAACAGAAGCCTGCCTGCTGGATACCGACTCCTCTTACTTCACTGAAATGTATTAGTAGCATTATTTATGCTCTAGACCAGAGGGTCTATGTTTCCACTTTACATTTATGAGTTGTGTGCCGAAGCATTTAAAGCTTGAAAATGAATGTGAAGTCCCACAAGGCTCAGTTTGAGGGGTTTAACTTTTTAATTTGTATATTAAATACATATTAGTTTCAGAGTTATTGCAGTCTGTGTTTTTGCAGTTTTGTTTTTTGTCTTTTTTTAATTTTTCAGTAGAGAGTGAAAGAAACATTTCCGGTTAAAAAAAGTGAATTTTCTGGCCATAATTTGTGGTTTCAGGCATTAAAAGGGCTGATAAAGGTATCATTATTAAGCTATCTTAAAATCTGAACAGTTCTAAGTTTTATGCTTTTTGCTTATCAAAAAAGGACAAAAAGGATTTACTGTCCATAAATGGAGTTCATATTACACAAGGTCTGAATATGGGTAAAATCCTGGCAAAGCAGACGCATAGGTGCAGCTTATAAGGGCTGCAGGATACATCGTTTGAGCATCGTCATCGCGATGTACGTGTGCAATGTCAGAGACGAATGAACTCATCTAATTTCAAGAGTAGCTAACTGAGATACAGTTCATGTAACGCTGCATGTGCTGTGCAGCTATCCACCAATCACATTCGCTCTTTACTCAGTTGCCAATCAGACTCAGTTCTCAGTTGCCAATCAGAGTTCCCTGCCACCCTTCAATCAAAATCAGAGAGGAGGAAACCACCACCCCTGGACATGGAGTGAGTCGCTGGCGCTGCCGGTGTTGTGCCGAGAAAGCGTGTCCGCTGAGAATTTCGGAACATTACTTATCACTATTTAGCCCAACAAATAAGAACTGTCAGAGTTTTAAATTGTACATTTTTGTGGACCACTCTACTATAAGAGGTGCGCGTTTCCGCTAGGTGCATGCAATTCTCAGCGGGCATGTATGTCTCGGCACAACACTGGTCACAACAACAACAATTGCAAGATAAGCAACAGACAAGAGAAAACCACCAAAAATGAAGATTTGTTGCCAAAAAGAAAAAGCAATGTCAGTTATCTGGAATTATTTCGGTTAGAAGAAGGATGATGTCGACCAAAACACATGTTCTGTGTACATCTGTTTCCACAATAACTTCCCAGCACAATAAAAGCTAAAAATATCTCTGAGACAGACAGAAGCCATTCTACTAACATTCACAAAAAGAGGTAAGATCAGTGCAGGTTAACTGTTCACAAGATTTCAGCTGTGCAGCACAACATAAAGTGCTATTCAGGTCATCTGGTGAAAATTCCTGTATTTTTTAATATCATAATATATATCGCAGGGTTGGAAAAATTTGCTATGTTAGTTTTTTTCAATATCGTGCAGCCTTACAGCTTATATACTATGTAGTTCAAGCTGGAAGTGAGTAAACCTACTCATCTTACCAGTCTGCTCCTCTAAATTAATCCTAATTAGGAGCAGTTAAACAGTCATATTGAAACTAAAGATTATTTAGAGAAATATATGTTTATGACAAGCTTTGAATCTCCATCATTTTTGGCTGGCAAACTGAATCCTGAATGGGACCTAAAACTTTAAAGCGTTAGTTAAAAAAAAAAAAAGGTTTTTGTTGGCAAAGGGAGCATAACGTCACCCCCACTTAATGCATGTAAAGTTATAGCAACATTTAGAGGACATATGGATCAATTAATTCCACCGATGTGACATTTACGGATTTACAAAGGCGTCTGCTCTGCCACTGGGGTCAAAAAGGAAATGAAGCAAACAGAAGCGCAGCTCCACTGAGTGGATCTGACAAAGAAAACAACAACAGTGAGAAATAATGTCAACAAGCATTCAGTGTGGTTGCTCATTAAGAGCGGCACATGTGCATCTGGCACTCCTACAGAGAGAGATGAGGAGGGTGAGTCAGCGTGCATTAACCGAGCATTAACCCATCTGCTGATCTAGATCTCGTAAAACAGACTTATGAGGCTCGTGAACTTTATGTGCGCTCATCAATGGCTTACCAGAGGCTCATAAAGAGGAAGAAGAACAAAGTTTAGAGTTAGCACTGCATTTGGACGAGTTGTTATGGAAATTTGTGGACGATAAAGCACAGCCACAAGGGCAATAAACCAGGAATCAGCGGTAATGTGTGTTGTTTGGTCGGATCTGAGAATAACAGATCATCCATTTCACAAAAGTCGCAGGTGTAACAGTGTGATTCAGGAGGCTGAATTAAAATAATGATGAATCACATTCAAGGATGGGGTGATTAATACATCAGAGCTGTTTTATTCTGCTTAAGAATGGAGAGAGAGAGAGGTGCAGACGGGGGTGACTAAATGCAAATTAGACGCTTCTGAATGAATAGTGCTTCACTGTTACACATTCACCATGGGTTAAAATGTTCCCCCAAGTCCCGACTCTACATCTCTGAGGACCCCGCCAACCATTAAGATATTCCACTCTATTTTATGACTGATTATCTCTCTATTCCTCTCAAATGGAAAGAGAAAGGTCACACACACAAACAAACAAATACGAACCTGTAGCTCTCAGTCATATTTTGAAAATGAAGCCAGAAATCCACGACACAAAAGCGAGTACAAAATTATATTGTCAAACCTTTTTGAAAAATCATCAGTTTAACCCCAGAAAAGCAATGAAATGTTTCTCCCTCACATCTAAAGGTTAGTCTGCAGCCACACGAGCAGATGCGGTTTTATTCTCTCTGGTTATCAGTACTTGAGTCTGGCCCACTCCTCTTGCTGCAAAATGAATTTTGTGTGTGTGTGGCCTTCAGCTTTGGAAAGTAGGAGGTTTTTCAATCAAAGCAAGAAATCTAAATTCCTAACATGAAAAATATTTTAACTCCAATACCCATCACCAAAAGTTAGACTGTTAAAACCAAAACAATTTAAAAGGTAGATCAAAAAAGAGAGATAAACATCAGGGATCAAACTCTTTAACTTCATATTTATTTCAAATATCAGACATAAAGTCAGATTTAATATGCTGGAAGCTTGGTTCAACTGTTTGTAGTCACAGTGGGGCTTTGATTCGCATCACCTTGTTGGCATGCTGATGATTAACAGATGTGACTTCATTTAGGTCAGGGCCACAAAAATCTTTTCAATTAATAATCAAACATTTTAAAAGAAATCAGCCAAGGCTAATGGTTATTAATGGCAGTAACAGCGGTAGTAGCAGCACTTTCCTCGAAATAAAGAAACTATAAAAACACTGTGACAGCATGTTCACTGTCATCTCTCTGCCTCACTCAGCCTCTCAGGGGATTTCGATGTAGTTTCAAAACACTTGTGACAAACTCATATGTCAAAATGAATGAATATTTCAAGCATAAATGCACTCGCGATGACTCCACATGCACATTCAGATCAGTATCATCTGCAAAGCTCGAGTTCTAGTCCATCAAAGCTTGACAGTTTCTCGCTGGTATCTCGTTCTCCCTGCTCTTACAGCAACGAGTGACACATTTCAACAGCTCTGCTCAGTGTCTACTTACTCCAGAGTATGTCGGTATTATTTTGTCTGAGTAACTGGTTTGTGCAATGATTGTTATTATGATATTTCAATAGTCAAATGGCTTCAAATCTATTCTTAAATTTAATTGGATTGTGAGGAAGTTTAACTAATAATATACTAAATGCCATTCAATTACATAGATCCCCACTGAGCAATAGACGGCTATTAGACATCTAGTTTTTTGTAGACCTAATTACAGCTGTCTAGATTCTGTATATTTTTAGACAGAATTTAGATGTTGTACTTCAACCCATTATTCGATAACTATTTATTTCAAAAAGCAACTGTGAGTTGCATAACTGATCTCCAAGTACTTAACCAAAGTAATTATGGTAGCCATTGAGCAATATTAGATCTCTGTTAGCTGGCTAGTCTAAACTTGGTCTAAATTTAGATGTCTAAAAAACTTTCATTTTTAGACCTGTGGTAGTCTGATTTTAGACCAGTCAGCTCGGCTACATTTAGACATCTATTAGACCTCTTTTAGACCAGAGGGTCAAGAGGAGTTTTCAATCCAAGAAATCCAACTTCAACATTTCAAAATATAAGCAGTGTTTTCTCCAAAAAATAAATATCACCCACCAAACATGACCTGTTTTCTACATGGATGGCCCACTTACTTAAGTAGGGTATGTCTGCAGACCTTGGTTTGCACAGTTACTTGGTTGATTACTCGGATTTCAAGGGAAGGATATGATGCCTTGAGCCACCCCTTACATTGAACACACCCCTGCCTCCCCTGTGATAAAATTACTCTCACGAACTTACAGTAAGATAGTTTTACTGTACACAATGGTCAAATCTGACTAGAGCCATTTGATGCCCCCTCAGTTCAAGATGTGTCAGCAAAATTATTTGCATTGGTTCAAAAACAACACGAAATGCTCCAACAACAGCACAATATCGTTGGGAAAAAAATTCACATCACTGCATCTTTGCATGTTTTATGTGACACAACTTTGAATCTTTGTCTGAGAGAGGACATAATGACTTGGCTGTTAATAAGGACAGAGAGAAAGGGGGATGTTAGTTGCTTAAAAGGTGAAAGGCAACACTCAATTTGGGAACAGATGCAATAGTAATTTTCTCAAACAAATGTGCAAAAAGGATATCTTAAATTAATTTGCTTAAACAATGCATTATTGTGTTTCTATGAACTATTCAACATGACTTTCAGTGTGTTTGCAAATGAGGGTGAGAGTATTTTAGACCCAGACAGCTGTTCAAAAGTCAAAATGAACTGATGTTTAAAGTTTATATTTCTAACAGGAGGTTTTTCATCAGAGTCAAAGTGCCTTATCTCACTGAAATTTGTTCTGAACTAATCAATGCGCTCTTACAACTTTGTCGAGTGGGGTCTGTATTAAATATGTATTGTGGTAAAAAAGCTGATATTGCAGGACTGGGGAGGCACTTTGTGCATTACGGAGCAGCCTTTGCTTAACCACAATAGAAGCCTGTGAGGAAAGTGCATTAAGGTTTCTCCACGCTGGATCCTGTGTGTCTGGTTTTGGACTTTACATCTCACTGCAGCAAGAACGTTCGGCATTCAGGGAAAATATGATTTTATACTCCATTTTTACAGACAGGTTAGAGATGCAGATGCAGGAACAGGAAGCAACAAACAACTCTGAAACAACCAAACACTTTCACCCAAAAATACTTGGTGTAAACATCACTGTGGAAATATTTCAGCTGTCTTTGTAATGCAAAATTTCCCTTCAGTCCGTCCCTGAAAACAGCCTGATGGTTAAATTTATCCACTGACAAGTTTTCAGATGATATGACAACGATTTTGCAGCTTACTCTGACAACAACTTACAACTCAGACCGTCATGTTGAGTGCTCATTATATCGTCTGACAGCGTGAAAGTAAAATAAATAAATTAGATCTGACTCTGACTCAAGCATTGGAACAGCTTGTAATTTCCACTGAAAACGTCCTTCAAGTGCTCAGTTACAGACAGATCAAAAGTATAATTAGAGAGGAGAAATACCGTAAAGCAAGTCCCATGGCAAACACTTAATAACTGCAAAAACAAGTTACATATCTGACACACTCACCTTCCACAGTCGCTCCACCCGGGACAACTTGCGTGTTTTCATTGTGCACACAGAAAGTAAGCATTAGTCAGAAAGTGCGAGCAAGGAGTGATGTGTGGACGCAAAGAGAGATGGTGAATAATGACCGGGTCATAAAGGAGACACAGCAGCTCTCAGTGGGAATATCCCACAGTCAGCATTTCATCTCTAAGTTCCACACACTAAGTTGACGTGAGTGCCCACAAGGGTGCGTGTGCCAAACTGAAACACTGCCCTGCTGTCTCAAGGAAAGAAAACGTCACTAAGGGGACCACTGAGATGCCAACAAGAACTGGATACCTCAGTTGTCACACAAGAGGAGGTCACATCAGATCCCTCAGAGAGAATCAGAAAGAACAGGGTGTCCGACAGCCGCTGACGGCCATGCTAATCTCTGAAACACAACCCCAAGAAGAGAGCGAGGAGGAGGAGAGATGAAGCCAAAGCCCTTGTGCCCTTCACAACAATCAGCACTGAACCACTTACCTGGGCCATTAGCTGCATCTTGCCATTCAGCAGAGATCAGCATTACACACCACACACAGAGCTAGGCCTCTTTATGGGGCTTTTTACCCAGGGTTGTTTATCCTGTCTACCTCGTACTTTTCTCCCAGGAGCAATCTGCTTCACAGTACAAGCTCTCTGGACTGATAAAAGCGCTGCTCATACAGCCACAGGCTGGTGCAGTCTCAAGTGGTCACAAAAGAGTGTGACCCAGTACAGCAAATACCTGTAAGGTGTCACTGAGTAGTACACATGCTTTCTGCACCATAAAGGCTTTGCAGGAGAGCCAGATGTGATGGCGACTGGGTTCTAATAAATGATTAAAAAGTAAAATACTGTTGGTTAGAAAAAAGTCTCTGCTTGATAAAAACACTTCAACATTTTTAAATGATATGCATGCCTTCAGCTTAGGGTAACACTAATCTATTATTTATATTAAAGCTGTTGTGAGGAGCTTTTGGTTGGGTTAATGATGGCACCCCCCGCAGGCAAAGTGATACCTCATAGCTCTTGTCCTGTACATGTAATAGTATTTTCAGATAAAAATGTATCATATTATCTTCTAACAGTGAAATACAACACTCACTGTGAGTATTTGATTGAAAAACAAATAAAAAATGTACCTGGTCACAGATTTTAAGCATCGAAAAAGAATACATTTAAAAGGTTCAACTTGTTGCTTTTGAGGTCATAAAAAGCATCACGTCCAGACTTTTTCCAACCACTTAAAAACTCCTAACAGTGCCTTTAACACAGAAAAATAATAAAAGTTACTTGTGTAGTGCTAAACCATTGACTGTGTTGAATGGGCAGAGCAACAGCTATCCAAAGTAAAGCAAAAACACCTTAGTGACTGGTGACAAGACAGAGAGGAGGAGATAATGGTGAGAGAAAACAAAACCAACACTAACACACAGTCTAATTCAGCAAACTGTGCACCTAGTATGTGAGGTTCTGAGCAAAGCAGATCAACCTGGACAAGAATGAGAGCATCCACATTCCTTCAAAATAAGTGCCACAAACAGATCTTTGGCCATATAGTATAAGACCTGGTAAAACTTTACAATAACCATAAGGTAAGCTGGTAGTTTATTAAGGTTTAATCATCATTTATAAATAGCATATAGACCATTAATAAATTGTAAATTTTACAAAACCTAACCCTAACCTTAACCCTAAGTTTACAACAACCGTCTAAGTAATGTTTATAGGTGGTTTAGAAACCACTTATTAATCATTTACAAAGTGCTACTGACACACATTTTAATCTAGATGTTTTACAACCAACATTTAAACCCTATATAAACCTTTAATAAATAGTCCATTAATAATTAATGAAAATTATCAATCATAGTTTTATTGCTTGTTTAAGGTAAAGTAACTATTAACTTACATTAATAAACTATCTATTTACCATTTATAAATTATGGTTACTGTAAAGTGTTACCTAAAACCCTATTGACAGGAAACATTTACTCATGATTGACCAATGTCTGGATCGTAAATAACTACAGAACAGCTACAAATCTGTGAACAAAACTAGAATTGTAATTGTCCACTTTGTCTTGAAGTAACAACACAAAATTTACAACACAATAGCAAACATCTAATATTGAATTATTGGCATATCAAACCAAAGTCCAAGAATACATTAAAAAATAACCACAAATCAGCCCTAGGCAAGTGTAGTAACCAGTTGTTTGTATATTACTCTCACAATACATTGAAGTTATTGTGATGATTTTTCTAATCTAAAAAGTCCACCTGCACTGAGTTGTGTTTTGCTCTAGTGTAACTTAGATGGAAGCGAAACCTTGGCATTGAAATCTAGTGTGCACACACTTGCTGTGGGACTAAGATACTATTCAAGAGCCACTGAACATCTCTTATCCATGAGTGTACATTTCAAATCAAGGCAGGGATGTGCTCTACTGTAGACTCTACCAACCTCAGAGATGTTTGTGTGACTGGCAAGTTAAATGTGGCTTTAAGTTAGAAGAGGTGTGAAGACAATCCCACTGCAGCTACACTCTCCAGATCGCTTCTACACATGTTCTGGCTCCAATAGCACAATATGTCGGCTCCACTGAGGCAGAATTCTGGCTTTGCTTCTCACCCTGGAGGAAGCATGAAGGCAAAGCATCCGTATAAATACAGTAAATGTGCCTAAGCCGCCGATACATGTTGATCCACTGCTGTGCCTACTGGCTTCACAGAGTGTTCTTTCAGCTCACTGCTTTAGTTTTACAGTCTGCTCAGTCTCGCCACTCTCATCAAAAATGCTGCCAACCACAGCAAAAAAAGATCTAGAGATCCACTTAACGCTTCCAGTCCAACAAAAAAACTAATTTACAATCTGGTAAAAACACTTGAGCATTAAGTTTATTTAAATAAAGTTTCTCTTTAGACGTGGTGGAGACCAAAAACAGCAAAAACAGCAAATACAGGCCTCAGACTTGACATGTAGGTTGTTTTATACATCGTTTATCAATTTATGAGCATTTAATTGTTTACAGGTTTCTTGTACCAACTCCATGAGGTAATATGGTGTCAATGTCCTGTTCAAAGCTTAGTATGTTGTCCACATCTTGAAGTTGGCAATTGAAAACTATCATGAATTCAATAATGGAGAAAGAACAATGTCAAAAAATATGATTTGTAGTTTCACATTCAGGTCTATTCAAAACAACACAATGCTGATATTGAGTTACAAGCTATGCTACTGACAGACAGTCAGACATCCTGGCAGAAAGACATAAGTTGCTTTCTCTGGGAAGCTGATAAGGTGTGTATGTTTGTCTCAATACATAATGTCAGAGCAGCGAGAAGTCTTCCTAAACACATTCAACAATAAAGTCTCCTTATTCCCGTGATGCAACAGCCAATCCAGAGAGCGAGGGAACATCAATCATTGTGGCTTGCACTGCTGTCTTTGGTGGGGTATGATTTGACAGGCTGCCAGCTCCAGAATAGTGACTCACTCAATAGCGCTCCCCGTTCTCCCCACCTCCGCTTCACCAAACAATCATTATCTCCCATCTCTGTTCTGCTCCATGTGAGCTCCACCACACCAAACATCATCTCAGAAGTCAGCGCTCCACTCCCAGCTCAGGGAAAAGCAATCTTCCTTCTCCCATCCCCAGAGCTCTGGGTCTCATTCAGACTCCTGACTCGGCTTAGAGGAACATGAGAAAAATATTGACTAGAGATGGTGATCTAGGCAAAACTCCCCAACAGAGAAAGTGCCTGGCGGGAGAAAACTCTCCACAGTGATGAATAACTTACATACACATGTATACAAGAGGTTCACACATAGAGTATACCCACACTCTCACACAACACACTTTCAATTCAGACTGTAGATGCAGTAAAGGACATGTTTTTCTGTGCAGAGTCTAACAGGCCACATTCACGCTGAGCTCTCTGACACAAGTAACAAACTCACCTTCATGGCTGGAGGGACAAAACTTTACTCTCCTGTTGCTTCGCACAAGACTATAGTGAACCGAAAGGTGTGGCAGGGATTCAACATGAAAACCTATCTCATGTGTTATTCAACAGAAGACTAAACCAGAGCCTGGAGGAAGGAGAAGGCCTGCTAAGTCCAGGCATCATTTTGTGAGTGAATGATACAAACAGACTTCTGTCACAGCAGACATCCCCACTTGTCAAACACAAATGCCTACTGGCTGTTTTTGGTTTGTTTGTTCCCATTGCAGAGCCATGGTGTGAATGTTAATTTGATGACAATAAAAACTTGAATGGAATAGATATTTATACAGCATTATGCTATAAAATATGTGATACAAATACTGGGAATCACTTTTCTTCTACCAGCCACAGTACTAGAAATGGAAAAATGCCAAAAGGCTTTCATTAAGCCACTCAGTAGTTGCACAAATACTCTTAGCTCACTCCAAGTTGGAATGCTAGGCTATAGTAGCTAGAGAGTTAGAAGTAAGGCTTTTCCTCTAAGCTTAACAGCAGCAATTACAGTGGAGCTACAGTCATGCTAACTCTCGCCAGCTAATGTTAGTTACAAAAGACTCTGTTTCTGTAGCAGTAAAAGAAGGATAGCAGAGCTGCAGAGCGTCACGCCTTGAGTGTGACAATCACACAATTTGACCTATTGTCACATTTGACATTTCTCTCGATTTCCCCATTCAATCCCCTCTATTTATGTTTTTCACCAATTCATTAGTCCTTTGTGCCAAGATCTAACCAACCATGGAAGGCACCACGCAATATAACCCAATCAGAAGCAACGTAAGGCGGGTCTTCACGTCTCTAACTATCTTTCACACACAACAGCGCCGACATTTAAAACCCACTCAGCGTTCTCCTGCTCTCCAGAAGACGGACGGTAGGTAACTACCCAATTTTGATCAACTGATGGAGAGTTGATTAAAATGCAATATTGACAAATAAATCGTTGTTGTCGTTGTTTTCTACCGCTTATCCAAGTCTGGGTCGCAGGGGCAGCAGCTTCAGGAGGGAAGCCCAGGCGGCCCTCACCCCAGCCACTTCCACCAGCTCCTCCAGGGGGATTTCCAGGCACTCCCAGGCCAGGCAAGAGATATAATCCCTCCGCCTGGTCCTGGGCCGGCCACGAGGTCTCCTCCCGGTGGGACATGTCCGGAACACCTCTAACGGGAGGCGTCCAGAAGGCATCCTAACCAGATGCCCGAGCCACCTCAGCTGACTCCTCTCGACGTGGAGGAGCAGCGGTTCTACTCTGAGCGCCTCCCGAGTGTCTGAGCTCCCTACCCTATCTCTAGGGCTAAGCCCGACCACTCTGCAAAGGAAACCCATTTCGGTCGCTTGTATCTGCGATTTTGTTCTTTTGGTCATTACCCAAAGTTCATGACCATAGGTGACCATAAGAAATGTCCCGCTTTCTGCCCCCTGGCTGCATGCGCATACTTGCGATGACGTTGCACAGAAACCTGTCTATTGTCTATCCATGTTAACTTTTCATGTATTCAGATAGTAAAGTGTTATTTTTACCCCTGCTATCTATCTATCTATCTATCTATCTATCTATCTATCTATCTATCTATCTATCTATCTATCCATCTATCCATCTATCTATCCATCTATCTATCTAACTATCTATCCATCCATCTATCTATCTATCTATCTATCTATCTATCGAAACCCACTGTGGTCAATGGTGTTGCTTTAAAAAAGAGAATAGATGATCTGAGACACTCGGTTTGAGCTTCAAGGATGCATTGATATTCAAGTACAGCCAGTACATCCCAAAAAGAGTGTTAACACTAACACAAGAGGACTGAAAATCGTTTCTTCATAGTGACGATGATGGGAAAATGTACAAAACCTTGAATTCCTTGCTTCTTTTTATACCTAAGGATTTTTCTGCTCCATCTTGTAACACTGAGGACATTGCAGCACTGCCTTAAATTTTTTGCCATTCTGTGTGTACTTCCATGTTCTTCGGTATCTGCTAAATCCTATGCATGCTGGTGTCTGCATGCGTGTCTCCCAACGGTGTGGCTCTGCCGTATCATGGCGTGGTCGATAAGAGAAACTGCCTGTGTGACACAACAGATTACTGCCGCCTGGTCGCAGGCTTCAAACAGACTCGGTGAGAGGACTCTGGAGAAACAGCAGCTCCGCTCTGCTGCTCTAATTCAGGCTGACAGAGACAATATTTGAGAAACATCCTTCACTTGTTTTAAAGAGGCGGCTGTGGCTCAGTGGTAGAGAGGGTTGTCTCTCAACTTGATGGTTGGGGGTGTGATTCCAGGTCCTGCTATCCTCATGCCAAAGTTTCCTTGGCCAAGACACTTAGCTTCATAATTCCCCAAGTGGTCGTGCCAGCAGTGTGAAGGCTTATTACTTATGATGGGTAGGGGTGTCACAGGGATGTTCGCATGTGACGATGTGAAGTGGCTCATTACCCCAGCACGTGATATTTCTGAACAGGTCTGCTTATCTGTGAATTTTAAATGACTGGCATTCCTTTTTAAAAAATAATCTATTAACACGGATGCTCTTTTGACAAAATGATAATCAAGATTTCTTACTCATTTTTCAGTTTTATTATTGATATTATTATTTATATTACACTTTAATTCAAATTAACCCCAGACAATCTCATTCACCTAAATGGGGATTTTTTAAATTGACTATAATTTTTGAACGCAACGTTGTAGAGACTTCATTTTGGTACCAGTGATATCGGGGTACATGAAATAGGGTGGTTTAGTCTCGGTTACAGATCTCTATCTCGTTCCCTTGGGGATCACTGGTCGGCGAATGTGTTAAAACTCCAATACCCCAACGTTACCCCAACATAACCCTAACACTTAAAAATTTTTTTTTTTACATTTTTCCTGATTTTCTTTTATACCAATTGACACCAAATGGTCTGAAAAGTGCTCCAAAATAGGTCCTGGACAGTGATTTTAACCCTAACCTTAACGCCATATCTACTTAACCTGTTCATTTAAATCAATCAATCAATCAAACTTTATTTATATAAAGTTACTAAGCTTTACAGCAGCAATTGCATGTCATGCTGCTCAGTGTCATGATAATCAAAACTTCTAACTCGTTTTTCAGTTTTTTTCAGTGTCATCATTTTCCTGTTACTTGACCTCAGTGCAGGAACGCAGCCCTCTGACAGTAAACATTATCAGTGCTAAGATAAGGAGTGTGTATCTGTTGCAAAAAAACCTCTGCTCTGAAAACTAGCTGAAAGTGTTATTTGGGAACCCAAGGAGCTGGTTCTTGCTGAGAAAACTGATCTAAATCGCCAAAAACAGCCTGAATTTCCTCCACAAGAGGTATTTACACTGAGAGAGAAGAAAGATCTGTACTCTGCTCTTACATGGTAAGATGGACCAAAGACAACCTGAGCAAAGTCACATAGCCTTTGTAGTTTTGAAGTGATCTATGGATAGAATTTGATTGAATATCTTATTCGACTTGGGATGTGGGGAGCCTTTTCCTTGCAGCAGGAGGGGGAGAGGACTGTCAGACTTTTAACAGGTTTGAACCATAGACTGTATATAGAATAGATGCTGTCTGCCTCCTCGCTGGGTGAAGCCACCCCAAGAACAGCACCCTCTGGTGACGGGCTGCAGTATAGGTCATAAATCCCGCCTCCTCCAGCCAGCCTTACGGAGCTGTGGACAAACTTTATAAAATTTATTACACAGAATATAAATTTTTCTCCCCCCTGCTTAAGATGTTGACATGTAGTTATTGTAAGACTAGTTTGTGCTCTTTTCTGTGCAGCTCTGTTTTCTAAGGTTATTAAGGGCTTATGTTATCTATGATTGACACTTGATACAGCTTATGTGTGTACAAAGACTGCGTAGCTGTTTGAGCCGAGCGTCATCGCAGCGACTCGCCCTTGACTTAGATGAAGGAAAACTTGTTCGTGGTTATAGTGACAGTCTAAATGACAGAGGCTTTACATAACAGCCTCTGCCATTAGTGTATGGGTATGTGACATCTATGGTAAAAAGCAGTGGTCACATAATTTTAAAGAAATCACAACATGAATACCATCCTTTCACCATCTAAAGTTCTAAATTCACAACTAATGAGCGTGATTTGATTGATTAATGTGTTTCTGTTAACATTCAGTGCTGATCCACAGTAACTGAAAGTAAAAGTCTCACTTTAGCTGTGAAAGGGAAAGTCTAAAATGCTTCCTCTGGTTTGACTACATTCTCTTCAAAAAAGATTAATTTGATCTTTTTTGCTCCTTTTGAATCAAATGACGCAATTAAGCATTGCCATCAATGACTCTTTGACTTTCCCTCTCAGGAATAGGTCTTTTTCTGCATCTTTTCACCGTGATCTTACAACCTTTCCAAACCTAATGAGGGTTGACATTATGCTGCTCCTCTTGGATAAGGATGAGGCACTCTTAGCGGTGGCAGCTGACTGGTTGTTATCACAGAGGCCAAGCAGAAAACCATGGCAACGTGAGATTTGGTTTATTTGCTTTTTGGGAAATTTGAATTCAAGGCTTTATTAGCACTGACTGCAGAACAGTGAGAAACATCCTGTCTGAGGAAAGCCTGAGCTCACCTTCAGTACTGTATGCTGATGTGTAAAGTGCAGTGTGGTGTTGATGCATTGACTGGGACACCACAGTCTCTAGTGGTGAAGCAGACGCAGTGCAGGAAAAACTGCATGTTTGATACTATAATTACAACTCAAATCACCCATTTGACTAGATAAAAAAAACATTTTCTCCACAAATGGCAGACAAAGAAGAAAAGCAGTCCTTATCTGCAACTCTTGCCCTTTTTCCCCTCTGAAACAGCAGACGTGCTGAATGTCAACTATGCTATTAAAACAGACAATCCTCAGAACAAAAACTCAGAAGATGGCCTGCAGTTATAATAAAAAAAACAGAGGCGTGAACACAGGGAGAGGCAGAAACTAGAACGATGTGAGTTGAAGGAAAGTTATATTTAGCCCACAGAACATAAATTTAAGAAAAGAAAACCTTTATGATCCACTGTGGAGTTACATCTGAGCGAGCTGATAATCTCCCGTGGAAAGCAAGGAAGGATGTGATGTGACAGTCATCAAAAACCAGAGGATGATAAAAAATGAAATAATTAAAGGTTGACAAAAGATGTGTTTTTTGTAGCCGCATGAATATTTAATTGACTAAAATTTGGCAGCACAGATAAGAGCCTCTGTTGAAGGGAAAAAAATATCTGAGGAAAGTTAGAGGAATTCGAATAAAACTTAAATCAAAGAGTTTGCCTGGAGGCTAAATGAGGGGAGATGATGTGTTTGTCACATCTGCCACTAAAGAGTGAAGCTAAGCAATGAAGTAGTCTGCACAATCCTTACCTCATCAGGGAGCAATAATACCTCTTTGTGTTGAATCACTGACTAATCCCCACCATCAGCTTGTGTAATAAAACATTAAATCATAAAGAGGAGGGACGATCTCCCAGCGAGGGAGCGGCCAGCTGACGTGCTGTTGACATGCTCACAGAGGAGGACGGGGGAGGGGCAGTGTGGAGAGAGATGATCGATGGCGTGTCAGCAGAGCGTTGAGGTGCTCGGCAGGGGAATGGATGACCTGTTGAGATGCCCTTTGGGAGAAGAAGAGCATTAAAAAAAAAAAAAACAGGTCGATAAGGAAAAAGTCTGTCAGCAGCCGCTGAAACAGGAGAGGAGGCTGACATTCACAAAGAGCCAAGGGGGGTTTTAAGAAAAAGGGGGGGTGACACGCCATGCCGGTTATGGTGGGCTTCACAAGAAGTGGACACTGTGTGCAATGGGAGAGCTGCGTCATCTCCAGATGGCAGTCAGAGCCACCAGCAGAACACAGCCTCACCCTCTCCACCTTTGCAACCATGGCAACACAGATCGAGAGGTCCTGGGGAGGATGCTGTGTCTGAAGGGAGGAGCTTTAGCATGGGTGCCTTGAGTCCCCTTTCCTGCTTGCTGGTTTGTAATTTTTTTATTTTATTTTAATACATTAAATTTTATTATCTCATTAAGCTCATTTTTTTCTTTTAATTCCTGGTAAATAGCATTTTATGTTTGGGTTTGAATTCATTTTCATATTTTTGTCCATTTCTGACCTTCTTCAAATAAACCAATTTTCATCTCCCACTTTGGTCTCAGTTAATGGATTTTATTTTAGCTCTACTATAAAGAATAAAAAGCTGCTTTGACTATGTTACATAAAAGGAAACATGGTCCTCACTGATAACAACTTTATTCCAAATTTTGCAATTCCTCCATCCATCTAAGGCTTTGAATCTAAAACTTTAGTATTATGGTTCACTCTAACTAAAGCATTGATTTAGCCTTACCAGCCATTTACAGTGGGTGCTGTGGGAGCTCAAAGCTAATAAGACAGTTTTATTTTTTTTTTAACTAGGCAGTATACATGTCCATTTTTGCCCTAAAAACTGGCATTTTTTGTGTACATGGTTTCTGTAGCTTCTGCAGCCAGCCTCAAGCTTGCACTCAGGGAACTGCAATTTTTAAGCATCTCTGCATCATCTTAATTTCTCAGGACTGGAGGTTGCTGCTTGGACACATCCCATGTGTTTGCCTCATAAAACACAGTATGTTAATTGGTAAAGTGGAGGACTGAGCGGAAATAACAAACTCTATGATCATTACTGTGCTGATGCATTAAAATCAAAATTAACACATCAGAGTTTGGAAATAAGTCATGGGAAAAAAAACGGACTATCTTCAGGGGTAGATACTCTGGCTTCAGTTTTTCAGACATCCATTTTTGTCAAAACTCTTGGTATTTGTACCTCATGCAACCTAACCTAAAAAAAAACCTGCACTATCCCTTTACATGTTGCTCTATAAGTATTCTGCACCACTGTTGCTATCCTTGAGGAGACAGAAAAATTAAACATATATTTGTATCAGAACATCATTCCAACATTTCCCATCAAGTTACATTTGTATCTGTGCGTTATAGTGTTGCAGTAGACTGTCAGATGAAACAGCAGGTTACCGTGACCTCTCTTTTCTCAGTGTGACCAGGGTTAAATCCAGACCCGCAGACTTTTGTTGCATGTCATTCCCCATTTCTTTCTCTCCCCGTCTTGTCATCTATTTATTGCCTCTGATGAAGGCATAAAGTATCTGACTTTGACAGCTAACCTGTCTTTTTATTGCGCTGTGCTGTGTTGTATGCTGGGAGTCATGTCAGGACGTGTCATCATTCCCAGTAAGTGCAGCAGGTAACAGCGCCAGTGTCAGCCTTCAGTTAGCAGTCATCAAGCTGAAGCTCAGAGCGCACACGGCCACAGAGATAATGAGGACAGCTTATCACATCTCTCTCTCTGCTCTCGGTCTTTTATCTGGCTGCTTTCGTTGAGCTCCGTCTGGCTGATTTATCTGAGCTCTGGACCTCAAAGGAAGCACAGAGCTAAACTAAGACTTGGGAACGGGGCCAAACTGTCTTACTCAGATGTGGAGTATCTGTAAGAAGGAGGCACGGCTCAGAGCGAATGAGGACAGGCTGAGCGTGTGTGCTGATTTATGATTCACTCTTTCTCTGCTCCATTTTCACAACTTCTAAAAACAAGTTAATGAAACAATGCGGACTGGGAATTTACCTCAGTAAAAGCAAATTAATCTGAATGTGACATCCACACAGATGTAATGAAGCCTTAAAGGCATGGTTGATGATTGGAGGGATTGGTAATTAATGAACCTGGTTGAGATGGCAATCAAGGTCAAATCTGTTCACCCTAGTAGACGCAGGGCTGCAAAAACATTGACCAATGGGAGCCATCTGTCCTGGACAGCTCCTATTGGTCAAACTGCTGCTCCGCCTCTCCATTCAATCACCTCGCTGTATTCGACACACCCCTCTCCCCTAGTTCCGACTCGTCCCCTCCCACTCTCCCGGCCCTCCTCGGAGCTCTGAGTGGCTAAAGTAGCGTAGCAGCTTAGCTACAAGAGCTGTGATGGAGAAGAACGCAAAAAGAAAAACACTTCTACTTGCCCAACTGCCAAAAGTGCTAAGAAAACAGACGCCGAGACAGCAGAGTTTTTGTTAACCAGGTAATTATTGCCTTTTATCATGGCACGTTTAGTCTCTGAAATGTCAACAGGCAGCTGCAGACGGTGCTCGCTAGCAGAGCAGGCGTTTACTGCCGCTAGTCACTAGCAATCTGACATGGTGAATCCTATTTGAAGCTAGCGTAGGATCATCTGCCAGCCAGAGGGGAGAGGTTTGGTGAGGGGGGTGGGACGCTTTTTTCAAATCTGCCTCAACACATCAGTTTTTTTCAACTGCTTCTCAGATCGTCAACTGTGCTTTTAAGGGGTGAACGCCTGCATGACCCTGCAAAAGATACAATGGATATGTGATAACAGCACTCCAATAACCTGGACTAAGAAATTAAAGAGATTAAAACTGTTTTTGTTTTTCACATTTTTTTCCTTTTTTTTCCTTTGCTTCTTTTTGCTTCCGTTTAGAAATGTTCAGGTTACAAAACTATTGACCAGCCATTTTAGAACAATATTTCACCTCAACTCTCTAAAGGTCAGAACATGCCAACAGAGACGTTAGATAATCTGAGCATTTATGTGCATTAGTAGCAATGAGGGTGTGAATGGATCCAATGTTCAGTTTAGGTTACATATTCTGAAGATACATCTGATCAAACAATGTGCTTTTACAGTGATGTTTCCTTTTAGAAAGCATGTTCATTCAAGGGTCTACTCAGAGTTTGAAGTACATTTGCGATATACATAAGTGTGTAAATTTCATTTCATGAGGTAACATCATCTCTTTTCAAAGCTGGTTAAACTCTCATCCAGATCTCAAAGCTCTTCTTATCAGTCTTTTCAGTCTTAGGTCAAAGTCTTGTGTCACATCAAGGACAATCGCGATAACATACATTAATGAACTCTGTAGATGAAAACAGTGAGAAGGTGTTTAAATTCAGCTTGAAGCAGGTGTCTGAAAAATCTCCTGTGATTATAATCAGAAAAATGTCAAAGTAATTAATTCACAGTGAGCGGTAATCATTTCCAAAAGCTCTAAAACGGCAATTTTCTCCAGCAGGGGCTGTTCAGATCAACAGATGCAAAAATAGATCTCCAAAAATAGGATTTCACTTTGAGATGAAGGAAGTTTGACTGAAAAACTATTTTAAGCAGCTTTTAGATGATTGTTGTCTATAAATGGAAGAGCAAATTAACTCTAAGTCCTTGACAGCTTTACCTCTTTCAAAACTAATTACATGGACTTCTCATTTTCATAAACTCATTTAAAGCTCGGTATGGAATCTAATTCAAGTAAGGAGGAAAGTGCAGCATTAAGTTAACATTATGGCTGTTTGAAATGTGACAATGTTTACCTATACTTGTCCTACTTCATATTCTTTTACATGATCAGATTAAATCTTTTATCAGCTCTTCATTGGTCTCCTGAAACGTTTTAATTTCTGTTGCATAATACCCTCTAGCCTTTAATAACTGAGTAAATTAAACCTTAATTAAAAAATGTTGACATACTTTTCAATAAGGACTTTGCAGAAGGATTTATCCCTCCCTCAAGAAAATCTGCAAAGAGGAGTATTTACATTTCTTCTGCCATTTTCTTTGCATAAGGCCGTCAATTCAGGCTTAAAACATCCCCAAGCTGCTATCTGCAGGGGTGAAATATCAGCAGTTTCCACCTTTAGACACGACTACTATTAGCTCAGATCACGCATGAGTTTCTATTTACAGAAAAGTGTAGTAACAAGAAGACAAAACCACAGCTGAGGTCCCCCTGGATGACTTAAACTCCACCACAAAATACATACTCTTACACACACACACATGGCAGAGTGCAATTAATCATCCCGTATCTCACACACACACACACACACATACAAACATAAGCACAAACAGAGATGCAGTGCATGCATTTTCAAGAGCTCAGGAGCTTGGAACAACACTGCATTAAACATATTAGATGATTGTTTGCTAAAAATCTAATCGTTGAGATTTGTTTAAACCAGCTTAAGCAGGAAAAACAGCAGCCCCTGGACCTGACAGAGAAAACAAAAAGATCTGGACAACTTTATCAAACTCGTGGAATTTCTGAGTCTATCTTTGCCCCTTTCCTTCAGAAAATAAATGGAAATAACAATGAGTGTTCAAAGTTTTACTGCAGAGCGAAGGGTTGGAAATAGCAGTTCTTGAATTGGTCTTCTCATCTCCCGAGGATAAAGGCAATTTCATGCTCCAGCACGGCTCAGGGGGACACGGGGACTAAAGGTGAGCACAAGGTTAACAGTGCAAAGCTAATAAATATGTTTGAATCCAGCAGCAGAATAGCAGCTCCAGTTCACACTTGTAGAAAACAGCCCTAAGGTTTAATAACTAGAGAGAAAAACACCATTTGCAGCAATCAAGTACTCCAGGAAGTAGAGCAGAATCGAGAAATTGTTATGAGAAGTACGGAATTGCCTGCTCTGTGTCCAGTCTAAGTGTTGTTGTTGACAGGGCGAGTGGTGTTAGCCTGTTGCCAACCTTATCACTCGATTCCTGATGTGACAAACATCAATAATTCAGAGGAACATGGCAGTGTTGGCAGCTATTTAAAGATAAAAAGAACAGTGAAGTGCTGTTCTGTTGGGGGTTTTAAAAAGTGATACCTGCACACAAGAGACGCATATTAACAAATAATGTCATCTGGGCTTCACACAGGTAGATTTTGACAATTTAAAAGCACACTTAAGACTACGGAGAATGAGTTTACTTGAATTATACTTGTGTTTGGTAAGAGAACAGATATCCAGATTATTCTGCTTCTGGTGTCCTCTGAGAAAATACAGAGAAATCAGAAAAAAAAGAACTCAGGTATCACACTTCTGCTGAAATATAAGTCAAAAAGGAGAGTGGAGAGTTTCAGTTTCAGAGTAGAGTTCTGTGGTGTGTTTTATATGATGACATTTGGTCATCTCTGAATCCTGCATTTGCTATTCAGCACTTTGCAATATATTTGTTCTCAAAGAGGAAAACTGTTTCATTAACAACCTGGGCCTGGTGGTTCAACTTTTTACTTCAGATAAAAATGATCCAGATTTGTTAAAAAAAAAAATCAAGTAATCCAGCTCACTTTTACTAGACTCATTTCAAGCTTGACTGGATGAGCCTTATCCAGACACAGACTTATGAGGATTAGCCTGAATTCAAAAGAGACCCCAAAATCCACACTAACTGGAGGTTCCTCACAGTTAAGCTCTCACACATGCTCTGTAGTCCTGAAAAAGTTCAGGTATTGTCTGGGGGGGCTACATATGTCAAGGTAAATGGTCAGACTTTTCACCATAACTTTAAGCGGACTCTATAAGTTCCCTGCAACAGTCTGAGTGAAGTGGACCAGTGGGTACGGTGATGATGGCTTCCTCTTAATGGTCACCTAAGTTTTCTGTAGAGTTAGGATGAAACTGGATCATTGAGGTTTGGCACAACACTGGAAAAAAAAATCAAAGGCTGTGTCAGAAATGGATCCCTAATCCCTATATAGGTGACTATATGGGGGTTAGCGCCATTGTGAGGGGTGTCCGAAACCTGAGTGATCAATTCCAATGCCCCATATAGGCGACTCAAAATTTCCCATAAAGCATTGCAAAATGTAGTGACCATCCGATGGTCATTCACCGGTAGTGGGCATCCCGTCATGCATTGCGTCTTGCCATGTAGTGTCCGAAACCTCCAGTAATTAAGCTCACTACATAGTCAGCTATATAGTCAAACCCCATATGGGGGTTAGGGGTTAGGGATTGAGTGATTGATTTCGGACACAGCCAATGATATCAATACATGTTTAGTTACCATGGCAATCAGAGATAGATCAATTGATTGGTTGGGCTGATCAATCAGGCTAATTAATGTGGCTAGATAATGGCATTTTAAAATACTCAGCTATTGTCAACAGCTGCACTCAAAAGGCTGATAATAAAAAAAACATATAAATGATCATAAAAATAATAAATAGGTAGTAAGGCAATAAAGTTTCAAAGCATCCAAAATTCGGACAATCTCAGTTTTCTATAGTCTACGTTACAATTTCAGTATGTTGTTTGGAATGCATTGAAAAAAGAAACAGCATTTATTTGTTATGATATTGACGGCCAGTCCTTAAATTTTAAAGAGACGACATATATTTTTAAATCCTCAAAGCTAACCTCATGCCCTTTGCCACTTCGAAGCAAAAAACATTTGTAGAGAGTCTGGAAATATCAAACACTTTGTACAAATATTTGGTTTGACCAGTTGCTTTCTCACATTTGCTCCTATAATCCAGCATTGATCAAGCCCTCTGCTGGCTTTAAGATCATCCTGACTTTGAGATAAACGTTGTTCAAAACCCAGTCAAAGTTATAAACAACATAAACTGGAAGATTGATTGGGGTAAAAGGCAGAATTGGATTATCTAACTTTATCCGGAATCTGCTCTTCCTTTTAGACCCAACTCTTAAGATTTGATCCAATTTGGTAGCTTTATTCTGATCAAATTAGTTTTGAACCAGTAGCCCCGGGTAGTAACGTCATGTGTTTAGAAATGATGCCAATAGTGTACAGCAACAACAAAAACTTGCTGAGACAGCATGGATGTAAAGCTATTGGTCTCAAGTGGCAAGTTGGAAAAAAAAAAACACCATCCACCATGTTGTAAGCAACAGATCTGCTTCTTTGTGCTCGGTAGAAACTCTCAGAAAAAAACATAGACTGAATAACAAGCAGTAGCAGGTCAGAGGTCACTGGCGATCTTAGAAAACCTTTCATCCGAGAAGCTCAATCATCTGTAGCCTTCAACTGCTTCATTTATCTCAAATAAAACTCATTATTCATGCAAGAAACTGAAGGTGAAATCACAGACTACACGCCTCAGGCCAAAATCTAGGCAGCTGTTTGCCATTTCAGCACCAGGGATAGTACCAGAGGAAGCGCAGACATACTATGAGACCATTATAGTCTAAGGCAGTGGATGTTTCCCTGCTCCAACACACCTGATTCAAATGATTAGCTCGTTATTAAGCCATTACAGAGCTTGATAACGAGCTGATCATTTGAATCAGGTGTGTTGGAGCAGGGAAACATCCAAAACATGCAGAACAGGGGGGAGCTCGAGGGCTGGACTTGAGAACCACTGGTCTAAGGTGATAATCTTTCACATCATCTTCATCTATTAGTAACTTGCAAATTATGAAAGAAACCTGGATATATTAAGTGCATTTGCTCTGAAAGACAAAAAGCACAGACTGTGTGTTGAATGTTTATCCAAGAAAACTTAACACTAATACAAAATGCAAATTCAAAAGTGCATCTGCCAATGACTGGAAGTATTTCAGAAACTTCTGAACCAGTTTATATGAATAAAAACCCACAAATAGCTTCAAGACTTCCAGGCCTGTACTGATTATGTATGAGTATGTTTATGTTTTCTCTCTATGAATGGGAGATTTCTCATAAAAGATGGTAATTTTAAAAAGAAATAAAGTACAAGTGTCTTACATCCTCGTCCTCTTTCACGCATTTCTTGCGGTACTGCACGTGAGGTCTTCCATCGCCGAACTGCTGAGGGGTCTTCGCTGCGTTTTCCTCATCTGCAACCTGTCCACCGAGAAGGTGGCTGGCCTCAGGTGGGTGCGGGAACGAATTGGTGGTATTGATCTTCCCCGTGAATCTCTGATACAGCGAAGCCATAATACAGGTCCAGTTCAGATAACAGGAACTTACAGCATGTCAGAGACGCACACGGCTTTCACCTGATTCGGGGGGTTTCGGGGGGCAGATCTATTGGTTTTTCTGTGCGCTTCGAGGAGAACCGATGGCAAACGGCCAGAAGGAAAGATAAGGAAAGAAACTCAGCTGCTAAACAAGCTTGTATGGATAGTAGATATAAAGCAGGATCCTCAGCAGCCACGTCCTTTCAGCTTTGCCCGCGCGTACAACAGACTGGTGGGCTGAAGGTGTCAATAGTTCCACTCATCTGTATTCAAACCACGCTGTCTACCCTCTTCTGTTGCCTCCTTACAGCGAGATAGTACGAGGGCGCGCTGACTTCCCGATCAGATACTCGGTTCCCGCCAGACTCCAGCCAGATAGTCCACCAAATAAAAAGGAGCACGCGATAATACCCCGACACTTTCTGCTGTGTTTTTTGGCTCACTGTCCTCGCGCATGGAGAGTGTGAAGGACGCAGAGAGCTCGGCGATTCTCTCCGCAGACGCGCTCTGCATGAGAAGTGACCAGCTCTGAGAGAAAGGAGCTTTACTGTAGTAGCTGCTGCTGCTGCTGCTTCTACTGCTGCCGGCACTGGGCACTGTTTTTACGCACAAGCATGTGCCAGCACTGTTCAAACGCACCCTGAATTCATCTTCTTTTAAAAGCAGTTATAAAAAAAAAAGTCAGAATCATTTAAGGTTTTCATGAATAGGGTGACAACATTTCCTTCCCACATGATTGGATATGGTCCCAGGACGGAGCTAGAGTGCCTCTCTGTGGCGCGCTGAATAAGAACAGGCTGACCCAACACCTCCAAAGAGAGATCTACCTCAGGTGTTAAACATGGAGTCTCTTTATGTATGCTCCATATTCAGCTTCAACACATTAAGTAAAGTTTATAAAGTTAGGAAAAGTACTTATACCTACATGCTCCTTCATTCCATTAAAAAAACAACAAAAATTCATTCGGAAGCAGAAAATATGTTAGAATTGACTCTGTAATGAAATGTGATGATTTCTTTCCTGGTGTTAAATAAGTTTCATGCTGTATACTTCTTTACTGCAGTACCTTCAACTCTTAAATACTCTCAGTATCCCATCTGACAGGAACATAATTCGAACCATGAAAGTGACTCTCCCTCCCTTTAATTTATTCATTCCCCCCTCCACCATGTATTTCCACTCAGTCCAGATCCAAAAGTGTTAGCTCATCTACACTACATTAAAAGTTATTTCAGGCTTGAAATGCTCACAGATGCCAAAGCAACACAGCTCTTGAGTAACTGCACAATATTGGTTTATATATGGCAGAGGAGGAAGGGTGAGAGTTCTCGAGTCAAATGGTACAAATCTACTCCATCCGCGTCATGAACGCTGGAGTCAAATACCCCTCTGACTCTCTCCGTGTGTCAGCTCAAACTACAGCTCTACCCGGGCCAAGCTGCATAGGAAATAGGTCATCTTCACAGGGGTACGACTTCAAAGCAGTCCAAAAGCTGGGCTCAAAAACAGCACTTAGTACCACTGTTTTGCATCTCCCATTAAGCCAAATCAAACCTGTTTTGTCATCCCTTGCAAAGAGTACTCAAGGCTGGCTGACTCCGACTGAATATATGTTATGCTTGCCTTTGAACAAAGAGTGACTTTCAATTAATTTCTTTTTATGGTGAGTCATCTCCAGCTCTGAAAAGAAGTGCTAGAGGCTCATTGATTCATGGTCTGAATTATGAATGTAACCTCCATAATAGGATATGTATCTGGAATACAAGATATTGATTTTAAAAGAAGTTTGGACATGAATATAAAAAGAACAAGGACATGGGACATTATGGCCTTTTCCTAATTAAAGAGTCCTCTCCTTTTCTCTTCACTCTGGGTCCTCTGACTTACAGTATCATTCATAAATCAATAGAGCAAAAGCTTTGTTTGGTGCTTTTAGATGCTTTTTAATTGCCATACAGAGATTTATGGTCGAAGTTTATAAGCCAAGCTTCCTGGCTCGCCTCAGTCCCTGTCATCATTTGTTTCACCAGTTCATAAATGCCTTTCCTGGACCCGCACACCCCCAAGGGAAATAGGTCCGAGTCACTTGACATCCATACCGGCCCTCTCTGATAGATGTCTTCCAATCTCCCTCACCTTGTTGGGGAGCTATTGTGAAACGACTGGCTGCTCTAACACTCCCCTCAGGACTGTGCCCAGGGAGCCTGGGCTCAGCCTGAGCTTCCCTATCACCTCCTGGCAGATACAGCAGCTGACTGGAGCAACTCCTCTCTCACACATCACTGCAGTTGAGCTCTGCGTTTTAGGAGGGAAACATTTGGAGAGGCATGTAATAACAGCTATAATGATGGTGATAGCTGCAGCACAACTAATCCCTCTGCAGGTAGCTAATGTGGCTGTTTTCAGGTGGAATAGCTACTTTAGGTGTGATGTGTGGTTGTAATTCTATTCCACACTTAATCATGCATTTTTATCTGAAACGTGCGCTTTCAGGTGCTGTTAATCGCATAAAGGTTTGCGGAGGGAATTATGAAGGTCTGCAGAGACTTGGTCTGTATTTTCCACAGGTGTTCCACTGTAAAAAGATGAAGATACTTCCTTATTTTCTTACATGTCTTAGATGCAGTCACTACAAAATAATAGCTCTTAATTGCTTCACACAGCGCAAGAATTTATGGGACAAATTGCAGGCAAAACTCCAAGCCTGCATTAAAGAAAGGGACTGGAGCACTATATATAAAAACAGTGATTTATAAATTCTACTTTTTGTCTCTTTTATATTGCATGAAGTCTGTTAAAGCTTATTTCAATTATAAGAAGATATTGGGACAAGGAAAAACCAAGTGTCAAAATACAATCAGACGCAAATGATTCATGAAATTGCACATTATGCAAGTATGATGCACACGTTAATGTGTTAGCATTGATTGTAACAACACTGCAGGCTGCATTGTTTTCAGTATCATCTATAGCATCAAAACAAAAAGACACACAAATTAATTGGATGGAAGAGCAGACGGATCAATCGGTCAATGTCTGGTGGGAGCGCTGTAATATCTAATTTCCTCTGAACATCACTCGGCAGACTGAGGAAATTACTGAGCCTCTCTCTACATGCATGTAATAGAGTGGATTTACTTACAGCCCCCCATAATCACATCATTTTGCACCATTTTCCATTTGGAATTAGCGGGACTTCAGTGATTTCCCCTGATGCTGAGCTGAGCCCACTACAGTAACAAGTTTTTATTAATTATCTAGCAACCTGTATCGGATTACATGTCCTTGTTCTGCTGTGGACCGGACACATATGTTTGACTTAAAACTGTCTTTATTATAGTCTGATACTGGGCTGTAAATGGTTAATTTTCACATTTGGATTAATAAAACAATATCCCCAACAACTGTCCTTTAAAGACCTGAAGTATTGATATTATGCTAAAGATACATTTATGGTTATACAGTGAAACTAACTGCTTCATTGTAAGGGGCAGTAGGGGGTCTTTATATGGGTTGCCATGTAAATGGAGGGAAAAGGAAGAAGAAGCAGCAACCAGCTGGCTAGCTAGCCTTTGAAGCAGCATGTGAAAGTGCAGATCATGTTAAAGGCGGGGTTCTCTACTAAAATACATGGCACATGTGAACAACATGTAATGCAACATCACTTGCAGAAGAAGCTTTTCAGTTTAATTAATCTAAAGTTTCTGTCATGAGGCTGGTAATGCAGATAAAACTTGGCTTTCATTGAAAATAGATGAGTAGAAAGATGAAAGATGAATAGAAAGATGAATAGAAAATAGATCTTCATATAGCGCCAGTGCACAAAAAACATTTACTCAAGTTGCCTTATATGGTGACAAATAAATAAGTCACTTTGATAGTAAAATTTAGGAGTAATGTGTTGCTTTAAGCTGATATAATTGTTGCTTTCCCTATAAATATTGCAATAATATCATAATTTGTTAAGATTATTGTTAAAGGAAATTTGACATAGTGGCAAGTATTTTCCTTTTGATTTCTGTTCCTTATACTGTCTGTCTATCAAAACAAAACAACTGCAACAAATCCATCTTACATGATTGAAATCTTATATCTGCTAAACAATTACTAACCTTGCTATAAAAATATATATATATTTTCTGTTTTCAAGAGGGCTTGTATTTGAGAGTAGTGAGTGTTTTACCCACAGAGAATGCCATTCAGCTTTGCCATTTTGTTGAGAACTGAGCAAAAAACTGGGCATCTAACTTTTACAGATGGGGGTTGACTCTACCAATGTACTTAAGTTGATTCTATAATAGTCTGACCCAAATATTGATGTCAGTGTAAGTGTACGCCCCATTTAGAAATGTGTCAGTGCTTTATTTTTCCATCAGAAAGCCTGACTGTTTCAGTATTATTAGGGGGCAGATGCATATGTGTTTCTTTCACCTGCAGCACACTGATGAACTGTTTGGGTCTAAAATATAGTAATTAACTTTTGTCTGGCAGACCTATATGCGCATTTTGATATGAGCAGATCTCAGTTTGACATTATTTGAAGCAACAAATGCTTTATATTATCCAGCTGACACAGAAAAGATTAAAGAGTTTTCCTGTGTAAAGTGTGTTTCCTTTTTTTCAACTCCACCTCCGAAAGAAGAGAAAAAAACCTCCTTCGAGCTGTTTGAAGAAAGGGGAGAGATGAGAGGTAAAACAAACAGGTGCTTGTTCTAAAAACAGCTGGAAGGCAGATATTGTAATTTGGCCTGTTTAACAAGGCATTCAACGACAGTAGCAGCAGCAGAAAAGAGCTGTACTAAAAAACTCACGCTGGCAGGGGAGCATTTCGAAAACCTTGGTGCCAAATTGCCACTCTTTGTGACACTAACCTCTCTAACTCCGAGTCTCAATGGCTTCTGAACTCACATACATGGGGGTCTTTTTAGACTTACAGTGATTCACACTCACCAAGGTCACCTTCTCTCCGAAGCAAACACTACAGAAGAATGCTTAGAAAGTGAAAAATATACAGCACTTTGTATAGAAATTCATTGAGATTACATTACATGCTTCAGTCTTGTTGAGTATCACAGTAATAAAGTGAAAGCTGTCAGTACATATGTGAGTATACTGCAAACAGGGATTGCTGTTATCTAATTCAGGGTATTTATTTGCAGTTTGTCTAAGTGAAAAAAAGCCGATAAACAGGTCCTACAAAAACAGCCCACAGCCGCCTTCTATTGGCTACTTCTTGTTTAGGAACTAAGGTAATAAAAACTGCATGATATTAGAGGTAAAAAAAACAACTTTTTTTTAAAGTACTGTTATTTTTCAAATGACATTTGCATTCAAGCTTTTCATTCACTGCTCTTTTACCCAAACTAAATTAATGTAATCAAAGGTTGAATTGTTTGTTTGTTTGTGTGTGAGTCTGTGGGTGTACGAGTCACTTGAATCTCCCATCGGGATCACAGTGTTGCATTGCATGTGTCTTGATACAGCATTGAATTCTCCCAAGGTAGAAACATCCTCTTCTGTCAGTGTTCATCAAGATTTAATTAAGCAGGGCTGAAGGCCAAAGTCAATAGGACCGCGTAGGAAAACAAATTCCTTAACACTGTGTTACAGCCTTTGTCACATATTGGGTCATGTGACAACATGAATGCAATTACTGTTTACTTCAAGTCATTGCTCTTAATCACAATTGTTGCCTCCAGCACAAAAGAGGCAAATCACTAAGGAGGTCTCTAACTTTGGTACGAGTTGTATTTGCTTGCTTATATGCAAATTTAATCAGTGTGAACATTGTCTGAGATTGGTGTAGATCATAAAATTCATGCATAATTTGACTAAAATCCCAAATATATTGAAATTATGTTAAACATTGTGGTAAGTAGTCGTGTCTATTTTTTCTTTAAGCTCATTTTTCACTGAGCTGTGTGTAAAATTCAACTTCGTTAACTGCTCTCCAGCCCTGAAACCAGCTGAGCATGTTGGCTGTCGGAGCTGGCATATCATTATCCTCCACAGAGAATAAGTGCTGAGTCTTCCACTACATTACGGATGAAGGGAAAGCTATGTGGCGAGCACAAATTGAAATGGTAGCAGATAAGTCAGTGAGGAAATGAAGTTTAATGCTGGCTGATGTGGTGGAAGAGACTGTGGCTACGTCTGAGGGGATCTGCAGGCTATAGAGTGGAGGACTGTGGCAGGGGTGGAGGGAGACAGAGTTAAGAGGGTGAGAAACTGGACAAGGGAGCGTGTCACTAAGAATTTATTGTCACATGCGTGTTTGTGTGTGGAGGAAGTGTGTGCATCATGCAGGGCAAGGGTTCGGAGGGGGTGACATTAGATTAAATGGAGTAGAAATAATCTAGACCACGTTATTTTCCACACTCTTTCCTTATTTAAAATCTGGTTGGATGATTATAAGCTGTTAGAAAATGTACCTTAACACCACTCTGGTGTTTTTTTCCTATAAGCTCAATGTGCATCTGCGTTTCAAAAACACTTGCAACGACAGATAACATATTTGTGTTTCGTTGTTTTTACTGTTAATGCATTGATTGTAACACGATTAAGGTCTGAAATTAATATTACAATATTTGAAATTGTGAGCCATTTTGTCCCTTTTTGCACGTCATAGTCTTCCTGCTGCTGCAGAGGTGGAAAACAAAGACACCATTGTGCTTTGACAGGCACATTTCACCTAAAAACTCCCCGATGACTCAGTTAACCAATCAAAAGTGGTATGCACATTGTGCAAATAAAATTGAAATATCACCTGAGTACTTTGAGTTTGAGCAGCCATCCACGAGCTAAGCGTACAGATGCTGACATGCATTTTTTGGGGTGAGAACATAAAGTACATTTTACTACTTTAATTTGATTCGCAAGAGAAGACACGAGTAAGACATGCTTTAAATTGGTGAGACGGATTAAAAACAGTTTAAAAATACTAAATAACAGAATTTTAAAACTGGATAAAAATGTGATTATTAGTGATATATTATGAAAATTCTAGGGTTCAACACAATTTACAAAATCATACTTTTAGCAGCTCTACTGTTGATGTAATTCAAAAGTTTCTCCTTTACAGCCATAAACACATCCTTCCTTTTCTAACTGTCTATTCATTCATATGTATTATGCTTTCTTGTGCATTTAGCCTAAGTTAATTTTCAGTGCCCATTATTTGACTGGACTTTAAAGCTCCGATAAGTAACTTTTATTGATTTTGCCTCCCCAAACAGGGCTCATAACTCTTTGCAGTTTTGGTCCTTTACATGTGTATTAGCATGTTTACTCGTACAAAAAATGTCCTTTAGCCTTCTTCTGACACTCAAACATAATGTTAAGAGTAAATCTTTGCAATACTAAAAATGCACAAAAAAAAAAGCTGTTTTGTACAGAGACAGACCAATTAATCAATCAGCTAATTAATCTGGTCAAATAATGGTGTGTTGTTGTGATCAGCATCATATTGGCATCAGCCCTTACAAGGCCGATACCACAAAGATCTTCTGTAAACACATTTTTCAATCCCTAATGACAGCAAATCAATTTAAAAACAGTCACTGGCAAGTGTTTGGAGTAAATTCTGTTATGATGATTAGAAAAATACAGTTAAATATCGCTACTGACAGAAACACTAACCATGCCCCAAAATCTATGGAATAACCCAATTTTCAGTTCCAGTCCATAAATATCAGCTATTGGGCAACCTGCTCTCTTATTATCTTTATCTGCATCAGCCTTTGAAAGTCATCAATCCTACTGAAGACACATGATTCAAACCACAAAGCATTATTACCAGCTTTCATGCGGACTGGTTTCATAATGGTTTTCGATTGGTCGAAATGGTTAGACAACAGTTATTAATTCAGAAGAGCAAAGGCAATGCATGTGAAGACTTCACTGTGTAAGATCACTCCACCTGGAGGTGTTACAACACATCTTGAGTACTGTTCATGATTGTTCTCCTCCTGTTGACAATGTGAGGAAAATACTGGAGGAAATTCTTAAAATTACCCCAAATTTATTCAGAGACCCCAAAACTACAGACTGGTTCCAAAATGCTCCCTGCATTATGTCAAGAATTCTACATTACCTATACATTATCCCATTACATGCAACACGATAAGGAAACACAGTTTAATTCTACCTTCAGAATTTTTCTTTGCATACATTTTCGCATCCATTTAAATGCTTGGGAGCATCTTAAACTTGTCCTCCTAATCAATCCTTTCTGCAGCTAATTTGCATGCAAGCAAGAGGAGTAGCATAAAGTCAGCATTTAAGTTAAGCAGAGCAACTAGCTGACTTAAAAGCTTTCTGACTGATTTCACACAAACAAACAGAAATAATAATGTTTAAATCCAGAGCAAGAATTGCAAGCGAATCGTTTAAATATCTTACACATCACTACGCACTTCTGTCCAACTTTTCCCCATGCTGGCAGACTCTCGCCGAAGCCATTAGAAGGCAACAAAGAATAACAATGAGGCTCTAAGAATTCAACACAGCATTCACAGAAGTCAGCCGTTCTTTAGGAGTCAGCTCTTGAAATTAAAGCAGGATTGTCCATCAGGATCCTTAGAGGGGACGTCGGGACCCGCCGCTCCCTCCCTGCCCGCCGCCTGTGCAGTTCCTATCAAAAGCAACCAGCAGCCTCTTCTGTCTGGAGCAAACGGCTTACTCATAAATGCACACATTCCTCCATAGTGTGCAATGCATGCCAACACACACACACACAGACAGACACAGACACACACTTACCCTTCTGTGAGGAGTGCTGCTGGTGTCTATCTTCAGCTGGGTGGCAATCAGGACAGACATGCTGAAAAGTGCCACTCGCCTTGCGCTCACACCTTTGCGCTGTGAAGTTGGGGCTGCTGGAGGTGCCTGAGAAGTCCCCCCTTCCACCTACTCCTCCTCCTTCTCCTCCCCCTTCCCCCTTTTCTCTCCTCCCTCCCTCTTTCCCTCCCCTATGGCTAAGGGAGAGGATGACCTAGGGGTCCAGGAGCCCTGACCAGATCTCCCTCCTCTCTCTCTCTCTCTCTCTCTTTCTCCTTGCAGGGTGAATCAATCACACAGATACAGGAATCACCTCTTCATGAGGAGGGAGGAGGTAGAGGAGGGGTAACCTTTTTACTACTCTCCTCCTTCCTTCTTTCCCGTACTTATTCTACCTCTTTTAAAACTACCACTGCGAGACTTTTCTCTGTAAAGGTGAAGAGTTCAGTGGTTTAAGTTTATTAGCCACGCACACATACAGCATGTAGAGACAATAAACACAAATTGCCTCCCAACACATCAGCGCCTGTACTGCCTGCAAGGCATTTTCCCCTTAAGTGTGAATGTGTGTGTCTGCGCGCGCGCGTGTGTGTATTTTCCAATCTACGCGTGTGCTCATATTACCTAGAAATGGATCAATCCAGTCGTCTTTGCAGCAGGGTTGTGATTAAGCGCAAGTGATATTTATGCTGCCTGTCCTCCACATCATAAAATACAACAACCCGCTCTGTCCCTCACATACACACACACGCTCAGACACACACCCATCAAGCCACGCTAACAGGACAGAAGCCTGGCACGAGCCACACTGCTGCTTTATTTATGTAGCGTTTGAGCCTGATGCACTGAATCCCGGGGCTGTGACGGTGTAACCAGTTTGTTCAACCATGGAACAGAACAGCAAAGACCCATGGGAAGGAAGAAATGACACCGATTCTATAACAGGAGGAGAAGAAGTCATATTTCTCAATGAAAATCCAAACTGTAGGCTCCTTTCTATAATCTAATCGGCTGGAGTGAATGTGACAAAAGCCGGAGGCCAACAATCGTTGAGATGACCAACACACACATATAAAAAAACAGCCTTAGCTTCACCACACACACGCTTTAATAAAATGGTGAACTGGGGGCTCTGAGTCACAAGGCTACACGCAGTCATTCCCCGGTCAAATGTGGACTCAAGGGTTGAATCATGACTCCGGTGGATGCTCCTGTCTGCTGTTCTTCCTGTGTGCATAACCAAAAGATCCTGAGGCATCATGAACATGGAAGATGTATGTGGCGCAAGGTCATTAAAGCAAAGAAATCACTTCGCAGAGGAGAGCCTGAAGTTTTACAATTCGCAGCTATCTTATTTAACATTCATGAACAAAATGTGCACTACTTTAATACGACCTTGCCAATTATTCATCAGGAAAAGGGAATAAAGTTGGGAAGCCTGTGTTCTTATTTCATGGACAGTGGTGTGTTTTATACCCTGTGGCAGGAGCTAGTTTGAAGTTTCACGGCGCTTCATAAATACTCAGATTTAAAGTCAGCTGAGTCTCTCTTTGACCATGACTCATGGAGCCGTTTAGAGCGAGAGTCTTCACCCCTGCAGCAGCAGCAGTTTATCTCTAATGACTGCGGGGCTTCGGCTCATATTTTACATGTGTGATTTGTGAACAGACAACAAACCCGGGATGACAGAAGCAGGTGATAAAGAGCAGCTCTAATCGTGCACAACATGTGTGTATGCACGTTTAGTGCTTTTTCCTGACTCTACAGAGACATGGAGACCGGCTAAAGTTCATATTTGCATGCACAACATGGGAGACAGCGTTTCATCAGGAAGAATAATTACTCTGGTGCCTGTACAGCTAAATAATAATGACCACTCAGTTAATACAGGACATGGTGGTTGTAGCTACAGTCATCGGTTAACAAGCTGATTCCATGCCACAACATTTCCCCTGCGTCCTCTAAACAAGCTGCTGATTGGTCGTCCTTTGCATTCATTTTTTGTCACATTTACGGCCATGACATACATTCGCATGGTTATGAACGTAGTAAGTCATTTTAATTGCAATTAGTGGGAAAGGTCAGCGCTGTTATTGCCGTAAAGCACAGAGGCGATGTGATGTTTCATGTTGCTGACAGAAGATCATAGAAGAAATGGACAGCTTGTATGTCTTTACATGCATACTTGTACTTTATGGCGCCACTAACACTGGTTTTACCCATTCCTTTCATTTGCCTTTCTGCTGATTTGGCACAATATAAACTCCACTTGAGCACAATCCCAATTTTAAAGATTAGCGACAATGTGTAAAATGTTGATAAAAACAGACCTTAAAGGGATATTCCAGGGTAAAATTAATTTAGGGTCAAACACAATGTAACACCAAGTTAGACACCCCCTCGAGAGATCAATGTTGCCGACTGCTTGCTTCTTTAGTTATACCAACTTTAGTAACGACGGCACAATAGCAATACACAGCGGTCTAAGGAGCCATAAACAAACCTCAACCAAAACACCACTCTATAGCCACAAATAATGCTCAGAACAGCACCTAACTTCATCAACAGTACATATAGGGTCCTATCCATAGCACTAGCCACCAAACATCTTTTTAACTTCGCCTGATTTCTTTAGCAAAGAAACTAAACACAACTCACCTACTCTCATTCAGCAGCCGCTTGTTTGTAGCGAGACCTCAGGCCAGTCCATTACAGACTGTTACGGGGTCTTCATGGAAATGCAATCAGACCAAGATGCTAAGACAGAAGAACTACCGCGTCTGCAGTGCAAAATGATTAATATGGTGATTATTACTTCAAGGAAATAATAAAGTAATGATCATAAATGTTCTTCCTTGAGCTGCGTCCCCCCGCAACAGTCCGTAATGGACTGGCCTGAGGTCTCGCTACAAACAAGCAGCTGCTGAATGAGAGTGGGTGAGTTGTGTTTAGTCTCTTTGCTGAAGAAATTAGGCAAAGTTAAAAAGATGTTTGGTGGCTAGTACTATGGCTAGGACCCTATATGTACTGTTGATGAAGTTAGGTGCTGTTCTGAGCATTATTTGTGGCTATAGAGTGGCGTTTTGGTTGAGGTTTGTTTATGGCTCCTCAGACTGCTGTGTATTGCTATCCTGCGGTCGTTACTAAAGTTGGTATAATTAGAGAAGCAAGCGGTCAGCAATATTAATCTCTCGAGGGGGTGTCTAACTCAGTGTTACGGTGTGTTTGAACCTAAATTAACTTTGCGCTGGAATATCCCTATTAAGGCTCGAAAATCATTTAAAGCCAATATCCAACTGAAAACAGTTCAAAGACAACAAATCAAATTTAGAAACTGAAAATACTCGCTCATTTTAAATTCAATACCAGCAACAACTCAATTGTCACCCAACTCTTGTGGAAAAGTTTGATTTCCTCCTTTTAAATCACCCCCCACACCACCTAGTTCAAAAGAGAACTGCTGAAGCACATATGGCTCCATAGATCCAGAGAGAAAGCTGGATTTATATTCAGATGACATGCCGTAATTGAAATCATCACTTAAGGTTTTGGCACCTCTACCTGACTGCTGCCTTCAGCCCCTGAAGTGAAGTGATAGATCATAATCCCATCAATGAAGAAGGTAACAAACAGCTTTACCTACAATGCTAGATGCAAATCATCTGAAATAGTTTGTTCTTGTTTCTTAATCCTAAAATTTGTGGAGGTTTGGATTTTTACATTCAAAGTGTTCTGGTTTCTATTTGAAGTATATGTTTAGGGTCTGATCAGCACTGACCAGCGATAAATCAGCAGGTTTAAGCGAATGCAGGATCGCCTCAGATTTAAGATCTAACTTGTGCAACAAATCTGCTCAGCACTGTGTCTCTAAGTCAAGCAGTGGGTAGATTTCCCTGACAACCGGCGATGCATCAGGAATGATCAATCCTACCTCTACTCAGCTAAAAAACCCTTACAAAAGCTGTTTTCTTTTTCTTCTTGAGGACGGACCTGACAAAATGTTGTATTCTTACTTTTTCAAACTGCATCATGATGTTGTTATTCCCACAATATTAACTACTGGCTGCACTAGATTTGCCCATAAGTTGGCATCTGTTTCCAGAGGGATGCTTTGCAAAGTATTGTCAGGAGGTTACAGATGATGATTGCTTTTAAGTGTTGCTTTGGGCTATGCAAAGTTCAAGGACTAAGGTCTGAACATATGCTTATAAAAAGTGGATGAAGACATTGTGACTTTACCAGTTGGTTTGAGAACAACTTGTGTAATGACTAAACCAAGAACTCTTTAAAAGGTGGGGTAGGCAGGAATCCGTTAAAGAAGCATCTTTTTTTGTGGTGTATACACAAAAAAGCTTTTAATATCAGTCAATAGCTATTAGTTATTGATGACATTTGATAATATAACAATATTGCTGTGTTCTTTTATGTCTGAGTAGTCAACATTTTAAATTTTTTGAGCGGCCTGCTCTTTCTGACTTTAAACAAAGCCATTCTCCACCTCCTCCAACCTGATTGGTTGTGAGGTAGACGCTGCTCCCGCGTGTTGTAATGCACGCTCCATTGCTTAGAATAATGTTCAGGAGCCTAAACAAAGTTAGTGTGCTACAATATCAGACAGTAGAAACCAACCAGAAAATTGTCTGAATCCTCCTTGGGCCACGACTGCCAACACAAGCAAGAAAGTAAATACCGAAGACTCTGGCAGAATAACGGGCGCTTATAAAGGAGGTAGACCGGACAAGAGCTAAAAAGCCAACATCAATGAAGCATTAACGCTGCAGGATCTCACAGACCCTGTAACCTTTCTGCTGGACAGGTAAACCGCTTTGACAAAGTAAGCTAAGTGTCCGTAACAGAAGTAATTCTTGCCAAGAATTGTGCTGGTAGTCTGTTGGCATCTACAGTAGCACCAATGCTTTTTACTTATACGTTGACTGGGCTCCATTTGTAATCATTTAAAGTATTTATCTGCTTTATATCTGAATTTAATCGGAACAATACGAGCCAGCAGGAGCTTCTGTTAGTGGGCGGGGCTTTATTGAAGCAGAGAGGGAGAGGAGCTGAGGTGAAAACTGGTTGGGGGGGGTAGAGTTTACATTCAAGATTGCTCCAAAAACTGGTACTTCCTCAGATCCTGCCTACCCCACCTTTAATATGGAATTGAAGTGAAAAATGATAAAATCTTGCTGTACTGAGGAAACCTAAAACCAGCTGTTGAGAGAAACCAAAGTCATCTGTAAGCTGTTTACTTGAAAGCTGACTTCTTGAAACAAGTGCCCTCCTCTGTCCTCGGTTTGCGATTAAAAGGATATGGTTTTAATAAAGTATTTACACAAACCAAGAGAGTAAATTCAACTCTTAAACATAGCCTCTGCTCCAAACTCAAATGGACATTGAAAGGACTGAAGTGTGTAAATTTGTATACATGTCGCAACAGTTGCATTTGTGTTTCTTTGTGCGAGCTATTCAGCGGCAGTAATCTAAAATTACATGACAGTTTCATGTCTCATGGGGCCTTCCATTCAACATGACCTGATCTTGACCTCCAGCTTGTTCACAGACCTTCTCACCGGCTAGTCGATTCAAAAGCCCTAAGCATTGTCCACCTGCGCTCCTCCCCGTAGATCCCACAGGCTCGCACATCTGTACTTAGTATGCTCCTCAGTCTAGCTCCTCTTTGAGCTTGAGGAAGGTCAGCAGTGCAAAGATATGAATAGAAAACAAAGCATGGTTCCCCGAGAAAATGAGAAAATGCAAAATGTGTTCATGACGCGTCTTTATCAGCTAGAAACAAGCTGCTACACCGAAGACACGGCTGTATCAGGTCATCTGTTACAGATGACAGCTACAGATGAACCCAGCACTCCAGGGAGCAATGCAAGAGCACGATTAGGACCAGGACAAGGGACTTCGGGGTGGCCATGAGCGGCAAAACCTGGACAGCTGTGGGAAACATGGTTCTCATCTACAGCACACCTTTCCCTGGAGAGCCAAACCCTGGGCACAGCACTTAGCGGTGACAAACGACTACTGTTGAATAGTGTTGTCCCTCTGTGCTGCCCGTCCCTGCACGTTCCTGTGTCTCAGGATTTCATTTCATTGAACAAAGTGCCATTGTTCACCACTGCATTATCGCTCTCAAAACGGCTATTGGATAAAAATAAACAGATGGTATCAAAATAAGCACTGAGAATGTGTGCGTATCAGGCAAATGAAAAGCCGTTTTGTAACAAGCTAATAGCAGCTGTAGGTAGCAATTCAAACATTTTAAGGTGGAGCTTCAAAGTGCAACGGTTCAATGCAGAAATACAGTCTCACTAGATGAATACAGAATCCTTTTGAAAGGCATCTCATCCGTATATATTCCGGCTGCATACAAATCATTTCAGTGAAAAGTTTGTCTGTACGGCTCTACCCCCCGGGAACCTTAACATTCAGCTCAGGATGCCAATAAATCCTTGACACAGACTTTCAAATAGCTCTGATACAGCTTTGCTCCAAACTCACCTGATCAAACAGATTAAAGTTATGATCATGTTCCCTGACAGCCGACTTAGTATACTGGAATAATAACACAAAATACAGGCCCCACAGACAAAGTTTATCCAGAGCATTTGACATTTTTTGCATGCCTGAATACCTGAGGCAGTTAGCATGACGTGGATATTTTCACAGGAAAGGAAATATTACCTTTGGTTGCTATAGTTAGAAGTCGATTTTCTGGTTTAGTAGGTACAATCAGAGCCTGATCTTAATGTGTTTTAATGATGCACACTAACATTTCCATCTGATTCTCAAGGCATGCAAGATCATGGATCTAAGATGCACTTTCAATTCTGAATATAACCACTTAAAGAGATTTATTACAACAATGTGTCCTCGAATACAACAACACTGCAGAAAGAGCAAATATTCAGCTCCATGTAAGCAGCCTAGTTTACATGCAGCACTTCTGGATGTTAGGATTTGTGTTTCCTCCAGGGAGGCATTTCATTACGAGCATAATCACTGCTGAAAACATCAAAAACACTTCACTACAGCAGTGGCAGCAACAGAGGCTTACAAACTGACAACAAACATGGAAAAAAAAAAACCTCAATGCAGTAATCAGTGCTGTAATGTGATGATGCTTTCAGAGGTCTCTAAATAAAACTGCAGAAATGTTGCACGTAAATCCTAGGCAGGAATAATACATGTTGCATCCTAGTTGCATCTGCAAACAAAGGTGAAAATAAGTTTAAAACACAATAATTAGGATTACCTGATGTGTGATTTTGACCAATCATTTGCTGCAGTGGCCTATTCAGTGTTAAAATCCCACCAAAGAGTAATGCCAATGATTGCTGTATCTGCTGATGTAAAGACAAGAACAAAATGAAAATGCTGATTATTCATGTCTTAAATTTTGGTGAGTAAGTCGTCTCATATTTTTAGAAAAGTATCATTTCAACCAAATCAGGCGTAACAATTTTTAGAGAAGACGTGTCTGCATTTTCCTCAATCCCCTGAGAGGGGTACAGGCAGCTCGGATATCCACAGCCAGACTTAATGATTTCTTTTCTATGCAAATTGACCACAGATTATGTTGGGCTTTAATAGGCTGTGCCTGGGAGTCTTTAAAGAGTCAAACTCTGGTCACAGAAACTTCAGTCATCCTGTTTCTTTGGGCTTCCAGTCCCATATAGCATCGAGCTGTTAAGTGTCAGCAGAAATGTAGAATGAATGGAGGTATAACTTCTGATTGAAATGGTGAAATTTGTTTGAAAGGAACTGACTGGAGGCTTGTAAAGCTTAAGTAATGAGAGATTAAACTGTCAAGATGCAGGCGTAATTGGAAAAGCTTGGCAAGGGGGTTTGATGGCGAGCCAGTATGTGGCTGCAAGCCTCCAGCAGAGGGCAAACTAAGTCCAGACTGGGATAAAATCAAGTCTTTGACAATAGGGAAACACTGACAAATGAGTGTGTCCCCACAGGGAGCAGCCGCACATCTGTTTGACGGGACTAAACAACCCACAGTATTTCAAATTGAAAAAAAAAAAAGATGTAAATTGATTGTGATTAAAGGGCTCAACTCACTCTGCAGAGAAAACACATCATACTCTGTTTACTTGGTCTCAGGGGGTTTGAGGATTTTGAATATTCTGTGTGAGGAAACATTAATCTGAAACTTTAAAGATCACATTTTTAAAAACTGAAACCCTTCATGTGTCACTAAAAGTCAATAAGCGCGCAGAGTCACCTCAAAATCACTTAAATGTATCCTGTCTCTTCACATTTTGGGGAGGACATGCCCCCTAGAGGCTCACAGATCTGCCACAAATTCCAACATTTTACAGCTCCTCCTCAGAGTCACACATTTGGGGGAATTTGATTCTTGTGTCAATATATTTTCGTCTCTTATTGAAACCACAATCGATGCTTCTCCCTGTGAGGTTCAAGTTAACTTTGGATCTGATGTGCGAGTGATGCTCGGAAATGGCATTGTGGGAGTGCTATTACTGGGGCATTAGTTGAGTAGATAAGGTTTGGAAAAAAGAAATGTTTTCCCCATATGGGTGATGTTTTCTGTGTCAGAAAAACAGCTATCCTCAGTAGGTTATCCACAATCTGGCAGATGTACAGAGCAAAAGTTGGTCAGCTCCAAGGGAATATAAGACAAGCACTTTCAGCTTTTCCAACACTTTCCTCTATTGGGTCTTAAACTTTGAGAGACAGTGAGCGAGGGGACATTTAAAGGAGTTTGCCTTGATACACGCATGAGGGATTTGCTGCAAAATTTCTGCACTTACTGTCCCCGGAAAATCACAGATATGTCATCCTGTCCTAGCGCCAAAGCAAATATCTGGAAACGACACTAAAGGGACATCTACAGTCAAAACATTCGAGCACTGAGCCACAGAAAGTAAACTATACAATAACTTCAAGTACCCAAAGTTTAAAATCAAGATAAGTCACGCAAACATCAGTATCACACCAACATCTCCACAACAAATTTCTCTAATCTGAGTCCATATCTGAGGAAACAAGCTCATCTGCCCCCACGCCTTCAAAAGTGCTTCAACGCCTTCGTGGCGATTGGAAACGGTGGATTTTCAACCTTATGCTTAGGAAGACAAACGCCGGCTGGATGTGGGCAGAAAGAGGAGATTTAAAGTCTGAATTACCTTGTCCGCCTTGCTGGATCCCCTGCGGTAGTGTCCTACACCTGCTGATGAGTTCATGGCCCCGTGGAGCGATCGTCTGCAATGCAAACAATATTCACCTGAAGCCGACTACACAATAAACTTCTGTCTTCCTCTCTCCTCTTCTCTCTATCTCTCTGTCGTGCACGTAATTACGCACGCAATCGCACAGCCAATAAAAACAAGTGCGCTTTCTTTCCTTTTAACTCCCCTGACGTGGAAATAATCACGTTTTGATAGCAGCTTTTCGCATCAGATCTCCCAGAAATAAGCGAGATTAGACGCCACCCACCTGTAGTAATGCTATTCAAAAGTGGCCAGCATCAAATCAAAGCGTAAAGGCGCAGCTCCTGCATGGCGTGCGCTCTCTGCCACGAAGACAAATGATGAGCAGAAAGTTTCAGCACGATGGCAAGTCACGATTGCCAGTCAGCAGAGGGAAGTCTCTTTTGTAGTTTTGTGCTGATCCACGACCAGAATCCAATAAAAAGAGAAAAGGGGGGAGAAGAGCAGCTGGCGCTTTATCAGCAGACTGCACATGCGCCTCTGTGTTCCCAAGAGTGCGGAGCCGCTGCAATCCTCAAAGTGAACGCGTTTAAACTGTGCACTTTGAATCCACTTAGTAGAAAGAAGTCTGCAATACGCCTCATCTGCAGCTTTTATGAAACGTCCTCACCCTTTTGAGTACGTCAGGACATATTGGGTATGGGTTATGGCACCTGAAAGACGCTTTTGTGGGGAAGAGTCAGCATAAACTAGCATCTAAAACTTCTCTTTATCTGGAAAGGTGAGGTCAAGACTAGACTAATACCACATTTTCATTTTTTTTTATGAACTGTGTTTGTATGCGCGGTGTGTTTGAGTTGGACAAAAAAAATAGCCCTGCGCGTCTTTTCCTGGGCAGATATTTCCACATGGAGCCAGCAATTAAAAGCTTTTAGAGGTGGGTGGTGATCAAAGGGGAAACTGTGTCACCCCTTGGCCCCACAGTGGTTAAGATTCTTCCATAGGCTCTAATGAGGCAGGGATGCAAAAGAGTTCATTACGCAGAGTAAAGTGTGAATTTAGTGGAACCACAGGGAGCAAAGTAGCGACGCACTCCGCAAATACTAATGATCCAGGGCAGGGGGAGTTTTTCGACAAACTTCTGCTGCAGCTAATTAGAGAGAACAAAGGAAAGACTTCTTTTGTTAACAAGAGAAGTATGATTGATATTTAGTTAAAGATATCTGTGCAAATCCTCTTGGGGGGAGGACTACTTCTCCTCTTTTGTGTTCCCTTTTCTTCCTTTGTAGACTTGTTGCCATCACAAATCCAAATTCTCACTCTCACTACATGACTGATTGCGGTGTGTGGCCTGCAGAGACAACCGTGAAACTGTTCTCTGTGGAAGATTGAAGAAGTGTTTGGAGAGAAGGAAAGTCTGAGCTGCAGCCCACCAACTTTCTTCCTTGCTGTTATTTTTTTTGCCGCATTGCACTGGTGTTGAACCATAAATAATTGAGCAGGAGAAACATGGTATATAATACCTAAAGACATGCAGTTTAGGTATGACAATTCCCCGGAGAGCTGCGCTGGTGAAATAGAAACAAGAATGCAAAACATGCACTACTATCTCCTCCCTTTTGATGGAGGTAATCGGTAAACAAAGAAGGCAAAGCAGAGCAAGGGACAATTTCTGCACCGTCTTGGACATTTATTATCATCTAAGTCTATCAAAAGTGAATATAAATCCAAATTTTACAAGAACGCTTCAAATGTTACATAATGTATATCTGTTTGCATGTGAAAATTCCAAATCACAGCACAATATCTCTGTCTGGAGGGTCTTCCTCTTCCTCTTCTACAACTTCCAGAAGGAAATTTCTACGTTTTCCTTGTATTTTTTCCCAGAGAAGCAATCATGCTCGAGACCAGACGAAGACATTGAGTGTTGTGAGTGTGTGACAGAGGGTTGAGCAGCATGCAGGCATCCTCCATCACAAAGTCATCATTTACAGATCAGCACCATGGACAGCAGCCAGCCTGCTCCACGGTGCTGTTAATGGAAGAACAGGCAAAGGGGCTCTAAAGCCACAGGAGACCAATTACAGTTGTTATACCTACTGTTGTGGGAACATTTGAGTGGTGAGAGGTTTGAGACAAGGAGGTGAGTTACAATAAACGCAAATGAATTAGAAATTGGCTATCATGGGATGGAGTGGGGGAGGATGAATGAGAAGGGAATCTGCATGACAAACATGTTTTATATTGCTCCAGTCTTTTTTTTTTTTTCTTGTTTGTGCATCCATTGCAACCGCCAAATGGGCTGAAAGAAGCATTTTCTGTACCATGTCCTCAGTAATCCACAGCTGTTGGGGTTATGAAAGAAACATACAGCATTCAAAAAGAAACACACAATCTATGGTTGGCACATGAATAAATACATCCCAGTGTATTAGATTGAATAATTCTCTTTTTTTTCCTGCTTGACATTTAACAGTCTATAACTTAAAAGGCAAATTTAGATTTTGAAGTGCCTCGTTATGAATAACCAACCAGCCTTAAAGTAGGAAAACACATTTCGAAAACAGCTAAACACTCACTTATAACACCATAAATACAATAAGGCCAAACACGGGATTGCCATAGCAGAATCTGTGAATACATTAAGCAGAATAAAGGTCCTTATACAACGGAAGCGTTTTTTTCATGTGGCAATATTTTTTTCCAAACCCGTATCCTGTCAATACAAGCGTTCACATCAGCAACGTTTTCCCGTCCTGCGATATTGCGGCATTTATTTTTTCGTATCACGGTCGAATTTTCTAAAGTTTCGCATACTGTATGTCCACTTCTGACCAATCAGATTTCGTGTTGTTAAGACATCAGATTCACCGGTATATCCAACATGGCTGACCGGCTGATTGTTTACGTGTCGGAGAACAGAGTGCTTTTTGATAAAAAACACAAACATTACAAAGATAACAACCTGAAGGACAACTTGTGGAGAGTCATAGTGTCGGATCTCTCATATGACGTTGGTTTGTGTGCTTTAACAGTTTGCTAAACGTCTTTGTTTTAACTTTTATCTGTGCTAAGTAACTTTAGCTCGTAAGCTAACCTGTTCAGAAAAAACATACCATATGTATTTTCACTGTCTCAGACTCAATCGCGTTGCTGTCACAGCACCATTAGGTCTCGGTTGTTACCTTACGTTTATGGATTATAGTTTGATGTGCTTATCTGGTACTGGCCTCAACTTAGTACATGACATGTTGAGATGGCTGTCATCCATCTCAACACTAGCATCTAATCAGAACTGAAAAACAGTCAGTCTGGTGTTTTGTCAGTCTTCTCGCTTCCACCCGGGTCACATATTTCTGATCTAGGGCACACTCAATTCTGCCATCAAGCCTCCATTGACTCTTGTTAGAAGATGCACATAAGCATTTACTCCTCCACATTTTACACCACCACCTGGCAAGTGGCAGCAAAAAGGGCCACAGGAGAAACTGAGAGTAAAGAGCTTTGGCTTCATTACTATTAAGCAGCATTCAAACAAACTGAGGCTTTCAAGGAGCTAGTTTACAGAGTTGGCCTGGCTCTCAGAAAAGGGCGAAAACCTGAAACAAGTAAGGGTCCGAATGGGGAAAAAAATGTTGTTGAAGCACTACAAGATGCCAATTATCATTCATGCACTTCTTCATCTGGGTAGTACAACAGTATATCATTATGGAGTTATTAACCACAGCTTCAGCCCCAGCTAATGACAAAGGGTGAGCACAAAACATTTGGGGTTAGTGTGCCAGTAGACTTACAATTTTGTATAATTCAGTCACACTAAACCCTGCCTTCATTTCTCCTGGTTTTACAAAATATAGGTAAATCTTGCAGTTCTGTTCCCACCATATCAGATGACCTGTTTTCTGTGCTGACTGTATAAACTTAACCTCTCTGGCAAAGAACCAGCAGACTCTCATATGGTATCAGAGTTCATAAGAGCCTGTGATAAATAAAGCCTTCCTGTAAGACACTATGTGGAAGCTTGATCCTGTGCAGCATTTTCAGATCTAGTTTCAGTGCTGTGGTCTACATGGTCCAAATACAGATAAAGGTAAATATGCTTAGGACATGAGAAAAACACAGCACGGCCAGAGTAAAGGTCAGCCTTAAGATTCCTTTTAAGAAAGGAGGCAGTGCAGATTGCTTTTTAAGCTTGCCCAGAAAATAAATGTAAAATTTTTGTTTTGACAAGATGTTGAAAAATCAGTCATTAAAGGAGCCATCCAAAGATGCTACATTTTCAAAACTAGCAGTCAGGAACCCAAAATGTCTGCTAAAGTGAGTTTATTTCAAAACGGGATTTGTGGATTTGCATATGACTTATTTATTCCATCGCTACCTCTGAATACAGCAATCTAGACACAGAATAAATCATAGACTTCTTGCTGGAAATCCAATTTCTCTCCCTGTTGGCCTTTCTTTTTCCACATTAGAATATCAACAGAGTTGACCACATGGGTTGCGGGGCGATAAATAAAGTTTCTGCTCCGAGCATGACTGATTTAATGATCTCTGAGGATCTCAGGGTTTGCACATTTCGGAAAACGTTGTAGTGGTAATGACTTTGACATGGATGACCAAGAGAAGCGACACTATCAGCTGTGAAAACTCTTAACGATGTGTGGGCTGCTAAAAAAGGCTTACAGGAGGCTTGGGTGACACAGGACTGAATACAGACAGCAGTGGTGTAACCCCAGCGCTTGACATTCATTTCTCCTCCTCCACTTTACCTGGGATGAACACAGCAGCCTGCAGAAACACGGGTCATGTGACGCTTCTGAAATTCTTATGTATGAGCTGACCTGGTATGAAGCGATTCAGTAGCATGCTACTTTTAAAATACACACAGATAACAGAAAAGAGAAGTAACTGCAAAGCCAAAAGGCACTACCTCTGTAAAAGTTGGTGTGTATATCCTGGAATATTCTTTATGCAACATGTAAAAAAATATTCATTAGTGAGAAGAACAAAAAAATTTACAAAGATATCTGTAGTATTCAATATTTTTGTTGTTGGCAAATTTCGAAAGAACCCAGAAACCAACATCTCAGCAGAGCCAGGAGCCATTTTTTTTTTTCTATTGAACATGTATCTGCTTAAAACATCAGTCACATATACTAATCTAGGACCATTTTTGTCATTTCCTCAAACAGCCTGTCTCAGCAGATTTTTGCAAACGTCACAAACTCTGATCAGTTGTGCGGTTGTCGGGGACTCTTAAAGGCTGCAGATTTAGCCTGGTAGAGAACCTGAAGCAACAGTGAATGTGCAATCAACTCAAGGGCTCATTGAGGTAAATGTAAAGAAAGCACGGCTCACAGAGGCTTCTAGGGTGCCAATTTACAGATAATGTAGTCCTTGAAATTCATTGTTCAACTCTGTCCCTTGGTCCTTTGCAGCATATTAATCCCCACTCTCTTTCTTTTTCACATCTTTCTACCAACT